AGAGGGGGAGAGAGAGAGAGAGAGAGAGAGAGAGAGAGAGAACGTAATAGTGGAGAGCGGCAGAGAAGAAGAAAAGAGACATCATCTTTTCAAAGTATTCGTACACTGCACTGACTGATACCCATACCAACTGCCAAATGTCGAGCATTGCGTGCTCGTCCACTACCAGGGGCTAAGAAGGAACCGACCGACGCTAGCTTTACCTAGTTGTCGGGAATGCCCCATGCAATTCCAAATCTGTATACAGCCATATACCGTATTCTGCTGTGTAATTATAGTTTACTACCGTCATTTGCCATTGAAATACCGCACCGTATAAATAAATAAATAAATAAATAAATAAATACCTACGCTGGATGATTCCATCCTCTGAGAGACCTCTTGTTCTTGCTGCCAACCTGCAACAGCCTTATGTGTGGAGCGGGGCGAGAGTAGCCTATGAGACGGCACGGTCATGATGCCATCCTCGGTTCAAACGCCATGTTATCACGACATTGCCAAGGCCGGCGGAGAGGAATCTTTGTGAAGGTATTAGTTATTGCTTTCCTATATGGATGTCGCATCGAATACATACCTACCTAGGTATACACCTTGAATAATCTCCACACTTGTGACCTGACCTGCTTCTCAGCTGCGACGATAGACCTTTGCATTGTTGACTGTCTCGCCGTCTCTGTGAGCATTTCTCTCTACCTCCCTCTACCTCCCTCTCGAGTCTCTACCTACCTACCTACCTACCTACCCACGCATGTCTTGTATCTTTGAAGACGTACCTATGAAATCATATTGCGACATTAACGCCTAGAAGAGCCTACCCAGGAACCGTGCCGTGCCATACATACTGTACAGTGCATGACATGTACTGTATGCGGGGTATTTGTTCCCTTTATCTTATCAGATTTAAAAATCAAAATCGAGAATTCGCCATACTGTACTGTAATACTGTATAGAATAGCTGAGTGACAATTTAGATCTACGTGCAAATTCCGAGAACTCAGCTCTTATTATTTCCTTTGCACATTCTTTTATAAGGTATCAGCTGACCTTTTAAACACACCTACTCTATATCGATCACTTTCAATGAGTTCGAGCAGAAAGTACCTAGGCAATTTGGAGAGCACATTATGATAGAAAGCAATCCGTGCGCTGTGGGAATAAATAATCATTGCACCAAGTGCCCTTCTTCCATCAACTCCCGCGAATCGCGTCTGACGCGTCTCGGTCGCGTGTAGTAAATAGTACGCGGGAGCGGGGAGGCATCGCAAAACATCATGAAAGCTAGCAAATCGTACAATACCTTGCCAATTGCGATACACTCCAGACTTAGCAGATGAAGAACATTGATCATATAGTAATCGCATCTCACCGCTGCGCAGCCAACAGCGTCTTGAAAAATGTCTAGCTCACCCACGAAAGAAAGTATCATCCCCAAGTTAGCACCGCCGAATTCAACCCCATTACACGATCCACCTAGTCCCAGGACCCATAGAGCTTTACGCAGGTATGTCAGCTTTCAACCATAAAATGACATGACATGCTCCCAAGAGCTCGGCTCTCACTCTCACTCTCATATCTAGAAACCTGCAGAAACAACAGCGCTAACTCGTCGGCCAAAGACTTCAGTCTGCCCACACATTAGGGAATAGCCAGCCCTCTTTGATCCAGCTTCAGCATAGGCAGCACCTCCAGCACAATCAAACGCCCGTCAGTACCCCACACCACAGTCGAGGGAGGTCGAACAGCGATGCCTCAAACATGACACCTCCTCCGAACCTAGGCGCAGCTAGCAGACGACCAATGCCTGGCAGGAGACCCGCTGCCGCAGATGCGCTCTCGCTGGACCGCCTGATCAGAGATGGGCCGCCAGATGGGGATATTATCACTGCCTTGGAGAGCACAAGACTGAAGATCCTGGATCAGGGCATCAAGAGTGATACGGATGGCATGGTGAGAAAATAAATGGATGCTGTTGGTGGATAAATATGCTAATCTCAACAGTCATCTCTCCGCATATATGTTTGGCTCATATTACTCGATGCTCCAATCCTCGAAACCGACTCTTACCTCGCCCTCATACACCGTGGAGCATCCCCGGCCTACTCCAAGATTCGAAACGATACCTTTCGAACCTTAACAACCGATCCACTCTACCGGAGGAGAGTTAGTGAGGCTAGTCTTATCCGGCTTTTGAATGCTGTAGCTTGGAAGCTACACGATGCAAAGGAAGAACGCGCAGAGGAACTAGCAAAGAGTGACAACAAGCATACAGTTAACATACAAGCCAGTCCCGAGGTTCAATCGTCAACTCCAACTCTCAAACCAAGAGCGCGCGCCTTGACCTTGACCACGGATGGTTCCGATGCTGGAAAATCCGAGCCGGGAACATACGTTCAGGGAATGAATGTTTTGGCAGCTCCGTTTCTATATGCTGCTCGAAGCGAGGCGGAAGCTTTCGTCGCATTCTATCGTTTTATCACCAACGAATGTCCAGGCTATGTACGTGGTGCTATGGATGGTGTTCACAAAGGACTTGCTCTTGTAGACAAGGTTCTCGCCATTGTCGATCCGAAGCTCAGTCTCTATCTCATGAGCAAAAACATGAGTGCAGAAGTCTATGCCTTTCCTTCTGTTCTCACTTTGTGCGCGTGTACGCCTCCATTGCCCCAGGTTCTTCGTCTTTGGGATTTTCTCTTTGCATATGGAGCCCATTTGAATATCTTGTGCATTGTCGCACAGCTAGTTTTCCTGAGAAACTCCATTTTGAGCTCCCCGAGGTAAGTTGAGGATCGCATCCGCATAACATCACCACACTAAACTGACATGTCATAAGTCCCACAAAGATTCTTCGAAACTTTCCTACGCTCCAAGCTGATACCATCAAAGAGGTGACTCTGAGCTTGGTGAAGAAGATCCCGGATGATGTCTATGCAGAAATTGTTTCTCATGCCAAGTAAATTTGACACCAAGTAAATCTGGAATCAAAGCATTGAGTTGGCGTTTGCGGATTCTGTATTTCATGTTTGGTATAGGAGGGCCAAATGGGTCGCTGTGTATTGGGAATGAGACATGAGGTACGAACTGTGATGTATTTGGGGGGAGGAAATTGGTGTTGGATTGTGCATAAACGCATTTCATGGCCTTGGAGGCTACGAGTTAACGAATTGAAGAAATCGCTATGATTGGACAACGGAGACGTGCCTGTTAATATTCAAGGTGTCGTTGCTATTTACTTGCATTACACGTGCTCCGAGGACTGGTTTCTGCAAGGTACTAACGGGCTAGGTCCACACGTGGAAGAAATGGAGATCCAACCACCGACCTCCCGAATCTGCAATTTCTGTCCTTTGCATGCGTTGCTAAAAGTATAATAACTTCAATGTCCCATCCGGTGTTATGAGAAAACTCAGCCACTTTGCACTTCCTTTAAATACATTTCTTGCAATGGCCTTCGTATCTTCTTCTTTAGCGCTGGCTTGGACAGTCTTGAGCATAGCAACGCAAGGGACGCTAGCATCACCTACTCCACTAGATATATCGCCATCTTTACAAGAAATATTGAACAAGGCCCATCAAGGACCCCTTTATACTTATCCTACATCCTTGACACAGGGCATTATCCCGGTATTTAGCCCAAAGTTTCCCCTATCTTCAGTCACCTGACGCAAATTTGTAGAAAGCAATCCATTCCCACAACGACTGTAAGAGAGCCCCTTCCTTGAACGCTGCGAAACAAAGGCTAACGAAAATCGCAGACTGGAGAGATGTCCCCTTTTATACTGCTCTTTCGGTTGGTGCGGTTTCAACTGAGAGCGACGTGTGGCTTTATAACGATACTCTCTTCGTTGGCCACGAGCAAGGTGCTCTGACGACTGCTCGTACTTTTGAGTCTCTATACATCAATCCAATTCTTGATGTTCTGAAAAGACAAAACCCCACCGTATGCAACCATTCAGAGCATTCCGTTTCTCTATTGGACACAATTACGAGCTTCAATATCCGCTTTCAACTGTCTCATGAGCCCTCAGACTCTAAAACCAAGTCCTGCATGAAACATTGCTGATTCTCGAATTCGCAGAACTCGGCCTTTGTAACCAGTCCCACACACAACGGCGTTTTCGACACCGATGGGGGCCAGACGTTGTATCTTTTCGTAGATTTAAAGACAGACGGCGCGAGTACCTGGCCCGCTGTTGTGAAGGCTCTGGAGCCACTGTAAGTTGCCTTTCAGGGAGAACTTCAGAAACAATATCTGACTCACGATCTCTAGACGTTCCGCCGGCTACCTCTCAAGCGTAAACTCCACGACTTTTACCTCTGGCGCGGTAACAGTAATCGGCACAGGCAACACGCCGCTAAGCCTCGTCCAACCCATCACCGACCGTGACTACTTCTGGGATGCTCCAATCCCAACACTCAACTCCACCTTCTCCAACATCACCTCCCTCATCTCCCCTATCGCGTCGACTGATTTTGCCGCAAATTTCGGTCCCGTGCTCGGGACGTCTCTAGATAGCACACAGTTGGATTTACTTAGAACGCAAGTTAAAATTGCACACGGCAAGGGCATTAAGTTGAGGTATTGGGATCAGCCGGCATGGCCTCTGAGCACGCGGGACGCGGTTTGGCGTCTCTTGAGAACAGAAGGGGTGGATTTTATTAATGCTGATGATGTTGCGGCTGCGGCAGGTGATGCTTCTTGGTAGAAAATTGGGATATAATTATCTTTAATGGTATATTGTTGGACGATTGCGTTTGATAGGAGCTGCAAAACCACTGCTTTATGATATGATGATTATTACTAATTCCATGCAATAATCGAGCTGTTACAAATGAATGTTCCGAGTTCAAGTGAGAGTTTAAGTGAGGACTGAATGTTCGTCGTGTTCACTCAATATTAATACTGTGAGCGAAGAGAGCGAAGAAGGAAGGACCGACTATTACCGTTTTCATGTCACGCGCCGCCTAACACATTATAAAGTTAAAAGGATGCCCCCTTTTTGTCCACTGCGAATGTGCTAGACTGAAGTTGCTCTGTAAATTACTCTACACTGGTATTGTAAGTCCGGTCCCTCATTCTGCTCTGTAAACCCAGTATGATCTACTTCCATACCATAAGCAATGAGTTACTGAAGGGATCACAGCCAGGTCTATTTTACTTCTGGTGCCCTAGATACTCTAGTTTACACGCTGTCTGTCTCTGAACGCCACGCTTAATAATCTGCCTTTCACCCCTCAACACCTAACCACCCGAGACCCTGATCCTTATACATGCAAGTCATCAAACAACGGAGGAATACAAAATAATACAATTCACGAGGGATCAAGAGAGTAAATTTCGCAAAGAAGGGCTTGCACTTGCCCCGCCGTTCACTCGGCCATCGTTCTGCCGGGCATTGCTAGGCTGCGGAGGTTCTCGAGTTGGGGGATGAGCCTCGTGGTGCATTGGTGGACTGCCTTGAGGCGGGCCAACCGATGAGCGGGGACGCATGGGTGCATTGCTGAAAGGATGCTCGGGAGCACGAGGTGGAGGGCCACCATTGGTCAAATGTTGCGGTGTTGGTCGCGTCGAAGCATATGAAGCATATGTGCCGTTTTGCATATGAAGCGTCGATGACCCCATGCTGCGATGTGGTGAAGGTGGGTAGCCGTTTGGAACCTGAGCAATGTGTCCATTCTGGTGAGGGGACTGTGGCTGGTTGTAACTCGACTGTCTGACCTGGGGCTGTCCATTTAATGATTGAGGTGCTGCAGGTGTGGTAGCAGGCGAGTGGTTTCCATTTAGTTGATTAATAGACGTACCTCCCTGGGATACGGGTGAATGGCGGGACCAATTGTTGTAAGATCCGTTAGATGGGTATGATGGCGGAGCAGGCCATGCATAATGAGGTCTCTCTTGAACGGCATCTGGATCTGGAATGGGAGCATTGGTAGTAGTGGGAGGCGCACTGATTGGAGGCCCCGAACTTTCTCGCTGTATCACTGCTGGTGGAGGAGACGGCTCCTTTTGCACTTTCTTCCAGTGACATTGATGGCACTGAAATTCCGTGGGCTCGGGTGGCGCAACTTGTGTATTTTGGTGCAATGCTGCAGCAGCCAGAGCCGCATGACTTCCATCATCTTCGCCAAGAGAGCCCAAAAGAGCTTGGCCTTCATTGAGGTACGACCCATTCGAAGTAGCGTGGTCTCCGTTGGTGCGCAAGTCACCGTTGGAAGCGACTTCGCTCGTGGCGATAGGAGGGAATGACCACCACTTGGGACTAACATCGATTCCGCATGTGGCACAGATCTTCTCTGCAGTGACAGTGCTCATTGACGATACATCTGAGGATTCCTCGGCCCTAGCGTGAGAAACAGAACCACGAGCGGGAATGGAATGCCCATTAGCACCTGTGGCCGTAGAAGTCCTACGATTTGGTGTTTGAGTAAGAGGCGTAGTATTGACGATTTTTGTGGATTGATTGACAAGAGTCGCCTTCCTCACGGTTCCAGTCAACGTTAAATCCGCCTGTTTGAAGTTCTGCACATAGAGTTGCAGAGCATTGAGACCCGTTTCGTCGACGATGTCGTTCATTTTATGCACAATGGTCTTTGTGGGTCCATGTTCCTTGCACCAGATTGCAGCCGACATTGTGCCTGCCTCGCCATTTATACTCACAATATTAACCAGGTCTCGGCGAGAGCCTTTCACAGGCGCGATATCAAATCCCAGGATGTAGCCACCTTGGTGTGCACACTCAACATGGACTAGAAAAGGTTGTTAGTATGGCAGATGGATCATATAGTGATGAGAATTACCTGGAGCTCGACAGGAATGACATGCCACGCACGCACCGCCTTTCTTCTTGCATGCCTTGCAGGTTTCATCGTATCTCGCAGAAGCAATAGAGGGGATGCCTTCTGACGGCTCTAAAGCCTTCGCATTCCCAAATTTTACCTCTGGCGTAAATACTGCACACGTAACATGAACCCAGTTATTGTTAGCTGTACGCTTGAGAGGTTCCCGAGGATTGACAGGTTTATTCAGTTCCTCTTGTTTCTTACGGAAGAAGTCAGCATCTTTCTGTGCACTTTCTCGCTCTAGACGATCACGCTCGCGTTCTTTCTCTGATTTTTTCTTGTGTGATATTTTAGGTGGTTCGACGAAATCATGCTCGGTGTACTCTACAGGGCAGAGCATGCATTTATATTGCTAAAGATAATTAATAACAGAGGGTTTTCTCGATGGGATTTGGCTTACTATCGACACTTGGGGGTTCTTGTCGTTCGAACACATGTCACAGACCCATTTGTTGGGAGTCCGACTCTCGCCCATGATACCATAGCAATTACGGTGTACGGTCAGTCGACACTCCTTGCACGATACATGTTGGTCACCCATAGGCTCCATTTCGCCACATATCGCACAGGGTAACAACTTCGGTTTGGGTGGTTCGGGGATGGGTGGTGGTGCTGGCTTCTCCGGCACCACCTTTTTCTTTTGCCCCGAGGTCACAACAGCTCCAGACTCTAGGGCTGAGTCGTTTGAGTCCTTGTCAGAAGCAGCCTTTACTTTCTTCCTTGGCGGTTCCGCACCCGATAGAGTATTTAAAACTGCTGGAGCTGGTGTCCCCCCAGCCGAAGTAGGAGCCACTGGAGTAATATTTGCTGAGTGGTTCATGGTTTCATTGGCAGCAACAAGTTCTTTCAGGAGTTCTTCATCAATCTTCCGCTTCCATGCCCTACCCCCGGCCTGCGCGATCTTCTTAGCCATTTCGTCTACGTCTTCCCACTGAACTGCGTAACGACGCCAGAGCTCCGCGCATCTCTGACAGAGGGCTACCATGAGTTGGGTACCTTTGTCTTTCCCGGAAGGTTTGGTCGCTGAGGGCTCTATGATCATGGTACCGGCAGGGGTGTTAGGAGCTCGCCTCCACTGCCGGCAGCTTCGTGTCCCACAAAATTTGCACTGGAAACCCCGCTTCTTCTCGAATGCTTTGTCGTTGTCAAAGGCAGAATCATCATATTCGTCGGCAACATCATCTTGGAGCTTCCCAGATGTAGCTTCTGCTCTTTTTGCCTCTTTCTTGCCTTTCCTGCCAGAGTAGTTACCCCATATATGCTTTCCTCGCTCGGTCTTTTTCCACGTGTAGTAAAATCTGACTATGTTTGCAGCGCTGACCGTTTTGACATGCTTTTTGATGCTGTGCCACTCAGAGCCATATTTTGAGACCCCATCTTCGAATTTCTTCAGTTCTGTCGGGCTGAGTTCAGGCTCTTTAAACACGCCTTTGTCGTGGTTTATCATGACTCGGAGCGCCTTCTCGATGTCATACCCATTTGATTGTAGCGTTTGTAGGGCGACATCAAGGACGTTGGTAGACATTTCAGGCAAATGGTAGACGGGATTAGCCTTATCTTTGGCATGGCACAAGTACTCGAATACGAACCGCTCACGCTCGGATTGCGCGCTATCGTCGGGCCGTTCGTAGTTACCATCGTTATCTTTAGGAAGAGGGAAAGACAGCTGGCCTGGTTCTGGAAGCTTATATAGTAGTTTTGCCGTGTTATTTGGATCATCATTATCGTAGTCCTCCCCTCGATGGACATAGCCAGGAGGTTCATCCATTACCCATTTTGGACGCTTCTCACGCGTGATTTTGTCGGCTTCCAAGGCAGCGACCGTCTCCTTGGATAGCTTCGCGTCCTTCTTATGACCACTACCTTTCATGTACTTCTTCTTGATTTCGGCTGGCTTGACGTACTCTACAGGTCGTCCGGGCCATATTGGGATATTAGCTTGATGTCGGGGACCAAGGCGCGAGCTTGCACGAGGATAAATTCGGTCGTCATAATCCAAAGCATCTTCTACCTTACAGTGCATACCGAGATAGCGGAAAAGCCATAGACTTGTTTGGTGGATCTGCTCCGTTGTTCCCGGATTGACTGATACATCTGCGCCAGTAGATGGACTGGTTCGCCCAGTGTCGAGAGCTTCTCCAACGACACCGGCGGAGTCTTCCTCCTCCTCGTTGAAATCTTCATCTTCTGCTTCTATTGTAGTATCTGTAACATTTGGCGTATTTCGAGCCTCAAGCTTCTTCTCCTGGGCCTTGCTGCAAGGACCACAAGCCCAGGCGAAACCGCGAGATGGCTTCTTCAAGAGAGGTGGATTCACACAACTCATGTGATAGGTATTCCGACACACGGCGCAATCGACAGAATCGTTGCTTGAATGATTTAGCTGACGCCTCTTGGGATACGGGTAATACAACTAACCTTGCACAGTACTTATTGCATCTCTTACACGACTTCACAGCGCTGGTCAATTCTTTGCCTCGGCCAGGTTCTACAATAATGAATCTCCAACGTTCATCAAGGACCTTTTTAACGTCCGTAGGAACGTTGATAACCTGACTAGTTGGTATGACATCGTAAAATCGATGTATGTAGCGATCATACAGCTTCTCATACCAAAAGCAGTCCTTTGTTTTCCTTAATTCATCCAGTTTATCTACTTCACTCTTGTGCTTAATTTGGCATTTCCCTCTGAGTGCAGTGAGAGGGCTAATGTCAGAGTGCATAGATGCGAAGACTTGGCGGGTATCGTTAACTTTACGTCCAATGTCTTTCGGCCTGTAATACCAATTCAGGCGGAGGGCATCGATAGGCTGTGTATTGTCATTGCTGATATGAAGAAACTCCATGATTCGACCAAGATAATAAGGTTCTCCAGGCGGTTCACAGACCAAATATACATGATCTATATAATATTAGTCTCAGATAGCCTTCCAACCAGTAATAAAAAAGAACAGCGCAAGACTTGCGTACCATTAACTTCGAGAATTGTGCCATCATCCGCTACAAGCTTCTTCCCATTCAACCGCCCGCCGCAGTTCTCGAAGGTGAGCATGTTCGTTTCCCGAAAGCCAGCGGCGACCTGCGCAGCCATACTGGCTCGACGAGTCACTGTCTGGACAGGAAGTGTAGTTTGCGAGGGGCCCTGTTGGGTCTGGTTGGTCGTAGATTGAGCTGCTACCTTTCTCTTTTTTGACTGGGTTGGTACAGCCGTAGTTGCGGGGTTAGCTGAGAAAGTTGAAGTACCCGGTATCGGATCTCTCGAATGATTCTGCAATGTAGCAAGTTGATCTCCTTCAGGCGCAGCGCCCTTGCGACTAGAATTTGCTGGCTTCCCGACATCTGATGCGTTCAAGTCGGTAGCTCGTGCCTTGCGCCCGGTATTGTCTTTCGCTGTTGAGGGCGCCTCAAACTCCGTATCCAGCTCCTTATCCTCAGCATAATTCGGCCGTGAGGTTCCTGTCCTGTTACGTGACCGAGTGCCATATGGTGCCGCAGAACCAATATCCTTCATGGACGGGGTCGAAGCATTGGAATTCGTTGCGGTCATCGGTTGTGATATAGCGGCTCCTGAATCCAGCGCACTTGAATTTATAGGTCCGTTCGACTCCTCGGGCGGCGGGATTTTGGGGGGAAAATTGAGCGGGGCGTCGCTGGGTTGCCGCACTTCCACGTCGTTGCTATCTCCACGCGCCGAGCCTGCGGCGCTCGAACGACGAGAAACGTCTTTCGTCATGGCGACGAGTTGAAGCGGAAGATCCGCCACAGGACGTGGCTACGAATGGAATGGAAGCGCTTCCCGCAGGATAAAGAGTGCGAGAAGCGCTGGAGAGAGAAAGGGAAAGGCTATCGGACGATGGCCGCAAGGTTTCGACCCATCAGAGAGAACCAGCAAGTCGAGCTGGGATCGGAGCTTGGAGATTGGGGTATTTCAGGAAGCACAGTCGCGTGGGAATCTGCCCAGAAATATCGGGTGCTGGTGTGGTATCGACTTCTTAGAGTACGCAAGCTAAAGTATACTATGCAGAGACGACGAGGCTGCGAATCCCTCGTTCGGAGAACCAGTGTTGGGGTCTAGAGAACTCTCTCGTCCGCTATCGAGATACCTGCTTGTCCGGTATGTATTGCGGGCTGTCCAAGTTGAGAAAATGTGGGAGGGGAACAGTAAGCGCGTGTAGACGAGGAGTGAGTGACTGATACGTTTAAAAGATGAAGGTCGAGAGGTATTGGTGATGGGATGGTACTAGTTGGTGGAGGCAAGCCTAGAGAAAAAAGGGCGATGTTTATCAAGTGGGCGCTCAGGTACCAGCCTAGCATGGATGGATGGCATGGGCATGGCATCGATCACACAAGGAATAAAAAGAGACCCTTTATCTGAAGAAAATGGTCTACAGTAGCTATTAAGTTGCTTCCGCCATGTACTAATCTGGAGAAAGGGAGGTTTAGAAGTCCAGAACTTCAAACAGTATTTGTTACTCTTGAAGCAGTGAACTTTTAATCGAATTCCTATACTCGGTATTGGGGAGGATTCCAGGTTGCTAATTGAACAGTCCCTGGGACTACTGCGGCTGTTGAATCGTGATGCCAAAGCTCACAACCAACCCAACCTGGTTGAGAGAGGCTGACTGACAAAATGACCAAAGCTTCTCCTTTCAATTGAGATTCGTGCTTTATAATGAGGGTTGATATCTCGATGTTTACTTGTATAAGAGACCGGTACCATAAAAGATAGCTTCGTTTGTCTCTATCCAGGTGACAGGTGAGATGAATCTGTTTTTATCCATGTACCGACATAAGTAAGGTATATTTAGTTTTGTTTTACTAAACCAAGAGACTAAAAGATTACCGATAGTGAAGGCGTGCCATACGATCGATGAATCGATGCTTCCCCTTTTGGAAGCTATAGCAACATAAATTCAGTCATGTGATCGCGGCTTCAAAACTACTTTCTACTCTATGGATACCTCAAACTTGATCCACGTACCTCTACACTTTCCGTCTCGCAATATTTGACTTTAATCTTGTCCCCTGTTCTGGGCACATCGAGCTTACTTGGAAGTACTTTTGCTCCCCCCAGTCGCAACTATGTGCTAGGGTACCTAACCTGCGGAATAAAATATTGTGGCCTATTGTAGCCCTGGCTCAGCGGCACACGTCCGCTCTCAGCATGGATGCTAACAAAACGTCTAACACATACCACAAAACCACAATAGATATCGCAAGAGCTACCCACACAACAACATCCCATATTGGTCGGAAGAGGACTTTTGACGAGTCTCATGGCGGGCAGGATGCTGACATATCAAACCGTGGGGGCTTCCAACGGCCAGCCCTCCAACTCAGGTGTTTTGAGGCCCTGAAGGCGAGTGAGATACAAGATATTTGCGATCGTGGCCAGTCAGAATATACCCAAAGACGGGGCCTTGCATTGACTCCGACCCCAACGTCCAACCCGTTATTGGATCTGTCACATCCTGGTATGCATATTTCTTGAGCAGTATATTTCTTTGTTCGGAAGAGTTCCGAGTTCTAGACTCCCGAGGGGCTCCCTCTTCTTCGAGCATTTCGGGGGTCCTGACGCCCGAAACTTTTCTCGAACCCCCCAATCTTTCATCACTAGGCAAGACTGACTCTAAGAACTTGTAGCCTACGGTTTGCCCGCTCAGCTTGTCCGGAATTTTGCAGATCACGGGGTTAAATCCATTTATCCATGGCAGTCCGAATGCCTATTGCATAGCGGGGCCTTGGGAGGTGAACGAAACCTTGTCTATACAGCACCAACAGGAGTAAGTTAATGGTGGCTGTCTTCTCATTTTTTTTTACCATGTTCTGGACTTACCACAGATATGCCAGTTTTTACATCCTACAAACCCCCTGACTTGCCCAAATTTGCCGCGCTAACTTTCTATTTCTCTTTACTCTAGGGTGGCAAGTCTCTGGTGGCTGATATCTTGATGCTCAGAAAGGTGTTGCAAAACCCAGGCCAAAAAGCCTTGCTAGTTCTCCCATATGTTGCCTTGGTTCAAGAAAAGTTACGGTGGCTAAGGCAAATCGTAGATGGTATCACTAAGATTCCCTCGAACTCATCTCGCATTGAGAAAGTACAATCTTGGCGCAATCTTGGGGACGAAGACACCCTGAGGGTAGTGGGACTTTTTGGTGGCAGCAAATCAAGAGCCACCTGGGTGGACATGGATATTGCGGTCTGTACTATTGAGAAGGTTGGATTTAATACCTCTTTAGGCGTCCATTGGACTGACAATGAGTAGGCGAACTCTTTGGTGAATGCAGCTATTGAAGAGCATACTATAGGGATGCTTGGTACTGTTATTATTGATGAACTACACATGATTGATGATGAAAGCCGGGGTTATATTTTGGAATTAATGGCAACGAAACTCCTCAGTCTGGACCAGAATGTGCAGCTCATCGGCATGAGCGCAACGTTAAATGTAGGTTTATCCGATCATTTCCAAAATGCCTGCTAAAAGCGAAAAGAATGCAGGATTACTAGCACAGTGGCTGAATGATGCAAAATTCTATATTTCTCGATATTGCCCAGTTCCTATAGAAGAACATCTCGTTTTTGACAATTCTGTATACCATGCAGCGACGTCAAGCAGGTTTTACAAAACAGCCACTCAACTCAATGCACAAACACAACCTTCCTCGCAAGTAAAGCCCGAACCAGTGAGAATTATTCACCCATCGCAATGCAGGGAATTCGGCGATCCATTGATAAATGCTGTTGTGTCTCTTGCTAGTGAGACTGCAAGGGCAGGATACGGAGCGCTTGTATTTTGCAGCAGTCGCGCTGGCTGCGAAAGAGACGCCATACTCATTAGTCAGGTCTTACCACGCCCCGAAGAAGTCGATACTACTACCATGGAGAAGAGGTTGGAGTTACTGGATGATTTGAGAAGCACCAGTACAGGGCTAGACGCCACATTGGAGAAGATTGTTCTCGTCGGGGTCGCATTTCACCGTATGACCATTTTATGATTGGGAGTGGTATGATGGCTAATTTTGCTTTGCAGATGCAGGCTTGACTGCGGAAGAACGAGACCTAATTGCAACGGCCTATGACTTAGGTGTTGTCAAGATTATTGTTGCAACATGTAGCTTGGCTGCTGGAATTAATCTGCCGGCCAGGCGAGTGATTCTTCATGGGGCACGAATGGGCGCGGACTTTGTTGGGCCTTCCATGCTGTAAGTGCTGCTTCGATCTAATTTTGAAGATTAGCTAATAGTTTAAGACGACAAATGAGGGGTAGAGCTGGCCGGAAAGGAAAGGATGAGATTGGGGAAACGTATCTTTGCTGCAAAAAAAGCGACCTCGAATCAGTTGCGGAGCTAATGGAAGCTGACATTCCAAATGTTGAGAGCTGTCTATTACCAGGAAAACGAGGAATCAAAAGGTATGCGGTCCCCAGTTGCATCCAACAATCATTTGCTGAGCAGAAGACGGGCGAGTAACTCACATAACTTTGCAGGGCATTGCTAGAGGTGATAGCGATCAAATTGGCAACATGCGAAGAGTCCGTCAATGATTATATGCGAAGGACTCTTCTCTACCATTCCGTCGATTCCGAAGAACTAGGGGTCACCATCTCGTCGACTTTGGATGATCTTTCAAAAAGTGGCCTGGTGAAAATAATTGATGGCTCTACCTATGCAGCTACTACTTTAGGCGAAGCTGTTGTTGCATCGTCATTAACTCCGGAAGATGGTCTCTTTGTGCATAGGGAACTACTGAAGGCCCTTCAAGGCTTTGCCATGGACTCAGACCTCCATGCATTGTACACTTTCACCCCAGTGCAAACTACGCAAAGCAATGTTAATGTACGTATTCTTTTACCTACTTTTTTGCTTGTCTTGAATGAACTAGCTTGCAGCCCACAGATAAACAAAACTTCAGATTGGTTGGCTTCTACCAATAACTGGTTATTATTTGGATATTTCAAGGCTAATGTGATCATTTGAGAGCAGTGGCGGATATTTCGGCACGAAGTGGAGCGTCTGGATGAGAGTAACATGCGGGCTCTTCAATTTGTGGGATTGAAGCCAATGTTGATCAATAAGATGTAAGCGATATGTAGCACTTATTGGAACCAATTGTTAAAAGATTGCAGGGCACATGGCGGTTCAATGAAAGAGTCAACCCCAGAGGAGTTGGAAACTGTCCGCGTTTACAAGCGTTTCTACTCCGCCCTCCAGCTTCGTGACCTCTGCAACGAAATGCCTATTCATGCAGTGGCCCGCAAATACGATATACCGCGGGGTATCGTGCAAAACCTGGCGCAGACGTGCCATGGATTTGCTGCTGGAATTATCAAATTCTGCCAACGGATGGGATGGGGGGCTTTGGCAGCAGTCTTAGACCATTATTCCGACAGACTAAGGGCTGGTATGTAGCACTCTTTAGCAGCAGCTGGACGCAGTTTATTATGTGAGCTGCTTATTCCTTTCGACAGAAGCTGATGCTTAACAGGCGCAAAGTCAGATCTCCTAGCTTTGGCTGAAATCACTTACATCAAAAGTCGAACAGCCAGAGTATTCTGGGAAAATGGGTACAGGACAGTAGCTGCTGTAGCTACAGCGGATCCAAAGGACTTATTGCCCGTCTTCTTGATGGTTTGTCCTCCTCTCCATCACGTCGTTAGAAGCCCCATACTTACTGTGACAAGGCACAACCTAGAAAGCCAAATAAGCACCTTGGCGAAGAAGATAAGTATATTGAAAAGCTTCGTGCGAAGGTAGCGATGATTTCGATTTCGGCAAATAAGCTATGGGGTGAGCGTGATTACTTTTCTTTCTCTGGATCTGAAGACTGACGAGACCCAGAGCGCCAAATGCAGCAAGAGCTCGACGAGGAAGAGTGAATTACTCTACACACCAAAGTAGCCTAAGAGTCCTTATACACGGTTGCTCGAGAGCTCTCGAGGCGAGAGCAAGTATCGTCGGCACGCATTGTAGGATCCACAAGTAGATGAGGAGATATGATGGGACGATGGCTCTCAGACTTCTGGGTTGCATGCCTATCAACATCGTTGACGCATAACAAAACCAGCATAGGAAAAACTGCCTTTGGTAATTAGCTTTACGGGGACTCGATATTGTATATAGAACCTGATAAACACGACCCAACACGGCGTGTACAGCTTTGCCGCCAAGTTCTGGGAATGTGAGGGTAAAATCAGCATCGGCATTAGCACAATCGGTTGTGAGATTTGAGTAGCCCTTTGGACTTTTTGGAAGTAATGTATTTTATTAGGCGGGTGACTGTGCTGAACCACTTGGGATCATGCAGCTGCAGGGGAGGGGTTTGCGTATGAGAGTTCGGGTACTTGGCTTGGTAATCCCCCCAAGTGAGACCAATAAAGACTTTGATAGACTACGAAACAGAAGTATTGGTATACATGAACAATCTTCTTGAATACAAGATGAAACGATAAGCCACCAAAGAACTTGTTTATATTTTTGGTTTATGATATATGGTTCAAAGCATGCTAAACTTTGATTGTTCTATCAAAGCATATGTTTATAATATTGAGCACTTGGAAGGCAGTCCACATGGTCCCTGCTTCTCCTCTGTCTCTTCGTTTGTTTTAGATTTTTCAGTTGTGGTATTCTTTGCTCCATTGTTTTGTTCTTTCGTTCGCGCCGCTGCAGTTCCCCCTCCATTGGCGGTTTGGGGTCCATCTAGTCAAGCGAAGTTGACCTTGGAGACAGCGTTACCAAAACTCTCTCCATGGATCGTAGCAACTTCGAGCTCCAAAGGAGAGGGTTGACGAGATCCGTCAGCTCCCTAATAGAAGAATTAGCTGAGTCGGATGGATTTGAAAGGACGATAGACTCACCGAGAAAGTGCCAGCTCCCCATGGCGACCCTCCCCTAACTTCGCTCAGATTGGCGAGTTGACCAAAGGCGGTCTTGTATCCGAGAGGAACATAGATGATGCCGTGATGAGTGAGGGTGGAGAGAGCGCTCACAACAGTGCTCTCCTGTCCGCCTCCTGGGGTGCCGGTGGAGACAAAAATTCCAGCGTACTTGCCCCAGTAGCCTCCAGCGGCCCATTGAGCGCCAGTGGTGTCCCAGAAGGCCTTCCATTGAGCTGGGAAGTTGCCATATCTAGTTGGGATACCTATGAGGAAGGCATCGTATTGCTCGAGGGTCTTGGCGTCAATGAGCGGGATGTCGGATTTAGGGGGAGCATGCATCTAGAAAGGAAACAAGTTAGCCATGCGAAGGGGCTTCCAATAGTGAAACATCAAATTCTTCGATCGTGCAAATGCAGTGTGTAGCGGTACCTTGGCAAGAACCTCCTCAGGAAGCGTCTCGGGCACCTGGAAGAGGTCGGCCTCAATGCCAGCCTTCTTGAGACCTTCCTTCTCAGCTTCGGCAAGCTTTTGAATGTGGCCGTACATGGAGTCTATGGAGAGAAGCATGAGTTAGTTGAACGTTATAGCAATGGTATGGTTTGAAATGTATATGGTGGGGTGATTCGCAGGGAAAGGTAGATCATGATGGCGGGGTAAAAGCTTACAGAAGACGATTGCTACCTTGGGCGCCATGGTGAAGGTTTTAATGAGTTTGATTGATTGAGTGGGGTCGGTAATTTGATGGATGGATGGATCAGAAGAGAGGCAGATAGATCTGAACTGAATTGAACTGGACTTAAAAGCAAAGATGTTCGGGGAGGGGAACAACAAGTGTTTATATATGTTCCGAAGTGGGGTCGGTTTGATCAGGGGAAGTGCGGCCGCGACGGGTTAGCGGGCCATGTTAGCATGGTGGGTAGGTGTAGGTAATCATCAATAATCAACAAGCGCCATGCTTCAGGATGCTTGCATCACCATCAGTCATGAACTGCTAATGCAATGTGGAATGTAGTGCAAGACTGAGGATTATCATCATCATGACATCTACTTTAGTATCGATTGCCACATCTACTTTAATATCAATTCTCACATCTACTTTATCTTCAATCAATTATCACTCACCACTTGTTTTCTTGCTGTGAGCTTCTGCAGATATACTTCGTACGTACTAGATCTACCTCGGGATAATGATGCGCACTACTCAATACGGAGTACTTGATGCTGAAACATGAATTATTTACGAGCACGTCTGCACGTGTCTGTCCCGAAATTTCTGAAGCTAAGCGATGATCATGCATGGCTGGCCTGGGCGGGCGTAGGCGTAGGCGTACCTACTGTAGCTCGAGTGTAGGTAGGTATCCTATCCTATCCTATCGAGCCTATGCAACAGGAGTGAAGGGTACGAAGTAGCGAGTAGAGTGGTGAGGTGAGGTGAGTGAGCTCAATCAGCCCTCGCGTACCTACCCTACCCTTACCTTACCTTACCTACTGTACTTCTACCTAAGGTACTGGTACTACTTACTATACTGTATGCATTCGCCTCTCCATGTACCTACCTAGGTAACTTCCTTTATTCCCGTCACCACTATAGGTACCATCCCATCCCCATCTACCACCTCGCACCTACTTTAATCCCCTAAACATACCGTCATCCCCAAGTCTGAAGTGTTGTTGTTGTTGTGTTGGTGCCCAACTCGCATCGCATCCTCCGCCCCCAAAACAGCGGCCAAGACCCACGACACAGATGTAAGCGCGCACAAGCTCTGGCATCAATCAGTACCTACGATACCGTCTCAGTCCTTTTGCCCCCTTTGCAGATGCGACCGCATCACCTCCCTCCGTACGCACCTCACCATAGCCATCCAGCCCATCGCATCTTTTCATGATCCTTCTGTCCAGTCCTGACTCTGGACCTGGCTGACGACTGCCCTGTAGCTCCTCATCTCCCCGCCCCCATCTACCTGCCTGCCTGCGATTTTGCGACAATTGAATATTCGCAACTCTGTCTAAGCGCCTATCCTCCCGCAACATCCAAGCACGACAACGGCCGATAAGGAAAAGGCGCATACTGTACTGCACAATTACATTGGCAAGATACCGGTCTGCGACACTCAGGCCGTGCAGTGGTGTATTGTTGGAACGAACTTCTATCATCACCGTCTGTTCTATTGCGCCCGCACTAGACCCAGCCTCCTCATACACCTCTACCACCAACCAACTTTGAGACGTGAAGCAACCCGTTTGCACACTTGCCTTGCCCTACTATAAACTTGACTTGTCGACGTCTTTTCCAAGGCGTGTTGGTCCATCCATCCGAGTGGATAGGTATCCCCTCGTTTCGCATAGCCTCAAGGCTCAGCCACCGTGCCTGTGAGGCTGACAGCGGGTCTGCAGAAAACAACCTGACGGTGTTCTAAGAACAGCAACAAAGGACGACATGGATCAACAGCGTGGTAGATCACCGTCTGCAGGACATCAACAGTCTCATATAAACCATGGACACTCGCCTTCGCCGCAGCCGTTCCAAGAAAATACTAGTTCAGTTGGATTAGGACTCGCTTTAGATGCTTCCCCAGGAAACAACAATTCGCAATTCTTGCATGGCAATTTCTCAAACAACCGCCTTCCTTCATATGAGAGCGACGATTTTCTCGACCAGCAGAATCCTTCCTTTTCGCAAGGTGGTCTCAGAGACTCCACCTACAGCCCAAGCCAGGATTTCACCCCGCAGTTCAAGCAGGAAGACCCGTCATCCCACTACGGCCAACCGCCACAGAGGAGCTTTACACAAGAACTTCTCAGTGCCAATCTAACTTCTAACTTTAATGAAGGCGACTTTTCTCTGTTTCCAACACCCAGTGGACAAAGCGAGCAATTCGAACAGTCCTTTTTCATGAACGACCCTTCACAAATTGGAGGTAGCAACGTCAACCCCGCAGAACTGAATATGGCTTCACCTCCAAGCCATACACCGACGCCCCCAGGTCTTCTACAACCCGATTCCCGCTCTCCCTCATCGGCCCACCAATCTCCGTCATTCAACCAGGGCCAGTTTCAAGCTTCTCCAGGCCACTCGCGAAATGCTTCGTTGGGACCAGAGAGTGCTGCATTTCCCCAAGGACAAAATCAAGTTGAATGGGGCATGATGCCGCCACAGTTCACCACTCATCGCAGGAGTCCTTCCGAGTATTCTGACGTTTCTGCATCCTCCGCAAACCATTCGCCAAACCTTGGCCACCACGACACCTTCGATTCAATAGAACAGCACCACTCCCCAATGCAGAATCCCCAGGACGCAAGCTTGTACCAAGAAGTACTTGGTATCGGATCTTTCTCTTTGTCTGATAACCAAGCGCAACATGCAGCAAGTCCTGGAAGAGGTTTAAGCCCCGCTCATAGCCCCGCTATCTCGCCTCGACTTGGTCCTCAACAGCTACCGAACGTCAATCAGCAAAACTCGTTTATGCTTGGGATGAATAACGGCTTTGGCCCCCCACAAAACATGTATGGGGCGCAAGGCCAAGAATCTTTCCCCCAGATACAACAGCACGGCGCCGGATCTGTTGATATGGGCCAGGCTCAGCAGATGGTTCCTCCCGAGATCAATGTCGAGTTTGCGCCAACGTCCAGGCAAAATAGCTTTGAGCCCCCAAAGCCTTCTTTTGACCAAGATGCATTGACACCCCCTGACAGAGGTACGTTATCCCAATGTATACCAATTCACGTGCCATGATGACTAATGATCATAGGTCGTCGCCGTCGAGCTGTTTCAGACCCCTACAATAGTGCTTCAACTATGTCACGTCCTCATACTCCCTCGAGCATGTCGTCCGGAGTCGGTTCGGAACTCTTAGCTCGCGCCTCTGATGTTCACCGTTCGTTGTCACCTAACGACCGAACTGGGGCCAACTCTCCCAGTCGACGCCGCCAATCTACATCTTCTCTTCCAAACCGCGATTATATTCTGGGTCTTGCGGACCCTGAATACCAAGCAGCTACTGCTGATAGTGGAAATGCCAAACGGATTCAAAAGCACCCCGCAACCTTTCAGTGTACTCTTTGTCCTAAAAGATTTACTCGTGCCTACAATCTTCGGTCTCATTTACGAACCCATACTGATGAGCGTCCTTTTGTCTGTACTGTGTGCGGTAAAGCGTTCGCACGTCAACATGACCGGAAACGCCATGAAGGATTGCACTCGGGGGAGAAGAAGTTTGTCTGTAAAGGAGAGCTTAAGCAAGGAGGGCAATGGGGCTGTGGTCGTCGCTTTGCTCGCGCTGATGCGTTGGGCCGACATTTCCGCTCTGAGGCCGGCCGCATCTGCATCAAGCCACTTCTGGATGAGGAGGCGATCGAACGCCAACGCGTATGGCAAGAACAACGCATGCAACACAATATGCACTCGCAGCAGGTTCCGGAACAGAACTTCCCAATGGACGCGTCAGGAAATTACACCCTACCGGCTGCATTACTCGCCCAATATCCCGCGCTTGCAACTTTGAGCTGGGGTGAGATACCACAAGGGGATGTTGGAATAGATGATGAGGCAAGTTCTGGAGCCAGGTCTTCCTTTGACGCTTCGGGGTCTGAATACTACGATGAAGGTGATGAAGGTGGTGGATATGTCTCAAGCGGGCCGGGGCCACAACAGGGTTTCGGCCAGGGGCAGATGAACGTCGGTTACAACGGTTATTCGAGCGATATTGGAGCTCGCTAGTGGGATAGGCTAGCAGGACTTTGTCCATTTTCTTGTCACCTTTCTGCTTTGTTAAAGGCATCTATGGTTTTCTATATTCTGGGCGCAACTAGATACCACCTTTGCTTATTCACGGTCGCCAAGTCGAGCGGCATATGAACATGGGATTGATTTGTTCCGTAGTGGGTTTTGAAATAGATTGTATGAATTATAGCAATGTTATATCATTGCATGAACTAAATAACGCCTCACTCCCTTCACGAGCTGTAGTGGAAGCAACAGTCTCTACACGAAAGAATCCTATAGAAGAACCAAACATAGCACGATACGTTTCAATAGTGATAGCAGTGTTAATCGTTAAAACCTAACATTTGTTTGGTTACCTATATACAATGTGAACAGATGAGCTGGGTGGCTATTTGGATGGAAGCTGGTAAAACATCAACTGGTACCGTGGAAGTGGCTTTTGGACCACGTGATGATAGATGGACAACCAGGGTGGCTTAGTCATGCATAAGTATATCTCATCGTAGCATCCGTAGATCCTTACAAAATCCAGTCTTCACCTTGAATCGAAATAACCCTGCCTTCAGTACCTAGCCTAGGTACCTACTCCTACTCGCAGTGAGTGGTTTAAGCGATATGGCCCGTGAAGAGCGTTTTAGGCTTCGTTTGGTTGCGTTGCCCCCTCAATTTAGCGCGCTAAGATAAGGCTCGCTTGGGGATAACCATGGCGCTAAAAGAAAAAGTTCTTGAGCTCCTGCTTGAAAAGTTTGTGTAGGGCACTTCTCTTCTACCCAGCTTCTCATTTTTCAATCACAAGTCTTTTTGAACATTGTACAAAAACCTTGTACAAAATTACCCATTGATCTTCGATAATTCCTTTCCACCTCAACCAGTATACGAAACATTATCAAAATGTCTCTCGTTCCAGGTATTATCCCCGAGGCTGCACAATCATTGCCCCCAAATAGATTCTGACGCGAGAAACAGTTGCCCTATATGGGCTCGAGGTCCCTTGTGATGGTGTGCCAGTGCCAGCTTTGCCCGACTTTCCTGCTACTGTAAGTTCATTGGTTTCGGTGTTTCTTTTCTCCAGAGTGCTGCTGGGTCGAAATTGATCCATTCTCTTATTCTGCGCTTGGCGTGAGCTTAAGCTGATATGCCAATTCTTAGTTCCGTATCACCATGGCTGCCATCGATCCCAGTGAACCTGCAGAGATTGAGGAGACCCCTAACGGAACCACTCGTCCCCGAGCTACTCTGAAGATCATTCGCCAAACCGGGCCGTTCGAGGAGGACGATTCTGATGATGAGGACGATGAAGATGATGAGACTCTTCGGGCACTGTTAGCTGAGAGTGACTCTGAAGAGGAGAGCGACGAAGATGAAGAGGAGGCCAACGGTGGTCCTAGCGACCCAACCAAGTCCAAGAAGGGCCGCAAGCAAGCCGCTCTGCAACAGATCCTGGAGTCAATCAAGGCTAGCGGTGATTCTGACGAGGAAATGGAAGATGCCACACCCAATGGCACCAAGGCAGACAAGAAGGGTAAAGCCAAGGCTACTAATAACGAAGAAGAAGAAGAGGAGGAGGACTCGGAATCCAGCGACGATGAGGAAGGTAGCGACATCGAGGTCGAAGAATTCGTTCTGTGCACGCTTGACCCAGAGAAGGTATGTTGTATAACATTCCCTATGACTTGCTGATACTAATACTCCCAAGAACTACCAGCAACCTCTTGACATTACTATCGGGGAGAATGAGCGTGTCTTCTTCACCGTCACCGGCACCCATACAATGTACCTCACCGGTAACTATGTGATTTCTGATAATGATGGTGGACACAACCACCATCACGAAGTCTATGATTCTTCTGACGATGAAGACGACGAAGACTATGACTTGTCACCTGACGAGGATGAGCTCGAGCTTGAGCTGGATGATGACGAGAGCGATGACCTTGACGCACTGGAGAATCCTCGCATCACTGAAGTCGACTCTGACGAGGAGGAGGCACCAAAGCTTGTCGTCAAGGCTGAAAAGAAGGGCAAGGGCAAGAACAAGCGCTCTGCTGATCAGATTGATGAGGGCACTTCTCTTGACGATATCATGGCCAAGTCACTGAAATCCGAGGCTGTGGAAGAGCCCAAGCTCACCAAGAAGCAAAAGAAGCTGAAGAAAAACAACGGCGAAGCTGCTCCAGTGACTCCGGAGTCAAAGGGTACAGACGCAAAGGAACCTACATCGGCCAAGAGTGACAAGAGCGATAAGAAGGTCCAGTTTGCGAAAAACCTCGAGCAAGGCCCTACTGGGTCTGAAGCTCCCGTCAAAGGCAACAAGGCTACTTTAGGTCCCAAGACCGTCAACGGTGTTAAGATTGACGACAAGAAAATTGGCTCCGGCCCAATCGTCAAGAATGGAGACAAAGTTGGCATGCGCTACATCGGTAAACTTGTTGACGGCAAGGTTTTTGACTGTAAGTTTTCAGACACCTTCAGAGCCATCTTCCTATTGCTAACTTAAGTCTGCAGCAAACAAGAGCGGCAAGCCATTCGAGTTCAAGGTGGGCAAGAAAGAAGTTATTCAAGGCTGGGATATCGGCATTGTTGGTATGGCAGCCGGTGGAGAGCGCAGACTTACAATCCCCCCTAAGCTCGCATATGGCAGCAAGGCCATGCCCGGACTGCCTGCTAACAGCACTTTGATCTTCGATGTCAAGTTGATTAACATCAAGAAATAAGCGACATCATTGATAGCATTCACGGATAGTTTGGAGGTTTCATTGAATATCTGCGACGTCTAGCAGCAAAAGCGTTGGACCCATCTGTTGTACATTTCCTGCACACCCCTTCGGCTGGTTTGCTGCACACTGCTTTCATACTTTTATACGCTGCATATCACGTTGCTATGTCTTGCGAAGGTCCTCCAACCTACGCGATTCTGTGATAGATTGCCCATCATGAACGGGTAGCAGAAAAGCAAAATGAGAGATTCGTATCATTATAGGCGCATTGTCAAAACCGGACCCCCTGTTAATTTTGCTATTGAGAGTTGGTGTTAGTAAATAAAAAAAAGTTCTCTTGTTGTCCAGTATCGCTCTTGCCTTCCAAGACTCCAAATGTGCCGTTGGACGTAGCAACGAAGGTGCCTTAGAGCTCTGCTTCTCTTCGCTCGCCCTCTTTCCAGCATCAACCACATCATTTCAAATTTTCATACTGTATGTGACCATTCCAGCATTCATTACTTTGGTATTCGTAACGCTTCATTCAGCACAAACACTTCGTTGTCAGTGCCCACGATGAAACGAACCCGCAGTAAAACGGCAGAGCGCCCGAGAGACTTCTTCGAAGAGCTTGCATCGGGAGGCATCAGGTCTCGTTTCAATTGGAAGCATGACCTGGCTTCTCCAGATTCCACGGAACATGACTCCCACCCGACAAAGCTTCGTCGCCAGGGTTCGCCAGGCTCCAAACTGATGTCGGCCCTGCGTTCTTGGTCAAATAGTGGTACAGTAGCAACTTCACTTCCCTATAGTGCGAATCTCTAGGCTGACAAAAATACTGCCGACAGTTTCTAGTGCTTCCTTTGCTGAACCCGAAGATACTTCTTTTCCCGCCAGTCCGCCTGGTCTGCGGCGAAAACTTTCCCTGGCTCTATCCAAGGGCCAACTTGATCCAACAGTAGTCCACCGGTTACAATTCAAGAGTCGACCAAGCATTATTTCTCTCGATAGGGAAGTCGTCGAAATATTTCCCAAAGCACCTGAAGGGTCTCCGTCGACATCTGCGGGTAGTTCAAGTATGAATAGTGGAAAGTCATCTGTCCCTAGGCCTGGCGAATCGACGGGGAAGACGTCTCTGGATTCCAAGTTCTCTACAAAATCCAAGGGTGTATCTCAGCATTCCTCGGAGAACAAAAAGGCCGCGTCAAATCAGACTACGCCTGAGGGTGGTTCCAATGAGAACATCCTCACTCCGATCGCCGAGGTAGAGACTGTGGAGGCACCGGTGCCCATTCCAAGTAAGTCGCTCTGGGCTACAATACACGACCTACAGTCCACTAAACTGGTGCAAGCTATTATCACTGTCGAGAAAGCTGCCGCAGCTAAAGTTTTCTTCGAGTGTCACTACAATGACCTGACCTCAATTGCATTGACACCCCGCTCGCTACGCCGTCGACAGCTTGAGCAGATCCTATATGAAGATACAACGTCCACTCAAACTGAGAAAGATCGAAAACGTAAATTCTTGAGCAGAAAGGAGAGCGAACATCTTCGTGAGACACGGGTCATGAAAGGCCATAGATCAATCGCTTGGAAGGGAAATGATATTACTACGTCTAAATATGAGATTGTGAAGGTTCTAGGCAAGGGAAGTTTTGGAGTTGTGCGCCTTGTGAGAGAGAAATTTGAGCAAGAGTATATTCCACGGCTCCTCTACTGCGAAGACACTGACACTGTGCTTTAGAGGACCTGTCGACCCACAGAAAAAGCAAGAGGTATATGCTATGAAAGTCATCCGCAAGCCAGATATGCTCCGTAATAGCCAAGAGGGTCATCTCCGAGCAGAACGCGACTTCCTTGTTTCTGCCGAAGGCTCTCGTTGGTGTGTACTTGGAATTCCTGTGGATGACTTTCGTCTAACTTATCCAGGGTTGTATCATTGATAGCAAGTTTCCAAGACTTGAACAATCTATATCTCGTCATGGATTATATGCCTGGAGGCGATTTCCTTGGACTGCTGATCCGTGATAATATACTCTCGGAACCGGTAACAAAGTGGTACATCGCGGAGATGATCCTATGCATCGAAGAAGCTCACAGGCTTCGTTGGATTCATCGCGACATTAAGCCGGACAACTTTCTCATATCGGCCTCTGGTCATCTCAAGATCTCTGACTTTGGTCTTGCATTCGATGGCCATTGGTCTCATGATCAAGCATACTTCAACAATCAAAGATACTCATTGCTTACCAAGCTCGGAATAAACGTTGAAGGCGACACGATCGACAGGAAGGAAGGCCGCACTATTGCTGCTGCAATGAAGATTGCTAGCGTTCTCATAGGAGGCAAAGAGCGTCATGACAGACACTCCTCAAATAATTCTGACGGTGAAGGCATTCTTAATTGGCGTAATCGCAATGGTAACCGGACCTTGGCGCGGTCTGTCGTAGGAACCAGTCAGTACATGGCCCCGGAAGTGGTTAGGGGCGAACTATATGATGCTCGGTGTGACTGGTGGAGCGTTGCTGTCATCTTGTACGAGGTAAATGTTCCCATAAGAATGACTGTTGTGAATCAACTGACCAACTCTAGTGCCTTTATGGCCACACTCCATTTCTCGCCGAAGAAGGAGGCAGACAACAAACTAAGATGAATATTCTGGTAAGTTGTTGTCTTTCAGTCACAGCTCATGCTCACTTTAAACAGAACCACAAGACAACGTTTGAATTTCCTCACAAGCCATTGGTGAGCAAGAGATGTCAAGATCTGATTCGTAGCATCATCCAAGAAAAGGACACTCGTCTCTGTTGCAAACGCTACAAACTTAGGGACCAATTGCCGGCCTCCAGTCGTCAAAACAGAGACCATACCGGCCGCTATGTTCTTCCAGACGATGCGGACGACATCAAGGCCCATAAATGGTTCAGAGATATTCATTGGGACCGTTTGCACTTGACGGTGCCTCCATTTGTTCCAAATATCCGCTCGATGGACGATACCCATTATTTTGACGAAGAAGATCCAATATCTGATTTCTCAGAATCGGTTTCACTGCCTACACCAACCACAGAAGAAATTACAAATGCTCTGAAGCCATTCAACCGCGAGATTCAAGTTATTGCAAAGGGCTTTATTGATCGACCCCATGATTCAGCAAGATTGAGAAAAGTTGAGAGAGAAATTGACGAGTTTGTGTTGTGCGAGGAACAGAAGGATTACTTGAAAGCCTTTGTTAAGCATTACGGCAGAAAGGAAAGAAAGAGGCCACGAGATAGGCTGCTGCGAGATAAGGATACTGCGCCCAAAGTGTTGGAATTGAGGAAGCAAGGAGCCTTTCTGGGGTATACGTATCGCAGATTCAGACCCGTAAAGGGCAACGTTGACAGAAGCTCCCGGGTATCCACTATCGTGGGAAACACGCCGGGGAAGAGAACTGTCTGGCACCGGGCTAGATTGAGCATTCATTGATTAGAGGGGATGACTGGACGACGGAGAAATACGGTAGCTTGTGAGGGTGGCTTTTGGCACATTACTTTCATTTTGCCTTACGCTTGAGCTCTTTCTGGCTGCACCCGGTTATGGTTCTGGGATAGCTTTACTCAGAAGTGTATAACTCGGACGCTCTTCCTAGGTTCCTCTGGTGTTCATAAGGAATGGAGTAATTTACAACAGGATAACTTGACCCAGTTTCGCTTTGTCTCTTTGTCTTGAATGAGAGTATTGACATTGGCGTGCAAATAGCCAAGCAAGTGCATCAATTAGCAGTCCCCAGCTTCCTACGAACAGGTGATGGTAGTGATAGTCGTAATCATGCAATGTTGAAGTCGCCTGACCTCGTAGCTGTAGACAATGGATCGAGTCCTACAGTAGCAGGCTGCAGGAATGGTGTTGTTGATGGCATACGGACTCACTTGTTAGGTTGGGTTGGGTTGGGTTGGATGCTGGGAACGCGATCTCCAAATCAGGCAGAATGAAAAACGTCCATTATTTGTCCACGACATCAAAAAACGTACTACACTCCTACATTATTAATCATCCACTCTGTCCTCGGAGCGCATTCTAGGTACCCTGCACTATTCGAGTGAGCTATCTGTCAACTTTGCTTTCCAGACATAAAGCCTCGGCCCTGTTGTCTCCGGTGAGTTCCTACAGTAGACCCCGCCATGAGCCAACTCCCGTGCTAAATAACTTGCAGACTACTCATTTCATCGCAACGAACCTGACTCCCTATCCAGCCTACGCACGCAGCACCACACACGATCCCGCGATATATAACCAAGACAAGATGGCGGCGTTTATTACCGATCTCATGCAGTCTATTTTTACGCCCGGCCCAACCCCCACTCTCCTCGTCGCAACAAACATATCATTTGCATGCCTCCAAGTCGTACTCCTTATGCTCTTGATCGCAACCTACAGCATACATTTCATCATACTGTCCTTCTTGAGCGCCGGACTCTGGTGGGCTATCAACTGGTTCGCGGTGGAGCTCAGAGCTGCGGAAGAGGCGGAGGCTGAGAAGAAACGCCGGCTGGCAGAGACGGGGTTAGGATCAGATAGTGAGACTGAGGCGGAGACAGTGATTGAAACGGGGGATGTTGGAGTGGGGAGTAAAGAAGTAGAGGTTCTGGAGGCCAGGGGAGAGTTGAAAGACCGTGCAAGCTTGGGTGGAAGCAAGTCGGAACTCAGCACAGAGGACGAATGGGAGAGAGTTAGTGAGAACGAGAAGGATAAATGATTGCAGGTTGAGGGAGGGAAGAAGGCTATGGAATGCAGCGATTATTTATACCCCAGTTTTGCAGGCTCTAGATGGAAGAATTCCTTTCGATATTGCTATATATACGAGAAATGCGCATGGTGGAGCGATCAGTTTGTAGATTTCTAGAATATATTATGTTGGTAGGAATCTATTGAAATCCATTGAAAAGTGAGTTCAAGGGAGTATTATTGCCACCTAGATATATTGTGCGAAGCTAGCAGAGCTGTCTATGTACCTCACTATAGAGGTGTTTTTTGAAGAAGGTCACGTGGTATGCCTTTTTTATAGCTTCAATGAATTTCGCGACCTTAAGCCTCAATTTGTGTGCCACTTAACGACCTCGAACAACCCCGCATTCACAACCTACTCAACCCAACGCCAGCCGCAAGAGTGTACATATTGTCACTATGAAGCTCGTTAGGTAAGATACCCTTCCCGAATTAGCTTGCCTGTGGCACAAGCTGAGCTCTCTCTCAAGGCTCCCCCGCGAAGCTCCTGACTGACCCTTTTGCCCATGGTAGGTTCTTGATGAAATGCGCGAACGAGACAGTGACAATTGAACTCAAGAATGGTATGTTTCTCCCTATTTAAACTTATTTCCATAAGCTAATCAGGGTAAAGGAACCATCATTCACGGGACCATCACATCAGTCTCCCCGCAAATGAATACAGCTTTACGCACAGTCAAGATGACACAGCGCGGTCGTGACCCGATTTCGCTGGATACCATCAATCTTCGAGGTTCGACTATCAGATACTACATTCTCCCTGATTCGCTTCCGTTGGATACGCTCTTGATCGACGATGCGCCAAAGCCAAAGAACAAGGCCAGGAAGGAGGTTGCAGACAGAGGTGGAGTGAGAGGTGGCAGGGGACGTGGCGGACCCAGAGGACGAGGAGGATTCAGAGGTGGTGGAGGTGGAGGTGGTGGAGGCGGCCGTGGACGTGGTGGTGGAAGAGGCTTCTAACGAGGTCTTCATACAATTTGGAGGTCTGAAACGATTGGGTACTTGATCCATCTCGACTAGCAAAGAACTGGAGCATCGAAAGAGCTTCATATGCACGGCTTGCGGGTTGACTTGGCGTTTGTGGGGATAAAAACAGGTAGTCGAAATGTCAGGAAAGCGATTATGCACATGAGAGTTTCTCTAGCCATTTATTGTATTGCAGAGCCAGGTGATAAACGCCATATCCTAACGATTTGCAGCTTCTCCCAACCTCCCTTCTTTCCACTGTTTCTAACTGTCTCTGCTGTCCATCCATCTCCCCAGTTCCTGATCTGATCCTTGACCAATTCCGGTTTATTTTGCGCGCAGAGGAGGATATACGCACAGCCCTTCTCACCCAAGATCTGCGGCAAGGAGTCCAACAATCGATTAGTGACCTCCATTCCATCTTCTCCTCCGGCATAAGATAGAGAGAGCAAATGAGAATCCGCCTCGAACGAATCGCGAGTCTCCTTGGGCATTACAGTAGGCAAGTCTGGAGTTGGAACATAAGGAGGATTGAAGACCAGAACATCCACTTCTCGTACCCTCAAAGCAGTTGCGAGATCCCCAACCATATTTCCCAAGTAGAAACCATGTGATTTCGATTCCGTGGCCTGCTCCTCCTCTGCCACTCTGACTGTTTCAATCGTAGCCTTGCAGGCATGTATGTTCACATCGACTCCGGCCGTGAAAACATCTGATCTCCCAAAGATGGTTTCCGCATGGGCATCGATGAATGAAAGAACAACCCCTGATCCCGTGCCTATTTCAACAACTAGCGGCGATGGTGAGCTCTGAATTGATGCATTATTAAAGCGGTGTTGTAGGAAAGCCTTCTCGCTCTCAGAGGAAAGAGTATCTAGGAGCAAGTAGGAGTCCTCAGCTGGCTCATATACTCGCTCAAACTCCACATGAGAGGTCGATGGCGTAGGAAGCATGGCCTACTTTGTTTTGGGCATGAAGTTGGGATTCTTTTGACTAGGTGGTAGGTAGGCTAGGTTTGCTAATCGATGCAAGGCTGAACTTTTTCCTCGGCTGCTACTCCGAGGTTTGTCAACATCATAATTGAAATCCGACACGACAAGCCTGCTTTTACTCTTCCCAAAACCCCGACAATACAACAACAATATGAGGATAAACCCACGACTACTAATGGCGACGATTACATCTGCCGGAATGAAGAAAGGCTTCAGACCAGCTCCAATGGCTCTTTTACCACCGATACCGTTATATAGGAGACTGCTCCGATCACACAGGAAGCATCTACCACGAGAAATGCGTTTGCTAGGAGACGAGTACATAAAGAGTGAATTTAGAGCCCATCGAGACGTTGAAAATCCCGTACATATCGTACGCCCTTCTTTTCCCAGCTTCTAATTGACATCTGACTGACTGTTCTTGCAGATCGGATTCTTGACCGAATGGCAACTCTATGCACAGAAACTGGAGGGTGATTCGTGGATTGGAGAGCGTATGGATGCTGGGAAGATCGAGAAGATGAGCGGTGCGCATTTCAATAGAGGGATATTGGTGAACTGACTGACTGATCGATTTGAATATATAGATGAGCAGATTGGGCAATTCTACGAGCTCATGCAGGCCGTCAAAAAGTCATCAGGCGAGAATGACACCGAGCAATAACAGCATGCACCAAAAGAATATAGGAGTTTGTTTCACCTCGGGGCGTGGAAATAAGGTGATGTTGCTCGGAGCTGATACTTTTAATTCACCTTGCGCCGAGTCTCTGCAACTATCCAGTGCTACAATTAGAGGGATACCTTCAATGAAACATCAGATATTGGGAATCTGATACTTCAGCGCCATACCCATGAGCTACTAGCAGTCATTCAGTTCAAGGAGCTTGTATAAAGTTTGGAGGCTTGTGAAGGCAAAAGTGGTAGATGAATATCAGTGATTCATCGGCTTTGGTGACTCAAGACATGTTGATTATTCACATTATATGCAAGATCAGTATTTTGCGGAATTCCTAGCTTCGATTCCTCCAGAACATCACTAGGAAACAAGACCGCACAACTTATCATCACTTACATACCGATATTCCCCCACTACTTCAATACTCACACACGCGTCATCAACTACCCACAAAATTATTCGAGGTATACATACGAGAATGTGCCGCACTGTTCTCTACAAAAGTCAGGACAAGAAGGAGGGATGTAATCACAGATGGCTTGTAATCGATCAGCCTTGCGGCCCAGGGCGAGGTTTCAGCAATTGTGCCATCTTCAAAGACCGCCAAGACACATTGGCTCCGGCTCCCAGAGGATACTGGGCTTCCAAAGATAAATGCCCATGGCATGGGCTGAAGGGCAACTACGACTTCAACCGCATACGCGTAATTGAGAAGATCGACTATCACATGTTTGGCGCACTGGGCGCACCAAAGTTTTGCATCGTGCAATGATGGATACTGGAGCTCGGTGTATTTCTATGCACTAAAGGGGTCTGCGGTGACGTTTATTCTGCATCTAAAGGTGCCACAGGTGGTTGATCATTGACCTGAATTCCCCCTCTCTTCTTCTCGGTAGAATCATGGAAAGGCAGCTTCCACCCGCCCTCACTCTCTGGCGTTGCAAGCCACAATCTCATCAAATGTCTTCTGGGAGTTGGTGGAGCATGGTCCTTGTACTCGGTTCTGGCATGCAGAACGTGCTCGTTGCTTAGGAATTGAATATCTCCAACCTCAAGAATCATGTGCAATCTCAAGCGGTGACATGTGTCTTCCAACACCTTGGCTGCCTCGACTTGCTCGGGCGACAAGGGTGGGATAATACCCTTGTTCATAAATCGGTCAAGCGACTTTACATAGTATGGATCCCACTTAGAGTAGACTCTTCCGTTGGGGCCCTTCTCAAGGTAGAAGACAGAAGTTTTGATGAATTCTTCCTCTCCAACGCTAGTCTCTCCTTTGCGGTCAAAATACCAAATTGGTTTTGTCAAGGTTTCCGCGACGTCTGGGCGCTCTTTTTGGAGCGTGTTCCACACATGGTGCGAGGAAACAATATCAGATTCTCCTCCCTCGAGAGCTCGGGCAATGCATAGCAAGCCTACAAGGTCCGAGTCATCCGCATGGAAGAATTGGCTTCACACTGGTTAGTGGATTGAAAAGCCATAACAAACTTGAGTTTCCTTACCGAGCATTGGTACGGTAGATTCGTACTCTGTCAATCTGGGTTGGGTCGTCTCCAAGGTCCTTTACGTGGCCGAGAACGTGGCCGCGGCCGTTTTGAGATACGAAGTATCCAAGGTAAGTTCCCAATCCCATGTATGCCACAGCAGATTTGTGGTTGCCCCATTTTTCCACTGGGAAGCCTTTGAATAGGATGAAACCCTTCCCATTGAGAATCTCGGCGCGAATCGATGCCAACAATACCGACAGCTTGGGCAAAGGGAAGTTATCCTATAGGAAGGTGAGCTGGAGTGTGTTTGCAAATTGGACTGCCACTGACTTTGGAAATGCCAGTCAAAGGGGTCTTATCAGTGAGGAACTTGTCGGCGGCGGCACTCAACTCAGCAACTTCCTCGCTGTTGAAGACATGAACCCATTGTTCCGGGTTGTTGGTATAGTCATCCGCTTTCCAGACGGTTGCTCCCTTGATCTCCTTGGGGAAGTCGGAGTAGTTTTTGATCAACTCAGGCAAAGGGGGATGCTGCCCACTTGTCTTGATACCGTCGGGGAATATTTTCCTATCCACAGGCTTCTGGGAGGGACTTGTAAGAGAGTGGGGTGCCTGTGGCCGGGTCTCAAGCAGAGATGGTGCCATGGTAAATAGATTGATTGAGTGACAAATTTATGAGATGCAATGTACTACAGTATTGTACAAGAATTGGAGAGGGGGCCAAGTGGAATGGAAAGGGGAAAGAAAGACGAGAGGAAAACGGGTGTGAAGAAATAACAATACTTGAATAGAATAGCTAGGTAGTTGTAGCTTTGTTTTGCTCCCAAAGGTAGAAGTTTCATCATGCCCAGCGATGGCAACGTTGTAGACCACAATGAGGTGATCAAGAGCCAATAGCAAGCCCATGATAAGGATATCTTACGGTAAGGTACGCATAATGCGGGGCGACGGGACTATCCAGTGGGGCAGAATACCTCAATTAGCTAACACGGCAAGTAATAGTACCGTATGGCCTTGTATAATGATATAGTAATAAGGTTAGTCAATTCAGTTATAGGTTTAGTAAGCCTCATACGTAGTAATAATAAATACCTAGGTACTAGGATTGAAGTAGTTTCATCCAGCATCTCTTTGACAAACAAGTACCTAGGTACCTTAGCCTAGGTAGGTACGTACCTTTTTGTGTGTGTGCAATGTTCTATCCTGGCCGCCGGACTTATCGTCTTATCGGTCTAGTGTTCAGCAAAAAAATATTATTCGCGATCGCGCCCGCCCGCACCATGGAAAAGTTTAGGTCCATAACCTTTACATCCAAATCACCAACGCAAGAAACCATGGAAACCCGATTAAACATTGCTATATGTACTTTGCTATAACCTCTGCATAGTCCTTTTTCTCCACCATAGCAGGTCTCGATACCACCCACAACCGCAACGATGCCTGAGAAAGTCTACAAAAAGTTCGAGGACGATGACCCCAAGCCTTCAGTAGCCTCCAGCGAGATCAATGGGACGAGTAGCGGTACGAATTTGGAGAAGAAGAAAAAAAAGAGCAGCGGACACACTGCTGCTACCAACACCGTGAATGAGAGAAAGCGTTTCCCCGATGGCACCCCAAAATCCCAATCTCCTGTCAAATCAAATACGGCCCAGACCTCCGAAGCAGACACCATCGACAAACAGAAAACGAAAAGGCCCAAAACTAGTTCGTTTGCTAATGATGATACCAAGAGCAAGAGTGCAAAGCCACATGGTGTCAATGGCACAGTTCCAGAGAAAGGGCAACGTCAAGACAATGTATCGAGAACTGGACAGGGTGTGCAGAAGACGCAGCAGAATGGTGTTAGCAAACCTCAGTACAATAGGAATTCTCCTCATATTCAAGAACTTCTGAGGATTGCCAAAGCTCTCGAAGAAACACGCATGACTCTGCCTATCTGGTCTCAGAAGGCCAACATCCGATGGTCTCTGCGGCTACACGACGTGATGCTTCTCAACGGAGAGACAGGATCCGGCAAAAGTACTCAGGTTCCTCAATTCCTTTACACAGAGCCTTGGTGCCAGAGGCAAAAGGTCACGGTCGAGGAAAATGGAAGAAAACAAGAAATAAACGTTGGGGGCATGATTGCAATCACACAGCCTCGTCGAATTGCTGCCATGACGCTCGCTCAGCGTGTGGCTCGAGAACTGGGTTCACCCCTCAAGCAAGGCCAAGATCCAAAACTTGAAGGTAAAGTGGGGTTCTCCGTGCGATTCGACACTTTCGTGCCCAAAGGCACCCGAATAAAGTTTGTTACAGAGGGAACGCTTTTACAAGAGATGCTTCACGACCCATACCTTACCAAGTACAGTGCCGTTATTGTGGACGAAATTCACGAGAGAAGCGTGGATGTAGATCTCATTGCTGGCTTTCTCCGTCAGATAGTACATGGCGATAAGAAAGGTCGTGGTGGGGTCCCACTGAAAGTTGTTCTCATGAGTGCAACGATGGATCTAGGAGGATATGAAGCATTCTTCGCAAAGCCAGAATGGGATCCAACATATGTACCAGGTCAGAACTATGGCAAGGTTCTCGCACCTCATATCCCGGAAAACGAGAAATTACTGGACGAGCTGAAGAAACACGAAGAAGCCCCAAAGACCAAGCTGAAGAAGAAACCTGTCAAGAATGGTGCCATGAAGGATGGAAAGGCGAACGGGACCAGAGACGCCCAAAATAACGTGAATGGTGGCTATAAGAAGGCTGCAGGAAAGAATGGAGAAGAGCCTAGGTCGCGGCGGTCATCGACGGATACGACATGCTCATCTTGGAGTGGAATTAGTGACCCTATCGAGATGATTGAAGAAGCGAAGATCAAGACTATTCCCGGCATCCCAGAAGGCGATATCGAACCAAGTGGAGTGGGCAATGAATATGTCCGTGGTCGACAATACTCAGTTGATATCATATATGAGCGCGAAAAACCTTTGGACGTCTTAGAACGTATGCGTCAAGTCATTATTGACATAAATTCACAGGAAGCTCTTCCTGGAGACATCCTTGCCTTTGTTACAGGTCAGGACGATATCGAAACGCTTCAACGCCAACTCAACCAGGAGGTTGCTAAATCCGAGAAGAAGAAGGAGAAGGTTCCACGCATGAAAGTAATGCCACTTTACGGATCACTGTCAGCGGAAGCTCAACAAGCGGCCTTTGAACCAGTCAGAGAAAGATTCACGCGAAAAGTAGTCCTGGCCACAAATATTGCAGAAACGTCCGTCACGGTCTCTGGCGTACGATATGTCGTGGATGGTGGTATGGTGAAAGTTAAGCGATACCGCGCAGCCTTAGGGATGGACTCACTCTTGCCAACAGCTATCTCCAAAGTATCTGCCGTTCAAAGACTTGGCCGTGCTGCTCGTGAAGCCAAAGGGCGTTGTTGGAGAATCTACACGAAGGAGCAGTATGAAAGTTTCAATGAGGATGACATACCAGAAATACTGCGAAGCTCTGCGCTTGAGGCAGTACTAAAGATGAAAGCTCGCGGCGTGAGAAATCCCCTCACATTCCCCCTGATGGACATTCCAGACACCGAAAATCTCAAGAAAGCCCTCGGACAACTCGTCGGAATGGGCGCGTTGGAGCAAACTCAAGAACTCACTGAGATCGGAAGGAAAATGGCCAGGTTTCCCCTTCCGGCTCAATATGGACGAGTTGTGATCGCGGCTGCGGAACCAGAAGCAAATTGTCTCTTGGAGGTTATCGACATAATTTCACTACTTACCACCGAGTCTGAAATATTCGCAAATCCCAAATCAGAAGAAGACAACGAAGCGTTCGAATCCAGCCGCAACGACATCACCCGGCGTGAAGGCGATCTTATAACCCTTCTTACCACAATGCAGCGCTATATCTCCGAGAACACTGACCGCAATGTATGGTGCGAGAAGCACCATGTCAACGCCCGGGCCATGCGGATGGCGGTAAACATCCGCAAACAGCTGCACACGCTTTGTTTTGACCAGAAGCTTTTGACTGAGCGTCCTTCCAACATGCCGCAGCTATTTGAACCGACGTCCCCCGAGAAGGCCGAGACAATTCTCAAGACCTTTTTGGGCGCTTTCGGTACTAGAACTGCAACTCTACGACCCGATGGTACATATATGACTTTGCAACCGAAGAACAAAATAGTGATACATCCATCAAGTGTATTGTATGGGAGGAAGGTTGAGGCCATAATGTTCCTGGAACATGTCTTTACGAAGAAGAATTACGCAAAGAAAGTTAGCGCAATACAGGCGCAGTGGATTGTAGAAGCGATGCAGTTTGAGCGTTTCAAAAGCGGGTAGATGGGACTGGGCATTTGAACTGGAGATCTGGAGTTAGGTGTTTGAAATACCCCAATTTGCGATAATAAAAGTAAGAAGTGGTGATATAGACCTCGTTTCTTAAAGCATGTGTGAACTAGACCACCAGAACTGTACAGCGATACGTCTGAATTCGACCAGGCTCCGAGGTCTCTCAATCAGATTCGAATCTGACTCTGTCGTGTAATTACAATGCGTGGAATTTAAGGGCTAGATTACAGAAAAGGTCGTTACAAGTATTCATCGCGTCCGTGTATACTTCTAGTCTGCCACCTCTACGACCTTCCCTACAAAGCCATCTAACCCAGCAACTCCTTTCTCTCCCCTCTCTGTCCCATGATAGAGACCATGACCACCTCCAGGCATGACCAGAATTTGCGATCCTAGCTCAATCCACTCCCGATTAGTCAACAATTCAAACGTCAAGTCAATCACACCATCAGAACCAAAAATGGGAGCTGCAGGCAGTTCTACTCCCTCTCCAGCATCTTCATCTAGACCAAAGACTGCCTCTTCCACCTCTTCCAACTTTTCTTCTTCCGCTAAACAAGCTATAGAGGCATTTTCTTCATGAGGGAAGACGCGTAAGACTTTTGCAGAGGCACGGACACTAGCATTATATACAACCACCAAGCTCCCCGGTGTAATAGAGTTAACATCGCTGTCTTCAAAAGATGCAGTGAATCCAGTCGCAGCCTGCAGCGTATGCCCGGTCTCCAGCATATGGCGACTTGGAATCGCTGCGACCATGCCCTTTCGCACTTGGGGCACAGCTCGTGCTGGACGCTCAAAAGGACCGTTCGATCGTTCTTCCTCTAGGAGATTAAAGATGATTCCAAGGGTGCCCACCTGGCCAGCCTCGAGTGTATGTACTGGTAAACGAAGATTACGCATGCTTACAATTTGAGCATTGTGCCATTCTCCCTTTGTTACCGATGCTGAAGTAGCATTGCGAGAGGTAATCCGGACAAATTCAGCACTGGATGCACGAGGCAATGACATCCCAAGGCTGGCTGGCGAGGATTTTGCTGCGGATCGGCTGAGAGATGAATAATCATCTTCTGCTTCTGCTGGAAACGGGCCCACAACGATGGTATCGCCAACCGAAAATTCTCCAAATCTCGAATATCCAGCTACCACAACCCCAGTATCATTTGAGGTGAGGCCCTTAGAGGCGAGTAATTCGTACGACGCTGGGACTCCGAAAACGTCTTCAATATGGAATAAGCAAGCTGGTTGCTCTGGATTTAAAACGGGTCCAATAAAATCACGAGAGGTTGGAGTAGGTGGGACCGGCAGTCCCCGCAATAAAGCATGCATGGACCGAATACCAGTCCCTTTGGCTGCACTAGTCATAAGTATAGGTACAACAGACGTAAGGCTACCGGCGACAGTCATCTTGTCGACTATATCTTGAACTGCGGTATCATCCCTCTCTATAATCGTACCTAAATCCGACTCCAGAATAGTTTTTGAATGATCCGGCGGGAAAATTGAAGGCGTCCGATTTGCATCTTTTATGCCAGAGAGAATTTTGGATACAGTTTGACGCAGACCGTTTTTCGAGGCCAGGTCACTCTTGGTGATAATGATCGCCAAGGGTTTATCGAGTTTTAGACAAAGCGCGAGGTGTGCTTTCGCGAGGTCAACGCCGGACCCAACTGTTCCAAGTATATCTTGAGCAGATGATGTGCCACCAGCGCCACTTGGAGCATTGTCACCGTCATCAGCGGCGATACAAAGGATATTCCAATGCGGGGCCCATCCAACAAGCCCTCGAACCGTGGTTCGACGATATTTGGGATGACCCGCAGCATCGGAAACGAAGACCAGACGGCCACTTTCAGCCGAAGCGTGAATATCCGTCCAGGAGCTGATATTTCCAGATGCATAGTTTTTGACTTCCGCGCCTTTATAACCAAGTAGTTCTTGTGCTACGGAACTCGTTACTCCGGATGCTATCTCATGTCGATGTTTTAGAAGACTAAGTCTACTCTTGCCTCTGCCGTTGTCGAATGTTGCAGTCAATAAGGTTCCCAACAGGGTGGATTTTCCGGAAGTTGTAGGGCCAGTCAAAGTCACCCGTAATTGCTCAGTGGCCCGAGCCCTCCTTTGGAATGGTTTGGAAAAATCGATAAGCTGGGCTGCAGTTTGAATTTCAGTCTCGGCGCGTGGCAGGAGTGGCGGAACGATTGCTCTATAAGCTTCTCTGGAGCTCAAGTCGGGGGTTACAAGCGCCTCTGCAACCCAAAGCTGTGCCTGGTGACGGAGTGCCTTTGCTACATCGTTGGAGGCTGTGGGGACTGCGACTTTCCGCTGGTCTCCCTCCGAAGGGAGTCCGTGAGAGGCTTCTGTACCAGCTAACGACTCCTGCCACTCGCATTCTCCTACCACTATCATACGTACGATTTCAAGGGTACACCCTAGACTGGCTGCCATTGCTCTGAGATTGGTCAAACTCTCATCCATCTCATCCTTGGTCAGGCCAACCAACGACCCATCGTCGGACACACCGATTTCATAGAGAGCTCCCCGGCTTTCTTCAAGCCCAGCAAGGAGTTTTGCGGGTCTAGATGGTGTTTGCAAGCCTGACGCAGCTTCGGGCAGTTTTGGGAGGACAAGATCACTAGTAGATGAGGCATGATAAGGAGAAGACTGTTGCAGTCGCCACAGCAGTTGTGTGGTCAATTGCTCCAAACGGGTTTGCCTAGACTGATTCGAGGGTGCTGGGATTGGAGTCGAAGTATTGGGGGGAGTTTGGCGAGGGCGCTGTTGCTTACTTTGCCCAGATCGATTAACTGGCTCGCCGGTAGTTGACGAGCTGTAGGTCCTTCTGGGCCTGAGCAATAAGTGTAATTTATACTCCGTGGGGCCATCTTGAGGCTCTGCATCCAGTCGTGTAACCCCATAGTCCGAAAGCTCGCCCGAAGGTGGAAGCAGGGTCGATTTCGCGCTTCGATTGTTAGGTTGCGGTGTTGATGGTTTCGGGGAGTCTGTAGGTGTTGCCCACGGAGAGGAAACGGTGGGCACATCGGGGTCGTATGTAAATATGGATGCCATGATGATTACAAGTAGTATAGCGTCTTCCTGTTGCCGCAAATGCAATACTGGAGACTTCCTTTTGAGTCAAAGAGTAAAGCTCTGTATAGAAAACAAATAAAGCCTCAAGCTGTTTTTGGTAATTGCCGCCGCCGTATCGTACAGAATATTGGTTCCAGGCAATGTATGGAGCGAGTGTTTGTATGGGCGTGATGTATCCGGAAAAGCTGGGACATTGGGGGAATCATCTTGATGACTGACTGGATTGAAGGCTTTGGAGCGATTTGACGAGTAGGTGGTAGAGGGGACGGTCAAATTCTAGAGGCGTGTCATTGTGACATGCTGTGTATGTATTGTTGTATGGTGTGTGTGAGTACGTTATGTCTGGATATGGAGATTGAAGTAGTGGGGATATCTGGATGTTATATTAGGTATATTATATAGTATCGTGTTGTATGGCAGATGGAGTCATTCGGGGAAGTGGAGAGGAGTGGAGTGGAGTGGAGTGGGACGGAAGCGCTTGGCGCTTAGTTCTATGCATGTCAATCTAATTCTGGACAAGGCCGGCGGGGCTGAGTCTCTGAAACTCAACCTGAATCTCTGCTGCCTCGAGCACAATATAATACTCCCTCCCCCTCTCCCATTCTCTCTTCCTCGCCCTGAAGCCTTTTCCCACCTCTCAAAATACATTACAAAGACGAATAACCCTCCATCTCATCATTCAACACAACACCCTACACCCTACTGTCACAATGGGCAAGTTCGGATTCAGCAAGAAAGGGGACGGAGAGGACGATGCTAGCCGTTCTGCTCTGTTTGGAAGTCGCTCTTCCAAGAATGCCTCCCCAGCTGCCTCGAATCCCTACGCACAGACAGCCGCAGCTGATCCATACGCACAAGATACCAACAAATATGCAAACATGGGCCCTCCATCTGGTTCCCCGTACCAGCAAGCCAGATCACAATACGGTCTCCCTAGCGGACCTCCTGGGGGTCGAGGTCGAGGCTTGCCTGGAGGTCCTGGTGCAAACAGAGGAGGACCACCTCCTGGGCCACCCCCTGCAGTTAACCGTGGACCACCGAGTGGAGGTGGCTATGGAGCTGAAAAATATGGAAGCGGTGGAGGTTACGGCACGAATAGATATGATAATGCACCTAGTTATGGTGCCCCCGCCGCAGACACAGGCTCTAAATACGGTCCTGGTGGGTATGGAGGACTAGGACGAACAAACAGCAATGAGACGACCACAACGGAAGACAATCGCAACGCCTTATTCGGCGGAGCCAAAGACAGATATGCACAAAAAGCTGCCGCGCCTCCTGCCAACGGTCAACCAGGTACTGGTTATGGAGCCGAGTCAGGAGCGTCAGGTGCCGAGGGAGGGTATGGTGCCTATGGTGAAGAGAGACAGTTGACAGCCGAGGAAGAAGAGGAAGAAGATGTTCAAGCAACCAAGCAGCAGATCCGTTTCATGAAGCAGGAGGATGTTTCATCAACCAGGAATGCCCTTCGAATTGCAGCCCAAGCCGAGGAAACTGGCAGAGGCACATTGGCAAGACTTGGCGCACAGGGCGAGCGAATTCACAACACAGAAAAGAATTTGGATATCGCCGCAAACCATAACCGCATCGCTTCGGAGAAGGCTAGAGAACTAAAGACTTTGAACGGGAGCATGTTTGCTGTGCATGTTTCCAACCCCTTTACAGCATCCTCGAGGAGGGAAAAACGAGATCAAGAGATTCTCGAGAAGCATCGCACGGAACGTGAACAACGCGACACTACACGTCAAGCTGCATTTGGAAGTCAGCAGCGAATGGAACGCAATTTCAAAGACCTCCAGCCTGGAGACCAAGGCTATCGACCACAGCAGACTAAACAAAGCCTTGCGGACCGGTCCAAGTTTCAATTCGAGCCAGATTCCGAGGATGAAGAGATGGAAAACGAGATTGACAGCAACATCGATGCATTGGGTCATGCTGCTGGCCGATTGAACCTTTTGGCGAGAGCTACAGGCAAGGAAGTAGAAGCTCAGAATGAGGTTATCGACCGGGTTATTGTAAAGGTCAGTTGCCCTTTATCCCTTATACCATCTCATATACTAACGTACTTGGCAGAGCGACCGGGTGGACGACCAGATTGCGATGAATCGGGCTAAACTGGATCGGATCCATTGAGTTTTTGGCAATGTTGCTTTTGATAATTACGCTAGAATATAGGAGTTTCCATTGATAAGCGTTGCATTTTGCGTCTTTGGGCAGATTCCGCCATTTGAAAGCGTCTCACGCGTGTAGTGAAAATCAAGAGCTTCTCTGAATGTCTCATAGACAGGACAATTCTAATTTTAATAAGATACCACTGTGAATTACTTGAGTTGCCATTCAGCTCCATACGGCAGAAACCAGTCAAGAAATTTCAAACGCTCCTTAGTAAATCGTAAATACCTTAGGTACTGTAAGTAGGCGAACTGAATATAAAGTTCTCGAATTGTCTTGCACCCAACTTATTTACTTATTCAACCAACCTTTGCTATTCCTTCCACCCCTGTCATGCCCAGATCCATACCAACATGATTGGTTGAGAGGCTAGCATCGCCAGTCCCATGCCATGTTAGTATGTATGATACCTCACTAGACTGCGATAACATTAGAGGTACTGTACCGATATCAACAACAACAACAACATTCAAGTATCATCGCTCACGATGTTTGCCTGGCTCACGGTGGGGAGGGCAAAAGAGCCTCGCCGCTCATCCTCGTACTTGGATCGGGATCAAAGAGACGAGGGAGAGAGCCAAAGACTGTTACCGGGTGACGTAGATGTCGAGGCAGAGGAGTTGGATCATCATGATGGCTGCTTTCCGCCCCACGCCCCTGATCAAACCAGCCCCTATGCAGATTTGCCTGTGTACACGACTATTCATCGGTACGATATTTATGTTTGCAGTTGGGCGTCAATTCATCTATCTGACTCGGCCATTGGTGTAGGATAAGGAGAGATGTCATCGCCGCAATAGGTTGGTCATGCCTTCCACCTACTGTAGGATTTACGCTTGTGTTCTGACCTCTGAACAGACGATCCATATAGCATTGAGCAGTTGCGCGATCCGCGGATGAATCTCTCCGTGGTGAGGTATGCAATCCTCTCCTTCTTAGTGTCTGTAAACGACTCGAGCGTCCCGAGACAACTTCCGAGTTCCAACGTCGTCCTACTCAGCCAAGACTAACCCTCGAACTTACAGGCCTCTTGTTGATAAACTCTACGATCTGACTGATATTTCTATGGGTATACGCTGTGCTTGTTTCTTTACTTCCGCTTTCCCTTCTCCTTGGTGCGTCAAAAAAGGACCTGGTCCTGGAAAACGGGCCTCTGCAAAGCTCTAATAGCTCTCTTAATTCTTGACGTTCGGACAAAGTACTTCATAACCACAGTCTCATGCTGTAAAGTCTTCGCAAGAGGACGATTACCACACCAGGTCGTATTACAGAACCCCGCGAATGCTGCAAGACAGTCTGAAACAAGCAAACCTTTTAATTAGTAGTATACTAGCAGAAGATTCATTGGGTGGTTCCTCCCTAAGGTGTTGTTGGTAGATAAGTAGTCTCCTCCGAATAAAACCCAATCCGTTCTTCTACGCCCCTAAATATACATCTTCACATATATTTCCCAACAATCTTATTTGCCCCGCAACTTCACGCAATCAGCCAACTAACTTACACATCACAGTCTATTGCTTGCTCGTAAATCGTGTACAGTTCCAAAGGGAGCAAGCAAGCCAGGCCCATCATCAAAGCGTTCGCGCCACTCGTGCTCTCCTCTGCGAGCTACTTGCAAACCGCATTTTAAGGCGCTTTCTTGAAGACAATCCCGGCGCCCAGGGCCTACTTCTACTCGCACAGATCCTTGTTGGAGGCTTTGATCCATTCCAAAATGCGCCGCCAGAAGTTATGGAGCATCTCGATCATCTGTCATGGACAGTGCAGGGTCGAACTGGATACCGGAGAAAACTACCAGCCTTGGAGATTGCCATAATATCGGAAAGCAAACTCTTCCTTAGCTCTTCGGCGTGTCAAAAGGTGGTAAATGCTATTTACGAGGGACGAGTTATCTATACTCCTGTATGCAACTTTTCCGACCATTTTGTTACCCCTTCTAGACATATTCAGATTTCTTCGTGCCTTGGAGATACCAAGATGTTGAATATATTACCTTACCACAACCCTTCTTGATCAAGCAATACTAACTCCATTCCCCAGACTTCATTCATAGACATACTACCAGATCATTACAAACATAAGCCAGTATCTCTCTATAATCCACGCGGGGCACCACTTTTCAATCAATATCGACTCATTGTCCCGCGAACGAGGAAATTTATTGAAGTCGGCGAGTTCATATTGCTCTTGGTCTTGTTTCTCTTCGTCATGGCAGACCGCGACCCATCGCATTTCAGCTCACTCGAGCTTGTATTCCAGGTGTATACAATTGGCTTCTTGCTGGATATGTTTGCTACGATACTGGAGCATGGTGAGTAATAGAAATGCTAAACTTCACCATATGTTTTAACGTCCTCATAGGTTGGCATGTCTATACCCAGAATCTTTGGTCGTTCCTCGACGTTACCTTTGCTGGAATCTTCGCCATATACCTATGTCTACGCGTCCATGGCTGGAGGGTTGATGATCCCAAATATGGCCAGCAAGCAATGGATGTATTAGCCATGGGAGCACCAGTTTTGGTCCCTCGGTTAGCCTTCAACCTCATGTCCGAGAATATGCTCTTCGTCTCACTGCGAGCGATGATGAGGGACTTTACCGTCCTCACTGTACTAGCAGTTTGGTGCTTTGCTGGGTAACCAACCCCCCCCTCAAAATTGTTATGTTGGAACTCCCAAAGGGTGCTCCATCATCTCATCGCGACTCTTATTCTCCACCATACCAAAAAACGGTACTAATTCGTTGTAGGTTCTTGTTGAGCATGAGCTGGCTTTCCGATGGAGGACACAAGCCTATCACAATATCAAAATGGATGCTCTGGGTTTGGTTTGGACTCGATGGGACTGGGATTCAAAAATCTACCGACTTCCACTGGCTTTTGGGCCCCATCCTGATGGTTGCTTTTGCTTTCCTAGGAAATACTCTCTTCCTCACCATTCTAGTCTCCATGCTCAGCACTACTTTCTCAAACATTGTATCGAATGCCACCGCTGAGATACAATTTCGTCGCAGTGTCTTGACGCTCGAAGGTGTAAAGTCAGATGCCATTGTATGTTTTCCCGTGGATTTTGTTACAACTCTAACTCGACACAGTTCGCGTACGCACCCCCTTTCAACATCCTCGCCCTCTTAATTCTTCTCCCTCTGAAATTCGTCGTTACTCCACGCTGGTTTCACAAAGTCAACGTTGCAGCAGTCCGTATACTCAACGCTCCCATACTCTTGATCATAGGAATCATGGGTAAGTCAGCTCTTCGGAGGATGTTTTCCTACTTTGGATGTTCTCTAAATTAAATGTTTCACCTCTCATGAAACACCATCAATTTCACACTCTACCATCAAACCCAAAACTGACTCCGGAATCTTGTACCTAGAACGACGCGTCCTCTGGTCTGGCGCCCGCCATCCCCTGGAAGCGCACGAACAACTGCCCAAAACACCCAACCGTGCGGGCCTGTGGGATTTCTCTCGGTCCTTCTCAGTGCACGGTGACATACAAGCAGTATTCGATTCGGAACCACCCGAGGAGATCGAGGATGAGATAGCAGGGGATGACGACTTTGGTGCAAATGCCCTGGAGGATCAATTTGCGAGGGAGTCTGGGCCCGAGGCAGCGGGTGGGGGGAGGAAACGCCAAAAGGTGGGAGGAGGTAAGAATAGAAGGGATTCCGTGCAGCCGTTTGCTGGATTGTCGCAGCATGTGAAGGATTTGATTAATGAGGGGAGTGAGGATGGAGGAGGGGAAGACATGAAGAGTCGCTTAGAGGCTTTGGAGCAATCTACCATGAGGATTGAGAGGATGTTGGGACGGTTGTGTGAAAAGCTGGATGAGGGGGATTAAGGAGGCGGAAGTGGAAGTCTGGGTAAGAGTGAGGTAGAAGATTAGAACTGAGGCTCTTGAGGTGGAATATGTAACAAGCTATATTGTAGATCAGGAACTGTTTCTTTCATTCAACCCAACTATACTTCTGCTTTGGACGTTTGAAATCCTTCAATGTTGATTATGTTGATTATGTTGCCTTTGAGATTTAAGTAATAAGCATGATTTTAAGGTTGCGCAACGGAAATAGGAGAGTCCTTGCAGCTTCGGGGGTAACCGATGCAATGTAATCGTCCCCTTCCCTGGATGTCGCCAAGAATAGGATGGCGATTATTCAGGTTGCACGATCCAGTGCCCTAAAACAGGTACAAGATTTCCCCCCTGCAACTACTTGGACGCGGTAAAAATAAGAAAAATAAACTTCTGCGTGTCTTGTTTCAAGACTCATGACTACTTCGTGACCTTTTAGACGATGTAACCTCTCATGTGGTATTCCCATTCCTTCCAACGCCAGGTGAGTCTAAAACCGTCACCACCAGGCAGCAACACTTCGGTTGAAGCCCCCACCTCGCCGACGTAAATGTAATGCTCCAGAGTAATCCATAGATATCCCGGAAACTCCATTTTTCGCCCTCCACTGTACATGGTATGTCATGGAACCTCGATCCTTTATAATATCCTACAGAACGGGCCTTCTCCACCAATCACTCACTCACAGCATTTCGATCTTGAAGTGAGGATCGACAAGTGCCATCATCCAGCCACAATTTCTCCAATAACAACTCAAGCTCTGACCAAACCATAAAATAAAGTCCAGGTCAAGACAAACCCACTCAGCCCCTCAAATAATCCCCCGGTCCAAAGCTCCATGCTGCCCATGAAATATCTCTCTATGCCTGCACCGGCTTTCCCACCAGATATAGAGTTCTTAATAATCGCTGGGCGCACACGGAATGCATACACAAGGGCGGAAGTGAGCAGGGAGAAGACTAGGTAGAAGATGAAACCTGGGTATGATTCCAGACCAAGGATGCCGGCACCGACGCCAAACAGGGAGGCGGTTAGATTGTGCAGGGTAGTGAGTGTCTGTGAAAAAGCATGTTAGTAACAGAAGACGAGCAGGCGGTTGGATGAGTAAAGGAAAAGTGGTGAGTAAGGAAGGCTGAGCATGCGGCTGAGATGCCCCCGTGAGATGAGATGGGGTCGGCGGCGATGGCAAGCCAAGTCAACTGGACAAGTGTTGGGGGAACGCAATGCAAGGTGCGGGCTGCCACATGGAAGACAGATGGCACAAGACAGGGAAGGAATCATAGAGTATCATCCCGAGAAAGGGCTGGGATGGTGGAGATGATTCTTTTCGGTAAGAGAATCCATAATGGGACGAACCTTGGTGTTGTGCTGCACCGATTCCAGCACAATTGGGCTGATCTGCAGCTCACGTTCGGTCAGCATCGTGCGTGGTGGTGTGGCTGGTGAGGTAGAGTAGAGTAGATGCGGGATGTTGATACACGTCGGCCGTCGGGTGTAGGAAGTGAGGAGGATCAGATGGAGACAGAAATGCTATCGGTATCGCAAGTGGAGTTCGTACAGGCAAACGAGCAATTGGTCGTGGTGTTGAGATTGAAATAACCTTCTGCAGAGTTGGGGGGTTGGACCCGCAGGTGCGGTAAAGGCTGGCTGCAGGAAAAGCCCGCTAAGCGGCTAAGGTACGGTCTAAGGTAGACGCGACGCGCGACCAGACCAGACCAGACCAGATTATGGCAACTCGCTAAAACCCCTGAACCATCCCATCCCCTCGATACTGTCTGTCCACACGAAGGTACCATACAGTAGATTCCACTCTCAGCCCCTGAACAACAGCCCATCTCACCAGTATTCAGGGTTCAGAAGCGCGCCCTGCTCCAGCCTGACCCCCTTGCATGCTGCACTTTCGGCTTCGATACCTTCCGAGCTTGCTGACGAGAGCTTCTTCTGTAGGGCTGGGAACCACCGAGCTTTCTAGTGTCAGCATAATGGCACCTTTACCTCCATACCTACCTGATGTCTGGGATTTTCCTTCCATGCATACGTAGGTAAGCGCCGAGCATATGCTTATTGGGGTCGAGGGCCAGGTACTGTATCCACTGGCACGAAAACAACAGGCCAACTAACATCGTGAACCCTGGTAGACAGTGCTATGCAGCTGTTGACGCCACGTCGTGGCTTGTTCGCGGTTACAGCGTGTCCGGTCATGGTATGTTTGGCTTACAGGAACATCTTCTGGCGCTTGGTCTTGAGCGGCTGATCGCTGGGGCTCTTCGATGCTGCTGCATGCAGATCGTTGGGTGTGGCGCAAGAAGACCTCACGTGAAGCCTTTTTCAACGTCACAAGAGGTTCTAATCATCATGTCTTCAGGTATGAATTCGTAAAATGCATGAATTTGATACTTCAATCGTACAGATACTCTAGTCGTACTAAAAATGAAAGTAAAGAAATCCTATCATGTTCGATGCCTTTAAACACCCCAACCCATGGGCTCCCTCCCCGCAATGTGAAATGTCCAATTGAAAATATATATATATAAACGCAGTCTAATTTTCCCAAAATCCCCTCTGCCAATACCAAGATTCCGCTATGCCATAACACTGAAGTACCACAAAGCGGATCATTTAAGAAACATATCGTCCATAATCGTTCAAATACTGCTGCAAGTAGATCGAAAGGGTGTACCCTGGAATTTCCTCCGCACGGCGAAGATACCGGATTGCGTGAGAGAAATGGCGTTCGTCTCCCGGGGGGCCCGTCACGTTGCCTAAAGACATTTGTGACTCGGCAGCCTATAGTCTGTTAACACTGAGTAAGATTGTGACGGAATGACAGTACTCACTAAAGCCAACAAATCACCTGTTGTTGAGCCAAGAGCATCAGCGGACCGCACAGCTCGCCCATAGAAATCTACGGCTGGCTGCAGGTATCCTCGGGCTTCGACGTAGAGAGGTCCCTGGCGACGCGGATCAGAGGGCAGAGACGCTAAATCATCATCAGAATCTTGGGCGGTGTCAAAATCAGACAGATGACCACTACCTTGGCTGGAAGAGTCATTGTCCTCTTCTCGATGAATTCGAGCTAACGTTGCTTGTGATCTTTGGAGCCAGTTGCTGCCCAGACCTAAATTAAAATGTAAGCAATCTAGCTACAGCCAGGCGTGAGTTCTCATAAGAGATTGATTTCTCTTTGGATGGATTATTCGGACATACCTGTCAGAGTTTCGACATTTTCTGGGTAGTTTCGGAGGATTCTTAGCCATGCGGATTGGCACCATTCTGCCATGTCCGTGATGCACCCTGAATCAGCATCATGGTAGGCAAAATCCTGAATCCCATGAAGCATCCAGACTTGCTCGGCATAGCGCTGGGGGTCACGGAAGAAATGAATACGGTCAAGGGCTGTCATGGCCGAGCGAGCAGATGGGACGTAGGGTTCCCATTCATGAGGACGGGAAGAAACTACTTCGTAGAGCAACGTGACAATGCTTTTGACTTGTTCAATTAAGACCTCCGGTTCTTGGTCGGTGCTTCTTGACTGGTGAGACCGTTGTCTTGATGAGCCAGAGTGTCGAGACATATTGTGCCCGGGGTTGTGTAGCGCTGGTGAGGATATGGGAATGGAAAGGTTCAGAAGTACGGGATGAACAGCTTGACAGAACAGATTTCAGAGGGTGTATAAAGTACTAGAAGGTTGATGATGATGAAGTCTGTGTTCTGCAAGACTAGTTGATGAAGAAAGTATCTGATATATACGCAGCAGAAGTAGTCACACAGCACAATATGACAAGAGAAGGAACATCAGATACATTATTGCAAGCCTCTAGATTAGATCCACAGGGGAGCTATTCAGCTGGGAAGGAAACGAAGGGGGGCCAAAAATAAGATATAGGGTTGTCAGGATGAAATATAATTGTCAGGATGAAGGTGACCTTGTACCTCAATTTGATACCGACTTCTATTAGTGGCAGCGCTGATTTGCATCCTAGTTGTATCTAGCAGGTTCTATACCCGCATGAGCAAGATCCATTGAGTCAGCGTTCACGAAAGCAAGCTCGAATACCTAGGCTTGAGCAGGACAATTGAGCTATTGCCAAATTGCCGAATAGGAGAGCCCGAGGACTCGAGGAAAGTGATAAATTTGTCAGTGCTTATGACATGGACACGCACAGCCATACCGACAAGGTATCCATAATGGGCAGTATTCGGAATAGCGGCAGTGTGGCAAGTCAAAATGCGATGGCATTGTGCTTACAGTATAGTAGCTCCGTAGGTACTTTAGACAAAGAAGAAATTGTATCTGGGGGTGGCTTTCATGCACAACGGCTAGCGAATCTGCATTGGTGCGATAAAGTCCGTTGCGGATCCGGGAGGACACAAGGCTGGATTAATCGGCCGATTGCTGACTGTAGTGGATTATGGTGGATTGATTATTCAAGCATGTGGAAATATGTCCCGTCGCGCTAGGTGAGATGGATGAGAGGTGCGATGAATTCTGAATTCTTTCGTACTGCCGTGCCGGCGTCCATGTAGACATGAGAGGAGGATGGGATGGGATGGGATGAAATGCGATACCTACCGGTATTTGGCGCAATCCATCACGAACTGCGAGACTGCGGTACCTTCCTACAGCAACAATCCCACTGTCCCGTGTGTGGCATTATGATCAAACGTTGCAACTTGCAATTTACAATTGGCAGCAGACAGAAATTGGTCTAACTCCGAAACCAACATTTTGCATTTATAAGCAGCCTCTGATACATGATAGTTTCAACCGAGTTGAAAACACCATCTTCATCAAAAAGGCCCAGTGGTGTGTCGCGGTAATAGCAGTCTAGTGGGTAGCTCCTACCGAATACTACCCAGGCCAGGTACTTCGTCCGCAACCATCATGAGAAGAAAATATGGTGCATGTACAGATGACGTTTGCTTGGGGGCGGGATTATTGTACGTTTAGAAATACATACGGTAGAGTCCGTCCCTAGCACCCCAAGAAGCTCGAGTACTGCAGCAAGGTGGTCATATTACATTACTCAACCTCGAGTTTTTTGCGAAAATTGTGACGGTCTTGCTTTGTTTCTAGTCTATTTCTAATCAATTGCTTAAGAATCTTGCCCAAAAGTATGCAGAATTGCCGGCTTCACGAGGAAGGGCAATTGCTTATAAATATAAAGGAAAGACTTTGAGCAAGACCGAAATGATTCATATTATGCCAATGGGAAGCCCGGCTTCTGAATACTAATTCTGTATTTGCAGAGCCTGGACATATAGACCCCAGGCTTTAGGCATACCGGCATGAGTTGGAGGCATATTCAGCTCTGAAGAGCCATTGTTCAAGAGGACAGGAGTAGACGAATAATAAAAACATAACGAAATGGCTTTTATAAACACATTTCTCAAATCAGAATTTAGAGTCACGATAGTCACAATTCACCCCAGAGAGAAGTTCGCGGGAGAGGGGTTCTTGAAAGACGAAAAGACCAGACCACTTGGGTAGAACTCACATTAGGAATTGAAGAAAGCAAAGAAGCAAGAAATAGACCAAGGCAAGAAAGATACTCCCCATCCATGTAAAAGCCACCAAGATCAAGATGCATTATTGCCGATCTTGGACGATCGATCGACTTTATGCGTGCACTACTTCTACGAGTGGACTTTCACTCAGGGGCCTAAATCACTAAATCTCCCGTACCTACTTTGACTTCGCCACATCCGCAACAAGCAAAGCAAAGCAAACACCACACCATAATAATTAATACAGTTACAGTAATCAAACATTCCCGCACAAGAACAACACCTCAATTGCAAGCAGAACCTTTAGCTTGTTCGCAGACAGCCCCGTCCTATCCCACGACCTGGAAGGAGCGCGTGTCACCCATTCGGCATGGCCCATGGTTCCCTAAGATAACGCCTCGCATTCGATGGAGGCCGTAGTATTTGAGGACTCGCCGCTCGCCGACTACCTCGAGGGTCTGTGAATCCGCTCAGTACACTTAATAATCTGCGGACTGTTAATCGCTGACTCTTCTACAGGTGAGGGCGGCGAAGGCTCGTATGACCTTTCGAGCAGCTCCGGGCATGATACGTCTCCAAAGTCGTCGAACCCATCTTTTGCGCCTCGTGGTAGACCAACAGCTAGGCACAAGTTTCGACAAAAGCTCCCTCCACCGCTACGACTGGCAGTCCCACCGAAGAAAGCTGTAGCATTGCTACACAATACCTGCTCCGTAAGAACTACTTTCCTTTAGCAGAAGTATAGTCAGTGTCTAACATCTATGGTCACAGAAAGCAGTCAATTCGAGGCTTGGCAGAGTCGACAACGCGAGATTCCTTGAACGATTCCGATATATCATAGTGGCATCTCAACTTCTGAATGCACATTCATACATTGGGCAGGCTGGGAGGGGCCAACCTAGGGATGCCACAGTATCATTGCCCGATATTCCACAACTGGGGGCTCTTACACCGGCCGGGGCGATCGTGACAGCAACATGTGCCTTCATGCTGGCTTGGCTGGTCAACTGGACTCGAGGAAACAAAGGGTTTAGTGGTGGAAAGGGACGTCTAGCTGTCTTTATGACAGTACTTGCTGTGCTGGGAGTTGTGTTGTATGCCTACATGCGCAGGCATTGGCTTCAATACCTTCGGCAGCAGAGTCTATCAGAAATCTCAGACTTCATTACCAAGGCACAAGAATTCGATGGCGCTGCAGCAGGAGCGTTGAGTCTTGTCCAAGAGGTCGAGTTGGTGTCGCGGGGCTATAGAATGTTGGTATTATTTGTATGTTAGTCTAGCGAAGTGCTAACAGGTCTTCAGCAGCTCTCCCCTTCCGCCAGTCAGTCGATTAGATGATCGAAGTCAAAATCGGAGATGTGCTAGGCTGAGGAAGCAACTTCGTCTTTGTTTCGCCGCAGTAATCCCACGATACATCCAAGCATATACAGTGCTCAAACCTTTCACCGAGGAGATGGATCTTGAAAAGTATTATGACATCTACGACATTTGCGAAACCGATTTCACGGAGGCTATGTTGGGGTATTCGACGTCTGAGTTTGAAGATCTGGAGTCTGTACGGGTGTTGAAGATTCTAGCTTCAAGATATTTCATGGGCCGTAAAATCGTACTGTGTTGCTTGATGGCCTTGGATGCAAATGGCGGCAAACCAGACTTCCTTCGTTGGAGTACAGCTGTTGACGAGATTTGTGGGGTTACCATTGCTACGAGTGAAGCTGAAGAACGTCTGCATCGAATTCTTAGCGAAGAAGAGAGTTCGTGTGATCTTGAGAGCTAATTTGAATAATTATGCTAATATGTGCCAGACTTCGCTTTTTCTGCCACTCCGAAGGTGCCCATGACACCAAGTCGCGAGCGTTGGCGAGCTCAACTCCGCAAGCTGAATTCTCTATCATCAGGAATTCGCGGTCTCCAGGCAAAGCTTCACTTACTTCGCGAAGAATCCGACATAAGTTTAAATGAGACTGAGGATGTCTCCGAACTCGGGACAAACCTCATGATCCAGTACGAGTCAATCGGAATCGACCTAAAAGCATTGATGCAAGAATGGGAAGAAGGAAGGAATGCACTGGCATCGAATATTGATCGGAATGAACGCCGGGTGTCATCTATGAGTGGCATGCTCTCACCAACGATTTCTTTAGGTGGCCTTACAGCTGTTGAGGAAGGCGGTGCATCAGATGCATTAAGGGCCTTGAACGGCGAAGGGGCGTCTCGGTCTAGCATGGACCTGAGCTCCTCAGACGCGGAAGAAGTTTTCGAGGCCGTTGCAATTCCGCGACAGCGGAGCGCACTTACTCGTGAGGAGCGTATCGAAAAGATGAAAGAGGACAGGGTGAAACGGGAATCCATGAAGGACAAATCAGAAGCGAATACTCGTATGTTGAGGGAGTTGGAGTCTGTGATAAACATGCGTCCGAGAGGCAGAACGACCCCTGCAGGAGGTCGAATCACGTCGTTATGAACTAACGTTTTATGTTTTCCTTTGTTATATTAGATTTGCATTGTACACGATGATGGTGGGAGTAATCTGGCGAGCGCCATATGCTCAGACTGCTTGTAATTTTGCTTAAAACACAAATTGCTGTTACAAGGGATTGTTATACCCAGGCCAGGATAGCTTGTGACGGGAGTCAACATAATTGGATTGAGTGTAATATGAATATAATCTTCTACTCAAATCGAAGCTTTTGATTGTAACCCTGGTGCATTACTTACCCAGATCTTCCATCCAAATTGTGTCTGGCTGTGGGGAGAGAACGACAGTGGAGGTAACGAAGACTTTCTCTGCTTTTCTCTATCGATCTCATATTTCAACAGAAGTAAATTTCAGGCCCATATTTCGATTATGATTAACAGGCTATTGTATAATAGTGCGAAAGTTGAAGAATATTGTAATTGCTTTATTCTAGAGACATGGTCGCCACCGACTCTCTGGCTTTCGTTCTTCATGGACTTATCCCATTTCTAATACTCTCATCATACCGGAGGACTGCCTGTAGTAAGACTTGTGCCCCCAAAGCACAATCCTCAGGTGTTGTGTATTCAGCAGGATTGTGACTTATTCCGTCTTTGGAGGGTACAAATATCATACTGCTCTTGACTACTTTGCTCGTCCATGCAGCGTCATGACCAGCACCGCTCTTCATATTCATGATCTTAGACAGCCCTACTTCTGCCACAGCAGCAGATCGAACGGCAGAAATACAATCATCATGGAAAATAGACTCTGGCAAACCCCACGTACGCACAACGGAATATGACGTGCTGTTCTTCTCCTTCTGTATAATCCCATCAAATTGTTTGAAGATGGCAGTACATAGATCTTCAACCATGGCATCTGTTGAACAACGGATATCTATAATGAATTCAACCCCACTGGGAATTGTGGCTTGGCTCTGAGTGTCTGAAGTTATCACTCCGACAGTAGCAACACCCAGGCCAGTTGCCTTGGCCGTGTCACTAACAGCAGCTATCAATCTCGCAGCCGTGACCAGGGCATCGGATCTTTGGTCCATCGGAGTCGTTCCAGAGTGGCCTTCCACTCCAGAAACCCGCATAGCATACCACTTCATCCCCTGAACGGAAGTGACAACTCCCACTCGGTTGTTTGTTGCTTCTAGTTTTGGACCTTGCTCGATATGTAGTTCGAAATAGCTCTCAAGACCATTTTCTCGGTAGTTGCATGGAGTTTGCCCCAAGTAACCAGTATCTTCCAATGCTTTTTGCATGGTAGTACCTTCCATGTCCTTGATCTCATGGCATGCTTCAAGACCAGTCGAGGACTTTGTAGACCATACCCCAGACGCCATCATCGCCCCGGGAAACCTGGCACCTTCTTCGTTCGTCCAGTCGATAAGAGCTACTGGGCAATGTGTCTGGATGTTGTTCTCGTGCAGTGTTCGGAGCACTTCGAGAGCTGCTTGGACTCCCAAAATCCCGTCATAACGACCACCTATGCCCCGGTCAGTGTTCGAGATCTTCTTTGGGTTTGAATATAAGGTGCTCTACCTGCAGGCTGGGTGTCTAGATGGCTTCCCATTGCGATTGGCAATTTATCCTGGGAGGTTCCATCCCGAATCGCAAAGATATTTCCCATCTGGTCGATTTTTACTCTACATCCCAAAGCCTTGCATTCCTCAACAAGCCAGTCCCTGACACTTTTGTCTTCCTTGCTCAGTGCTAGTCGGCGCATGCCTGTAGAGTTCGTGATGGCTCCCCACGTTGAGCATGTAGACTGCAAGCTACTATTGAGCCGCTGGCCATTAATTCTCAACGTCGAATGAGACATCCTAACAGTGCGTTCAATCTAGGGGTTTGGGATACTGGTCCTTTGCGAGAGGAGGACAAGGGAGACTCGTCCCGAAACCCACGCTTGGTATCATAATTGTTGCTCGCAAGCTTGTTACTTCGAAGGTGGGATGGGATGGATCCGCATTGCAAAGTGTGTAGATTCCAACCTAAATGTCTGACAAATTAATGTCAATGTCAGTCCTGGGAAACCAAGCTTCATTTCTCTAAATCTGATAATACTGTACAATATGTAGGTCAACCAAGGCGAAATGATTGGATCTTCGGACTCTAGCTCTAGGTAGGGTACGCATATGCACATATGCACATCTTGTAAAACTCCTCCCCCTAGCCTTTCCTGCCTAATGAATTCTCTGGTACCTGTCTGTTGAGCTTTACTGTGCTGTATGTACATTTCGACTGCGGAGTAGTAGGTACCTAGGTACTGTACTGTAGAACCTGAGTCGTGAGGCAAGAACAATAATTTAAAAAAGGGAGCTTGAATCTATTCAAGCAGTCTACATCTCTTCAATCCAACCAACCACACTCGCAATGGCACATCCACTTTCCAGATTGCTGTCGCGGCGGATGTGCCAGCAATGGACACCATTTCAAAAGACTCCAGGCTCAGTATCTCGAGCTCTGCGATCTCCGATACAAAAGCCTGCAGGAAGACGCGCCTACGCAACTGGTCCCAATCCTAATCCTGGACAGAACCCCTTGAAAATCTGGCCCTTCATTGCAATCACACTCTTAGGAACAGGATCTTACATCTTGATGGTGCGAAGTCGAACCGGTACGTCACATTCCATGGTTCACATTGGATCCAAGTACATATTCTTGAAAATGCCATCACAAGCTCATTTCGAGAGCCGCTTTAACATGCAAGAACTACTGTACCAAGCGGAATCTCGCCCGCACTCCCCTTATATTATGATGGACCTTTTGAACTTCTCCTCCACAAACCACCGTCACTGACAAACACAATCTCCTCAGACATGGCGCCTCCTCACGAGCAAATCGCAGCCCCCAAAAAATCCACCCCGACCTTCTCCCCAGCCGACGTAACCGTGCTCTTCGTGCTGGGCGGCCCCGGTGCAGGAAAAGGCACACAATGTGCGAACCTAGTCCGCGACTACCACTTCACGCACCTGTCAGCGGGCGACCTTCTGCGCGCCGAGCAGGACCGCGAGGGCTCCGAATTTGGCACTTTGATCAAGGAGTATATCCGCGATGGCAAGATCGTGCCCATGGAAGTGACGGTGCAACTGTTGGAGAACGCCATGACGGAGACGCTGGAGAAGAGCCAGGGTGGGAAAGGGAAGTTTCTGATCGATGGCTTTCCCCGGCAGATGGACCAGGCGCTGAAGTTTGAGGAGTCGGTGTGCCCGGCGAGGTTCGTGCTGTTTTTTGACTGCCCGGAGCAGGAGATGCAGAGGCGCTTGTTGGATCGGGGCAAGACTAGTGGGAGGTCGGATGATAATGCTGAGAGTATTAAGAAGAGGTTCAAGACGTTCGTGGAGACTAGTATGCCGGTGGTAGATTACTTTGACGGCCAGGGACGGGTGGTGAAGGTTGTGGCTACCAAGACCCCGGAACAGGTGTATCAGGAGACGAAGGAGAGGCTTGAGGCCAAACTGGGAAAGAATTTTTAGATTGGCGTTGGGGATGATAGAACATAAAATAGAAAGCGGGTATGAGATACGGGGACAAGTTTGTTTCATGAGTGTAGAATAGAGCGTGTTACGTTTCTTAATGTATTCTATTCGCTGCGATCGATGCGATCCAGCCGGCAGAGCATTCGTATCTTCATAACCTGCACTCTCTATGAAGTCTAGCATACTCCATAAAACCTTCGCAGTAAAGCATCGTAGTCTTCCCGCATCAATGCCCGATGCTATGCAACCATTATACAGCCCCAACGCCAGAAGCGACTTTTGATATCAGCGGGAGGAAGAACGTGGCAAACTGCCTCTTTCTTTCAGCTTTCGCTCAATCGGTTCCCATCTCGATCATGTTATCTCTGCCTCCTGGGGCTCTCCGTCCCGCTCCCATGCCTGAAGCACCAGCAATCTTTCTCTCGGCCTCGTGCAGTTCTCGCTCCTTCTGAGCCTCTGCTTGCTGCCTCTCTCTGCTGATAACCTCCTTGACAGCTCTCAAGCTCGACCTCCATGTATCAAGCCTTGTTGCAACTTCACGCCATTGCTTTTCACCAAAAACACGATACGTTGTTCTGTGAATGAGAAACACCTGCTTCTGTTGGGACAGCTTTCCCTCAATCAGCTGCGCCCGGATAACGTCAATAACCCACATCTCTACGTCTTCGACGGGAACCTGAAGGGCCTTCGCAATGCGTTTGTACTCAAGCTCCTTGCTGTTGGTGCTAGCGGCAATACTTGCTAAGGTTAAAAGTCTCATCTTGCGGTGCAGCGCGCTGTTATCTAGAGCCTCCGTCTCAATCCAGTCCTCGTTCTCGTCTCGGAAATCAGTGTAGTCCTCCAATTCCTTCTCGGAGAAGATCTCAAGTAATTCGGAATATTCGGCGTGGGAATCGCTCAGGGCTTGGATGGTAGGCAGAGAGGTAAGATCGTGGAAGTCGAAATGTGTGCTGGAAATCAGCGCGGCTTTTAGAGCGCGGAGGGACAGGTCTTGGGCTTCCTTGGTCGAAACCTCGGAGGCTGGGAATGTGCGCAGGGCTTTGAGGATAAACTGGTAGGATTCTCTGAAGTGGTAGTCAGTAAATATGTCTCACAAGATAGTACCGAGCAAGAGCTTACCCTTGTTCACCGGCGTCCTCTGCAACATCTGCGAGTTGTCCATATAGCTTACGCTGGTCTTCCTCATCCAACTCCCATTCCTCAATCCATTGATCCAACTTCTTCAGCTGCGGGCGCAAAATCTCGAAATTTCCGCTATTCTTCACCAGGCGTAGGATTGCAGAGAAGACGTTCCACCGAACATCATTGTCGGGCTGCAAAAGGTTGAAAATAGTGGTCAGGACGTTCAGCGCAAGGCCGGAGCCGTTGAGTGGAGCAGAGGTGATGGGTTTCGAAAGGTGCTCACACATCCGGGGCAGAAACATATTGACGTTTGGCGACTGCATAACAAGGTATACCAGGAGATTATACGCCGCAGTGAACTCTTTCTCGGGGTATGTGTTGAGGGCAGCTGAAGCCGTGACGAGTTTCTTGAGGACCTCATCCTTGGTGTTGGCCTCGAGGAGGGGTTCTATCTCAGTTGAGATGTGTAGGTATTCTGCCAGGTCCCTGGAAAGGTCGGCAAAATTGCCTTCGACAAAACAGTACTGCATGATGGGCTGCTACTGCTGCTGCTCTCTTTTCGTGTCGTGAAGAATCGGGTTGAGGGTGAGCGGATGCTGCGATTACGATTGCCTCTGCCTCTGCGGTCGATTTTCAAGAAAAACGAGTGGGAGTTACTTAAGCGAGGAGCTAAGGCTCATTAGCGGAGGTGGGGTCAATCTAAATAGGGGCAGACAGGGGCGGTGGAGCTTGATGTATGTACTTACAATATGTACAATTACAAAACTCATAGATTCTAGACGATTAATTATCAATGCCCAATTGTTTATATTTATTCTATGAGCAGTACATTTCTAAAGTACAATTCCAATTCTTCTACCGCATCACCTCCCAAGGCAGCAGCGGTTCCAACCCATCCATCTGGCCGCATCACAAATATTGCCCCTTCCTTCACATTAATACCGTACCGAGAGTGCGCCGTCTGGTCCTTGTCATAGAAGACTTTTCCAAATGGTGCAACACCAAGTAGCTCATAGGCCGACGGGGAGCTTTTAGCAGGAATGGTGAGCCAGGATATCGGTGAGACGCCCGAGAACATCTTAGACTTTTCCCAGGCCGCGGAAAACTCTTTCAAATATACAGAAGTATGTTCTGGTTCACCAGCGAAGACGATGGCATGGAATCTGGCAATATTCGGCGTCTCCTTATGCAACCTTGTGGCTTCAAAAGTCGCTGGCTTTTGCAACTGAACATCAGGTGCTCGCTGCCCTGACTTCACCGGCGCTAGATCAACATTCGATTTAAATGTTCCAGGCACATTGACATTGTTACTATCAAATGCAATGCTCAGCCCAGAAGTAAATGTCGACGCTTCCTCCATCACCGTCCCCAATATCTCATTGGGGTCCGCGTTCGGGTCACCGCTCCAATCCGCCGGCAGTTGCATTGTCATCAATCTTGATATGTCCTTGTCATAGTTGATGAGTTTCTGAACATTTGGCAACCGCTCGCTCTCATACGTGCTGAGAAGGGACGATGGCGCCAGGCCGTGAAGCACTATGGAAAGCTTCCAGGCAAGATTGACAGCATCATGCATACCTGTATTCATTCCTTGAGCTGCTCCAGAAGAATGGGTATGGCATGCATCACCAGCAAGGAAAATGCAGTCTTTAGTGAAGAACTCCTTTGCTACCCTTTGCCCCACTGAGTAAACGGTGAACCAGTCAACTTGTTTGAACTTCAGCTTAAATGGCTTCACAGATTCGATGGCTTCTGTCACAGCCGCAGCTTCGTTGAAATCAGGATAGCCCTTTTGCCGCTCCGCCGTAAAGGCAAATCCGATCCTCGTGGCTCCATGGTCCCTGTCAAGAAATCAGTACCATGTTTTGTGTAAAGTTCAAGAGCCAAGAATATTAAATTTCCTTCGAGGGCTCAAAACTGAGGAGGCAAACTTACAACGCTGCCCATAATACGTTTCCATGGGTGGGTGATTCAAAAGCACCGTAAACTCTCGATTTGGGCACATCCGATTCAACAATACCATCGATTCGGACCCACTTGTCCTCTGTTGTGCTGCCTTCAAAGGGTATCTCAAGTGCCCTTCGGACAAACGACCTCCCACCGTCTGCACCTATCAAATACTTGCAAAGAACTGTCTCTTCTTCACCAGTTACACAATTTTTCAGCAGAGCCGTAACTCTGTAACCACCAGAAGGTACATTGTCATCGACAGTAACACTGACCAACTCAACAGGCGTCTCAAGTATTACACCCTTTTCTCGCAACCTCCTCCTGAATATCTCTTCCTGGTATTTCTGTCTCAATACCAAAGCAAAGTCCCACTGTGTGTCTTTCATATTCTCCATAAAATACCATCCTCGACCCTGGACCTCATTTCCATCTTTATCGTAGCTCACTGTATCCCTGCACGCAAAGCATTCTTGAGCCAGCTCATCAGCCAGATCGAGCTGGTCGAGCATCTCAGTAGAGCGTGGGTAGAGTGTGATGGCTCTGCCATACTGATCTTGTGAGGACTTGGGATGCTTCTCGATTATGGCTATAGACGACGAGTGTCCGAATCTGGCCAGTTGGTATGCAAGTACAAGTCCGACGGGCCCACCACCTACGACAAGAACATCGACATGGCGGACTTTGTTCTCGACGCTGCCCATATTTCTTATCGTGTCACGGGATTGGGAGAATATGGGAGGATTGGATGATGAGAAAGGCACCCTACAAATATCGGAATGTACTCCGTAGGGCTATAGGTTTTACTTATTCATGGCTTTCAGGAGCTATTTGGTAACTGAATAGATTGATTTTACTTGATGCCGACGCGGCGACGCCGACAATATCTTATCGCCCGGCCGCTTCAATGGTGGTCATATCGCGGGCGCCCACTTTTGGATATTTGCCGCTGAAAAGTCACTTGATTTCGCCTAAAGTTCAACCCCCTAAAGCTTTGCCTATCCAAAATTTACGGTATACCTAGTGGTACATTTTATGACATTTACTTTACTACGAGTGTCTAAAAATTCTCCACATTCCACTCTTCTTGACTCCGACTGCCAGCTAGAGAGCTGGCATCCCGTTTCAAGAACTGTCCAAACCCCTTTTTACTAGCAATAAGACCACCCTCATCCTTGGCCCAAACCACCTCTCCCCTCAAAACCGTATACCTCGGCCACTGTTTCATAGTCCTCCCTTCATAAGGTGTGTAATCCACGTTGTGATGCAGCATCGAATTGGTAAGCTCGAACTCCTTTGTTCCATCTGGATACCAAATCGTCAAATCGGCATCACTGACCCCTGCAAGCAGTGCACCTTTCCTTGGATACAAGCCATACAACTTTGCTGCGTTGGTGGATGTCACTTCCACAAATTTCTGCAACTTGAGCCGGTTTGCCGATAATGCTAAGGAGAGACGAGTCTCTACACCCGGGCATCCGTTGGGGATGTATTTGAAATGCCCATTGGGATATTCTGAGTCGATGCATGACTTCTTCCCTATTTCCGTATTGTCGTAGATGAATGGACAGTGGTCCTTAGCGTCAAGGTCCCAGGTTAGCATTGCCCATTAAAGATTATTTTGGGGCGGGGACACAATGTTGCACGGGAACCAAAAGAATATTTAGGAGTATTTGACTCTTGAAAATGCTCCTGGGGTATTCGAAGTAGGGAATCATTCTTCCGAAAAGGTTACTTACTGAACTTAGAACCGTAAATGTACCATCTTCGAGGCCCTGCCAGATGCCTTCATGGTCCTGCTCCCCCTCCCGAGGTGGAGGAGAGCACACGCACTTTGCGCCTTCGAAACCTGGTTTGTCCAAGTCCTTGCGAGTCAAGAAGAGGTATTGTGGACAAGTCTCTGCATACACTGGTAGTCCCCTTTTCTGTGCATCTGAAATGTGCTTTGCCGCAGCTGGAGAAGATACATGCACAATCAGGATCGGGACATCTATGAACTCGCTCAGAGACACGGCTCGGTAGGTTGCTTCAATTTCAGCTACTGGAGGATGGCTTGTGGCGTGGTATTTGGGAGCGAACAGCTTCTTCTCTTCCAGCTTCTTGATCGTCCAGTCGATGATTGCACCGTTCTCGGCATGGATCATGGTGACGATTTTCTGCTTCCGGGCTTCGAATAAAACGTCCAAGATCTCTGAGTCTTGCAGCTGCAATGCTTCCTAGTCCGGAATTCTGGATTCAGTATTACTTCTTTGGAAATAGATTAGGAATGCACTAGGGGAATGTCCTAACAAGAAAGATATCTCAACTCCTAGATTTACTATGAAAAGCGTGCCTATTCCACAATAGACTTACATATGTCATGTAGATTTTCAAGGAAGATATACCTGCTTCTCTCAGAGCTTTGAATTCGGAGATTGCTTGGGGTCCGGCATTTGAGCAAATCAGATGGAACGAGTAGTCCGTGTAGCAATTATCTCGTGCGAGAGCATGTGTGGCTTCAAGTGCCGCAAGCAAAGAAGGCTCACTTTTTCTTTGAGGAGCGAATGTAATTAAAGTCGTTGTACCACCTGAAATTGCTGATCTAGTTCCTAGAAAGACGTCAACATTGAAAAAGGGGGCCATCACCTCTTCCTAAATTAACTGACTCACCAGTCTCGTAATTGTCTGCACTTTGTCCCTTTCCGAACAGAGCAGGCTCCGCTCTAAAAAGAGTCAGTGATCAGAGCAAATAAGCCGATCATCAAAAGATTGTTTACAACGACTTACAAATGAACATGTGCATCAATACCTCCAGGCTAGGAAATCTCATTATTAGTCAGAATCCTCCATATGCAGTCTCAACATTCTCTTGTCTGCCTACCATGACCATGCCACCCTCCGCATCTATAGTTTTTGTCGCCTTTGCGCCGTTCAAAGAGCCTCTAATGACGACTTTTGCAATCTTCCCATCCTTCACTGCAATATCAAAGTTCCCCGTCTCTTGATCCGTGACAACGACTCCGTTCAAGACCAGCAAATCATATTTAGACATGATGCTTTCGTAGACAACCAATTAATATTCTCTAACGAACGTGAAGCAAGAGCCCTGCTAGTATCAAAGAAGTTCGACCATCGCGACAGGTATCTTCATCTCCCACCCTTGAGTGTTGTGGTGGTTCATGAGTGGGAGGACCTTATCTATGCCTATCTCGGTTTTGGCCGATAGGCTTTGTTCTTTAAGATAGGGAGGGGCTGGACTCAGAAAGGCGGCACTGATTATCATCCACTTTTAGTGGCCCCCGCCGCCTGGCGCATTGTGAATTGGTGCCGCTTTATCAATCCACCACCAGGGACTGCAAGAGCATGATGTCTTCGATAGAAACTAGAAGCCTTGTGTGTAGGTCAAAAATATTTCATTTGAAAATACATGTAAAAATCTGGCAAAGCCAGGCCTTATCGCGATGATTAATTCTCAATTTCGATCGACTTAATTCTCAACTGAGAAGATCCACCAAGAAAAGTAACAAAATTCATCCCCGCTTCCAGATCCAGGCCCTCTATCATTTCAAGGTCATATGTCCCTTTGGTTCCACCCAAACTCAATGTAACCCGACGAACCTGATTAACTTTCACATCTATGTTCACAGCAGTACTGCCAACGTTGGAATAACTCAGGGCCAATTTCGCTTTTCCACCACCAGACTCTATGCCGGAAAATGCTACCACACTTTCAGGAGCTAATTGCCCGACCACAGCTCCAATGGATGCAGCGGCATCTTTGACAACAGCTGCGTTTGTCAAGAGAGAATCAACCGCATAATAAGTCGGTCCTGAAATAGGCGGAGTCCATACTTCCAGCTCGCAGACCCCGACGGCCTTGTTTGGACGGTTGAACAAGTTGACAGCTACGTAGCTAGTCTTGGTTTCCTTGAAGGAAAATGTATTGCGATCATTTGGGAGCAAGGTTGAATTTGTTAGATTTGCAATCAACCCACTAGAACCGTAGATCTCTATGGCAGCAGGAACATCGACACCACCACCGCGAGCAACATCTGAATAGAGAGCAAGCGTGACGGAAGAAATGGTTCGTGGCCGAGCGAAAGTGACCTGGAGAGTATCATTCAAGGAATTTGACTGATAGTTAGTCCAACGGTCTTAAGTTACAATCAGTATTGTGCATGCCAAATGTATGGAGGAATTTCTACTTACTGTCAGGGATGTCATCGTAGAACAAGTAGCCATCAATGGCTTTGTAAGGATTATCCGTGTAAAATGTATATGATGCATTAGCCATAGGATAGTAACCGAGTCCGTTGGGATTTGCAGCAATATTTACTGGAATTACAGAGGCGATTGGCGTAGTACGCAAAGAGATGAGCTCGTGGATGGGAGAGGTCAGATTCTTCGAAACGATCTGTTTGTCATCCGAGAATACACAGAAACTGCTTCCACACTTGTATCTTTCACCATAAGCATCATAGAGCACAGTAATTAAATGTCCATGGTAGGCAAAGTTCTCGATCGCGAAAAATGTCCAGTCTTTAGGCATTATTGGAGACACCAAAAGGCTATGGTTGGACTGTGGGGCGATGCCCAGAAGCCCAGTGATAACATCGTCGTTGTTCGTAGAGTGATCGTAGTGCTCCGAGTGATTAGAAGAATCTGACGACCAAGAGTTGTCGAAAGGGTAGTGAGACTCAGCAACATAAGGCACTCCATTCTTTTGCTGTGTTGTGGCATATGTGCTCAGAGTCTGCACATATTGGTCAGCCGTAATAGGCGAATTAGGACTCCGGTATATGGCAGCAAGAGATTTGAGGATATGGGCCGTTGAATATGGCCATGACTGCAAGTTCTCGGTTAGTGTTGTTTGATCGAGAAGGCTTTATTGTCTCAGTACTCCCCAGACATTCTGGGGAGAGACCTGTACTTGCGCGAATTCGCTTGGACCTGGAAAATGAAGGTTGGAAATTGCATACCTGTCCCTGCCAAAAGCAGCAGTAACCTGTCGGTTTTTGAGCTGTATAGTATTGGTTTCTTATTTCCAGGGTGGTTGGTCCATACGGAGCTTGAAAGCCTTGTGGATCGAATAAAGCTAAAGCCGCTCTGCTGTGATTGGACTCAAGCCCAATACCAAAGCGGTATGGGTAGAGACCGACTTCTTCTCTTCCACTTATCGGCTTCAGATCTGGGTTGTTTGGGCGGATCACATCCACGTAAAATTCTTGGTCCGGAGACCAAAGGTGACGGTTCATAGCTGCTTCCAGATTGGATCCAATCAGTGTAAAACTGGATTCGACTTCAGAGTTGCCGGCATAGTTGCCAATTGCGGCGATTGCTCTTGCATTCGCAATCATGTATGCCTAGAAGAAGTTAGTGAAAGATTGTTACTAGGTTTTAATGCAGCTTATGCATACGTTGAGACTCGGCCGATACGTGTCTGGACCATCATATTGCAGTTTGTCATTGCCAGTTGGAGCGACAACAAACCCTGGAAGACTGTATTCTTGGGCATCAAAATTTGGCGTGAAATAGTACAAGCCGGCATTCGTATCGAAGGTATAGTCCCACTCACCCCATAATCGAGCCATATCTGCTAGTTGGTTAATGGCAAACTGCTTGTCACCATCCACTTTGGATCTCCTGTAAAGAGCATCCAGGATCCAATGTGTGTATTGTGTAGTGTTTCCTGGACCACGAGTGTAGGCCTGGATGTAATCATCCACGTAAAACTTGCCCCGAAGCCATCTTGCTTCATCAATCTGATGACCAGCAGCCGCGTTGATAGTATTCAGAGCCTGGGCATAGCCCACTGGTTGGCAGAACTAGGTCAAAATATATCCAGTCCCGGCAACGGTATATCTGAGATGGCGTTGAAGTGAAGACCAACGATAGTAATAGACATCTTGAATCGTCTTGTCTGGGATGTCAATGAAAGGAATGTTCTCTCTCAAAAATGTCTTGCCCCAGAATTGACTGATTGGAGTCTCGTGATCGAGGAAGGATGTTCCCTTGGTCCCGATATCTTCGGGTTGTGGGGGTGCTTGTGCGAGGCATAACTGTAATGCGACAAGAACGAAGGAAGCGAGGGTTATTGACCATCGCAGCCCAGAAAACGAGTCCATTCTGATGAGTCGTGAGCTCTTGAAGAATGCCAAATGCGGGGAAGATTGAAGATTTTGTACTCGTATAGCAAGTCACCCCGTACGTGGACAAGAATGGTTAGCAAAAAGTAATAGACAGCGAGCGAATTACAGACGGGGATAGCCAACTCATGACAGTAAAATGATGAAGAGCACTACGCTACACACCTAGCTGCAGACTCTGTGACACTTGTGGGGAAAGGTAGATCTTAGGAGATGTTCCCGAAAGTTCTTCCCCAAATATAAAATGTTCTACTTAGAGGGAGACAGTGCAAGATCCACGAAATGCGGATTAAAGGAGAATGCAAAAAAATATCAGTCAGAACCACAATTATTTATATACAAGGATGACCTCAAGCGATGAATAATAGAAAATATCCTGAGATTCACACGAGGATACCTAGCTGTAGTGACTCTGGCTTATCCCTAGTAAGATCTTATATGACTCTGGATTGAATCTGGATTCCTGATAGAAGGGTTTCGTAGTATCCATCTCTGAGGAGCGGTGCCTTTAGGTTTCTCTAAACCCATGAAGATGAAGAGCACGATTGCAATAGAGGTGGTAAGATATTCTGGTGTTGACTGCGGGTGGATGAGGTTGTCGTACCTTCCTCTAAAGCTTAAGGTGACACCCTAGTCAATCGCATCACGTGGAGCGTGAATCTCAATATTTACTTCAAGGCGTTTCAACCTTCAGACATAACCCAACAACAGCGATGGGACTTGCCAAATCATGTGAATCGTGCGATATACTTGCGCGTGAGGCCTCTCTATGATCGAGCCCATAGAAGCCCACCACGATGACGAACCCTCGCTCCAGCACGCGCGAAAACCGCGTTTTCAATTCCGTGTTTGCGGCCAGAGAAATCTCACAACCAACTCCACATGCCACACCGGACACTGTATTTACTGATCCAGGACAAAGATTTGGAGGACCTCTGGTCGACATTAGTCACGTATTTCCCGCGTCATCTTCGTCAAATCACAGAGACGACCCTCGAGGCCTTTCCCAAGAAGAATCAAGCTATGTCCAGGACAAGGTCAGATGGGACCGATCATGGCATATTGTCACACATGCTCTACTCCTATCAGACTTCCCCCAAAACTTGAATGCGACTGTGCCGCTACAACCCCAAAAGGAGTCACTTGATGGAGCCTTTGACCATTCTTTAGATAACGTGCTATATCCCCAGGACCGCCTTCCGTTCGCTAGAGACACTGAAGACATCTTTGAGTGGCATTCTCAGCAAGTCCGGAGTCACTTTCTACATCAAGTTCTTCCCTTAATAATCCATTCAAGAAGAATTCAAGCTCCAGATGTCTTCGTCCGATCCTGCCTAAAGATTCTAGAGATTGCCCACCATCAATATCTGCATGGACTAGCGATTTTGAAGGAGCACATGGATATCTCCACGCCTGGTACCTCTATGCCAATTCTAGCAAAATTCCGTCGAGATCTTCATGCTATCATCAGCAAATCGGTCATGGAACCGCTGTCAGCAGCCTTGAGGGGACTCTTGGAAAGACATATTTACACAGTTTTGGGTTTACCTCTCACCAATGGAAATGAGAATAGTGCAATAGTCCCAGAAGATTCATACTCAGAGGAGGCTTGCCGACAAATACTTAAACTGGTAGAATCTTTGAGGAATGTCGGCTTAGCTGGAGAGAAATTCCAAGTCGCTTTCGCCGAAATAATGAACAATTCCATGACCAAGTACGTTTATCGATGTTGCAAGGGCCTCTGGGACTCTGAAGATGGAACTTCCTACAATAATGCTACGGGAAGCTCTGGAAAAGAAGGAGTCGTTCTCCCACGAGCAGCGCACCATTCATCACCATCACGATGCGTTACGAATCTCTGCGAATGGATCGAAAACCGCTTTGCGAAACTTACTGTTCAAGTTCTTAGTGTACTGGATATTAGAACCCAAGTCAGCTGGGGAGACAAGGAAAAGTACAAGGAGATGGGTATCGGACGCCTAGCGGAACTTCGGATCAATGAATTGTTCGATATTGTTAAAAATTGGCCTCGTAGCGGAGGGGCTCTGGACGATCTGCGAACAGCTATTACTACACCACAAAGACGACTACATCTCACAGAGGCATTTGCAAATACTCTGAACGAAAAGCTTCTGCACCCCGGAGCATCGACACTACAGATCTTACAAACATACATATCTATGATATGGTCATTTCATGCTCTTGATAACTCCAAGGTTCTCCTAGATAGAGTTGCATACCCGCTCCAGTTGTACCTCTGCTCTCGTGAGGACACAGTGCGGATAATCATCACCGGGCTCCTTGCCGATCCTGAAGATTCCGAAGAAAAAGGGACCAGTGTAGAGAAGCTGGTAGAATTGGCGCACCTGCTGAACAACGTGTCCGAGAAGATTGAACAACGAGTAAATGATGAGGACTTGGATTGGCATGACATGGAATGGGTGCCGGATCCTGCAGATGCTGGTCCTGGGTACAAGCGGTCTAAGAATGCAGACATCATCGGGACGTTGATTGGTGCTCTTGGAACCCAAGATGTGTTTATTAAAGAGTTCCAGAACATTATTGGAGAGAACATGCTGAAATATGACGGGGCATTTGAAAGAGAAGTAAGTGCCTTAAAGTATTATCACAACTCGGCTGTACTAATAACTTCCAGATCAAAGTGCTAGAGCTGCTGAAAGTCCGCTTCGGAGAAGCACCACTCCAGGCATGCGAAGTTATGCTAAAGGATATCCAAGACTCCGGGAGAGTCAACGGTCTGATTAGAAAGAACCAAAAGCTGAACATCACATCAGAAGAAGAGGCTGCAATATTATCCCACAGAGCTGAAAAGGAGCACCGTCAAACGAGGAGATCAGGCGGCCCACGTCTCGAAGAGGCTGTTGAAAAGTGTTCGGTTAACGCAAAGATCCTGTCACGCCTGTTCTGGCCGCAGCTCCAAGATGACAACTTCCTCGTCCCCTCCGAAATCGCCGCCCTCCAAAGACGCTACGAAGAAGGCTTCGCATCCTTAAAAGCGTCTCGCAAACTGACCTGGCTGCACGCCCTCGGCCAAGCAACCGTTGAGCTGGAGCTCGAAGACCGGACTATCGTCGAGGAAGTACACACTTGGCAAGCAACAGTCATCTGGGCCTTCCAAAGCGACAACGAAACAGCACCGCAACACAGCGTAGAACAGCTCGTCGAACACTTGGAAATGGAGGAGCCCCTAGTACGTAGCGCCCTGAAATTCTGGGTCAACAAATTAGTCCTGCACGAAGTATCACCATCCACGTTCGCCGTTCTCGAGACGCTGAACCAAGAAGACCGCGCGCGGTCCAACGCACAAGCGGCTGCTTCCTCGGTGGCAAATGATAACGATGGGGATGATGAGAGCAAACAGCTGAAGAAAGATGGTATTGAGAGCGAGAAGATGCAGCTGTACTGGCAATTCATCCAGAGCATGCTGAAGAACTCCAGCAGCCAGATGCCGCTGCAGCAGATTGCTATGACGCTGAAGATGTTAATAATGGACGGCTTCCCGTATAGCAACGAGGAGTTGAGGGAGTTTTTAGCGCGGAAGGTTGCAGATGGGGAGTTGGAGCTGGTGGGGGGGAAATACAAGCTTAATAAAAAGTGAGGACTTGGGATTGAGTTTTCTGGCCGGCGTAAATCTTCTGGAGAACAGTATAGGGGTTTAAAGAGTCCCCTGTAGCAATGGCTATAACGGTATAAAATAGCATGAATAGAATTGAAATCAAAGACCTACGTGGGTAATTAAAGGTACGCATGCGTTGCGCGGGAAGGAAATGCAATGCACTGCATTCATGTACTCTGCTACCGGCATTTGTGTCGGTTTGGTCAAAGTACAGGTCAGGGCTTTTTATCCAGAAGACTTTTTGCTGATTTACTTAAGTACAAGTAGCTGCGATATCAGCAGTTCGTTCTGATTCGTCGTCAATGCCGATGAAGAATAAAGTCAATTATTACTGGATGCTACCTATGAAAGAGGAGGGTGGCGCTGCCCTCTGTACAATACATGTGAAAGTGTAGGTAGGGACCAGGCCAGTAAAATTACAGGTACGAGGCATGCGAACTTGACTGGCTACCTACCTGTAGCCTGTACTGTACTCGTAGTTGGGTTGGCTAGGATTAAAGGCATTCTGAGGCTTCTTCTCGCTTTTCTTCACCGAGACAGGGAAGCGATGCGAGAGTTCTTGGTAGGATACGAGACGAAACGAGTACAGTGGAGGTTCCGAGTGCCCGTTGAGGCATGCATGATCCCGTGAGACCCTTGGGATTTTCACGGTAATAGATGGAAGAATGAAGGGAAGGGAAGGCATTAGTATCGGATGCTGCAGTCTTAAACAGGTGCTCACTGCAGGCTGTGCTGTGGGCTGTCTCTCGTATGCACAGCTAAGGTACAGAAAGAAGGACGCATGGTGAGGTACTGTAGGTGTCTTATCCGTGGTATTTAGCCCATATGTACCTACCTAGGCCTAGGTACCTATGCTATGTACTTTGCTGTATAGTGATGGGGCGGCCGACGTGTCAGGTGAAATGAGATTGACTCTAAAAAGCAAGTCCGAGACTGTACTGCAATGCACTGCGCTGCGCTGCATCTAGGAACTCCAGCGCCGGGCGGTCTATTATCATTCGTCGTTGGAAGTCTTGGATGTCTTTGAAGCAAATTGTGGAAAGTAGCATGAAATACAGGCTAGGGATTGATTGGAGACAGAAGTCGGGCGAAACGGGACTGGGTATTAAAAGAGGCTCTATAACAAGGCAATATCAATTGGTAGGGAAGAGGTACTGTAGTAAGACTTTTTAAAGGTGAGATTACCTACCTACCTACCTAGGTCCCTTCTGTTTCTTTCTTCTCAGGCTCGTACAGGAGTTCTGACTTCTGACTGTCCTTCACGAGAACCTTCCCTAATAAACTCTCGCATTCGGAGGTTGAACTTGGACCCTTGCCCTTGACCTTGAAACGCTCACTCGCTCACTCGCTCGCTCCCAAGGCTAAAGGCGGTAAGTTGGTAGCTTATTCCTTCCTCTGCGGGCGTAGGGTGAATAAGGTATCTGGGCTGGGCACCTAGACAGGCGAAGGTGAAGGTGAAGGTGATAGTGATCGTGTCGCGATGGTGATATGCTACAGTAAGGTAGATACGATACGATACGATACGATACGATACTACGCTATCTACCTAGGTAGTAGTAGTCTCCACTGTGTAATCGATAAGAGGAGGGGAGCTAGGGCTAGTTGACCGTCACCGTCAGAGTGACATATATCGTCACAGTTCTGACGGATGCAGTTTGGCGGAGAGTTCGGAATGGAATGGAGAGGAGTGGAAAGTATATTATAGATATATAGTACCGGTATTACTGACTTTTGTGTTGGATGCATTTGGAATTCGAATCAAAGAGACCACCACGGGATATCTAAATCGACGGGCTGCGAAGTGAGGGGTGGGGTGCGGACTGATTAGATAGTCTAGACTGAAGCTGAAGCTGTGCTGTCCATGCCATGATCATGGAAGTGACGAGGGAGGAGGGGAAGACGGATTCAAATAGTCCCAACTTTGTCTCTCACTCAGACACCTTCGAATCTGTTATATCCTAGAAATAGAATACCAGGATTCCTTCGCACACATCCACTCCGAGAGAAACAATTACAGTACCCGGTCCTACATTTGTTTCAGCTGGTGCTTGCTCTAGGACAGGACCATGACAGCCTAACGCTTGCTTCGGCCTTCTCTTGTTAAACTGTTGATCACAGACCAGCAGCCTGACTTAGTTACTGTACTGTACTGTACCCTACCCAACTTAATCCCTTTGCCGCTTCCCATTCCTCCTCCTCTCATTCACCAACCCATCAGTCCTCGACTCAACATATAACCCTTGGGCAACACTGCTTTCCAAGCCCTTTCCACTTCCTTCTCGACACCACTCGTACCGAGATCCTGCAACTCCCAACTCCCACCTCTACCAGCGACGACCTCCTCAAGTAGCACCCGATCTCTGCCGCCCTTTACTTTAACCTGCCTCGTCGAACAAACTCGCAAATTGAGCATCGTATCTGAGCACGACATCTCTACAGAGCTGCGTTGGGGCTATTCCTCCCTTCTACAGTGCAGGTCCAGTGCGGGGTTGATCGTGATGGAGATGGACTGGACGACGGATGATCCTCAACAGCCTCCCAATACTGCACCAGGCTGTCAATATCAACCGTCCCAGCCTTCGTCGATTCCAACAAACTCGACTTCTCAAGCTCACGATCGACATTACGACCCTGTCCATGATACCCTCACAAACCTCTCAAATCCATGGCACCAATACAGCGGTGTAAATTCGCAGAGCCGACCCTCATTCTCATCTCAGAACCACCAATCGAGCTTCCCGCAATGGGGTGCGGGAGGGTTCACTCCAAACTGGCATAGATTTGGTGACGTACAGCCTGGGGCTCAAGGTCAAGGACAAGGACAAGCTCCTTCCAACCACAGAGCGCAGCCTGGGTCAATAAGCAATATGCAACAGGCAAGCTGGGATATCCAGAGCCACAGTCTGGCATACGGCTATGGCAGTACCTATGCAGGGCCCACAGCTCAACTAAATGGTAGAAGTGCTGCGGAACCAAGTGATAGACTTTCCATTCAGATACCTACAGCAGGAGCGGATTCGACGCAGCTGTCATTCCCTTCAAATCCAACGCATACTTCGACTGTTCAACAGCAACCAAGCTTTGCTCAAGACCTTTCTACTCGGGGAAGCCGTGGCTCGGCTACTACATCAAATTCCCCGCAGCAGCCAACAGATAATCCAGCTGCTCCTGGAGCTTCCAATCGAAACGGTCTTATGCCACCAGGGAGTCTCACGGAATTGCGAAATGGTAAGCACTCATATTATCACTTTGAAAGACTACTTTTTAACATCAAAAATAGCACAGTCAAGAGTGGCGAGAGCCAATCGAATGAGTACCTGGATTGACCCTCCTCGGAGACGAGGCCATCATCTCTGGGATTCGGATGAGGACGATGATTTGGATGCTGAGCTTGACGCGCGCCGTGATTTATATTTTGGTCCAGGAGCTGGAGCGGATGATGAGCGGATGATCGCTGCGTACCGTGGGCATCTGGTAAGTGGCAAAAAGGTGCCAACCAAAGAAGCTATTGCCAGTCTTGAAGTTGTCAACCTGGAGGATCTCAAAGATGATAGTAAGCCATTGCCCTGTACTCAAATTTCCAGCAAATCCTCTTTTCTAGCAGGTGTTTGGACTATGTGGGACCTGTTTCAATCAATAGTACTTTCAAACTTGATTACAGAAACCTCTCTAACATTCACTAGCATGCTCCATTTGCTATAACAAAATGGGTGTCAGTAATCCAGAGGGAGTTACCGAAACTCCACTCCGACTTCCAAAATGTCAGCATACCTTCGGTGACAAGTGTATCAAAAAATGGTTCGAGGATTCAGATAGCTGTCCATACTGCCGTGATACACTCCCTTCAGAAGTACCGAATAGAAGAACCATTGCTCTTGAGTCGATGCGAGCAGCACAAATCTTCCAACGAGAACGTATGACAATATTAGCCTCTCAGGGTCACCGCAGCCGACATGCTCTTCCATCTCGGTACTCATTCCCTGATGATGTTGGCAGGTAAATGGCAAACAGGAGATTAGGTGAAGATTAGGGTTTGACTAACTTTTTGACTAGAAGTGTATCATCTAGCCAGCAGCGCGCACAAGAATACGAGCTCATGCTATCCAGGACGTCTGCGGACGTGTTCAACCATCCGCCACCAAGTCGAAGTTCTCCAGCCGATTCTCCTGAAAGTAGGCGCCGGCAGGCCCGAGGAAGGGTCGGAAGCAACAGGGCACCTCATACACCAGGCCGCCCTACTTCAGTGGGCTCCGTCAGGTCCATTAATCCGACTGCAGGTCACTCAAGCGCTTCACAGCGGGTGCAAGTCCTAGGTAATACTGGAAACCATGGCACTAGTAATGCCGCACGGCGATCTACACCTAGTTTAAGCAGACAAGGCAGTGGAGCTACGAACACAAGCACGACACAAACTACTCCTCCACGCAACCGATTGTCAGCATCTTCAGAAGAAGCGTCGCCTCCAGTTGTAGATGGCTCTGGTGAGAGCAATGGTGAGCGAAGTAGACAACAACAATTGCATGATGCACAACGTCGACTGGCTTGGTCTTTGGGTGAACAGTGGGATTACCATACATCTGGCAATCGGAGGAGCCCATCGCCATCTGACTCGGCCATCTCTGCCGCTTCCCATGATTCTCGTGTCGTTAATTTTGAGGGCCACTCGAGGCAACCAAGCCACTCGTATCGACCTCGAAACTATGCGAGTGCACACGCAACATCATATGCCGAGCTCCAACAACGACTCGAATCACACTATGGGTCGCGAGATGAGCTCCATAGCAACATGAATGGGAACTCTCAGCCGAGATGGTCTCACTAACAACCTTTAATTTAGGTCTGCAACACATTCCAATACGGACTACTTTCAGCAAACCGGCAACCTTTTTCATTCATCATGATCATTCTACACGTCACACATCATTTCTTTGCACTTTCTCCTTTTCCACAGCAAGCAATGGGACACGGTCAGGTCGGGCGGGCATGGCGTATTCGGAGCAAGTAATCTGCATACTTCTCGAGTGGGCTTCTTAATTTCCGCATTTAATGAGTAGATGGGCGGGCGCTTATGGGAAGGGGTGGTCTGCTCTGCTTATTGAAGACAAGGATATTGCATTGTTTGTTGCGTGTCAGTATAAGGTAGCTTAATAGTAGCCCTGCAAATAAGAAAACCAACTGATAAATATTGAAAAACATCAACTTTTTTTAACAAGTACTGTGGTGGGGAGTAAGCAGAAAGCAGAAAGAAGAAAGAAGAACAGCACGATACATACGGTATGACGATTGATAGCGAACTCTAAGAAGGCTGATGCTTTGGAAGGGAAATGTGAGTTACATACAGTATTATTAATGATCCGGTCGCTTGATCTCTCCTTTCCAGCCCATCCATCCATCACAGTCAGTCAAAGAGTCAAACACGGAGCGAGTAGCGAACCATAACACTCAAGCCGGAGACAGCACTTGACATTACTGATGAATTGGATAAAGCTTTACTGTATCCAGACTTTGAACTTTCCTGCAGTACTCTCTCAAAATCCGAACCTCCATTTCCAGTTCCACCTCCTTATCCCGATCGCTAATTCATTTAGTCATTCACCCATCACGCCCACGCTCACGCTCACGCTCACGCTCATCCCTACTCCTCACCCCCCTCCCCCGTTGAAACGCTGATTACTATTAGGCGGAATGATTGTAAAAGGAAACCGGGAGAATGTTGATGCTGGATGCATAGCAAGGTGCATAGCATGGTGCTGATGAAGAGGCTGGGTATTGGAATTCTGTGGAGGAGGAGAAGGATGGTGGGTTAGTTTTTACGCTTAAAGGCTGGAGTGTGAGTGGGAGTGGGAGCGGGAGTGGGAGTTGGTTGGGGTTGTTGTTTACCGCTAGTATATTTCATTGGAAGTCTCAAGGCGCTGAAGATGGCTCTTGTTTGTAGGTAGGTAGTTTTGGAAGCTGGGGTCGGTGTGTGTTTGTTTGACGCGACTGACTGACTGCTTGATTGAACCGGAAGGACTTTTGGTGATTTTTACTGATAGAAGGATGATGTAGACTTTATTGCCGGAATTCTGGTTCGGAGATTGATTACTTCTGGTATGATACAGGAAGCCTTTCGTGGATGATTTTCTTCTGTCTGTTGGTATGAGAAGAAGGCCCTGAGAGCGTGCTGGCCTTTTCGATGTACAGGAATGAATTCATGGCGTTGGTTGGGGAATTTGAAACTCGCTTACTTGAGCCTTCGTTTCGCTGTGCATGTCGTGACTGACATACAGATCAATGATTTTAAGATAGCGTGTCAAGCTCCTCGTCAATCTCCGCGAATGGTTCTCTTATCCGAGGTTCGAGGGGTTCATTGAGAGGGGGTAGGTTGGGAAAGCAACTTGGCCGGATATACTTGTCGAAGAAGTAGATAGTGGATGCGAAGAGGAGAATACCAAGGAATACACCAAGGACGAGGCTAGTAATTATCCTCGAGTTGTCGGCTCTTGGCCTAAAAGGATGATTCTCTATATCTGCCATTGCCAAAGCCGTCATGGAGGTGATTAGATCGAACTTCGATGGCAGTTGTGGGAGATGGATGCGAGTGTGGAAAATGGGGCTCGAAAAGATGTTTGGTTCTGCCGAGATGGGATGTCAAGGAAGGATGTGGAGTCCAGAAATGATGCGATTGGAATATCCTAAATAACACTTCTCTTTGGTTGTCACCTTGTTTTTGTGACGACGCTTGGTGTTTGAGTAGGTAGACAGAGGTGTAAAAGTTGGTCGTTCCTTCTTCGCTCGCTTCGCAAAGAACAATGAACCGACTATTAGTCGACAAACTGACAATTGTATTTTCACCAATAAGGTATACTGAACTCAATGTCCAACTTGCTCAAACTCCTTTAGGTAAGATAGGGCCTTGCAGGAATGTATCTACAAGGTTTAAAAACACCGATCCATTTCTACTGCAAACAAGTAAGCAATAAGACTTAAGATATTTCAATTCCAGAGTTCACTTGCCCGTATTTCAATAAGATGGAGGTCAATGTATCCTTGTTTTATCACCAAAGTCCTGGTTAATCAATGGATAATCATGTCAAGCCAAATATCACGCGATTCAAGAGTGACGAAAAGCAACTCTGCCAGCTGTGAAGCCATGTTTTCATATCTATACCTACCAGCTTACAATTTTGCCTTTTCTTTCGAAGATTGGATTGCTTTCTTCACATTGACCCAAGCCAACTCGCCCATCGGGTGCCTTGCCAGGGCATTGGTTTGCGCCTTGGCACTGCTTGCCTGTCTGACGGCATAGCGTGCTGCAATGCCCTGATAGATACAAGTCGCTCTGAAAAACCCGAAAGCAATTCCCCATGTCAGTTCCGGGCTCGGGTCCCATCCAGCAACTTCAGCATACCATCTTAGGAGATCTTTCTCGGTAGGCAACCCAGGCAATTTGCCCTCTTGGAAAGCTGGCAAACTCCGCAACTCAGGTGCGTCCCTGAGATAATAAGGTGTCGTTAGATTGACCAAGTCAGAGAGTGGATGGCCAATTGTTGACATTTCCCAGCTATAACGTTGTTAGTATCTATAATTCCACATTGGTTAAAAGAGGGACAATGTTACTCCAAGATCCCAATGACCCTAGGCTCAGTCTTGTGGAAAACTAAATTGTCTATCTTGTAATCCCCATGGATTGGAGTTCCCCGATCTTTGGGTTGAAACCTCCGATCTCTGAAATAGGTCAACATCTCGTCGATATGTGGAGTCTGACCCACGGCCTCTTTCGTCTCAATATCGACCGTCTCGGCTTGTGCTTTGCTGATGGTCGCAAAAGTTTTAATCTGGCGATCGTAGAAGCCTGACGGCTTTCCGTAATTTTCGAGACCGACGTCTTTTGCTACGATGCGGTGTAGCTTAGCTAATGTTCGAATGGCGTCGTGCCACCTGAATACTCTTAGAATTCGAATAGCATGGACTAGTATCTTGACTCACATTTCCGTCCTTTCGGCAGGTGTAACATCCGGCATTGTAGGGTCTTCAATGATTCTTCCATCCAAAAACTCCATAACATAGAAAGGAGTTCCAACGATACTGTCATCTTCGCATAGACAATAAGTCTTTGGCACAGGGACATCGGTTTTCTCTAGGGCATGTATAACACGATATTCCCGCTCGACTTGATGGGCCGTCTTCGAGATGAGCTTTCCCGGAGGCTTCTTCCGCATCACATACTTCACACCATCGCTCGCGGTGAGTTGGTACGTTGGATTCGACTGTCCAAAACCGAACTGTGAATTTGATTAGAACGAAGTACGGAATAAGTTGAGCGATAAAGATGCGTATAGTACTTGCCTGTTTGATATCGATGGGAACTTTAATTTCTGGGACATTTTTGGAGATGTATCGCTCTAGCGACTGGACGTCGATGGGTTGTCTCACGGCGCCAGCCATTGCGAATGCGAAGTAATCAGAGACAGGGAGGTTGTAGGAACCGTACAAGTACGGGCAATTTGCATTTTGAGGGGCATGGAGCTATAGTCAAGTCAAGTTGGGAGGGATCAAGAGCCTCGGCAAGCTACTGTATGCAACGCAACACAATATTTACAGGCCCACTTCTTACCCGAACTACCCCTCGGAAAACGACACCGGCCCCGGAAAATGGTATTCCGTACCGTGCCGAGATCTTGGGTATCAATTATCTCTTATTTTCTACCAAGTCTAATGCCGGGTGAAATATTCATAGATTTACAAGTTAGTTTGGTAAATCCTTAAACCTTGCTCAAAAATCTACATCTATGATACTTGAACGAAGCCCCGCTTTTTCTGCCCCTCTGCATTGTCCGTTGTCTGCCAGGTATCTTCATCGACATAGTCCTTTACCCCTTTTTCTTTTATCTGAGCACCAATGACCCTCAAAGCCGCCAGGTTGAAGCCAATCTCATCCTTCTGCCTCTTCAGCGCTTGCCGCAAATTGCTTCTAATCCCATCTAGGAGCGATTTCAAGTTCTTGCTAGCCACGATCTGTCGATGGTGGGTCTTTAACATAAAAAACAAGATCCGACAGGTTAACGGTATGTTCATCGACCTTGTTGCGAAGATGTTGAGAAACGTGAAAAGTGGCGGGACGGTTGCAAAGGGAAGCACCAGCAGAGCATCCTGGAGAGCTGCAGCCTTGACTCTTTGCAAGACCGTCAAAACATGAACCTCGGCGCTGATTCCCCCCAAAGCCATGAATAGTAGATTCCGAGATGGAGGTGCAACGTTTGGCTGTGCTACCTTTGCTGCTTCCCACTCTTCCATGACCTGCAAATCAGCCATACCAATTTCTAACGCTTCTACTATCTTTTCCCCAGCCATCAGGGTTTCGACGGTTTGTTTTCCTGCCGTGCCAACCTCCGCGGTCTCGTCGTCTTTATCTTGCTCCTTGTCGAGTGATGTAGTCAAAGTACTTTCATACAACTCCTCGAGTTCTTTCTCCCTCTCCTCTTCCAAAAAGATCTGCTCGTCTGTCTGTTCCCAAACTCGTATGCTCTTATCATGACTCGCACTAACCAGAAAATCGCCGGTCCTACTGACTGCGAGAGCCCAGATTTCCCCATGATGGCCACTGAGACGCTGGATTTGCTCGAATTTATCGCCGTCCCAGTACTTGATCATTCGATCTTTGCTACTGCTGAAAAAGTGATGTCCATTCCCATCTTGATTGTGAGGTACAAAGGCGACCTGCAAAATACTATCTTGGTGGGCAAAGAATGCTTTATGGCAGTCTCCAAAATCCAGACCCCAAAGACGTACATTTTTGTCAGCAGAACAGGTGACTATCAACTTGCTGTCAAAAGATATATCCATGCTCAAAACAGGTAGTTTGTGCCCGTACAGGTTCAAGAAAAGCTTCAGCGAATCCACAAAGAATACCTTGACTGTATTATCTAGTAGGGCAACTGCAAGCATTTTCGAATCGGGAGAGAAGCGCAAGCTGAGAATATCGTCGGAAACCTTGAGAGTTCTTGTATGGACGAGTTTTAATCGCGGCGTGGTTCTTTTCGTTCCGGGAATTTCCTCTTGCACGATTTCAAAGTTCCAAAATTTGGCCGTCTTGTCTGCACTCCCCGATACAAGTGACCTTCCATCAGGATGTACCTGAAGAGTCCAAGCAGCACCTTCATGTCCCTTCACACTATCGAGCATGGCAGCAGAGGCCACATCGAAAAGCTCCAATTCTCCAGATTTGGTGCCGACTACCACAATCTTGTCGCCAGGTAGGAAAGCAACGCATAGAGCATATCCGCATTCGAAAGTCCGAATACAACTCCTTGTCCTAACGTTCCATATCTTTAAGCCACCATTTGAAGCGGATGCTAGCATTCGATCGTCTGAGCTTAATGCTACGGCTCTGATGTCTGCTCGATGACCAGGCATTTCTACCGAGAGAGTTCGCGAATAATCTGGAAGTTCGTCGCTCTTGGTCTTCTTCGCCTTGTCCTTCGTAGGGATGTTGTAGACTTCTAATTGGTTATTCGTTGTGGCCGCAAGCAATTGGATAGCTTTCGACCGTTTGGTTTGGACCCAGTCGAGCGAGCGAACTTTACCACCAGTCCTCACTATAACGTAGGGAATAAAGACGTCGGTGATCTCAGCGGCTGAAATATCCTCATCGACCTCTGCCTCAATATCCGACTTTCCCGCCGCCGAACCGAGTTTCTCTCGTCTTCTCTTGCGTTTCCGTGCCAAGCTCTTCCTCACCTCGTCTCCTGACCGGATCCTCCAGATTTCGATTGCTCTTTCTGACCCATGGACAGCAAAGTAATCTTCCCGAGGATGAAAACTCACTTCAATGGTCTTATCCTTACCTTGACGGTGCAATAACCCTCTGTTGTGAAGGTATCGATTTCCAGTAGCAGCATCTACCTCATCCGATAGCTTCGAAAGCCCGAGGGTATCAATTGACCAAACATTTAATTCCCCGTCATTCCCAGCCGTGATACATCCACTGCGGTCAGGCGAAACACCGAGAGACCAACATTCTCCATTCGTCTGGGCCACGTGCGTCTCTATACAATGCTGAGATGTAAGATCCCACAACTTTATAAGAGCATCTTTCCCAGTCGTGAGGAGGAATCCCTCACTATCTTCGGAATTTCTGGGGAGGGAAACAACATTCTCTGCGTCGTCCTCAATATTTTCTTGTGCTTCGGGTTGGATGAATTCTAGGCCCGTTATCTGATCCTTATGGCCTCTTAATTTGTATTGGCCAACTTCTGCAACCAAATCCCATATTATCACATCTGTATCCTTGGACCCACTCGCGAGCCTGACGCCGGACTTGTCGAAGGAAAGGATAGTAATAGCAGATCGATGGCCGTTAAAACTGACTACAATAGTAGCAATTTTGGAGTCCCAAAGCCGTATACTGCCATCTTCGTAGCCCACGGCGTAAACGTCCGGGTCTGACTTGCTCTGCGCAAGAGCTGTGACTTGGGATTTACAATCGCTGTCCCGCCATCGACCTAGCAACTCTCCCTTCCGTATATCCCAGCATAGGACTTCTTCGTTCGCGGCGACAACAGCTCGTCCTGATCCAGTACTCCGCGATGAGTTTGTCGCATCGGCAGACCAGACCACATTAGAGGTGCTTGAACTGACGAGTCCGAAGGTTTTCGAGTGCTCGTATTTTCTGTATCAATCGGGGTTAGCTAGATGAGTCATATCCCTGAGGATTTGGGACTTACAGGTAAGATTTCACCATCTTTACATGGTGTTGAAGATTTTAACTTGGGCAACAATTAATTTTTTTTTACCTCTCGATAAGGACTTCGTTATCAGGGGGGTCGACTTTTCGCTGTTCTCGTGATTAGCGAATATGCGTATTTGTTGTCACGCTAGGCTGCGTATGTGCCCCACCATCTGTCCCTCATCCCTCATCGTCAACTTCTAAGTCAACAGAGGGAACATCGCGACAACCAGTGGTGGGAGTGGGAATACATATCAACGCATATCACACACCGCAAAAATGCTTCTTCTCGACTATCAAAACGTGCTGATCCAGTCTGTGCTGACAGAGCGCTTCTCGGGGTACCTACCCTCTATCCTCCCCAAACCCAATCGAAGCCATGCTAATTGCCTTTCAAAGGGCCCCGCCTGTGAACATAGACCAAACGGTCTCCGACTTCGACGGTGTTACCTTCCATATTTCAACTCCCGAAACCAAATCGAAGATCTTGGTTTCCATTCAAGTCAGATGCTACAATGAGCTCTTGAAATACGGCGCGCAACAAATCCTAGAACGGGAATATGGCCCTTATGTCGTTGCGCCGGAAGCCGGGTACAACTTCTCTGTTCAGGTTGACTTGGACAGTCTCCCAGATGATAAAGGTGCGACTCGAATGGTTCTGTGCCAATGTACCAGCTAACGATGGGCGCTACTAAGAAGCTCGAGATGACCTGATTCGTCGAGTATCGTTACTGAAACGTAACGCAATGGCAGCACCATTTGAGAATGCATTTGATGAGTATCACAAATTATCTGAGGAAGCTTCCAAATTCACATCCGAGGAGGCCCCTCAGGGCGTTCAGGAAGGCGGTGAAGTCAAGGCCATTCATTACCGTGATGAAGAAGCAATCTACATAAAAGCCAGTCATGATCGAGTCACGGTCATTTTCAGCACCATATTCCGAGAGGAGACAGATAGAGTCTTTGGCAAGGTTTTCATTCAAGAATTCGTTGATGCTCGGAGGAGAGCTATCCAGAATGCTCCTCAGGTATTATTTAGGACAGATCCTCCCCTTGAACTCCAAGGTGTACCCGGTGTCAACAACAACGGTGGTGGGGAGATTGGTTATGTAACTTTTGGTGAGTACGGCAAAGTCAAATGAACGGCTTGAGCTAACCCTTGCAGTCCTTTTCCCAAGGCACTTGACTCGCCAGAGGCGAGACGACGTTATTTCACACATTCAGACTTTCCGGGATTACTTCCATTATCACATCAAGGCTTCGAAAGTATATGTCCGAGGTCTAGTTTATCTGTACCAAACACTAACACTATCTAGGCATATATCCACTCAAGAATGCGCAGACGTACAGCCGACTTCCTACAAGGTAAGCAATATCGCAAGCAAACTGGGCTTTCTCTAACACTAGGGTTACATAGTTCTTCGACGAGCACGGCCAGAGAACGAAGAAAAGGAGCGAAAGACGGCGAGTGGGCGAACCTTCAAGGTGCAAGGGAGTTAAGAAAGTTCTGGGCGTCTTTTAAAAAAGTTACATTCTCATAGGGAGAGTATACCCGAGCTCAATACTCTCTCCAACTCCTGAACTGAACCTGGCATTGCCTATAGAAAGGATATTACGACATAAAATACATTCCACCGAGATGTTCTAATTGTCCTTCTGATACATGCTTGTGTAGACACTGGCTCTCGCGTTATTATGTGGGTCAATGTAGACCTACCATTCAGAATTATGACTTTGCACTTCGATTCTCGCCCTTTCTTTTGCTGCTTTCCCTTTGCTCCTCTCTTTAGTCTGTCTTCCCTTCTTTACCGCCGCACTATCGCGGTTTATCCTTCAACTTATAGACCTTGACAAGCGCCAGCTAAAACCCTTCTCTCTTGTTGGATTTCTCATTGATGGTGGTGGCTTAAGGGCGTCCTACTGAGATGCTGATATGGGGTTTGTGGTGATGGGGTGCGCTGTCGGACTTTGAGAAGGGCTCTGTACTATCGTTACGAGACTTGAGAAGGAAGAAGGGATCCAAAGTTTTTACTCCGTAGAAAGTGCCGAGCGAACCTATCCGCTATCTATATATATTGTCCTTAATTGCTGGAGTGGTCAAACAATCTACGTGGTAACGTGACCTAGCGCTTAGAACTTTCGACCTTGCTCTATCTACGACGACAATTTAGGGGGTGATAAACTTGTAACATTAATTGGTAGATGAAGAGAAACGAGCGCTCGACCAAGGTAGTTCTTATGCTAACCAGGAGTAATAATGCTGATTTGATGTGATGAAACTAGGGAAGTTCATAAAGCACAGGGTATTTGTTATATTTGCGACATGTATTCGGAATGCGTATTTTAGGACTTAAGTTTTTATATGTTTCATCTTGTCCAGTACAGTAGTAATCCACCAGAAACCCTGCGCACATCACAAACCAAAGGAATCGCGCCACCTTCAGCCTCGGCCTCCTATATACGGCACGTGACTTATACGCTAACGAAACCGACTTCACTTTGATGCGCAACGAATTTGACAATCATCTCACGCGCAGATCGCAAACAACAACCATCCAAGCCGCCATGTCTGACGCCGACTTTGAGACAATCAGAAAGCTTCAGGCTGAGCGGAATGCCGCTTCTGCTGGTAAGAAGGGATCAAAGACGTTTGATCCGTCAACTCAGCGAACTGATAATGATACGAAGGCGTCCTTAACGGACACATTCGATACTACCCTCTACGAGCGCGATGGCGGTGACAAGTTTGCGGGCTACAACACTTCCATAGCTGTTGCAGATGGCGATGATGATGATGAGGACATGGAAGCGGATACGAGTCGACGACTAGTTGGACAATATACGGCTTCGAATGAGCAGATAAATGAGTTCGCCCATGGGAACGGGGTCGAGGAAGAGGATATTCTTTTAGGTCGAGAAAAGAGTGGACAAATTGCTGATCGGGAGACTGATTACCAAAAACGACGGTTGGATCGTGTTCTGACACCCACCAGGGCTGACCCTTTCGCAGCAAACCGGCAAGCGGGAGCAGCGGAAGATGGTGAGAGCTACCGTGAGATTATGGCACGGAGGGATCTAGAGAGAGAAGAGGAGAGAGTCAAGAGGAAAATCGAGGAGCAGACAGCAAATGGAGAAGTTGTTCACCACAAAGCCACCCTTTCGAGAGAAGGTAGTGGTTCGCCCAGCGACAAGGAAAATAAGGAGGCCGGATCGACAGAGGTTGTAAGTGCCGGTCGTAAGCGCAAACAACGATGGGATATTGGAGCCGATTCTACAGACTCTACAGCAGTGCAACCCTCGGAATCTAAAATTAAACGCTCACGATGGGATCAGACGCCTGCTGTAGGAGGTGCGGTTGTGGATGAGACTCCTCGACGGCGATCTAGATGGGACCAAGCTCCAGCTGCTACACCTATGGGAAATCAAGGGCTCGTCACACCCATGCACCCCTCGCAGATGGGTGGTGGCCCAGTTATGCCCACGGCTTTTGGAACCGATATCTCGGCAAGGAACGCCCCTTTATCAGATGAGGAGCTTGACTTGATGTTGCCTACAGAAGGTTACAAGATTCTGGAGCCCCCTCCTGGTTATGCTCCTATTCGAACAGTTTCCCAAAAGCTGATGGCCACTCCCGCTGGCGCGGGCGGCGCTGGTGGTTTTATGATGCAGGACCCGGAAAGCCAAAGAAGCATGGGGAAACAACTACCTACAGAGATCCCAGGAGTAGGAGATTTGCAATTCTTCAAGGCGGAAGACATGGCGTATTTCGGGAAATTGACAGACGGAAGTGACGAGAATACTATGAGTGTAGAGGAATTGAAGGAAAGAAAGATTATGAGACTGCTGTTGAAGGTCAAGAATGGCACACCACCAATGCGGAAGACAGCTCTTCGACAACTCACAGACAACGCGCGCCAATTCGGTGCCGGACCTCTGTTCAATCAAATTCTTCCTCTCCTCATGGAGAAGACGCTGGAAGATCAGGAGCGCCATTTACTGGTAAAAGTTATTGATCGAGTTCTTTACAAGCTTGAAGACCTTGTCAGACCTTATGTGCACAAGATTTTAGTCGTTATTGAGCCGCTGCTCATCGACCAGGACTACTATGCACGGGTTGAAGGCCGAGAAATCATTTCGAACCTTAGCAAGGCTGCTGGTCTTGCGCATATGATCAGCACTATGCGACCGGATATCGATCACGTTGATGAGTATGTCAGAAATACTACCGCGAGAGCCTTTGCCGTGGTTGCCTCTGCTCTTGGTATTCCAGCCCTGCTTCCCTTTCTACGTGCTGTTTGCAGGAGTAAAAAGTCATGGCAAGCACGACACACTGGTGTCAAGATTGTGCAGCAGATTCCAATCTTGATGGGCTGTGCAGTGCTTCCACATCTGAAGGGTCTGGTTGAATGCATTGGTGGCAACCTGAACGATGACCAGACGAAAGTGCGAACTGTCACCAGTTTAGCTATTGCAGCTTTAGCCGAAGCGGCCAACCCTTATGGTATAGAGAGTTTCGATGACATTTTGAACCCCCTCTGGACAGGAGCCCGCAAACAACGAGGCAAAGGTCTGGCAGGCTTCCTCAAAGCCGTCGGTTACATTATTCCACTCATGGACGAGGAGTATGCCAATTACTATACCAGTCAGATCATGGAGATTCTCTTGCGAGAATTCTCGTCTCCAGATGAGGAAATGAAGAAGGTTGTCCTTAAAGTGGTCTCCCAATGTGCCGGGACCGATGGTGTAACGGCTGGATATTTGAAGGAGCATGTTCTGGATGAATTTTTCAAGAGTTTCTGGGTTCGACGAATGGCTTTGGACAAGCGAAATTATCGACAGGTTGTTGAAACAACAGTCGACATAGGCCAAAAAGTTGGCGTAGGAGAGATTGTGGAGCGAATCGTCAACAACCTAAAGGATGAGAGTGAGGCTTACCGAAAGATGACAGTGGAAACAGTAGAGAAGGTTATTGCCAGTCTAGGTGCAGCAGATATTGGCGAGCGGCTCGAAGAACGTCTGATTGACGGTATCCTGCATTCTTTCCAGGAGCAAAGTGTTGAGGATATTGTTATGCTCAACGGCTTCGGCACTGTGGTAAATGCTCTTGGCACACGATGCAAGCCATATCTCCCTCAAATCGTCAGCACAATTCTCTGGCGATTGAACAATAAATCTGCTACCGTCCGACAACAAGCAGCAGATCTCATTTCCCGCATTGCGATGGTCATGAAACAATGTGGTGAGGATGCTTTGATGGGCAAGCTTGGTATTGTCCTCTACGAATATCTCGGAGAAGAATATCCCGAAGTTCTTGGATCTATTCTTGGAGCCCTGCGGTCTATTGTCACAGTTGTTGGTATCAGTCAGATGCAACCACCCATCAAGGATTTGCTTCCCCGCCTTACACCAATTCTACGAAATCGACACGAGAAGGTGCAAGAAAACACCATTGATTTGGTCGGACGTATTGCAGACCGCGGTCCTGAAAGTGTCAATGCTAGAGAATGGATGAGAATCTGCTTTGAACTTTTAGACATGCTGAAAGCACATAAAAAGGGCATCAGAAGAGCTGCCAACAACACTTTCGGTTTCATTGCCAAGGCCATCGGTCCTCAGGATGTACTTGCTACGTTGCTCAACAATCTTCGCGTTCAAGAAAGACAATCTCGCGTGTGCACGGCCGTCGCTATAGGAATTGTGGCCGAGACGTGCGCGCCTTTCACCGTCCTTCCTGCTCTTATGAACGAATACAGAGTACCCGAACTGAACGTCCAGAATGGTGTTCTCAAGTCACTCTCTTTCCTCTTTGAGTATATTGGTGAAATGGCCAAAGATTATGTCTACGCGGTGACGCCTTTGCTCGAGGATGCTCTCATCGATAGAGACCAAGTACATAGGCAAACAGCCGCCTCGGTTGTTAAGCATGTAGCACTAGGTGTCGTTGGACTTGGGTGTGAAGACGCCATGCTCCATCTCCTTAATCTCCTCTACCCCAACCTTTTCGAAACGAGTCCCCACGTCATCGACCGTATTATCGAAGCCATTGATGCCATTAGAATGGCTGTTGGACCTGGTCTCACCATGAATTATGTCTGGGCTGGACTCTTCCATCCAGCACGGAAAGTCAGACAACCTTACTGGGTAAGTTATAATTCCATAATCCTTATATTACATTGAAAATCAAATGCTAACAACTTTTCAGAGACTATATAACGACTGCTACGTCCAATCGGCTGATGCGATAGTGCCCTACTACCCTAATTTGGATGACGAGAGAATGGATAGGCCAGAGCTGGCCATTGTTATTTGAGCAGGGAGAAGCGGGCGCCCTTTTTCAGTGTATGATAATTGTTCTATGTAAAAAATGAACACAATCTGCCCATATTCTGATCATCCTTTTGTGATTCTCAGCATCTCACCAGCCAAGCTCTTCGGACATGAACGGCAGTCATGATCTTCAATTTTTAATGTCCCACTCACCCGGGCACATTATACGAAGTAAATCGGCGTCGTTTTTTCCCAGTACACCGAGCCAAGCTCTTGGTGTTCTTATAGTTTGTCCAGCCCTCTCTCGAGGCGTACACCGCTTGTCGGCCCCCGAAGCACCATACTCATGAAGCCGCTCTACCCTCTTCATAAAACATGAACGCTGTACGATATTGAGCACCAGCTGACCGAAGACCGCAGTGCAGAGAGTGATCCAAACTCTGGACCAAGACCCAAATCCTCGACCGAGATATCCCTACCAGTCCAGTAGCCCGGGCCCCTTTCCATTCGCTTCACTCGGTGAGCTGCTGCGAGTAATTATCAGCAATGAGTAGGTAGGTACGGCATACGATATGTAGGGAGGTAAGTCAAGTATCGAATCTATGCTTCTCGGGTTATATAACATGCGGGCTGGCTGGGTCGTCGCAAGGGAAATCGCTGCTATGCTATGCTATGCTATGCTGTGTTGCGCTGTTCGTTACCTGCTATCAAGGAAGTTCCTACAGAGTGAGCGATGCTGGCAGGCAGGACTTGAACGCGGCTGGGAGTGCTGCTGAAGGAGAAGGGCCTTGATGCTTTTTCTGTCGCTGGCATCTCTGTCTGCTTTTCTGGGCTCGGCTCCTCGAATGATACCATACCGTCGGGTTTTTCTTCATTCGGTTTGAAAGCGAACCTTTCTGAGCTGACTCGCGGTATCCTAGATCTGACTAACCCCCTGGGATTGATTGTACAAGTGAAATGAATGATCTGAATTGCAAGCTTGGAGCAGAAGGTCATCGGCGATGCTGTCTCCCCCTTTCCTTTCCCTTAGATATCTCAAAAGGCACAAATACTCATCTCATTACGGGTGTGCCGTGCCAACAGCTCAATGAGCAAGGGTAAAAAAGGACCTTGACGATTCATGAAATAATAATCATTCACACGATTCAATGCCCTTGCGTAAATTACTAGAATTACATCACTCACTCACTCACTTACTCACTTGTTTGGCGGTGAATGATGAATGGATGGATGGATGAGATGAAAATAAAATGAGGCTAGCTAGCTTCCCTCAGCCCACGATATCTCGGCGAGATACTCGGGGCTTTTGCACGACAATATTGCACCAGTCTTCCCAGATACGGAGTAGCCAATTCCACATTTAAGCATCTGGGGCACTTTGGGCGATCCTCAACGGTTGTCACCTAAAGCGGGTGGCGGGTGGCGCCCAAGAGCCAGAGAAAGAAATGAGTAGCGGGAATACCGTACGCTGCGGTAGATGTGGGGGATCAGCCTGCTGGCTGTGCGTCTGTCTGTGAGTGAGTGTGTGAGTGGGAGTGAGCTTGTGTGTGTGTGTGTGGGTACGGTGGATCCGGTGCATGCGGTTGCCGGGATATGAGATGATGAGAGAGAAAAAAGAAAAAACTATGGAGTCAACTGAACAGCGGGCGTTGGACGGAAAGGGGGGAGATCGGCTGACGTCTTTCCGCGACGGGCGACTTGAAACAATGCTTGTTCCCCAATCCAGCTGTAGTCCCCAAGTAGATCAAGGGGTTCGTCCGCAAGCAGACGTAGCGTATGTCGGTACCTTGACAGTCTTGAATTTTATATCGAGTAATGCGCAGGGTAAGGGCAGATTATTGGTTTTCTGGGAATCTGGGGCTTACCCTGCCTGTTCCCTACCCTACAGTACAGACTGGGTCAGACTGTACCAGTAAATTTAGATGATTTAAATTTAATTAGCCTCCTCAGATATCCTTGCAGGTGACTTCCTTGAGCCTGAGCTTCTCGTTTCTCGGTAGCCGGCCGGACAGGCATGGCGGGCAAGCCCTGATGATTTATTGGTAAATGATAATTTACAAGAATACTCGTACTGTACAGTACTTTTAACCTCATCCCAGCTTCCTGTAAAGGGGACTGCTCAACTGTTTGGCACATGACACTTCACGGTCCACCTGCTGGTCCGAGACGGTGAACTCTACAAGTCTATAGTATGGAGAACGAACTAGTGTTTAACGACTGAAGAATTCTAAACCTGCCTCAGTAGGAAGCATCATTTTCAACACTCAGGACTCGGTACCTTTTCCTTTTCTCAAGTCAGAGCCTCAACTATCCGCTACGGTGCTTCCTATTCGCCAACCAGCCCAGTGATAGCACCCTCTCTATGTGATAAGCAAGGGTTGTGTTGAATTTTTGACTAGGTGGGTTTTTGAGTAGGAGATGGTTCATAGATGGTAGACATGGAATAATGGAAATCGCAAGATCTTCAGCAAATTACCGAAGCAAGATTGATTAATTAACCAAAGCGAATTCTTGCATGATTTCAATATTCGTCTCATCAAATATCCGTCAGATGCACAGCACAGTCAGTACTCTGACTTGTACGGAGTACCTATCTCGACATAGTTGCCCTAGGAAGTAGGAAGGAAGCAAGTAGTCCCTCGGGAGTTGCTGAGTAGCGGCTGTCGTGGCTTGCGGCTTGCCTAGCAAACCCACCTTTTCCCTATGCCATGCTGTGGATGCCATACGGACAATTGTACGTACACATGCGATAGAGGTTGAGTTGGACTGTTGGACCCCTAGTATGGTTCTTGTAGCTTGTACAAGTACAAGTAAATATGTGCTAAGGATACAAGTTGTAGGTGTTTAATCGGTCATATCATATCGCCGATTTGGTACAATACTGAATCGCGTCAACAATCCCAGCCTGTCTTCATTATGGATTCTTTCATCAATGCCTCTTCCTCTCATTGGTACTTGCAACGGCATAGCGCGCTTGCCTTCACAACAACGACGTTGAGTGGCCAGCGTCATTCATCATCTACCTTTATACGGAGTAGACTACTTCACATGCCACTTTGCCCTTTCAAGCATCCCTAAATGTCGTCGTCTTTTAGTTCGCCGTTGCGGCTGTCAGATGTTACCTCGCCTCACCTTAGAGATCAAGCAGAGTTTCGATTGCCGTCCGGATAGCCCTCGTTCCCGGCGGTAGAGGGCAATGGCGTAAAGCCTCAACAAGGAAAAGTTCAAGTTTGGCTGGCTGGCTGGCTTGAAGGGAAGGGTGGGGTGGGGAAGGGGAGCGAGCGAGCGCCACCAGTTAACCTCTCCGCAAACGCACTGTCCTGCAGTTTCTGCAAGCCACGAGCCACGATTTACTATGTGCCATTCCTGTTTGGCAGCAATCGCGGCAAGACATGGCTTTACAATGGTTGCAACAAAATCATACAATGGATGGAAGTCTTATTGTCTCGGGATACTGTTCGGCTACTGTACCACACTTAAACCGCGGAAATGCTGCAATGAAATGATTACCTTGGGCGCCAAAGCTCCACCACACGGCAGCTAAAGCACTACGCGCAACTATAGTTCTTGTCGCAAGACACTATCTCCACGTTAACACACTTAGTAGGTAAAATACGGAAGCACACTTCCGCCCCCATCATAATTAGGAACTTGATCTATCAATTATGTTTTGGCATCGAAACAAGTATATTTTCCAACAGATATAACAAGGGTATTCAGTGCAAGATCTCGCCATTTCATCTTGCATACAGCATGGCCCAATAAATAAATCGGATGAGATGATTGATGACAAGTCACACAAACTCACTACTGTATGTACACACGCTGAAAAGCAATAGTAAATACTGTGAGTGAGGGGAACAGGAACAGCCAAGGCCCAAGGGCCCAGAAAGAATCATTCACTGGGACGAATGAGAACGCGTGTCGCAATACAGAGACTGCCGCTTACGGCTGCTGCTGCTGCTGCTCCTGCTGCGACTACTGCTCCTGCTGCTCATTTTGAGGCTTTCTCAGTTTGTCGTCTCATCCCTGCCACTGTGATCGCCCGTCCCGTCTTGCGGCTTGCTGGCATCATGCACGGGCCTTAAAACCTTGTGCGTGCCAATTGATATCAGACGATGGAAGCCTCCTGAGTGCAATGGGAGTATAGGTGTATTTCTACCAGAGTAGTAGAAATCAATGCTAGCTAGTATTTCTATCTCTTTTACGCCGGGAAGAACGAATAGATGGCCGAGCTACTCGAGCAACGGTTCTCGGGTACCTGACGATTTGTTTGCCTCGCCATTTCATACCAAGGCTTTAGCTCCAAGGCGGCATCTGATTGGTTCACAGCCATACCCCATACAGTAGTAACACGCATATCTGCCGAGAAGATTTGCGCTGTCAAAGATGTGGAGGACTTGTGCTTTGGCGCTATTCCTAGGACAGGTAGGGCTTCAACTGTTCCCTCCAAAAATCACTGAGTTCATGCATGGGAGATAAGGATAGCGCGCTACACATCTTCAATTGGGGGCCAATTTGTACTGCAGGATGAGCAGGGGTGGAGAGGGCACGCGCGATACTTGCTTTTCTTAGGGGGCCGGTACTGTACAGAATGTACCTACTGTAGGTAGGTAAGTTGGGCAGATTGACTGACTTGTAGGTTACTATGAGATATCGCTCTTCTGCCGGAAGGCTTCGGATACCAGTTACACAATGTCACAAGTACGATACCGCCGTGCTGTACTGGTACCTCCAAACAGCATCTGTACGAGTTCCCAACGCCGGGTTTGAACTTTACAGTGGGACGGACTGTGGGACAGCGACAGCCTTGCCCAGTGCCGGGATGCTATCGGCGACCAAGACGACAGGAAGAGACCGGGCTGGGAATACGGAGGGGGGACCAGGAAAGTTTAGATCCGATAATAATAACAATAATAATAAAAAGGTACCACTTGGCACTCGTATGAAATAGTACAGTCGCGTGGTGGCGTTCTTAAGCTATTGTTTGTACTGTACTGTATATTTCTACTTCGTACATACGCCTCGCTGCCCCCCTGGCGGTCCATAAGGCTTGGCGGAGAAGTTGACAGGCTGTAAAATGCAAGCCCCCCCTTGGACCTCAGCGTCATCTCCCAAACTCAACCTCATTTCGGGGTCCCTGAATCGACACACGGGCGGAGCGCCACCACCGCGAGAGTGAGAGGTCCCCCGCAATAATGCAATGTACCTACTGTACAAATGCCCCCTCCATCCAATCAACAGGGTGCGGGAAACCTGCCGTGTATTGGGTGGTAGTGGTGGTAGTGGTGGTAGTGGTGGCAGTAGTAGCAGTAGTAGCAGTACAGTAGAACGTAGAAGTAGTAGCTGTCCTCTACTTACCAACATGACCTTGACCATTTGGGTCACTCGTGAGTCTGTGCCAGCGAGTGACTTCTGTACAACGTGCATTGCAACGGCCTTTGACTTACTTCGGAAGTACCTAGGTACATACGAAGTACATACTCGAGTACTTTGGTGAGCCAATGTGAGGCCCGTCAGTGCCCGTCCGTGTCAGCGAGCGGTAGAGTTCTCCGTAGCCAAACCATCGCACTCCACCCACGACTGGCCGATTGGACTGAGCTGGAGATAGCGATGTAAGGAGGTCGTCGCAATCACACCGCAACACCAGACCAGCACCAGCACCAGCACCAGCACCCAACAACACCAGACCAGTACCTCCGTACAGTAGTCAGTGGCTGACTGTAGCCCCTCCCCATACTCTGATACCGACACCCCCCCTTTGCTGCACACTTACGCCATTGCTGTTCGTCCCAAGCCCAATGCCGCAGAATCTGTGCAGATCCATTCCGCATGACGAATGCCGACCCCGGCGGATGTTGTCTCCGACCACTTGGCGCGCTCGCAGCTCGGGAAAAAGGGCTCCGCACCCTGGATTCACTACATGCACTCTCCCTCAAACACGCCCCTTTCGCCTCTCTCACTACTCCGTTCTTTATTCCCTTGCTCACGCCCCCATTCGCCCATTCTCCCATGATGCAGCAGAACAGATCCTAGACAGAATTATCTTCCATGCCGGATTTGGCTTTGGCTTTGTTTTGAAGTATTTACAAGAGTTCCCTTGCTAGCACACTAGTATTTCCTACTACTTCTACTATTACCTACCTACTGTATACCTCCGTAGTAATTTACCATATGTACCGTCTTCCCCACCAAGTACCGTACTAAACTGGCCTGTATGGATGTATGGAGTACGTCCTGTAGCAGTAGCAGCAGCAACAAGGAGTAGTAGTTCGGAACATTTTGCGTTGATGGCAGCTCCATCCCTGTACCACCTCCATCATAGATACACATACCCATGCCATACCCACCCCTACAAGTGCACATGAGGAATCCGAATCCTTATGTAAAGTCCTTGCTCTCTCCCCCCCCCCCCGCCTTGCGATCGTCCATATACTTCCCTTATCCCTCTGGTACAGGTACTCCATACTTTAATCCCCCATCGAAAAACGTATCCTCTAACCGGCACTACGAGTACCATCTTGCAACTCAAAACCTCAAACCCCAAAACCCCAGGCTCAAACACGTGTGCTTCTGATCATCACCATTCTCATCCAAGTTTACCAAAACCCAAACTTCCTTCTACGTCCGTCCGTACGCAGTATTTCGGAAATATCTTCCAATCAGTCGATCAGACTGCTGCCGAACGATCTGACAGCTCCTCTACATCTCCACTACTCTCAAAGTGGAACTTGTCTTATGAGCTTAATCTCCAACAACCACCCGAATTTCTTCACCCACCTCCAATTCCGGCTCGAACGAGTAGGAGGAGCCCATTCTTGGGGGAATTAGGAACTTGTGTATTGTAGATCTTTGCTCAAGGCATTACAAGTGCCTCCCTGTCTCCACTATTCAAGCCATAGCCATCTCATTATCCATACTCCTATCCATATCCCAGGCACGCAGACAGAAACCAGCTCCTGCGCTACCCCCTCGGCGATATCTCTCTCTTCCACTCAGAAAGAGCCAAACCCCCTCACTACTGAGCCGTGGACCCTTGCTCCGGATTTCGTGCGCCAACAAGCACTTAAGGAACGCTGATCCCGCTCGTCAAGACAGCCCTTGACTGATCGCCTCGCTATATTCCCTATATTCCTGCCAAAAACCTTCTTCGGTCGGAAGTGTGACACGAGTTTTTACGGGATCCTGCATCTGATCCACGCATTTTTGAAACTACCGTCCTTCTACTCGGGAAACCAACACTTTTGTCGACAGGTTTGTCACGTTTGACACCGATCATCTTTAAAGATGACTATGGCCATCGACAATCAACAACGCTTTGGTGGAATGAACTTCGACCACATGCCTTATTCCAACACTCCCCAATTCACGAACCCCTGGTCTTCGACGTCGTCGCCAGCTCAGAACCAAAGTATCTATGCTCCATCCCATAACCTCAATCCCAATTTGGGACTTGGGAACAGTATTGGAAAGCAACAACATCAACAGCACCAGCAGCAGCAACAACAACAACATCAGCAGCAAGCTTCCAGGATCAACAGCAATGTGTCTATGGCATCATATGCCAGTGTACCAATCACCGCGGCATCAGCAGGTAGCCCTCTCCTGGTTGATGTATATGGCTCGCAGGAATTGCTCACCACGCCCCAAGATCTCTTAAATCCCAATCGTTCCTCTACTTATGGACATGAAACCTCATATACAAGCGCGCCATCGCCAGTACATAGTAATTTTGCGCCAACATCGGCCCCCTATGAGTCTATGGGATATGCCCCGGCGCCGGTTCGTTCAACTTACGCCATCCAGCAACAAGAAAACGCGAGGCGCGTGTCACAACCGTCAGTACCCTCAAACACTTTCCTCGAGATCTCCGAGGAGGCGCAACGCCTGCAGCGCCAGAGCTCACTTATTGACTTGGATGATAGAGGCCTTCAACAAAACGAGTCAACCCGAAGTTTCGGTGATGCGATAGACGCCAGCAGGGGAATGATTGCTATGAGCCAGAATACCACGCCGCGCAACATATATGAAGCGCAGGGACGGGTGGGGAGAGGATCAGGTGATTCATACGGGTTTCCCGCGACACACTCTACCAGCTCTTCGGTATCATCGTCGGGTACTTACCCTTCTTACTTTGGGACTGGATCTGTGGATTCTTCGGTGAGCGATTACTCGAATGCGGGATCCGACATCGAGTCCGTCTCGTCACGGACACTCCCTAGACCATCGGGTCTGTTGAATGGTAGTGGAATGCCGCCGGCACCACAATCCATGATGGGACAATTCAGCTCCAAGGTTTCCTCGAGCACACAGAAGAAGCACAAGTGCAAGGTTTGCGACAAGCGATTTACACGTCCAAGCTCCCTCCAGACCCATATGTACAGTCACACGGGCGAGAAACGTAAGTCTACCATTGATTTTCTCTTCTATCACACGCGCGCAGCCTTTCTAACACGCAATAGCATTCTCTTGCGAAGTCGAGGGTTGTGGGAGACACTTTTCAGTTGTCTCAAACTTGCGGAGACATCGAAAGGTACACAAAGGCGAAGCACGCTCAGACGCCGGATCGCCAGACCACCAGTCGGACGAATAACCTCGACCCTGGCTCAATATGTGTACAAGCCAGCAAGGCGCGCTCGCTCAATTTTCTTGGTCTTCAGACTCATGGGACGAAAACGAAAATCGGTCAAAAGTCGGACGGACACCTGCATATTAGCTTTTTTGCTGTCTATGTTGTGTTTGTGATATCCATTCTGCGTGTTGATATGTTGATATCCGGAGTGCGGGGCATGTGTATCATTTTTTCTTCATAGATGCACATTTGATTTGAGGTTGAGGGCTAGAAGATGGGTATTGTCATTCTAATACTATCGCTAAATCGGGCTTCCATGTTGGGGGGAGTCTTATGGGATGGGATTTGAATACTCTCCACACGGCGTTACGGGAAGGCAAGATCAAGAGCAAGGCAGCACAGAGCGAGCGAGCGCGCTGTTGATATGGCGAGGCCTCTTTTTTACGGATGGATGTACTATTAGTTGCCTTTGGATGTTTGTTCTTGACTCTCGTTGTTTGCTCTATATACCCCACGGCCGTTTCACATGGCTGTCGCACAGTCGCTACGAATTAGATAATGACACGAAGATTACTACCCAATAATAATAGAAAGATAATTCAGCCAGGATAGAGTCGCGTCTGAAGGATTCCAAGTGCAGCAACAATGACAACGAGTTGTGTCATGTACTGTACGTAGCTAAGGTAGGTAGGTAAGCCGTATTTGTGTGGTATGGTGTGGTGTGGTCAATCAAGCTTGTCAAGGTCTCCTCGCCCCTTTTATCCAACCGCATAGCCTGCCTACCTGCCTCACTCCAATACTTTCATTCATTCATTCATTCATTCATTCATTCTTTCATTCATTCATTCATTCATTCATTCATTCATTCATTCATTCATTCTTCTTTCACACCCGCATCCAAAATAAAAGCCAAAGCCAAAATCGGAAACGAATGCAAGATGAACGAACCCAGGACCCCTCTTTTCTCGCACCCCACCACAGCCAATGCAGCGCTGATCGCGGCTACAAGGCCAACTCATCGCCGACCAGGTATCTTTCTGCGGTGCGCATACGATACGGGTCCCGTGACGGGGGCGGGGTGGGGCGGGGCGGGGCATGAGGTAGCAAATCGGCCAATTGAAATGGATAGCAAGTTCGTAGAGAGAGGAGGAGTACAGTAAGAACCTCCAAAGAGAGGGAGGGATAAGAGGGGAAACATTGGCTTGGATACGAAGAAAGGCAAGGGAAGGAAAGGCGGGAAAAGTACCTTTCGTATGAAAAGGTGTAGAATGACGAATGACGACAGATAGATGTGGTAGGTACGGTAAGATAGGGTGGGGTAAAGAGCCAGGGGGGGGTGGAGGGGCGGACAACATGAAACGAGCAGGGCCGAGCAGACCATACATACACCCCAGATGATCTTTTGGGTTGCAGTACATACAGTACGGTGCAGATATAATCAATAAATAAATAAATAATAATAACCATTCTAAGCTTGAGCTTGAGCTGGAAGTTGATACCAAACCACCACACCTTGCCCTTATTGGCAGTGCGATGCGTGCGATACGGTCGGTGTGCATGGTGAGATGAGATGAGATGAGATGGTGGTCGAGTTGACACGATTAACTGACTGACTGACTGAATGCTGCACTTGATATTTCTGATATAGGTACCTGGCTCTGTTGAGACGGATCAGGTATGTATGGTTATGGATATGGATTGTATGTATGCATTATGATGAAATGCTTTGGAGATTAAGGGGGGAGACAGCTGTTGCTAATTGGTTAGATGATGTCTACCATGTGAAGAAATCATATCAGTTCTCACTGCTATTTCTACAGTACAGTACACTTTCAGGGTCCAAGCTAAAACTGTGCAGTACGGTACGGACTGTTTGTACCGGTACTGTACATCTGCATGAACGATACTAACCTCCCCTCTACCTACCAGCCAACCAACCAAACTGTAGGCCCACCATCAGCCTGGCATCCCAATCATCATCATCATCATCATCATCATCATCATAGTTCAGCACTAGATGCTATCCCATGCCACCAGTCGCACGAGTAATGAGGGGAGGGGAGGGGAGACAATTCTTTGGGATTTCGAGTAAGGCGAAAGGTGGTGGTGGTGGCACGAACATGTCGTAGGTGGCTTGATGCACAGTAGGGTACCTAGCGATCCATCAAGTAAAAAAGAAAGTACCTACCCATCAATCCCAGGTCGTGTCTCTATCACTACACCCATCCATCTTTTTCTTTCTCTGTTGCGTGCATCTAACCACAACCACAACCACAATCACAACATACCCAAGTACCGTGTTAACAAATCCTCGCACAGAGGCATACATACATACAATGTTACAATTGTAAATACCAAATTCATGGTCTTGGTTTGACCTACCCACCCTACCTACCTTACCTTACTTACACCCCGCTGGAAAGGGTCGTGAGGAATTCAATATCGCACAACCTACTAACACACATCCTTATCGTATACCGTATGTCTCTCCTACATACTGTACATTCCCAGAAGAAAACAAGAAACAAAGACAAAACGGCTCTACAGTACGCTACATACTCTTGCTTTTGCCCTTGCTCAGCCAAGCTCATTATAACAAGGCAGTTACCGTAAGCGTTACTTATTAGATTCCGAGTCTTTTTCCCTTTTGTCTTTGAAGCCGCCAAGATGGATAGATATGGTTTTCACGAAGCACAATAAGCAATTGCGTAGTAGTGCTGCATGCATATCGACATTTTCGGCCTGCTCGGTGGGGAAGTAATACAGGTAGGTATGTAACTTTGGTAGCCATGCCTTGCTTCATTACTCCAAACAAAAATTCTCCGTTGATATTGACATGTCGTATTTATCTCATCGAGAGTTCCTTAGGGGAATGTGATGTGAAATGAAATGACTGCCGAGCCGAAGTAAGGGGGATACTTATTAGCAGCAATGCAAGCAATCCCCCTTCCCCTTTACACGGTTACGTTACACGGGAAATGTATGCATGGATGGATGGGGTTTATATGACATGCATCAGCAAGTCGCTGCTTGTGCATGCATATGGAAACCAGATATTATCACTTTTCTGCTTTTTTCTTCTCTCCATGGAACGCTGCGCTGCGCAGGCCAGGGCATAACAACCATGGCGTGCTCTCTCTCAATTAGTATTGCATGATTCTGTCGTTTCCGAGTCCCGATGTGAGGGGGAATACCTAAGCGCCTTGAGGAGACTGAGTGAGTATATTTGAGGTTTATATCAGGTAGGTCAGGTAGGATAGAAGGAAAGAAAATCTAAATATCATTACAAATATAGTACGTTACATTTGAGTATATTAAGCAAATGTCTATACTCAACTCCACCTACTCATTTCACAAGCTATCGACGATGTTTTCCCTGCAAGTACACACGCAAAGTCGTGGGGATATTCTAGAAGCATGTTCAAAATAATGACCATGGATTGCTGCACAATCTATCTAATGGTGGTGTTCACCTCAGTGGTTTCGAGATAACTGGCCGTAGCAACACCGTAACATGGCTGGAATCACAATAAGTACTGCCGAAATTATCTGTTTCGAATTATTCATTATTTCTTTGCTATGCCCAAATTGCAATGACTTGTACACTACAACATACAGAGATGTGGTCCCCGCCACCACCCTCTCGCAGCCTTATGACGGGACCGCAGAATAGATTTATCTTACAAAGAGAACATTTGGTGCGAAATCATCGAGGAGTAGTAGCTCTAAACATTAGGCTCTCCGTAATTGAAAAAATGAAATAAAGTGCGATAGCCGTAGATCTAGCACATGGTGCTTCTCATAAAAAGAGGCCGTGTGGAAGCTCGTAGAGCAGAGAGCTTATCTGCTCTGATATGTTCAACGCCAATGGGTATGCCGCAAAAGATCGACACGAAGAGTAAGAACCGCCGACCGGCCTATCCAGAACGCCTAACCAAACCATACGCCTCAAGTTTACCATCTTTCATATCCTTGCTGATTGTTTCTCAATCCCGCTCCGGCCTTGGCCTAGATTGCTGAGAAGCTCATCGGGACGTATTCGTGACATGGCATTGCTCCTATCGTAACTGTTGGTCGGTGCAGGCATGTAACCTTCTCGCTTTCTTCGGACACGTTCAGCGATGACACCGGCAATGACTATCAGGAAGATCAAGCCAAGAGCGACAGCCAAGGCAATGAGTACAACAAAGCCTCTAGCGATCTTCTTGTCTGTAAATCATGTCAGTACGCTATCATAAATTGTCGTTCCGTGTAACTTACGTGGTGCCGCGAAAACATTTTGCTTGGATATGAAGATTTGGGAGAGACTACCACCGGTGTTGGAAGCAGTGCTCGTAAGCGCGAAAGGCTGGAAAGTTGACCCGTCGAACAACGCGGCAGAGGCATTGCCGAAGCCTGGAAGATTAAGAGACCCGGTAATCATTACATCCTGGGCTACAGGTACTAGGTTGGACGATGCATGCTTCTTACTGAGAGGAAGCACCTGAAGGCCCCGGATGCTCGTGCCGCTTCCCAGCGTGTTGCCGACAGAGTTCCAAGTTGAACCGTCAAATTTCATAAGAAACGTTGAACCATTGGTAGCGGTACCCGAGACCCAGAGTTGGGAGGCATCACTATTCGCGGCGGCAAGTGCAGTTACAGGCCCCGGAATGGTCTCAGCGCCCACTGCAACGGCCCAGGTCTGGGCTTTAGCATCGTAAGTTACAAGAGAAGCATTCACACCATTCACGGACAGGGCACCTCCAACAATCAGGGAATTCGTACTGCTCCAGACCATAGCGTTTGCAATGCCGTCAAGATTATCGCCCGGCCGGTCCCATTGAGCCGCAGAAGTAGCGAAGAGGCACACTCCTGGACATGACAGGGAGCCTGCCTGAGAAAAATTGCCACCAACATATACATCACCAGATTTACCAGGTCGTACGGAAATGGCATTGACAGCAACATCGCCTCCGGCAAGAGCTGGGGGTTGGACATTGAAGGTCGAGGTGGCAAGATTGAATGAAGCAAGCCCATTTAGTTTACCACCGTTGACAGTTCCAGTAAGGGAGCCCCCGGCATAGAGATTGTCGCCCTGTACAGCCAGAGCTAAAATAGTCGAGTCGCTCGAGATCTCGGAGCCAACACCAGTTATTGTGTCGGAGTTTGAGCCATTGATAAAGACAAGATTGCTGATATCAGACCCATTTGTCCCGGTCGCTGTGAAATGCCCACCAAGAATCGTTACATTGAGATTACCGTTCTCGTAAAAAAGGCCAGTAACGACACCCGTGACATTTTGGCTGCTCGTGCTCGTAGCTCTTTTCGTCAAGCTGTTTGATTGCGCTGACGCTGGCTGAATCTGCACGGGTAACGTGCTAAGGCTCGATGAAGTCGAAAGCGATACTGCACCATTGGCGTTCAGTTGCGAGGAAGAAAGAGAGCCAGCAAACAGAGTTCCACCACCTGGTATATCTACAGCAGTCGTGAGCTCTCCGTTGATTGCAATGGTAGAGACGTTCAGATTTTGGAGCCAATCGGCTCGAGACGGTACCCAAACGGCGAACCCGGTAACAGCTATTGATTTACTGTTTCCAGAAGCAATGATTTGGTTGAACTCTCCCGTGAGGGTTATCACAGTCTCTGGCACGTCAGTAGTTACATTTATCGAAATGGCGACAATGGTTCTCACGACACCGTTGACGCCAGCCCCTAAAGCTGCCCAGGTATTCTTTGACGTATCATAGGCAGCGACATGGCTTAAACCACTGGTTCCCCCAGCACTCGTGTTTGTGAACTGTCCTCCAGCGTAGAGTGTGGTCCCATTTAAGAGCAAGGTGACGACCTCCCCATTCAAACTGCCACCAGGAAGCTCTTTCGCACCCGAATCACTAATCGCAAGAATATTCTCATATGTGTCTGTCGAGAAGTTGCCTCCCACATATGTGGTGCTTCCTGAAGTTGCTAATGTGTTGACTCCTGATCCTGACGGTAGACTCATACCTGCTTGATCGAAGGTTGAATTGGCAAAATCAGCGGTATTAATCTCTGCTTTGGTAGGGTCGTATTCGAAAAGGCTATTCAGTCCACCAGTTGAGGATATGAGGGTAAACCCTACACGTTGAGCGACGATGGAAAGATTGGAAGTAGATTGGTCAACACTTGGCGAGAGAGTTATCGAGGGCTGGAAAGAACTTGTAGCTGATTCAACATAGCCGAAGTATATCTGGTCGTACTTATCGAAATTGTTAGTTTGTGAAATGTCCGTTGAGAAACCGGCGGCTGAAGAGCCACTAGCCATAACACCCGTGACATTGACATGGCCTCTAGCTGAGCAGCTGTCGTCCTGCTTGCATCCGGGGGTGTATATGTTGACAGAATAGTTGCCAGACTGTTTGATAGTCGGCAAGAACACAACAGAGGCAGAGGTGGTATCGTTCACAGCTAATGTCAAGTACTCCGACACACTTTCGTGTGATGGAGTCACAGTCCAAGGACCGGTAGAGGTTGTGTTTGACGCTATTTGACTACCGGCGCAGGTCGGTTCATTGAAGTCATTGATCGCGTAAGCAAAGATGTCGTTTTCGAAGAGCTCAATCCCATTCAAGCCGCCTCCATCGCCATACCAGGCTGAAATATCGATCTGAAATTTATCCATACCAACTAAATTCACAAAATGAAAGTCCTGGAATTGCATGCTCGAGTTGTTACTTAGAGGGCACTCTGAGGAACATGAAGCGTTTTGGCCAGTCGCGGGATCGATGTAGGTGAAGTTCATGATCCCATTCAATGGCATAGCAGTGTATCTCCACGTCTTTGTGCCTCTGCCGTCTTGGTGAGTGTTGTACAATCTCAACCTCGTGGGCTGGAATCCAAAGCCGAAGTCTGCTTTCCAGAAGCCTGCAGTATCATCGGCTAGAAGCCAAGTGCTGCCGGAACCATCTGTACCATCCGTCTTGCAGACAATATTCTGTGGGTCGCTAAAGCCCGCCGTTGATGTAGACGAGCCAGATGTGATGTTTGCCCCAGAAATGTTGACAATCTGTTGATCCGGTTTGGTCGGCGCAGATGAGTTTCCTAGGCCTGTGAAACCACCCCCAAAGACAATGTGGCTATTGGCGGCCTTGGTAATGGATGTGACGGGTCCATTAAAACCTGCAAACGGTAAATTTGTCCAGCCGCTTCCTCCAACCCAAGCAATAGCATTTGTAGAATTTGCACCTGTGAAGCTACCTCCAACATACACTGTATTTGTATCTTGATCGCAAAGCAATGCTGAGACTTGTCCAGATAATCCCGTCAGAGGGATAACGGTGGATGTAGTTGGGTCGAACATGGCAGCCCCTGAAGATGGCATTCCCCCCAAGCTTGTGAAATTACCTCCTACCACAATCCCCGCGAGCGTTCCGTTCTGCAGCACAAATGGGCACATGGCCTGGATACCCGCATCCGCTGATGCTAAAGTCGCAAAACCTCCATTGGGAAATTGTGACTGAAGTGACTGGCTGCCATTGGTGAGGAATCCATTCTCGTTTTGGCCTTCGAATTGATAGAGGGAGATGCCGTCGAAGTCTCCTATCAGTGCTGTCCTCCCTAGATCGTCCAAGTTGAGATTCGCCGAGGGTATTGAGTTGAAAGTGATGCCATGCGAGGAGTGTGTAAGGGATGCTAATAGAAAGCCGAGTTGTAGTAGGCGCGGTGGGTCGCCGGCTGGACTCAGCCATGAAGAGAGCTTCATCGCTGACCCCGAAGACTGTATCGACACGACGCGACGCTTTCACTCCATTACCAGCCTGAGATTGATCGAGGTATCGAGGTATTGGCAACGGCCGGCGGACGTCGATATGGATGACAGTTCTTCTCGTCGTGTAACAAATGTCGCGTGGTGTGGGACCGAGATGTCGAAATGAGGAGGTGAGGGAGAAAAGAGAAGGGGGAACGATCTCTCGCTAGGGCGCCACTAATCAGGTACAGTGCGGGCCGGGTCGGTTTCGCCCAGGCCTCGTAAGTCGATGTCGAATGCGATGTTGACGTCGAGGTCAAACCTATGGTTAAATGAAGGTTCTGGTAACAGATGCTGCTAAGGTGGGAGATGCGCTGCGCCGGGCAGTTTGAATCGCTCGTAATATTTGTTATCTGCCGGCTTGAGGTGTGAGTATGGTCGGTGTCGGTGGGCTGTGAGGTGCCCGGATTGGCGTTATTAGGACAGACAGAACAAGATAGTGGTGGATTGAATGGGTGTGAGTCAATGAGTGGATGGATTGAATATCGCGATGTGATGTGTTGTCGTATTGTAGGTAAGTATACGTTGGGACTATGTTGGGTGTGGTTTGTAAAAGAGCGTGGCTAGGATCTGTCAGGGCCGGCTTTTCCATAGGTCTCGTACGTGTATTTGCATGTACGGAGTATTGTATGCATGGACAAAGGTACGTACCGAGTAAACACGAGACTGATGAGGTACTTGGGTTCAAAGGAGTGACTGAACTGGAGCTTACCACATGTATTATTGTACCGTACTGTGAAGCAGAAGCAGAAGCCGGATCTTGGGGCTGGAAATGGAAGTCAAAAGAGGATTTCTCGAGGAAAGTGCAATCTCCTTTTCTCGCGAAACATACTCCGTTCCGTGGCTTGTGCGCGCAATACAGACGTGCCATTTCATTCTGTCTATCTGGTTGTTTAACTGTCTCAAACACATTTTGCTATACGGTTCCGTTTTCATTTCCATTTCCATTTCTATCATTCTGTTTGAATGTAGAATCAAGCGTATAGGGCCCATTTGAATTTAATGAGATTATTCTATGGTTCCTAGGCTAATTCTGGACTCTCGAGGCATTGACCAATGAAATCCGTCACATAGCCCGTGTAAGACACTTGGTACACCGTGCTGTAAGATCGACCGTCTCTTGTGTCCTGTGGAAGAGTAAAAGCAAAACATTGGGGCTAGAATCGTCGAACCTCATCATGGTTTGAGAAATGACTGCGAAATCACACATGGATTAAGGAACTACTGTACGACAGACAGCTGTTTGCTTGTCGATTTACCTCAGGGGCTCGCTATGGGCGACCCCTCCCCCATCTTTATGTACATATCAGATGGGGGTGTTTATAACACAATCTGAAAACTTTATACTTTAAAAAGACATCATCTCCTACAGAACCCGCTGACAAAGATCGACTTTCGTGTGAGATACTTTAACCTCTGCTGTATAACACTGCGGACACCTTTTCCACCTTTTCACCTTGGCCGCCAATCGTTCTACATACATGGAAACATGTTTCCCACGACGATACCACGTTGAAGTACGCCAGGTGAAACGGAAAGCCACAACGTCTTTGATGAGCGAAGGGCATATTTATCAAACAGATTAGTGGTGATATTCGAATTGGAATCGGGGGTATGGCTGCCAGGCGAGAATAATAAACTCAAATAGGACACCATTTGCCTTCACGATGGAAAGCCTAATGGGCCTCGGATTCTTCTTCGTTAAATTCTTCAATTTGGGTATCGTTGTGTCTCCTACTTTTGCTCATTGATGGCAGCCGTCCGAGTCTTATAGTCCCTTGGACTCTCATAATCCTTCAACTTCCCCGCCCACATTCCCAACTTCTTCTTCTTCGCCACCTCTTCCGTTTTCCTGTATGCATTCTCGAAACTCCCAAACTCAGCTCCGTACTTAGCCTCATAGATGGTAGCAAACCCAGCTTTCAGCATTTCCTTGCCCACATCCTTCCGAAAGAGAAACCTCCGTACCCACACTGTAGCCACGACACGCTCGTATTGATCTCTTTTGTAGATGTAGGCCCGCACTCTGCGATTCAATATGTAGTTTCGAAGCCAGAGCAGAGCCTCTTCGGAATAAGGCTGGGCGGGTTTTCCGAAATGCGCTCCCTCTGGAGCGTCTATTCCTGCAAGACGAATATGTATCTTCGTGTAATCAGCTTCAAAAACTCTGTACATAGTGTATCAGACCATACCGTATTGTTCTTCAGAGCTTTCTTCTCAGGTATCTGCTTCCTGCCTGGCAGCCAACCCCATCCCGTCAACCTCCCTCCCGGCGTATGGAAAAGGTGAAAGTTGTCCGCATCACCCACACTTGTGACTCTTCCAAATAGACTCCTCTTCCGAAAAAATTTAGGTCGAATGTATGAGGCCGCGGGAATCCTGCGCAGGTAGGAGCGGTAAACACTGACGGAGGCCAGGATTGTTGACGTGAGAAGTATCGTTGGAACTACGGTTCGAGGGTCTGTGTAGTGCTGCCAATCCGTTGCATTGAGGCTCTCTGTCCATGGGACAGAACCTTTCTTGTCATCGCTGTCCCTTTCGGAATTCGTGGACCATGGCCATCGCATTATGTTGCTTTGTAGAGGTGGGGAAGGATAGGAGCTCTCTCGGTTGAAGTCCCCATGCCAAGAAATATTTTGAGACCAACACAAATTTTCTGATCAAAGCAATATCAAGGATACGAATTCTAGCAGGTCTAAATGTACTTGGTTGAAGCTGGTCGTCATGGTACAAATGATGTACAGTTCATGTACAATATAATAATGCATTACTATTAGACAAATCTTCGTCTCTTTGCTCGTTGACTCCTGCTATCAATCAGAACCTCGTTTGGCTTCTCGTCCTTCACCTCATCCACCAAGTATTCTCTCTTTATAATGACTTTCGACTCGACAATATTTTTATCCTCCTTCTTGATCTTGACTTCGTCAATGTCTACCTCCACCTTAGTCATCAGCCTTTCCGAAAAGGTCTTCAGATCGGCAGCAAACAGCACCGAGTGTGCCCATCCAGCTTCTATGCCCCATAATTGTCTGAAATAATCTCCCACGGCATCATAAGTAGCCTTGGTGAGGCTCTTATGCTTCCCCTTGCCAAATTTGTAGTCACGCTGAGCTATTTGCCACACGTGTGTATCAACAGGTACAGCCTCACCCCACCCCAGCCCCATTAGACAGACACAATCTGCGACTTTTGGGCCAACTCCTTGAAGTTGAAGAAGTTCTTCGTGAGCCGTCCGATACCCATCCCGGCCTCCTGTGGGTAGCTTTTGGTCTGGATCATCGCTGGAATTGCACAAGCTCTGCAGCCAGCCCTCGGGCTTTTCTTTGGCGACCATTTTGGCTGTCTTGGCTATATATCCTGCACGGTAGCCAAAACCAAGCTCTCGGAGGTGTCCCTCAACTTTTGACCCCGTGAGAGCTTCCGCAGGAGGGAAGTCATGAAAAGCTTGGTCATCAATATGGCCTATTAAGGGTCCATAATGTAAGCATAAGTTGTTAACCTGTAAAGTAATGTAAGTAGAAGAATTTCGAACTAAAACGCCATTCGTACCATCTGCGATATTCTCACGATATTATTATTGCTGCTGCATATAAACCCAACGAGAGCTTCCCATGCGTCTTGTTTCAGAATGCGGACTCCAGTGAATTTTGGAGCCCTCTTCTTGAAATTGGCATCTACAGAGGACCACTGCTCATATAGAGAGGTCAGATCCGGAGTGAGATTCAGGTACTGCTTAACAAGTGCCTCGGTTTCCTCATCCTCGTTTGAAGCTTCAAGCACTGAGGTTTTGGCTGAAGCATTTGGACTTAGTGAAGACGTGCTGTTTGGTCTGATGGATCGATAGTGAAGATGAGTGTCATCCTGTTTCAAGGAGAGCATTCTTCCATGTAGAGCGCAAGTCCTATCTTAGAATTGGCCCCCGTTTTAAGAACTCGAGAGGATCTTGTACGTACCATTCTTCATTATTCAACTTCTTCCACCGAAAGGATTGGCCGCAGCGTAGTGTGGTGTCTAAACAGAGCTCTGCAAGGCTTACTGGGAGCTTCCGCCATTCAGATATCCGTAGATTTGCCATAGTTGACAAGTGATTGGAGATTCTGAGTTAGGTAAATTGTTGGAGGCTCTGTCTGTATTATGTAAGGGGACAGACAGGGATTGTTGTTTTTAGCTAGAGGATCTGGTGGATCAGTGCTTTAGCGCGATAGAACATCAGCATTGCATCCACCAAGAAAAATAACGGGCTGGTCTCTTGTCGCATCAAACTCGATATCGCAAGTTATCCACCACACCCAAGCTTCGTTGGTTTAACAAACCTACAGAGAAGACCTGATCAGATCAACTTTTTACCGCCACTATGAACGGCGATACCTACTCATCAAGAGGCATGCCACCTTCATCGACCAAAGCTAAACTAGAAAGTGGAGCTACTGACAAGAAACCTTCAACAGATTCTGGCCGACATGGTTCATCCAGAGACTACCCCGTAAGTTACTGCATTGCTACGCGTCTAAATTCTTATCTAACAAGTATCAAGTCCTCTCGCGATGACCGACGAGGTGACAGGGGAGACCGAGACAGACGCCGTTCGCGTTCTCCAGGACATCGAGGCCCACGACCATCTCGTCGAGAAGGCGAGGTAGACTCTTATTCTACGAGCCGAGATTACAGAGAGCGAGAGCGCGAAGACAGATACTCCTCTGGCAGAGACCGTCGGGGAGGCGGAGGTGGTGATAGAGAATGGGATAGGGATCGAGGTTCTTCGAGACGCGACGCACGACGGGACGACGATGACAGACCACCGAGGAGAGACAGAGACCTCTTCGATGACAGGAGAGGAGGAGGAGGTGGTGGTGGTGGTGGTGGCAGACGAGGTGGCAGAGGAGGCGACCGAGAGCGAGGCGGGGACCGTGATGATTTCGCAGCCCAAGGACGAGCACGTCAAAAGAGCGCAACACCGCCTCCCAAGAAGAAGGAACCTACTCCAGATTTGACAGATATTGTCCCAATTCTTGAAAGGAAACGACGATTGACACAATGGGACATCAAGCCCCCAGGCTACGAAAATGTCACTGCTGAGCAGGCGAAGCTCTCTGGAATGTTTCCACTGCCTGGTGCTCCAAGACAACAACCCATGGACCCAAGCAAGCTGCAGGCTTTTATGTCGCAACCAAGTGGTTCAGTTACCAATGCTGCGCTCAAGCCATCTAACTCTCGTCAAGCTAAGCGCCTTCTTGTCCATAACCTCCCACCGGCACTTAACGAAGAGGCCATTACCAGTTTCTTCAACCTCCAACTGAACGGTCTTAACGTTATTGAGGGATCAGATCCTTGTGTCTCAGCACAGGTGTCGAAGGATCAGTCATTCGCATTACTTGAATTCAAAACAACTTCAGATGCGACTGTGGCTCTTGCACTTGATGGCATCACGATGAGCGAGGACCTTCAGATGGGAAATGGAGCAGCAAATGGTGACACCAAGGGACTCTCAATTCGTCGCCCTAAGGACTACATCGTCCCAGCTCTTGCAGATGAAGCTCCGTTTGAGCCTGGTGTTGTTTCAAGCGTCGTTCCTGACACCCAGAACAAGATTTGTATATCTAACATTCCCCTCTATCTAACCGATGAACAAGTCACCGAACTGTTAGTCTCATTCGGGGAGCTAAAAGCCTTTGTGCTGGTCAAGGATAACAGCACTGGAGAATCTCGAGTAAGTTGTCACGCGTAACAGGGTGTTTTGATCAGTACAATCGGCTAATATAGACAGGGAATTGCCTTCTGCGAATATGCTGATCCCACTCAAGCCACAGATATAGCTGTTGAAGGTCTCAACGGTATGGAACTTGGAGACAAGCATCTCAAAGTACAAAGAGCCAGCATTGGTAACACTCAAGTTTCGGGTCTCGAAATGGGAGTCAACGCAATGTCTATGCTTGCCGGTACTACCTCACAGGGCCTCGAGGATGGTCGGGTCCTACAATTGCTCAATATGGTAACCCCCGAAGAACTCATTGACACCGAAGACTATGAAGGTATGTTGAACCGCCCCCGCATTGCACAATCCATGCTGACCATATTTTAGAAATCTGCGAGGATGTAAAGGAAGAATGCGAGAAGTATGGTAAAGTGCTTGACATGAAGGTTCCGCGACCTACTGGTGGAAGCAGACAGTCAAACGGAGTAGGCAAGATCTTCGTCAAATTTGACACCCCTGAGTCAGCAGGAAAGGCCCTTCGAGCTCTGGCAGGCAGAAAGTTTGCGGATCGTACAGTCGTCACGACGTACTTTTCGGAAGTAAGTACATTAACCAGTGATTTTAGAATACTGCTGACGATTCTCACAGGAAAACTTCGAAGTTGCGGCCTGGTAATCGCTCTGCCCCCTGAACGCAAAATTGCATCAGATAAAAAACCGGACGTACATTTTAGTATTAGCATGTATTAGCCATGCTTCTACCAATGTCAAAGACCCCAGCTTCCAGAGCGACAATATCTCTGTACTTTTAGTATCCATGTCCCACATAAGGCGTTTCCGAAAAGCAATTTATTGAGATCACATTAACCAAATGAGCATTACGGTTTTGAATCTATCCGAGCGGTTTGAGATGACCTGAATTTTGATATATATAGATACTACCACAATGCACACAGTAATCGATTGGAAGGGTTGTGACTTCGCGCGCGTGGCTTTCAATATGCATCGAACTCCAAGTGCTAGTGGACAACATAAGAGGCTAGGAGGTTGTTAAAATGAGTCGGGCATATAAACAGATCTTGGAAGGTAACATTGTTTAACAAGTGATGGTTTCATGGTCTATATAATCAATTCATGAGATCTCCATCCAAATTTTATCGTATTCGTAGCATTCTCTCTCGCATCTTCTCATCTTCTTGTACCTCCAATCGTGACCGCAAAACGGAAATATAAAGAAGCGAAGTTAGTTCAGTGGCCTGTGTAATATCAAATCTAGACAGCGTGTATTGATCTCTCAATTAGGTTCCCTGTCTTCATTGCGATGTTAGCAATGTCCAGCTTCAGAAAATGCAGAAAATGCTTCTTGATTAATACAAATGTCAGAAGTCCGTTAAATTCATCGACCTCCGCAAAAAGATTTTAACCCTTTGCGAAGGACATAAAATGAGAGGTGCCAAAAATTGGTGTATCATCATATGAATGTTCTCAGGAAAAGAAGAGGAAAGTAGAAGGATACTCACATGATAAACGTTTTCTTCATCAATCTCTGTTATGACAGGAGCAAAGCTGGCAAATTAAGCATCGCTGTGCAAAGCGTGGATTGAAACTCCAAAATCAATCAAGGTACTGCGTCGAATAGGTCCTGTCGCATAAATAATGTTGATGTTCATGAAAACTTCGAGAACTTGAAGCTTCCTTAAACCTTAAGTACCAAATTTCACTTCAATCTAGCCTAATACGTCCTAGGGTCATTAAGCGAATGCGCGCACTCAAACATCCACCAGATTTCGGAGACTTGCAAAAAAGCTCAAGTTTTCCATCACCTTCAATTCCGACGCCAAACAACCAGACCAGATCAGATCACCATGGGTCGTCTTCATTCCAACGGAAAGGGCATATCAGCCTCAGCAATCCCATACTCCAGGACTCCTCCTGCGTGGCTCAAGACCACCCCCGAGCAAGTCGTGGACCAGATCTGCAAGCTTGCGAAGAAGGGTGCTACTCCATCGCAAATCGGTGTTGTCCTCAGAGATTCGCATGGTATTGCGCAAGTTAAGGTGGTCACTGGTACGTGCTTCAACTACAGAGGGATTCTTGTCTCCGCACTTTGAATGTGATGCTGATATTTCTTGTCGCAGGTAACAAGATTCTCCGAATCCTCAAGTCCAATGGTACGATACAACCGATATGAAAACTATTCTGAACATCTTTGGTGTCAAACCCAATGATGGACTCGATACAAAATTTCAATACTGCCTCTGCTTGGTCTTTGACTGACGGAGTGAACTATATTAGGCCTCGCCCCAGAAATCCCAGAGGATCTCTACATGCTGATCAAGAAGGTTTGAATTCCTCATACCCCCAACACCATGCGTTCGTGTATGCTAATCTTAACAAACTCAAGGCTGTCGCCGTCCGCAAGCATCTCGAGCGCAACCGAAAGGACAAGGACTCCAAGTTCCGTCTCATTCTCATCGAGTCCCGTATCCACCGTCTGTCCCGCTACTACAAGACCGTCGGAGTCCTCCCACCAACCTGGAGATACGAGAGCGCTACTGCCAGCACCATGGTCTCATAGATGGAAAAATTAGTCGGGTTTTGGCATGGAGTTGGGGTGTGGACAATTTGATTTGCATTGATGGCCTAGCTGCTACGGCAGACCTGGTACTTAGCATAGGAATGGCAAAGCAAAATCACAATCCCCAAGCCAGCAAAAGTGCATTTTTTGTTTTCGACAAAATTCAGTTTTCCCCTTGTGCTATATGAACCAACGCCTGCCCCGCATAGAAGGGACTGCTGTCGCACTTGAATCCCACCAATATCGTCGGCCTTTCGTGATCTCCCATACTTAGCATGACCTACGAGCTATCCATCTATGCAACTTCCACATATTGCCCATCACGCCAACGTTGTTTTTGTGACCTTAACCTCGATGAAACTCCCCTTATGACCCTTCTAATTCTCTCGATCTCTGCAAAAGATATTCTCCCAGCACGCGCAAAGGGTCCTTTGGTCTTTAAAATCGTTAGCGAGAAACAGATACATGATATACATATAACCGCCAAACGAACTGTAAAGCCGTGAGAAAAGGGCTACATACTGTTCCTTGGCCAGTTGCTTCATTCCATCCAGCAACACCCCCGTAACCTTGCCATTCAAATACTGTCTCGTGGGCGCACCATGCGGAGGAGCTTCCTTTGGAATCGTAGGCGCAGGATCAGGATGCTGAGACGTAGCTCGAGAGGTAGCATCTCCGTTTGTGTTGCGCGATGGTGTGCCAATTCGCGCTGGCACGGGCACGGGCGAGGGTACGTTCGTTGCGCCCGTCGCGATTGCCGGTGACTACAAGACGTTAACCTTCCATAATGGACAGAGGCCGAAGAGGGACACATACAGCAGGGCGGTCGGGAGTGCTATCACTCATCACAACATCGCGGATTGAGTCTGGCATTGCTGCGCTGGGCGTTGGCGGTTGCTGCTGTTGCTGTTGCTGTTGGTAAGCTTGTGCTGCTGCGTTTATGCTAGAAGAAGAATCCTGAACGCCCTCACTAGGGGTATTCGGTTGTGACATTCTGCCGTTTAAATAAACAGGGCACTTAATTTTAGTTGCTGGGTAGAGATTGAAGAATGGGTTGCAACCGCCTCGCAAGGTTTTCTTCTATGGCTTCCCATCGATATTCACAGCAAGCGCGAGACAGGTTGCTAAAAGGGCTATTTCTATTCAAACTACGGTTTATCACGTCATAAGAGTTCCCTTGATTAACAGAATGCCGCATTGACTTGACTTCCTACCTAGGTCCGTACATCATCAATTAAAGGTTATCAGAGGCCAATCATCATCACGTGCTGTCGTGTCTCTGCCTGAACGCGACTCAAACGCGACTCGATCAATCCTAAAAATCGCGGACTCTTGCAGTAATGAGATACCGTAGCTATGGCACTCCAATCTCAAGGGAATACGCTTCATAATAAAATGCTGGGCAGAAGAATCCCACACCCAGCCTCAACCAATTTTGACGCGGATAACCTTTCACCTCCAGCAAAGCGCCTGAAGACTCGCGAGAGCACAGATAGAGAAGACTCCCACGATGCCTCTGGCGACGAATCCATCCCTCATACGCCAGATAACTGTACATATCGAGATGAAATCCCTGACTCGGATGATGAGAATGGTTTCGGGGATGAGGGTTCGACCGGTCATAGACCAACTGAGCTTGAGAGTGCTTTGCCACCAGTGAAAACCGACAAAGAAGCCATCAACGAGTATGAGGCTATGCGAGCTGGTGATGAAGTTTCATATGACTTGAAGTCTCGCCTAAGTCAGAGGGCATGGACCAGAGGGAAGAGTTCAATCTATGTGGACGCCTTCAATCTTGCTTTGGATACTGTTCTTGAAGACGAAGGACACCTCTTTGATGAGAAAGAGATGAAGGTTCTGAGCCAATGGAGGGAGCTTGAATATGAGGCTCAATATCTGTAAGAGATTTTCCTTGGAAATGATCCCTTTTGACTGATAAAATGAAGATACGTCCGTTTGTTTTTGAGAAAGACTTCTGCCTGGCATCGTATAAGTCGACTTAGGTATCATAGCGATATTTCAGATATTCCATCTGCAGTGACGAGCCTTCAAAATTCTAGAGAGCTTCCTGAATCTTCAGCTGCAGTCCAAACAAATCCAGCGGAGCTGATGCCTCCAGAAGGCACCATCCTCGAGTCTTCTTTTACCTTTGCGGATTCGTCTTCGGAGATGATTTCTACTTTGCAGGAAGCCTCTTCACTCTTAAATTTGGAAGAATTAAAAGCAATGGCAAAGGAAGCTAAAGTGCAAGGGAAAAATAAGAATGAGTTGCTACAAGCCCTCCATAAAATGAGCAGCCGTCAAAGTGGCTTAGGATGGGTCGGGTTGAAAAGATCTGACAGCGAGCAAACCGTAGCCTCGGATTCGGGTAATAATGAGGAGGATGACGCTGATAATGCTATTTCGGACATAAATCGAGACAGACACTTCGTACGGAAAATCATGACCAGCACTGGACCTTGCATACGCCTGTCGCTTCCAACTTTGAAGCTCTTTGAGAGGGTCCATTTAATTTTCTATAGGTCGACAGAATGGACAGAAAAGTCACTCACAACCATCATTTTGGCGAGAATCTCGCGTCGGAACTTTCCAGACTACATTGTCTGTCGCTCAGCAAATATCTTTCCGTCAAGATCCTATATCCTAGAATTCGAATCAGCCTTAAGGGTGCAGCTTCGGATTGACCAGATCCTCGAGTTTAATGGGAACCCTGGGAAGCAGGGGCTCGAAGAGGTCTTGACTATCTTTGATGAAGTTTATCCCCGGTGGGAGATGCTCCTGAAGGAAGAGCAACGGAAAGAAGACCGTGTATATGAGAGTGGTGAAGGAGCTTACCTTCGTCGATTTTCACCAGCATGGGTAAGCAGCATCCCAAAGCATCTCACTTCTTCATTCAGACGGTGTTTTTGAAGTCCCTTTCTGATGTCTCGGAACTTACGAGACTTACTAATAAAGTACAAAACTTTACTGATCAAACATCACTGACTCCAAGAACTTGTAGGTTTACACAAGAATCATTCACAAAGGCACATATGTTCTCGGACGTTTCAAATTGTATTCTAGAGAGCATGAAGTGCTCAGTGAGCTACTTAAACAGCGACTCTTCCATGCTGCACGTCGTGGAGCCTGGTATCAGCGTAAGGCTCTGCTTGAGGAGCATTATATGTACACTCTTGATCCTCCATCAGGGATCTCGGATCCTGAGAAGCAGAAAAAGCATTGGAAGCGTATCTCACGAAAGACTTGCGAACAGGGGTTAGAAGACAAGGACTGCCACACGATATATCACTATGATCTACAGAAGAGGATCAAGAAGCTTGAGAAGAGCCTCAAAATCCCTATGCGAGAGCAACATGACTTTGGTCACGTTCTGCTCTCCAAAGCGATTGAAGTGAGCGTCGAAGGCATCCAGATAAAGAAAACCCATCCCCCACCTCTAAAGAGAAGGGCCAGTGCACAAGTAACGGAAGAGAAACAACGAAGCACAAAAACAATTTGGGTGGACGAGTCTGAAGGAGGTGGAGAGTGTAGCGTAGAAGCCATGTGTCTCTCATCTTACCGTGAGAGAGGCTTCAAGGGATATCACTCTGAAGGCGGGATCTTACGAACATTGTTTGCATACCTCTTCTTTGATGTACTTTTCGTATACATACCCAACGTCTTCCAGACTGCGTACCAAACCTGCCCCTTGGATCTACATACCGACGCCTTCTTCCCGTCCCGAGCCTCGGAGATTAATCATCGTCTCGTGGAAATAGCAAATGGCAATGCCGCGCAAATAATTCGCGCCGTTGATGAACGCGAGCGCGAGAGGAAAACTTGTGTTGTTGGCTTGAATTGGGACTTTGAGCTTGACGACCTATTGGAGATCGTCGGCTGTTTTGATAGTGCCGCTCTGGCAACAGTGTGTAAGGTTATGGCTCAGGAGTACAGGGTTAGAGGTGGCGGGATACCGGACTTGTTTCTTTGGAATCCAAAGGACAAGACTGTGGTGTTTTCGGAAGTTAAGAGTGAGAATGATAGGTTAAGTGATACGCAGCGGATGTGGATTCATGTTCTCACAGGCGCCGGCATCAGGGTTGAGCTTTGTAATGCTATAGCGAGGGAGGTGAGGGAAATCGATGCAGGATGAAGTCTCGCTACTGTAATCATGAGGTAGCAACTAGAATACTCTTGGGGCATTCCATAATGTGACAGCCCCGTCGCAAGCAATTCAACTTAGAAAGAAGACGAGAATACGAGGTCGGTGATGCTGAATGAAATGCCCCCTTCGCACCGTCCGTCCACTTGAATTGTGCCACATACGAGCGTTCCCATGTGCGATTGATCTGTCTCTATATTCATATCTCTTCGACAAATTAGGAGAAAAGCCTACCTACCTACAGTAGGTACTTAGGTACCTTAATTCCAGCTACTGTAGCCCTTATTCACAATGGACAGAGTAGTCTACCGAAATATGTCGCTGGAATTATGATCTATCGCTATCTATTGTTCCTCAAATGCCTTCAGAACCCTGTCAAGAACAGCTTTGACTCCAGGGGCTCTCTCAATTCTCCTCCCCTCAACAACCATCGCCTTCATCGTCTCTTTGCAAGTGTCTCTACCCTCTTTAAACATACCAAATACACCGCTTACGAAGGCCTGTACGATCATTTCGGCAGCCTCTCCTCTCTTCAGCCTCATTGTTTCAGGACCAGATCCACCGGCGACTTCCAATAGTTCGAAGAACCCCAGTGCCAGCTCATAATGTTTTGACCCCTGAGAGTGTGTTCTCCGGCGAAGACCATCGAATAATGCTTTGCTGCGTTCATACAGGGCAGTTCTCGTACCGGCAGTTGATCTCGTGGACGAAATGACTGCTTTGCTCAACTGCAAGAGGTCGGGTAAGTGTGTTAGAGGAGATGGATCAGAATACTTGACGTTCACTGCTCTAAACACCGCTGAGATACCATTGGTGACAAGCGTTTCTTCAGTCTTGTCTCCAGTCTTGCTATCATCCGTCGTATCCATTTTATCATTATTGGTCGCTTCCTCAAGCATTGGTGCGATGATTTTATAAACTTCCTCAAACATGTCGATATCTGTACGTGCTTCCGCATATTCTCCTAGGCTGGTAATTGCGTAAGGCCGATAGGCTTCATTGTTGCGTTTGGCCTCTCGAATGGCTATCTTCTTCATCTGGGCAGCGATACTAGGCTCTTGCTCCCAGAGAGGCTTTCCGGCCTTGGTAAATTTGACAAATGCTTCGAGGACGTTTTCTTTGCCATCAAAGGTCTTGAGCGCTAGAGCCTTTTCCAAGGCAGGCCAGATAGCTGCTGCATTCGACCAGCTGATATCTGATCCTGATGATGTAACCACGTCGGCGATTGTCAATGCTGCAGTATGCTTTATAGTCCATTTCGTAGACTCCAGTCGCCCAACAGCCAGATCGTTGATTTCTTTCGTGTACAACAGTACTGCTCTCGAACCACCCACGTTCTCGGACCATGTCTTTTCAAATTGTTCCTTTGTATGTTCATTGGAATCGTGCTTGGCAAAGAATACAAAGGGCAGAAACTCCGAGGCTAGGGAATTGAACCGATCAGTAGCAAACTTCGAAACTGCGTAGATGATATCTGCAGAAACCTGTCGCCGAGTCTCGTCTTCGGCATCAAAGTAAAGATTTTTTGAAAATGCCACGAGGCGCAGTAGAGAATCATCAGATGCAAGACGTGCCAGGTAGCCTGCAGATCTGGCATACCCAGCACTGACTGCATTGTTGCGGTCCAAAACTGCCTTCTCCAGCAGCTTGAGGAAGCTGTCGGCATGAGGACGGAAAACGAAGCTATGTCTGGTTGCTAGACTAACCAGAACACCGCTGCAACCAATCTTCGACGGCATTCCAATACTGGTCCTGATGGCATTTCCCAAGTGGGGGACGAGTTCCTTCATGGTAGGCTCGTCAAGGGCATCCAGACACCGCTCAATACTCTCGAAAATTGGTGATCGAGAGACCGCGGTACTACGGGCAGAATCTATCTTCTCCTCCGTGAGATTGTAGTGGGCGGCCCTCAAGTACACATAGTCAACCCCTTCGGCTTCCAACGTGCTTAAAAGACCTATCAGCTCTTCGACCAGGTTTGGTATAAAAGGCAGCAGGATTTTACCACCACTTTTGATAAGTTTCAATACTGTCACGGTAGCGAATACTCGCACTTCTTCCGCAGAGCTCTGCATTCCTTGGTCGGAAAGAAGGAACGGCATCACTTCTTTCAGCATTGATTGTGCATGCTTTGAGGATGTCCCAGCCTCGGTTTGTCGCACGAGGATGCCTGTCAGCACCATGCTTAAAGACATAGCGGCCTTACGGACAGATCCCTTGATATCGTCCAGAACCTTGAACGCAACCGCCCATATATCGTGAAGATGCTTCTCATATTTATCAAACTCTCTCCCCTGAATAAGATCTGCGATAGCGGCACAACTGGCTTCTCGTGTTCGCCATTCTTTTCCCACGATGCTAGTCAAGAGGTCCGCCAGGATTTCGTCGAAATAAGTATTGATCGTAGCACTAGAATCCTTAACGAGGGCACTCCAGATGTCATTCATCGAACGCTGAACATTGGGATTGGGGTCAAATCGATAGCGGTAGAGTTTTGGGTATAACTTAGGATCGATTTCCGATTCCGAAAGGATGCTGCTGAGCCCGAATCTCCCAAATGCAGATCGAGTAGACCATGTAGCGGCGTTTGCTGCAAGAGACATGAACTTATATACCAAGCTTTGGTCACCAACCTCGTTTGCCAAAGAGATAATATCTTTGTATGATGTGACAGAGTTCCCATCCCCAGTCGGTAATGCACCCGGCTCGAATAGCTCAGTTTCTTGGTCAACTTTGAGTTGTGCACTAGAACCGGTGAAAGATGCAACGAGGTCACTGACTAGCTTCTCTCTGAGCTCCTTGTCACCTTGCTCATAGACAAGACTGAGACCACGACTTGCTGTCTCCTGAACAAGTTCATCTCGTGCTGAGAGCAAGCCCATGAATGCAGCTTGGCATTCTCTCAAACGCGATTGAACTTCACTAAGATGGCCTGAGTTTTGAATCAGAGAAAAAAGCCAAATGCCCGATGCTTTCTTCAGTGACGGCTTTGTAGTCTTGCAGTCTTTTAATAGCTTGTCCAGGACTGTCGCAAAAGTGTTTCGCCGCTTCATCCGTCCTTCATAAGTGGAAGCAACATCTAGGCTGAGGAGAAGAACGTCAGACTGCCAACATGCAGCAGCACAGCTTAGAGCCTCTCCAACAGTAAAATGGATTTCGGCCTGTTTCAGTTCATGCAGTCCATATAGTGTGGTAAGGATGGTCGACAGTGGCCCGGACTCTTCATCCTCATCAAAGACAAGGGATAACCGCCCCAAAGCAGAAATTGCTTTCTCGTTACCCTTTTTAGCTTCTGCTGTCAATGAATCAATAAGGCCTACAACTTGCAGAATCAGCATTAAAGTTTGGGAAGATACCTCGCGATATTGAGAATTGCTTACCAGTCGCTTTCGTCGAAGATTCGTCTATTTTTGTAGCTGTAAGAACACCGGAGGCGCTGATTTGTCCGACTGCGTTAAACACAGCCTCTTTCGTAGACGTATCTTTAGCACCTGTAAGAATAACCAGCAGAGTCGAGATGTTCTCCTCAACAACGGCTTTGTCAACACTTTCGAGCCGGCCATAGTAGGAAGCTCGACTAAGGATATGGCCCAGCGAAAGGATTGACCCATGTACTCTGTTCGCATCAGCGCCCACTGCCGATGACCACGGCTTTATATCGTCCCGCAGAGTTTCTATCAACTTCTGGATAGACTCGCCGCTAGCTGTTGGATGTGGAGCTAGCATGCCAAATGCTTGTGCTGCAATAAATCTTGTGGCTACATTGTTGGATCGAATTGCTTTGAAAAGTTCAACAGCTCGCCCAGAAAGACGACCGATAACGTTGCTAGGTGAAATGGAAGCTATTTCGACGAAGCATTTGCCACATTCTCCAAAACCGTTCCCATCATTCCTCAACATACCTTCGAAGGCGGCTGTGAGGTAGATATACAGCGCATCTTCATCCACAGATTTAATATAGGCTTTGATGGCCTTTCGAGACTCTTTGTCAGTGCGAAAGAGAACGTCTAGCTGGCGCTCCCAATCTGCATCAATGCTGAATGGTACTTCAGACTTCTCCAATGCCCCTAGTAACAGCATTCTACGACAGTAACTAACAGCAGCTGGGAAAGCATTGATTTTGGACCCAGAAAAATTGCCAAACACGGATACCGAATCGACATCCATGCCAGTTTTCATGCTATTTGCGACAGTGGAGTTCTCGAGAAGACTTTGCGAGGTAAAAAATACCTTGACCATCTCAGCCCAAACAGGGATGGGACAATCCGAAGAAGTAGCAGAAGAATTTAAGAGTCGATACCAATATGGATCCTATAAAAACGGAGTTAGTATCTGCTAAGTCCCAGGGTAGCTAAGATAACTTACAAGGCCTTTCTTACCCTCCTCGACCACATCACTACGCTCGTCTGTACGTCCGCCGAGCGCAAGAATATCTATCCATCGCCCTACGACGTCGTTGTAATCCAGGCATCGATTCGCCCAACGAACAGTGGAGAATCGAGCGCTTCTCACAATACCATCCTCGCCTTCTTGCAAAGTCATGTACTTAAGCAGCAGCAAACGCAACTCATACTTCAAGCTTGAGTCCAGCTGCACAGAAAAGACACCTAGTAAACTCGACAGAGCCCCCTCGATACTTACGAAGAGCGTTTCCGATGAACCTTCCTCTGTCAAGGATCTGAAAAGCCACTTAACAAGTGACAGCTCGTCGTTGAGAACAATGGAAGGGGTGGTCTTGGCCAAAGAACCCAGAGTCTCATAGGCGAGTGCTCGCAAGGCGGCAGCATCCTGAGACTTATCTTGGGGAATGGGCCAGCCTTGATCTTCAATATAGCTTCGGAGGAACCCAACTAGTTGAGGAGCTACCTGCTCCAGATCACTAGCAGAGCCTACGCGTGATACCCAATTCATGTAATTGAACAACGCATTTCTAAATTTTACAGTCTCAAGGCCTTTTGCGGGAAGATTCGTGTTGTCATCTGGCTGAATTGCTTGTTGCACGATCTTCACAATTTGCCGAGGAAATGTTGTTGAAATGGCCGATTTACTGAGCAGAACAAGCAATCTAGTTTGAAGAGCCGGTTTCAGTGTGAAGTAGATCTCCATAAGGTTCTCAATGGTCTCGGGATTTTCCAATGAGATAGTTGACCGTTTCAGCATGTCATCCCCTGCGCTGGAAATTCGAGAGTTGGTATCTCCAGACGCAAATAAAGCTGGCAAGAATCGCTCATCATCTGTAAAAGCGCCGCTAGCCAAGAATGCAAGGATTCCGATTTTGGTTTGTGTTAGATTTAGTCCTTCTTCGGTAGTTGGGTCCCATGTCTCTTGCTTTCCACTCAATGTCAAGAATTCATATTCTTGGACAGTGAGTCCAGGACAAGTTACCCCAGATGCTATAGAGCGTACGACGGTGAAAAGGACAAGCTTCCCAAACCATGAAGCCACGAATTTTGCATCTTCAACATGCTCGTCGAGCCCGAGCTGTTGTCTCAGCTCTGTGTCTTCTTTGCTTCCCCGCAGCGGTATACGAAGACGTGGTAGCAGGCGGAGGAATAGATTGAAGAGTGTTGCACAGGTCTGTTTGCCAGCATCCTTGGCAAGTCCATGCAATATGGTTGGCAGGAGGTCCATTTGCTCCTGCACTATCGTTAGCTACTTCGTGGCCTAGAGAAAGCAACTTTCTAGACTGCCTTACTTTTGAAGACAGTTTTCCCACACTCTGCTGTATGAAAAGAAGGTCAAAGTGTCGTATCATAGCAGACTCCGCGTTCTCCTTGTATTGCTTCAGGAGGGTCGCCACGGGGAGGACAATGCCCCTAGTAAAAAGTCAGCCAACCAGTCAACATACAGATTTGATAATATCTCAACGTACTGGTTGCCGGCAAGCCGAATCTTGACATGGCTACATATTGATATCACCTTCAAAAGAGTCAGAATCCTGCAGCGTCACGTGTTGGCGAGGATAGGTACCTTGTTGCGCACGTCAACAGAAGAGGAAGTCAACTTCAGCAGCAGAGGCGGCAAGTACGTCTTCAGGAGACCTTCAAGTTTGTCGTCTTGGGCGAGTGCTATGCGCATCTCCACTTTGCCACAAAGCTCGAGCTCTCTGGCCTCAGCGGACATCTTAACAAGATTGATATTGAATTTCGTTGTAAAGGCAGCAAATTCATTACGTTTTGGTGTTTCTGGAGGAGAGAAAACGGGAGTTTTTATGGCGAGAGCAAACTGGTAGGAGAATCAAACATCGTCAACAGGCAATGATTATATTACGACTTGTTCTGATTCGTGTTCGTCGTTTGCCTGTTGACTTCGCAATAAGGTAATGGCCACTGCAAGGCTAGCTCATACCACGTGATTATTCACACGTAATCAGGACAAAGAATATTGCTTGTTATGGCACGCTCGGAATGGCGTATATTACCTTAAATAGCAATATCGAGGGTTTCAATTCAAGACACTTATGGCTCTCACTTCACAATGTTGAATATTTGGGGCCCTCATGCACTCAGGGTAATTCGGGGTTAATAGATAGGCAGACTAGGACGTCTCCACCTGTAACCTATCGCCACCTGAAATCTCATATGTACAAGTAACTTAAGTGATTGCATCTTGATCGACCAGTAAGGCTGCTATGCAAATACACTCTCCATTCAGAGCAATGCTCATCATTGTTCTAGGGTATTTACAGACTTCCAGTCAATCCAGTCCACCAACAGAGATCCCTAATCCATGACCACGAAAACTCCCCAGCCCGAGAAATCCATAATAAACAATTGTCATATTTCTACCTTATCTCATCTCATCGTCGATCATCATTATCGTCATCGGCAGGCTCAACACGCACTAATATCTCCTCCAGCAGCCCTTCCAAGAAGACGTCCACACCATTGTCCATGCCAACCGGCTCCTGCTTGTCCCAATGATCGATTTCTTTGCAGACGTGAGCTAATTTATAAACTAGTTTCCTTAGTTTTTCATGTGCTGCTTGTGCTCGCTGTTGCTTTGGGGTAGTGCCGGTTCGCCCAAACGCCTGCTGGAGACGTATCTGGCGACGTTTCAGCGCTTCCTCGAGAGCTGGAAAAATAACATCGTTGAGGGCATCAAGTTCACCAGTCGGGCTAGCGGGAGTTGGAGAGGGCATAGTCGTCGGTGTTCGGGAGGATTCAGAGGAGAGGCTTTCTCGCGAAGGGGTGCTTTCACGAAGTTTGGAAGGAAGAGCGGGAAGTGGTTGCTGGGCAAGCTGACGTGGGTTTACGTTCTGGGAAGTGAGAGGCTGCGTCATGGGGGGCATTTGTTGCTTCGCTGGTACAGTCGGCTGGTTCGTAAGTTTCTGTAGGGGTTGGCCTCGAAACGGCGGGATTTCAGGTAACTTTATAGGCCCAAGTTTTGGTAAGGGTTGTTGGGCTGAAAGTCGTGGAGTAGCTGCGTTGGTTTGGAAATCTTGGGCTTGGATGGCCGACGGGGCAAATTGTGACCTCGCCGGCTGAGGGGAAGGAGTTGCTCCAATGTTTAAGAATCCCATATCTCTTTGCAGTTGCTCCTGTAAGCTTCTATCGTAATCTGGAGATTCCGTCGCTTGTTGGGGAAGATATTGGTGTTGAGGTGTTCTTGGTGTTTGGGGCCCTGCCGCTGGATGCTTTTCTGGGGAAGGTGGCAGTGGGACTTTTGAAGGCGATTGAGGTGGCATATTAGGAACAGGTTGTCGTTGCGGTGATGACTGTCTCGGTTGGCTGGTTATAGGAGAGTTCAATCCTTTGACTGTATCTGCACTGGAGACATATCCCGAGTCCTTCATTTTCGTTGGAGATAAACTGTGAGGTCGTTCGGCATAATCATCTTCACTTTCAGAGGATCTTGAAGATCTCGCATTCGTTGCGGACTCCCCCATCGTATTCAACCCGGATCGACCTGCTCCTCTACCTCCAACAGGTCGTACGGTCCCAAAATCCCACAGGTCATCGTTTATAGGTGCTGTCCGCGGTAGTTCATCTCGCCCGTCATCTGAATCATCATCTCCATCGCTTTTATGGTGCACTGCCCATCTTTCATGCCGCTCAATCAGCTCTGTAAGGTAGGAGGTCTTCTTGGCCTTTCGAACGAATAGATGCTTCAATAAGTCTCGAGCAGAAGGTCGCTTCCTAGGGTCTTTCTGTAAACATAACTCGACAAATTCTTTAAATGCCCTGGAAAAATTGCCTTCCAGCTCTGGCGGAGGATTCTTGGGGATTAAAAATAGAACTTTCATAGGATGAATGTCAGAGTAAGGTGGTTCTCCGTTGGCCAGTTCCAGGGCTGTGATGCCCAATGACCAGATATCCGCTTTGTGGTCATAGCCAGATTGCTTGATGACTTCAGGAGCCATCCAGAATGGTGTGCCAACGAAAGTGTTCTTTTTCGTCATTGTAGCTGAAAGTTGTCCCGAAACACCAAAATCTGCCAGCTTGACTTGACCGTTGGCTCCCAACAAAACGTTTGCAGCTGGCGGCAGGGTTAGCCAGCTCACGTAGCTCTAAGGCATAGATGTACCCTACCTTTGATATCCCTATGAAGCTTTTTGTCCCCATGCAGGTAATCTAAACCAAGTAGTAGTTCTCGGATAATGATCGAAATATACTCCTCATTGATGAGCCCTGGCTTCATCAAATCCCCGCAACTCCCGCCGGAACAGAATTCCATAACGATCCATAGGTCGGAGCCCTTCAAGTATGATCCGTGGTACTGTGTAACATATGGAGAGTGGAGTTCGGACAGAATGGAGATCTCTTGTATGATATCTTCCACCTCATCTTCTGCATTTTCGACGTCGATTACTTTGATAGCGACAGCTTGCCCGGTACGTTTATCTACTCTGCTATTGTGTTAGCTACAGTATGATACCATTTACGAAAATGGGAGACGAGAAATTACCCTTTGTAGACCTTTCCAAAGCTGCCGCCACCTAGATCCGGTCAGCACTGGGGTACGAAGATAGGTGATCCTCTCACAGCATACCTATGCAATTCTGCTTGGTATACAGCGTCTCCGGATCTACCACACCGCCCATAATACCACCTCCGCTTGACATCTTGCCAGACTGTGTCCTACCAATCAAGTTGTAAGGGGTGATAAGGCGAGAATCTCGTGTGATTGGTGCAGTCGGTCCGCTGAAGGTTGTCAAGAACTCTGGGCAGATTTACCGCAGAGGCTGCTCCTCGAGTTTGTAGAAAGATACGCAGCAAGAAGATGTGTTTCAAACAGGAATCGAGATGTTCGGTCAGAAGCTGAGGGCAAGAATTGCGGCAGGTCGTTAACGTGGTGATCGCGGGGTATAAAAGCGTATGGTATCGATAAATGAGGGTGAATTGGACCAGAAATCAGAGATTTCTAGTTCTTACCAAGGGCTGGAGCTGCTAAATATCCTTTCACGGCCCAGGCAAAGCGAAAGGGAGGGCATCCCAGCCTGGAATGAACGAGACGGCCGTCGCTGCTCAAGCTCGGAATGCAGGAACGACTTGGCGGCTTCCTTGTTTCATGAATATCCGGGGAAGTGGGCGCGACTGGTCTACAGAGTGAAGGGATTGAGGTCGAGAATAAACAGCATTTAGGGGTCTGTCAACATAAGACAAGCATACGCTTTCGTTGGATTGCGATGCTTTGCTTTTTCTAGGAGAATTACAGGCGGGATGTGTTGTTGTGATTTTAGGATGCTTGTCCACGTCCAATCAATCCTATTCGCCCAGTGAGTGTTGATTTCAGGGGTCGGTGAGTAAACAGCCGTCCACCTCACGCGAATGGATTTGTTCACATGCGATCCAGCCACAAGGTCATATCAAGGTGCCATTAATTGTCAGGCATTTCATCATTCATTCTATACTCATGTTCATGCTCAATAATGCCACGGCAGGAGTGCCTTCTAATGCAGTGAGGGACGCCAAAGCCAGGGCTAGAGGAAATGGAGGCACAGTATGCCAGTCATAAATGCCATGATGCCGCCGCGGGTACGGCCATTTACCGTTACGGAACAAAGGAGAATGTCTATCAACCGGTGGGACATTCTCACTTCAAAACCCTTTCTCCCTCTCTCTAATCCTCCAGGAACTCCACCATGACAGTGCCATTCTTCAGACCTGCATCCTCAATTGTTTCCTCCAGATAATCTCCCAAGTCCTTGCCCATACCCGTCAAGTCAAACGGAACCCCTTCCTTACCCTCCAAAGGATCTGCCTTTAGCCATTCGAAAATCCGTAGAACTGGATCGTCCACCCGGAATCTTCGTACAATTCGTCCCGTAGAATGCCTAAACTGGACCCGAGTTACGTCAGGTCCCGGCGCAGGTTCGACGTGAGGATTGTTGGAGGATATTCGTGAGTATGTGGACGGTTCTGATGTTTCCTCCTCAGGATGACCATTCGAGGGTCCAGCAGTTTCTTCCTCGGTTCCATTATCAACCTCCTTTCCTTTGCCCTTACTCGCATCCCCAAAGCTCTTCGTGAGATCATCTGGGTCATGTTCTTTCGGACCAGCTGAAGCTGTATTTGCAAGACTGTTCTGTAAGGCAAGGTCGAGCATTTCCTCTTCTGTAAGCCGATCGATATCGATGGATTTAGGCTTTTCGGGTTTCCGCTTGGCCACAGGATTCTTCTTTGTGACATCAAGACTATAGCGATCTAAAAACTCCACTAGTTGCATGAGGAAGTCCCCAGCATTAGGTACTGGTGGTCCGGACCATACCTTCATCTGCTCTCCGGTACGTGGGTCGACAATGGCGATATGTGGGTATGCAGCGTCACTATCTTTTGAGAGAAAATAGTATTGAATGTATTGGCTTCCTCGCGGATCGTCTTTTGAATACTGCATAAAGATGAAGTTTTCCTTGACCACCTCTTTGATGCCATCATGCTTCCATATGTCACGGTTCAATTGTTGGCAGTCGAATATGGAAGGATCCTGAACGTTGACCAGTATCCACTTTGCATCTTCCTTTCCTTTATCACGAGCATCATCCCAAGCCATTTGGTTCATAAGCTCGAACGGGGGTCTGAAGAGTTCCGCCAGCAGCGCAGCTTTGCTTGATGTTTCAGAACCACCACCAGTAGCTTCAGCAAGACCTTGACGGCGTGTAGTAGCATCAGCAGATTCATCCCAGATAGATGGGACTGGTCTCTGGTTGAAAACGCCTGGTCGTCCTACGAAAGTCAGTATTTGCAGACAGATTTTATTTCATGAATATATACGTACCTGGTACTCGAGCCAGGCGATTCCTCATCTGCTGTTCGACTGCTGCTTGCATATCGTCTGCGCCCCAGCCTCCGCCACCATGTCCTCCAACAAGTGTTTCTGTCGTACGCCCAATAGGTGCCCTGACACCATCTGCACCCAAACCGCCAGATGCATCACCTCCCCCATAAAATTCTTCTTGCATTCTCCTAGCAATCGCTTCGTCATCTTCGTAGTCCGCTGCTCGGCCTATAGCTGCTGCGGATGTGGCTTGCCCCCCATCGTCAAGATCTATCATGTCTTCGTCGTCGTCATCTAAATGCACAACTCCCTTGGAGTCTTCTCTTCCGGCACTGGCAGCTCGAGGTTGTGGTCGCGTAGAAGATGGTATAGATGGTGCAGATGGCTGGGTACTTTGGCCTAGGCCAGAGGCAAGATCGGGAGAGTCGAAGTAGAGTTGGATGGCTTGTTCACTGTTGTTGTCCGTCATCTCTAGATACCTCCTCGCAACGTCTGGGGTCGCCCCCGTGAAAGCCACGAATGTATCGATAATATCGTCCATGGTGCCTGCAATTCTGCTGTGTGGACTTTGCCAATAAGAGTATGGAGTGCCCAAGGGTACGCAGAATATATGTTTGTGGGGTTGATCACAGGGTGTGGACGGTCATCGGAGAATGTGCCACTGGGAGTGAGTGAATCAAAAGTCGGATGCAGTTATTAGCAACGGCGCGGGCGTGTCAGGATGCGTAGTGGTCAGAAGGGTTCATGTAGAGAGGGTATTTGGGCGCGGTGACGTTTCGGGCGGCAACCTTGGCGGTTGATAAGATCCCCCTAAAATCGTGCAGGGGCGAGGCTGAACACGAGGCTGTCTCCATCAGGTGCCCACTTACCACCAGGACTACAACTTTCTACATTTCACCCACTTATAGCCTCAACTTCTCTATGCTTACTACCTATATTCGCCTTCCTCCGAGTTTGTTTGCTATATACTGCTAATGTATAAACTTCTAGATAATACGGTAGATCTTCTTTCACGAACATATACTTGAAAAGACTGATTGACCTTTTGAAAATAGCATCTTTCACCGCAGAACACGGCGCCAAAATAATCCTTGTAGCAACGGTTGCCCTAGTATTCGTTGCACTAGGATATAATGCTGCTCTAGATGGATGATTTAGACCAACAATCTGCTAGGGCACTGGGACTTCACCCTCGCAAGATGCATCACTTCGAGGGTCACTTGCAATACAGTTATCTAGCCGCTAGGGATTGTATTCTAGATCTGAAAGAATGTTATGGTGGGGGATCAGAAGCACAGAGGTGGATCGTCGAAAGATTTCAGCTATCCCTGTCGGATGCAAATGTCAGAGCCATTAATCATTCTCGGGGGTTGAGATTAGACTATATTGTATTGACCGAGACAATAAGCTACATTTGTTGCAATAAGGAAGATATTTCAAGTCACCTTTGTTTGTCTTGTACATAGATGTTCGTTCTATCCTGAATACCTAGGCCTACCTAGGCCTACCTAGGTATGTATTTAGCTCGCTTGGTAGAGGGGTCAAAATACTCAATTAGGGTCCTTTTAGCAGCCAATCAAAAGAAGGCTTGGCTTACCTTATAGTACCCCTGTCGTCCTTCCAGGAACCAAGACTCTACTCTTTTGATGCAAGTGCAAGCTCACCCCAGAGCCAAAACGCCTTAATACTCGCAATACAAAGCTCAACGTCCTCCAACATGACCGTCGACGATACAGTCACCGATCCCTCTCTTAAAATGACACTCGAAATCTCCAAGCAAACCTGCGATCACGCAATTGCGCTCTTGGATCTGGCGTCCAGCACCCCCCAACATCCCCAGTCTCTTCCGATTTCCAGCTCCAGATCTCGAAACAGCAGAAGCTACTTATCACATACCTAGCTCAATTACGAGGGCTTCACCGCGACGCACACGTTGGTGCAAGACAGACAAAGGCTCAGACAGCTGAAGCGCGTCAAGAGATCGACAGGCTCCATTTAGCACTACAGAACCTATACTATGAGGAAAGGCATTTGCAGGGAGAGATTGTCGCTTGCGAGTCATACGAGTAGGTCAAGTCTGCAAAGAAAGGCCAAACACCACAGCTAACGGTTTTCACAGTCACAAATACCAGCAATTACCTCTGATTCCGGTAGACCAGTTCTTGGCAGATCATCCAGAACACGCAGGTGCAGATGAAGTTGCTTTGACGATTGCTCGGATCGACCATGAACATGCAGAGCGATTGGCACTTGAAGAACAGAGACAAGCATTGCTGAAGAAGAAGCAAGGGCTTATTGCGGACAATAAGAAGAGGAAGGAGGACCTTGCAAATCTGGATAAGGACTTGGAGAAGTTCATTGATGTGCGTTACAATATACTACTATCAATCGTGAGCATGACTGACTTAAGAACAAGGCCGCCAAACCCATTCAGAAGACCTTTGAACGTTGATGAAATATCGAACAGCAAATACCTAACTACGTACACCTGCTTCGTCCTCTCAAGCTATGACGATCTACGGGGTATTGCCTGCTTTAATGCAGCCCTAGCTGGTGGCTTGTGGCAAACATGCCCTCCATCAGTGTCGGAATAGGCTGGATCTCTTGCTTCACTCTATGGAGCTTCATCCAAGGATCGCTGCGTTCGTGCATCTGCAATGCAGCATGCTATCTCGGAAAGCCCAGTAGATGGCACGATTCGAAGAAGATAGCATAAAGATTTATAGACCCGATTCGAGCCAAATCGAAAATCCGCGTTCTCGTTTCAAGTTTCTTATGAGCTTGCACAAAACCGCAGCTCCCGAAACTCCTCAATTCTCTTTTCATTGAATCTATTTGAGAAGTTTCTCGGTTATTACACCGGTCCCAAGCTTGTGAGACAATGACAGCTTCAAACTTCAACTTGGAGTGTCTCGTCCTATTCTATACTACAAGTCAACCAGATAAAACCCCAGTAGGCAACTATTGCAATACAAGCAACACATCCAGCAAAATTGCTCAACCTTTGCAAATTTCTTCTGTGGTACTGATATAAGCTTCATTCTCGTGGCATGTAGATTGTCGGAGTGTGTTTGCTGCGGAATAAGGCTGTGAGATTTCTATCTATTTTGTCTGAGCTGCCACGAACTGAAACCCCTGTCTCTGAAAATATTCTGGCAACATATATCCACAGGACTGAACCAAAGTAGCGTCTATGGTCCCACTTGAGAACGAGATGCATGTTCTTTTATAAACCTAAATCTAGTAGACGGCGTAGTCTAGGCCTGCTTGACCTCAGCGCCGGGTAACCACATACGGGGACTCACTGCGGAAGCAGTCCGACTGTCGCACAATACTAGGGTTGTTTTTTGAACAGTTAAAGGCATTCTTATTTCAGAGGTGGTGCCCTGTTCGTTTGCAGGAAATGCAATGTCGTCAACTGCCGGGTGAGTGATTGTCCTAACCTATTTTTTGAGCCCTCGTTTTCCTCGCCATAGTAGCAGCTTTCAAAGTGATGTTGCTATGTTTATTTTTTGCCTTGACGAGCTTAGTTTGTCATGGGCGTGCTCAAGGCTCAACAACTTCTTCCTCAGCGGTTCCAACTCACACCGTTTCTGTGGGAGCAGTATGTACATTCGAGGTCATCATCAGAGCCCAGATATTGACACTGTATCTTAGGCGGGATTCATCTTTACTCCTGATATGGTGATAGCAAACATTGGCGATGTCGTGGGTGAGTAATTCCTGCCCTTGGAGTCGTTGGCAAGCCTTCAAACGCTTCCGCTAACTGACCCAGAGTACCGGTTCTATCCTCAAAATCACTCCGTCGCGAGAGCTAACTTCGAGTCCCCGTGTATACCGTATGATTATAGCGGGCCTGGAAGAGTTGGATTTTGGGGTGGCTTTCACCCTCTCAATGTCATACTCCCACAGCCTCCCTTCTTTCAGGTTCAGATCAACGATACCGCTCCCATGTTTTTCTACTGCTCAGCTCCCGGGGCATGTATTGATGACGAGATGGTTGGAGTGATCAATCCTGTAAGTACTTCTCTCCTTTCACCCTGTAGTAGCTACTAATACCAATATAGAATGATACGCAAACACTTGAGATCCAAAAAGCGTACGCCAAAAATGCCACGATAGCTTTCAGCCCCGGCGAGTCATTCCCGATAGAGAGTGCATCTTCGAGATCATCATCAGTACCTACATCGATCTGTTCATCATCGTCGTCCGGCACGACAGCTACCAACACGGCTACCACAACACCCGCAAGCACTCCAACAGCAGCCGCCGCTGTATCAAAACCTGCTCTCTCGACTGGGGCAATCGCAGGGATTGCAGTCGGTGGAGTGGCAGTCCTGGTCCTCGCAGGTGCCTTTATCTATCTCTGCGGCCGTCAACGCACCTTGGGGGAAATTGTGCAACAGAATATGCAAGACGCTACTTCAACACACATGCCAGGGCATATTTCTCTCGCATCTGCGACAACTTACCCGCCAGACCCACCAAAGTCGAATGCTAATGCTCTGGGAGGCACAAGGTATGCAGCGCCGGAAGAGTTTTACGATCGCTTGGCGCTTGAGATAGAGAGTGACCGCTCGAAGAGTTCACAAATCGATGATGGTAGCAAGCTTATTGTGATACCTAATATGCATCTCACTAGTTCGTCCGTGGATTCGAATCCCGGGGGTCCTTCAAGACATGGTAGTCCGATGGGCAGGAGACCTCTACCGGATAGACCTAGTCCTGCGTCACCGCTAGAAGAGACGACATACCAGCCACTGAATGCTGTTGTTTCGGCTGAACTAAGGTATGCTGTATATAACCATAAAGAATGGTTTCTAATACTAATTCGCACTCCAGAGTGGACATGTATGATGGACCGCATGAGCTCGATGTCGAGAATGGGCGGAACTCCTATCCCCATCCCCACAGTGGCCCGGAGTACAATTTTAGTCCATCATCTGAACACATACAGGGTCGCCATTTGGTATAACCCTAATCATATGATGCTTCCTTTGTATTTACAAGATACGCTTTGGGCGCTTTTGCGTGGCATAGGGCCTTGAGCTGCTTCCCGAAGCAAGCACGGTTTTGGCTTGTTATGATAAGTTTGACTTATGAATTAATTAATCAGCTTTTAAGCAGCGACTTCTAACTGAGAGATTCGAGTTATATTTGTTCCTTCTGCGAGGTCTCGATCGGTAAGTGTCATATTACTTGCGTATCTCCCATTTCTCGGGTGGTCTATATTCCCTTGCTGCGTTCAACCCAGCAAGATGCGTTTTCCTCGTGACTAGAAAATAGTATTCTGTCCGGATTGAGCAGCAGGTTAAGGAAAATCGTGATGGCTTTGGATGGAAGTCACCTGTATGGGTTTCTCTTTCTCTTCGAAATCTTTGATCTATTCCAGTTGGAACGACATACAAGACGTAGCAAGTATGTTTCTTCTGCTGCTTGTCGAATCACCCAGACCCATATACCTTAATTGGGTTCACCTCTCTCCATCCACTCCCCTCTGCAGTCAACGGAACATCACTGAACGCCCTTGCCTTCCTCACCAACACATCCGGAATACTTATTTGTCCTCCGATGCTCATCTTTCCCAGCTGATCTGACAACTCGACACCCTTCTTCGCATGGTTCAAAATCCAGCACCTGCCTAGCCTCTCGTACCCGTCAATCATCAAGCAACTCGGTACAAATACCGCCATCTCCTCAAATACCATCGCCAAATCATCGTCATCTGAGAGCATGGGGTCGGAGAACACCAGCACCTTTCCTCCATCGTCCCGTGGGAAAATCATAGGCATCCAAAGCTCCTCTATCCCCATAAATGAAGCATGGCTTGTCTCCTGACCCCAAGTGACCAACCAAAGAGCAAACCGCAACAGGCTGTCCACACCCGTCCATCCCGCCTTGCTCTCCACCCATGCCCCACCTCTCAACTCATCCTGCTCAAACTCTTCACCGAAAAAGTCAGTGGCATCTTTCTTCCACATAACATAATGATTCGGCGGAAAACCACAGTTCTTTGCAGTCTCTAACATCCATTTGGGACGGCAGTGCAAGATTGATGATACGGTCATGGTGAAGCGGTAGAGTTTGGCATCTTCTCTGTCTGTTTGGTTTCTCCAGAAACGATACTCCGGGCCAGGACCCCAGTCGCGACCACTGGACTGGTATCCGGGTGGAAGGCCCAGGCCAAGTTTTCGGCTGATGGCGACTAGGGAAACGGCTGTTGTGAGGCAGGACTGGGAGGGCTTGGAATCCTCCCTGAGAAGGAAACCGGGGAGTTGGATCCAGTGGGATGAGGGGTCATCGTCAATTGCTATATTATCTGTCACGAGGTGTGGTAAAGGTGTGCTCTCTGGTGCTGAGCCCGTGTCTCTTGGCTAGAAGTTTAGTTAGATATATTGGTCTACTATTTCGCAAATAGGAGAGGAGTACTGACGCTAGGACGGCACATCCAAGATGAGTCTCGTTTTCCAGTGTTTAGAGGTGATCCCATACAACAAAGTGCAAGTGGATCTCCTGCTGCTAAAGCTAGTGTGAACAGCTGACGGTAGCATTCATCATCTGAGAAATAGCGTCTCAGAACTTCCGGACTGCCATCCCTTTTGAGATTCAAGCCATTTCCCACACTATTCAATACGATAGATATCTTATCACATCGAGCATCACAAGCTCTTAACTCCTTTTCCAATCCTGGGTCTCCACCAGATCCTAACTCCATCACCTCCCTAATGTGAAGTGTATAGCTTTCCTCCGCATCAAGTTCAGCCGGTTTGTCAGCCAGAATGCGTCGAACTTTCTCCATCTCCTTTTGTATATCGAAGCGTTCTTTGACCATTTCACGAACCTTCCTTAGATGGTTACTAGTAGCTGGTAATTCGCTAGAGAGGCTTGATAAATACCACATAAACTGATTGGAGAAGGATAGTATAGTGTCTTGACGACGGCCGCCAGGTGTTGCGCAGGGAATCATAAAGATGTGCCGCTGCCCGAGCCGCATCTCGTGGGAGCACCAAGCTCTTGTAAACCACTGCGCACGTTGGCGTCAGTACTGACTGTCCAAATTCAAGAAAAGTGTAAAGTCGAGCGGTAGCTCATCATGGGTGCGAAATTCATATCAAAAGAATCAAACTTCATACCCTAGAGGAGCAGATTTTGTCATAAAACCCCCTCAAGATAGGATTCTCATGCATATATGGAGGTCTTTGTCCAAAGTATGGTCGCTCCAAGATGGTCTTCCCGGAATTTTCAAACTCGGGAATGAATTTCCTGAGAAATATTTGCTCCTCTTCGCTCACTTCAACATCCTCTATGGCTATTATAATAGCCCGAGCATGTTGGTAAAGAGTCGCCATGGCCGGAATAGCTTTTCGTACTTCAAGTTTGTCACTCTGGTTGATACAAATTTGGTCAATCCAGAGACCTTCATTGGCCGTAGCCCTTTCAAAAATGGCTGCTTCTAGGAGCCGTTCAGGATAAGTTCATAGATATAAGTAAACTTTGGAATGGACTTAGGGCAAGTGAGAATGCCCCCCAATAAGGCGGTATCTAAACCATTTGATAAAGTGAAGAGCATGCTTACGGAATAACAAAGCATTGAATGGAACTATAACATCAGACCCATATGGCTCAGTCGCAATTGTGCCATAGGTCAGATACTTATCAGACCAACAATAGCTCAGAGCCAAGTAAGAATCCTCTGGCGAATCCTCCCCTACGCAGAGATTAGTGACCCCCTTTAAGACAGTTGAATCAGCAGCTCTCTATAACGCGTATTGCAGTGAAACTACGGAAAATATCTCTCTCGTTGTTTTTTCACGGGCTCGGATTGAAATCCTAATCAAGCAAGCCCAGTTGTTATATAATGGTTTTCTGAAATCCGGAGGACTCACCGTTGATCAATCTCAACGTAAAATCCTTCACAAGATCTCCCTTCAGCTCGAAATTTGCAGCAACAGAAGGAGCGAGACCATTCAGCTTTTGCAAGAGCGCGCTTCCCTTGGCTACTTGCATTTCCTGAACGGGAAGGAAATCCCGAAAAATGATCTCCTTGTTAGCTACGTCGGACTCGCGAAGTATGTCTCCAGGGACTTCCTGGGGAGGAATAGTATCAGGCCATGAGAAGAATGCGATCTGGCCATTTAGTTTCCAGTTGACACTGTTTACGAATCGTTTATCTAGATCAGATGCCATAATTCTAGACGGCTGAAGACGGATAGGCCCGCGAAAATACCAAAGAGCGCAGAAGCATGAATCAAGGATAACGTAAAGTGAGAACGAGGATCGAAACTCGGACTATAGATTGCTAGACATGTGAATACTGAGTGATGTATTCGTATCATAGCCAGGGCTGACGGACTTGACGCGCCGAGGGTAACGTTGAGAACAAGCTGAATATATTTCCAAAAATAGAAGTTAGAAACGCCACAATTTCTCATTGGTGCAATAGCGACAAAATTGGAGATGCCATGTGTGCCCTGAACAAATGTTGCACTAAATAATAATGTGTTCAGTTTGATCATTGTCATGAGCTTCATTCCTTCCTAATCCAGTAGAGAAAGGAACCACCTCCCTACTTTCTACTCACACACGTGACAACCGTCATCAACATCACAAACGAGGTCTTAGCAACGGTGATAAATCCACCAGAAGACGCATTTGTTTAGGAACCGATAATGCGAGTACAGTCGCTCGCCAAGGAGGAGTTTTGAGTAAGTCCAAGCCTTCGATCTATTGTGTGACGAAGTAGTCTTCAGAGAGCGATCGTCTTGTCAACGTTCTGGAAACGAACTGGCATCTTCCCAACATCTCCACCGTTCGTGGCTTCTACGTCTGGACTAACATACAGTAGCAGAAAATACCCATAATGCCTGATGCTGTCAACCACACAGTAAGCGCCGCCTCCGACGAACCGAATGCCAAACGCCAGAAAATGGAAGCGAAGAAGTTCCTTAAGGATCTGCCTGCCGACGAATTCATCTGGTCAGTTCCCTGTAAGCTCAGAGTTGTCACGAGAAAACGAGCTAATGAATAGCAGCGTGATGAACGAGTGCTTGGAAGGATCGAGAGTCATCATCAGCGTGGACGGCGTGGAACACTCTCTCCCAAAGAAGATTGTATGCAGCACCTCGAGTTTCTTTGACCGTGCCTTCAACGGAAACTTCAAAGAGGGGAACGAACAGAAGATGGAATTGAAGGATGTCAAGAAGAAGCCGTTCTATCTTGCCGTACAGTGGATGTTCACTGGACAGATTGTACTGCCCACAGCATGCGACGGTAGTGCAGAGATAATTACTGAGCTCATTGGCTTCCTCGAACTTGCTGATCGGCTGGATATCATGGGCCCGTTTGATTCTATTATTGGGACAATGCGCTCAAAGATGCATTCTAATCGGAATGCGCTTTTGCCGCAACATATTCGAGATGTTGCCAAACTGCCTCGAAACCACCCCGCCCGCGCACTGATTGCTATAGCTTGTGTTGGACCATATGCTTCGGCTGTCAAAAATCCAGATACATTCGGATTCAAAGCGGAGCTCGAGGAGGTAGAAGGTTTTGCATCGGATTTGTTCAAGGCTTTCGGGAGCACGCTCCGTTTATTTAAAAGCTACACTTCAGTCACTATTGTTGATCCGTTGACGAGTGTAACAGTTGAAATTGATAGCGATCACTTTTAAGACACCAAAGAGTGAGATGGTGATCATGGTTGATGGTATCAAGTAGGGCTGAGGTACCAGGGGGCGGTAGACTGTGGTCGCAGTCACAACTTGCAGCGAGGGAGTCACTTATACGTAGCTGCAAACGAAAAGTATCTTCGCTTTCGTTCTCTATCAGATCTTTTTAGCAATCTTGCTTGTACCCAACAATATGAGCTCATAACATTTTCAATGGACCCGTTGTGCTCGTTCTTGTCCTGAAACCAACCAGGAATACCAGATAGAAAATGGGGTCTTGGTAAACAATTGCCCCCCACGAAAAGAGACTAATAAATAGTCAAAACCAGCACTAGCTTCTCAACCACGAGCATAGCGAACATCAAAGACGAAGTGATATATCTCAGTAATCCAATTTCCGCCAACTAAGGCGGGATTAGGGGAAGCAGGAGATGGAATGGTTGATGCTTCCAGGCTTTAAGTTCAAGCTATATTCCTCGTATCTTCCTCCCTTCCTTAGAGATTAATCAAAAACTAGCAAATGCAACTTTACATATCAGGGAAAGGCATGGCTGATAAATTGGCATGCAAGAGTGGAATCATGTACGTCTTGTCGGGACAGGGGAGCAGATTCTTAATTGAGCAAGGCAAAACCACGGTTTGGAAGAAGAAAAAAGAAAGAAAAAAAGGACATCCACGAACTAATGGGAACAGTTCAGGCACAAATATATGCCGAAATTGTTTATTTACTCGGCAAGATAAGTCCAAGTACCACCGCAGAGCGCGCCCTGAGCGTATGCGGAGGGGAGAAATGGAGGAGGTAGCGCAATGCGCATAAAGACGATCGACTAGTATAACGGCAACTTTCGCTTCTAGAACAAATAAAGCATGAATGATTATAGACGTGGCTTGAATCCTATTCCGAAACCCCACGTAAAGCATGCTCGTGGCAGCCATGTGTTTGTCCCGCGAAAGGAAGGAAGTCAATCGGATCCTTCATCCTTCGCGGTTGCCGCTTTGCATTCGGGGTTTTTAGAGCGGGCGGAGCCAGCGCTACAGAGACGAAAATGGAAACCTGTTCAGGGGTGGTTTATTAATGCTCCGATAGAATGACTTGGTAGGGCTGAGCTGCAGGAAATGAAATGAGATTTATATCAATGCGAATGGAAGTCCTGTAATCATTAGTTTGGAATACAGCATGAGGAAATTGAGGTATGGATCTGCATGGATCCTTGAAATTCTTTCCTGCACCTGGCCGTGATGTATATCGACGATCTCTGACAATCTCTCCGAATCCTTAAAGGCTAGGAGACAATTCCAACTCGGCGACTCAACCGAAACATGGAATTACGTTCTCTCTGAGCTGCCACTCTCAGCACCATCGGAGCTGTGATGAGAGGGGAGCGAGTGGCGACAACGAGACGGAAGCTAGGAGGCTTTGTCCTCGAATAATAGGAGATCCTGAGTGCCGATTCCTAGCGTCGTCTTCGCCGCCACTTGAACGAAAACACCAGTGGTGTGTTGCGTCAAGGGAGGAAGGCCACCATGACATTTGCGCCTTCCACCAGTTCCGGTCTATTTCTGATTCCTTTGCCTCAGGAAGATGGAACATTATTGTCCCTCCAGTGGAGGCCCATGGCTTGAATAGCAATGCCTCAGTGACTTGTGTTACCGCCTGGAGACTACCTGGAACATCGTTGGAACAGTAGTTCATGGCGATGGTATAGTAGTAGAAGGTAATGGAGGTTTTATTGAAGACTCGTACTCCGTGCAACAGTGAGAAGAAGCGCCACGGATTCCTAAAGAGTGACCGAGGGCTGTATTGGATGCCCGTTGGATCACATTGAAGGGTCTGATGGTTCTTGCAGCATCCGATAGAGACACTATTCTTGGCAGTGGGATCAGCAATATATCTATCTTGCAGGATGGAACATGCGAGCCTACTCTGTAGCGACAATAAGAAAGTGTTGGGTACCAATAAAAGCGTACAAAGTCAGAAATATCTAAGATCCCGCTCGTCTGGAGTACTTTGATACTTCTTCCTGTCATCCATACGACCTTACTCTTTCTTCACCGCTTGTAGTTTGCAAACCGAGACTAGGAACAATGTGTGCCACGCAGGGAAGGTGGACAAGAGCGTCAAGGCAAACTATGCTCACTTGAAAATTTGACGACTAATGAAGGACACCGCATACTAAGCAGGTATCATGTAGTTTTGCCAGTTAATCACGGGTGACTGGCCCGCGAGTGACGCATACCGTACCGTACCCATCTACATCCTAAATAGGCGCGGCTTTTCGTGTCAGTCTGCTTCCACTCCCAAGTCTCGGCAGATGATGGAGAGTGACTTGATTGCATGATACTCGTGCAGTGCCGTCTTGTTTTGTCTCAAGGGTCCAAAGGGGAGCTTGGTTTCTGCAGGTGATGAGCTCAGACCCCCAGTGGGAGACTTAGGTACCTAGCTTCAAATTGAGATTGAAGCGATGAGAAGCTATCCAGATGTCGTAGAACATCATTGGCCGGTGCAGAAGAGGGGAAAGGACACTGACATATTCGCGTCTTGACCTGCAACCCCAGCATTCAACAATCCAAAACTAGAAAGCAGAAGCAGAAGCAGAAGCAGAAGCAGAAGCAGAAGCAGAAGCCCAAGCAGATCTCACCGAGTACGGTACGAGTACAGTACGGTACGGTAGATGAAGATTGGCCAACAACCACCAACAAAGCGCTGTCTTCTTCTGCCGCCACCCCCAGTTCACAAGCACGCAACAAGTGACCTGCCGGGGATTGAACGACGTGAGTAAGCAATAAACTCACCCACAGTCCTACCTTACACTCACTCTATTCCGTAGTCCTGAGGCTGCTTGCTTTGGTGCGGCCCTCGTGCTTTTTCTCCCTTTGAGCGCTTAAAGCAAGAAGCAACTATAGACTTGGCCAATGAGAGGGCTTACACCCCACTGCTGCAACTGCACACCACACTCCGGACCCCTGCACCCGCAAAATCGCCTTCCGCCTGGAAGACACCGGCGCTTAAGGCTCAGCCAGGATGTCGGTGTCCTGTCCCCGCCGCTTTTGTCACTTCCAAAAATATACCTTGAGTTCGGAAATACGACGGCGATCTTATCGAGGGGGAGGGGAGGGGAGTGAGTGGGAGTGGGAGTGCAAAGCTGCCTCCAACGAGACTGCTGAATTACGCTTATGGCCAAAGGTGAGGGGTCCGACATGTGGCTTCCTGGCACCTTGAACCTGGTTGTGTAGCATTGAAGATTTGGATATCCGTCTGTAAGGTACTGAAGGATGTGAATAGAAGGTCGCCCTGTAGGTCAACATGGTCGCCGAACGGGCTCTGTTGATTTGATAAACATTGTCGAATCGGGATGCGTTGACAGATATATGGGGGCTCAGAATGTTTGTTTGTTTGTTTGACACGATATGCATGGTGATTGGGTCACGTTTGTAAGATGTTACGATTTGTTGTTCTGGTATCACCACCACGCCTCTCCAACCCGAGCCCAAGCCAAAGAACGCCGATTTAACGCCCAAAACAGTCACGTCCCAATAAACAGATTCCCTCCCAATCCTTTAGACTGTTTGATATCGATGACATGACAATCCCGAAAAGAAACCCCGGTTTGTTCCTTCGGGTCCTCCGTTACCTTACTCCAACGATGCTCCAGGCGATGCGCCGAGCAAGATAGCCATAACATGAAGTGACGTTTTCCTCCCTAACTCGAATATCTGTATTCGTGTCTTAAATTTTCGTGACAAGAAATGAAGGCATGATTCGTAAACGGAAGAGAGTGATGTTCGATAGTCGTAGTGGTGATGATGATGTGAAGTGTGGTGACAAAAGAAATATGTAGAGATTGTAAAGGGTGAGAACGATAGTGGTGAATCGAATGTTGGTGTGATAAAAGCCTTGTTCGTTATTAAGTTGCTTTACTCAATCTTCCTCCTCTTTCCCTTGGGCGCTGGACTCATTCGTGGTGTATATGTAACAGTCCGGGTAACTATCTCTCTCACTTGGCGGACACTGGAGCGTGTAGCCTTGGGTGATTTGATGTCGAAATATCTTCCCCTGCTCTTGCAGTCCCAGTCGTATGGGGAGCGTGCGCTTCGTGCACTGAAGGGAGAGCGAACTGCTGAAGTTGCACTCCGGGGAGAGTCTGCGCCTGAGAAGGCTGGAGATGGGGGGATTCGAAGACGTCCTAGTCGCCCAGTTGACGGTGCAGACAATGGGAAGGTGAATTGGGTGGCAGCAGCTGAAGTAGGCGACTTGTGACTATCACAATTGCATGAGCAATCGCTGTGTTCGCTGGAGCCGGTGGAGGGAGCTGAGGTGGGTGTTGTTCTTCCGGACGACTTGTCTCCCGGAGCAGGACTGCCCATGGTCTTGAGGAAGTCTGTATAGGCTGTCGGAGGTGTAATGGGCGTCTTGATATAATCCTCTTGCTTTATGAAATCCGCAAAGCCTGGCAGCGGGCTTCTGGCGGACAGAGCTGACAGTTCGGAGGGGAAGGTTGAGGTCATTGGAGTCTTAAGCTGCGCGAGCTTCGGCTTGGTTGCCATTTTGTCTCCTCGTCGAGATAACGAGTGTCTGTGAGATCCAAAGAATGACTCGGAGCACAAGAGCCTTCAAGCTGCAATGACGGGACAGTCCGTGGTGAAAGAAGGTACGGTAGTTGGGTGGTGGGAAGTATTATAATGTGATAGCTTGAAGCGGCCCTTGTTTCTTGTTTCCCCAGTCGGTCAAGATCGAGCTGTGCAGCGCGTCCGTGTGGCAGGCCTGTCAAGACGGATATAGCAGCCAGTGCTATGTGGATAACCAGATGAAGGCGCTTGGGGGTGGGCGAGTTTGGACTGGTGGGCTGCAAAGGGTGCAGAGTGCAGCAACTTTGTTGTGCTGTTTTCGCTCTATAAGACGAGACCACGAGCGAGTAGGAAAATTACCAGCTCAAAGCAGCGGGGGGTGGGTGATGCAAGAGGCCGACGCTTACCTGGAAGCGAGGCGTGGTTGTTGGAGTCCTAGTGGAGAGCTAGGCGTGCTGGCCCGGCTGAGATGCTGCCCCTCAGGCCCTTGTAGCTTATATTGGAAACGCAGCTGATACGCCGCTTCGTGATTCGACGAGGAACTCTTGATCCCCGTACGGCAGCGATTGAGAAGCAGCGTACACGGTATTGGCTATGGACCCCTGGTTGTTCTCGACGGGTAACAGCAATGGCTGCTGGGATTGGACGTGATTCGCGCCTTCAGTAGTGCAGGATGAACAGCGTTTGCGAACGGGCGTCTGCTGATTGGCGTAGGAGCTGCCAGAGGGTCTCGTGCAAACGGGCTATACTTAGAAGCACCAAAGAGGAGGGCGCGAAGAGAACCAGCAGCCCTCAAGATGCGAGAACTTAGGACACACTGAATGTCATTGATTGGCTCAAGCCGTGACGAGGTTGGAGAGGCTCAGAGGACGACTTTTTGAAGCTGATTCTTACGTTTGCTAGTAAGACGGATGATGAGCAGCACTGGGGGGCCGGCGAGGCGTAATAGCAACCCGCGGATCCGCAGGTATGGTTGTCGGAAATCGATGGCGAATGAGCGAACCCGAAATGGTTGGATTTGCACTCAGGTATCAATGAGATAGATGACTAAGAATGTGTGGGTTGGTGTTTTCTTTCCTGTCCAAGAGATATTTCTCGTCTTGGGATTCTTGATTTATTATGTACTTCTTCCAAAAACTTTCTTCTGCCCTTATCATCACTTCTGTTACAACAGCCCGGCGGCACGATTTCTAAAATTTCTGAGGAGGATTGAGCAGTCGAATCAATGGAGATACACCTGTTAATTTCGCCGCCTGTCTGTTGGCGCTGTGTGTGATCCCGCGCGCTTCTGCCTCAAGGATGGGCAGGAGCCGCCAGCCACGACAGCGACGATAACGTGAGCCATTTCTGTAAGGAAGAGGCTCAAGAATGTGCATTGAGTGGCTGTCGTATTCATTACTCCAATAGAGACTGCTACACCACGTTGCTTTTGAACGGAGAGAGTTTAGTCTGCGCGCGGTTACTTGTGGGGGTCACTAGCAGCTGGTGCCATCGAATGAGGATGTACGAGCAGCACCTTCATGACAACCTTCTATGGCCGCTACTTAGAAGACCTTCTTCCTCCATCCAACGATCATGCTTATTCATAACCTTAAACGCCACATGGAAGTCAAGGAGCGTTTGCTGCACACCATCATATCTTCACTTGGTTTGACAATGCTATATTTTGCCTGTCAGCCTTCATCGAGGCCGATTTACAGCGCCAACCTGAACTTACGTTGTCCCGTATCATCCAGGAGTAGGAGAAACCTATGCTATCTGTATCGCCGTGCTTTTGGTCTTTGTACAAGAGTTTCTCTACTTTTTTGCGTCAAGTTTGCTTCAAAGCAATTTGAAGACTGGCTCTTTTACCCTCCATAGAAATGGCGTAAGGATAACGGGTGCCTTGACAGCTAAACACCGTATGAATAAGACAACGAGAAGAATGCAAATTCAGGAGCGGGAAGGGATTGAAGCGAATGGTGCGGAAATCCTTCGACGTTCCCTAGATAGTGTCAAAACTGGTTCAAAAGCCAGAAAGAGGCGTTGTCTGCCTCGTGGCAACAGGATGAGTGCTGCAGGATATTCTTCGGCGGCAATAATGCTTGGGATTGAAGGAATTCGTACCAGATGCGCATGATTCATCGCTCACTCTTGTCTTGCGGATACTGGTTCCTGCAAGCCAAGATGCAATATATTCTTGCGCCTTACTGGCTGCAAAATCTTGAGACGCGAGAGAATTCCAACCTCTTATACTTCTCTCTAGACTTCTGGGAGAATGTATCCTGGTACAATGTCTGATAGGTCCCGGAAGAGGGTGTGGAGCCACGTGGTCCATACCCCTGAGCGCGAATTCAGAGCTACCAAGTCAGTATGTTCGACGTTCTAGCGGGATCCGTGATAACCGTAGTTCAACTTCTCTCAGGCTCAAAGGTGGAAGCGTATTAAATAATCCCAAGGCTTGACAGCCACTCCTGTGATTCCCGTTGTTCCAAATATATCCGAGGGTCCTTCTAAAATCTGAACAGGAATTCCAGAAAGTCATTCTGGGTTTACAGACAGAGTGGTACCCAGCCAGCACACAAAGAACACGTCCCTTTATGATCATGACAGTTTCTATTCTGATCGATAAGGGAACTACCCGCATTCTTTATATGGTAGCTGGGATTCTAGACACCGACACTTGATGACCATTGTATTGGAATGTCAACGAACACTGAGGACTCCCCACTTGAGTCTTTGACTCAGCTTCTAGGGTTTCTCCGTCTGTACCAGAAGGGTAACCTGAGTCTAGCCAACCATAGACCGAAGGTTTAAATCCTTTGCTCGCACTTCCTCGCAGAAGATAACGGGAAGACAGGATGAGATACACGAGAGCGGAGACCGAACAAAAGATATTCCACCAAAAAAATTGGTAGTAACTCGACGTACCTTGAGAGATAAAAGCTGAACGCTGGAGAAACGGTCAGCATTTAAGATAAGAAGTCAGGTAGTACAAGCAGGAAAGAGGCAGACACCCGGCCTTTACCCGAGTTCGGATAAATAAGGGGCCCCAGGTGGAGATATTTTTTTTGTATTATATTGGGCGTTTTAGACCCAGGACCGACTGAGATCTTAATTAACAACCATCGGCTCGGGGATTTGGGTCGATCGAAACAACAAAATCCAATCTCCAAACCTATGAATTTCAGTGTGAGGAGGGGATATGGCGCAAATGGGGACATACAATTGGCTCACCAACGAAGGAAACCTTGTTCGCAGATCCTCTGATTGCTCAAACACACGAACCGCTTCGGGACACACGACGAGCGTGGACGGTCGAGAAACCCATCTCGGTTTCGACGTGCAGAATTATCAAATAATACGGTGAATTTTACCGGAATAATAAAACCTTGCATTCACCCCTCATCCCTGAATGAGATGAGAGTGAGGTACAAGAAATTTGCTTGCGCTCTCATAGCATCGTTTAGTACCATATAACTGACATGCATGGGTAAAGACACTACGGTTCCGTATAATATGCGGGGGAAATGCTTAAAAGCTGGGGTGAAGTATCACCTGGATGAGCCCGATGCTTCTGAACACTCTCCCGCTCAGGCTTAGAGTAGTTATTTAACCGGCTAGCGGGAAAGCGTCGACTTTCAACTGGGTGAGTGAGTGCTCTGGTCGCTGTCGATGTCCACATCTCAAGAGGGAGGAGAGCCGATTCACGGCTTGATAAACCCGCGAATTCCACCCCATGTGCTTACTGGTGCTCCCTTATGAGCAACGTTGGGCCACCGTATGAAGAGATTCATATTAAGCGGTCCGTACTGCCGCTTCTCTGGCTTTGCGCATAATACAGTATTCGGGATAAGTGGGGACTCAATTGATTGAAAATCGGGATAGAGTGTTCCAAACATTCATATAATACCATGCGGACTTTTCACATGTACCTCTCCGGGTTTTGAGTTCGACAGATAAGGGCCCCAACAGAGTCCTCGATCCACAACTGAACTCTTCACCGCATCATTATGGATTTCCAACATACGAAGGAAACGTTTGAGTTGGCGGGGCAGCACTTCCCTCGCGTCACCTGGTACAAACAAAAGGGAATGCGAGGGATGTACGTTTGCTTGTTGTTTGTCGTCTTAACATCTGCGACAAATGGGTACGATAGTTCGATGACGAATAGCCTTCAGACCCTCAAGCAATGGCGAGATTGTAAGAACGCATTCTGCTGAATGACCGTACAAGGACTAAAACAATCTCTAGATTATGATACCCCCTCGCCGTCGCAATTAGGACTTCTGAACTGTATATGGGCGGTCGGATCCATCGTCGCATTACCCGCAGTACCCTATACAGCAGATATGTTAGGAAGACGTACTGGTGTGATGATTGGTTGCTCAATCATGATCGGAGGTGTTGCGCTGCAAAGTCTTGGGTTTACCTTTGGCATGTTTGTTAGCGCACGGTTTTTTCTAGGTTTTGGAGTCGCAATCGCCCATGGATCATCGCCTCTCTTGATCACCGAATTGGTCCATCCCCAGCATCGTGCTGTCTATACCACAATCTATAACACCACTTGGTATATTGGAAGTTTCATTGCCGCATGGCTTACGTTCGGTAAAACATCGCGCTGAGGCAGACATTAATGAAAACAAGCTGATTCAATGACAGGTACTAGTAAAATCCAATCGGACTGGGCATGGAGAGCACCGTCGCTTGTCCAGGCTCTTCCATCGATCTTACAGATGATCTTCATCTGGTAATCGATAAACCCCGGAAAAAGTTGATTTGATTGCTAACGCCGATCAGGTTTGTCCCCGAGTCACCCCGATGGCTTATTTCGAGAGGGAAGAACGAGCAGGCTCTGCGAATTCTTGCCAACGCTCATGCAGCAGGTGATAAATTGGACGAAGTAGTTCAGCTAGAATACGCGGAAATTCGCGGGACTTTGAAATTGGAACAAGAAATCGAGGGCAACAAGTGGAGTGAACTCTGGAAAAAGCCTGGCAACCGCCATCGTCTTATTATTCTGATTTCTCTCGGTTTTTTCTCTCAGTGGTCTGGAAATGGACTCGTCAGGTATGATCTGGAAAATATTTGATTGGCGCGGCACTAGCTGACATATTTTCCAAGCTTTTACATCCATATCGTCCTTGATCAAATTGGACTCAAAGAAACCAGTATCCAATTACTCATCAACGGAGTGCTCCAGCTCGTAAATATTATCGTTGCTATCAGCATGTGTTTCTTCGTTGACCGACTTGGTCGCCGATTACTGTTCTTGATTTCAACGGGTGGTATGTTCGTGGTTTTCCCGATTTGGACAGTCTGTTCCGCGCGATGGGAGATGCATCACACAAAGGGTTCGGCAAATGCTGTGGTGGTTATGATATTCCTCTACTATGTCTTCTACAACATCGCGTGGGCCGGCTTGCTTGTTGGCTATGCTGTTGAGATCATGCCATACAATATGCGCGCAAAGGTAACTCGCCCCTAATATCGCACCGAGTGTTCAAGGCTAATCGACATCCAGGGGTTGACCGTTATGTTCTTGGCCATCGATATTTCGCTGTTCTTCAATCAATACATCAATCCTATTGCCTTGGCACGCCTGACGTGGAAGTACTACATCTTTTATGATGCCTGGCTCCTTTTTGAACTTTTCATCGTCTGGAGGTTCTACCTAGAGACACGAAATACTCCTTTGGAAGAAATCGCCAAGCACTTTGATGGAGAGTCGGCCATCCTTGGTGGCACCGCGGCCACGGAAAAATCGAGGCAGCTTGCCGAAGAAATTGATAGAGCAGCACCGCTTCCAATAGAGAGCACTGGTTCCATAGAGCTGGCAGTCCTCCGACGTGACCGTCACACAAGACCCCGCAACAACGACCGCGACAGTGACCACGAAAGTGTCTGATGGGACAGAAGTGAAGATTACACGAAGATATTGTAGCTGACGACCAAGAAAAGGGTTCGCCGCATCCACCTCAACAACGAAATCTTACAGATGGTTGATCGAAGGCCAATATTTAGGTTATGGACAGCTAACGGCATTTCGCTCGACATTGTTCGGCGGGGTCGGGCCGAGGAGGCTTCTGGGCACCGGTCTTTTGGTCATCGTTTTTGGCGCTCTATGAAAGCTTTAAGTTCGCCAGCAGATTTCTGTTGAGTCTCGGCCAATTCTTCGGTTGCAGCCATAAGGAGGTAGTAAGCCGCAAGACCTTCAATGGTGTGATATGTCCGATACTCGCATGCTCCATTTGACCCTTCAACTGGGACGACTTCCTGAACCGTTTCACCACCCAACAGCCATCTTGGATATGTTGTCGTTCTCTGGGCGATCCTTTTTCTCTGTCGGTCTAGCAGAGTTATTCTGAAGGTGGCGGTCCTGGAGCCAAAACCATCGAAGTACAGCTAGACTTATTAGCTAAGTCCTAGTCGGAGCACGAACAGAGTCGCGATTTCCAGGCTCTTTTAATGTACTGAATTGTAGACTTTGGGGGTAAAATATGATGTTGCCAAAAGTACATGTGCATCAGTTCAGTAGCTGAGTCCTGACTATGAGCGTGGGGCCTTCGGGACTGATCACTTGACAGATAGAAGGAATCTTGGGCGTTGGGTGTTGCATGTATTGGTATGAAACCATATAGATAGATTACTCAACTCAGCCCGATTAGACAACCTGGGCGCTTTGAGAACCTTGATACCAAAGGTTCGAGCCATCGCTTTCTCATACAATCCGATGACTAATATCCTTTGCTAGAGCACGAAGATACTGTACGTTGATTTCTCACTCGAGATAAGACAAGAAGACGTTGCGATCGTTGGAAAGACAAAATTCCATATAAATTTTAAACCTGATGAGCATGCAGGATGCAAAAGGAAACAAGCTCACCTTGAAGGTTCCATGGCTTCCGGTTTGGGGGATTCCTGGAAGGTCAAATTTGTAGTCAGAAATGGAGGATGACCAAGAACTGTAGTCATCAAATTTGGTGATGACATCAAAGACCTCATCTTCGGTCGCCTTGATCCTGATTGAAGCAAATGAAGTCCAAACAGCCTTCGCTGGCGGGATGGTCGGCGTCTCCATGTAGCTTTGTTCCGCCAAGGAGTTTCGGACGGCGGGGGCGAGGAAGAAGAAGAGGAAAACAATCAGGAAAATCGCCACAGCAGCGTATAGATAGATTTTGGTGCGGGCCATGGTGTTCCTAGGTCGCTCGTAAGGGTTTGAATGCGAATTAATTAATTATCTTATTATAGGAAGCAGTACACCAGGTACTGTAAAGTAATTATTGTGAGTTGTTTGTTGTTGAGTCTCAAAGATCCGAACAAGGATGATGACGGATATGGATATGGATGGATGCATCACCTTGACCTTCCTAAAACAGACTTTGGGGAGGAGCTGGAGCCCGAACTTTTGTTAGCGGTTTGGCTAGCGTGCATGTCAGATTGAAGCTCCCTCGCTCCCCACTACTTCAATCGAACTTTGTCCTCAACTCCTTCACACAATCCCATCCGCAGTTTATTCTGATTGCTCTCACTCCCGTCCTCTTTCTCGGTCACTCAGACGCATTCTTGCGCGCGGCAGAACATCAGTACCATCATCCAGTTGTGCCTATACAGCTCTACTACCCATCTCCCTCCACATTGTAGTGCCCTCGGCGATCCCGAATCGAGATTATTCATTGCTGCCTCCGCGCGCCAGCTCTTTTGCACAGATAAGACGGCAGATACAGCGCAAGAAGAGTTTTGAGGCGCAAATCTTCAAGATGGACCCCGCAAAGATCGCAATGTTCAGGACCTATGATAAGCCCAAGGGCCAAGGTGGCTCAGGGTCGTTTGCGACGTTCATGATTATCGCGCGTATGTGTCCCGACCTTTTACAGCAATTCTTTGGCTAACCACTAGCATAGCTGTGTCCTTCTTCCTTGGGATGCTATTCTCGTCGTTCCCTTACGATTACCCCCTCCTCTGGACAACTGATGTCACGCCTGATTCCTATTACGATCTTCTAGAAACCCATCTCAGGTTCATGCATGCGTCCCCACCCATTATTCCTCGAATCCTACACATTGCCATCTCAATTGGCTTCATGGGTTTCTTTATCAAGCTTTTCAAGCCATCCGAAGCAAATCTGCTATTTGATGGCGCTTCGCTGGTTCTTTACGTGGTGGGAGTCGTTGTCTACATTACCAACATCGTTAAGGGGCTGCGCATTGTCACTCTCGGTGTTTACAGCATCCCTGAAGGCAACAGTGAATTGGCCGTTGGCCGAGAAGACAGTCTGAGAGTTATGGCAGCGAGCAACACAATTTTGGCTTTGATACTGGTGGGGGTGCTGGTCTTGCAGGCAGGTCAATGGTATGCTGAGCGAAGCGCGCAGCATGAGAGTGAAAGTTTCGAGAAGGAGCAGGTAGAGAAGGCTGCCACTAAGAAGACTGGGGGGCATGTCACGCGATCTGCTTCGAAGAAGAAGCAATGAGAAATCGTCGTGCGATTCAAGGTGAAATTTTGAAACATAATTTCTTCAAAGGCTGTGAAATATTCTCAAACTTGGTCACAGGAAAGGCTCGCGAAAACTGTATTTTCAAGTTCTCAAAGCTATGAGATAAGTCCAGCCGCTCTGGGTGAAGGCTTGGATTGTAGAAACACTGAATTTCATGTTGTGGAAACCTTTTTTGTTCTCTGGTGGAATATATTGTATGTTGTGGCTGAATAAAAATCTAGAAGTTATCCAATGCCGACATACTATTACATCTATCTCACGGATTAAAACACCGTTCTTTCATTTCCTGTAGGTTGTTCAGTGAGGCTTACTCATGTTTAGCTCGCTTTCAACTGGCAAACATATCTCTCTGCCTGCCCAGACTATCTCATGCTCACCTTTTACGAAGTCAAAACACAAAAGGTAAGAAGTAAGTTTTACATAACTTACCACAGAATCGCTCCTCTTCATGCTAGTCTCCAGGCTCCATGGGTATGCAAATGAGTAGGTAAAGATAAGAAGCGGCTCATGTTTGTCACTAGAGCAGAGGAGGAACCTTTGGAAAATTTCACTTTACTACTTGACTACTTCCGTATGATTTCAGACTGGGTTCGACGCCTCTTCTTCCAGAGGACATCAACACATCCATTACAATACACCTGGCAGCTATGATACCGAATGCAGCGCCACCCGACTGGCCATCCTGGCTGCCTTCCGCACTCTGGGCGGTTTCGATTCAAAAGAACTCGTCTCGAAGAGCCGTCGGAACATGAACTAAGAATTTGATGTCTCCAATCTTGTCATAGCCGAATTCGTCCCACATTCGAAGTCGAAATGCAGTCTCAAGTGCGGCGAGTTCTGAGAATCCCATGGATGTGGAAATCCTCGCTTCACTGATCCGAACCTCCTTGATATCTCTCAGCTCCATGTCTCCACCAAAGGGCAAATGATACGAGTATCCTGGTCCCTCGACTGGAGCCTCACGCTGGATTAGGAAGTTCAGCGACTCGAGTTGACGGAAGTGGGGGACTGTAGAGGTGACAAAAGGATTGATGAATCTGTAAGACCCCCTATTTCTCCATCTTGTAGACTCTTGGGTACCCAATTTCGTCCACGTTTCATCCAACTTGACACGCAAGACCAAATTACGAATACTGCCGAAGATTGGAGGGATGATTCCGTTCCACCTGTTCGGAAAAGGCTGGGTATGACCTGTTCTGTGTCAGCGTTGCTTTGTCATTATTGGGATCCGGTACTATTGTATCAGAAACCCCCCGTGTAAATTGCATACCTATGATATTTCTAGCGTTCTGCAGAGTACGAGGCGTCTTTTCAGGTTGATAGAGGTCTTGTTTCAAGCGGAAGGTAGGGAATACGGGTGCAGGCTCTCCCGCCTCTCTCGCCTCTCTCGCCGCTCTCGTCTCTCCCGCCTCTAGTATGTAAGAATCGATATCGAAGTTGGTGTAAAACAGCTCATGTTGGCGAGATCCTTGAAGTCGGTCGAGTTCATGATTACTGCCAAATCTCGAACCCCGTGGTGGTTGAGTTAAAGCAGCCATACCGCTAGTAGGAAGAGTTCCTGGAGACCTGGCTGGATGATTCGCAGGTATTGCCGGGCTACCAACGGAACTGCTAACGTGTACACCAGCAGGCGCAACAGTATGTTCCTGGCCTTGAAGTTGATTGATAGGCATAGAAAACAAGCCATCGAAAGTCGTAGCTCGATTTTGCCTGGGGAAAGCAGGAGCAAGAGTATGTCCCTGGCCTTGAAAATTGTTCATAGGCGGTGGCATCCAACCATTTGCAGTCGAAATTAGATTTTGTGCGGGGAGAGCAGGGGCAAGAGTATGTCCCTGGCCTTGAAAATTATTCACAGGTGGAGGCATCCAGCCATTTGTAGGCATTCCACCAGGCGTGGGATGATTATATGAATCTTCAATGTGAAGAACAGTAATAAGATAATCCGCAAAGTCACCAGCGGGATAGGTAATATCTCGTCGTCCGCTTTGTGGCCAAGGTCCATGTGTTTCTGAAATATTTCTGAAACTGGAGGTTCCACGGTCTAGTGTATGTCTCTCGATGAGAGTGAAGTGCTTGAGGGCGACTTCACGCGATTCACGATTGGTATGGAGGATGGACGGGGTTGCAGGTAGTTTGCCCATAAACTCGCTATAGATAAGTCGTCAGTACGTACTGGGAAGTTGAGCTGATCCAGCTCAAGTGGATGAGGATTTCCCCCGACACATGGAGGTGCTTTGAGGGTACCAAAATACTTACAATACATGATTGCTGATCATCATAGTGAATACCTGGGGATTGTCGTAGCATACAAGGTCCCAGATCTTGAGTCTCATCTCTATAGGAAACCTAGGATCGGAGAAGCGGGTAAACATAGTCGGAGTTTGACTTTTCTGGTCGCTTTGAACTGGGTTAGCTGTTGTCGCAGTAGAGTCAAGATGAGGGAATGTGAGGAGAAGAAGGGGTGCGAGGGAGAAAAGAGGAGTTGCAAGATCGTATTTAGACCAACCTTTGGGAAGAGGTATCGTTGTTTCTAGCAGAGCTACCACTATGACCGGCTGTCTCTTGGTTCAGATTGCTGGCCATTGTGTTGAAAGAAACTGCGTTGTCGATTAAAGGCAGAACCAGGTTTGTGGTCGTGGGTTGAAAGTGCGTCTGTCTGTTGAATACAAACTTGGAAGGGAATGTGAACAAGAAGAGCCTGCATCATGACTGTTCCCAATTCACACAAAATTTTGCAGGCTCAACTTTGGCTTGGACAACTTACAAATATGTGAATATCATACATTTGAAATCCGACGGATCATCAGGGAAAGCCTTCGCTTGATTCGTCGACAGGTTCTATCACCTCTTCCCGGCCGCCTCTCTCTTCGTACTATCAAAATATATTTCGTCGCCAGCGCCTCTTCTTAGAGCAGTACGCGATCACTCCCCTAAGAAATTCGCAAGCTTCCAGCCTGACAATACTCACTGTGGAGGTCGTCGGAGGTCTGAACCCCCCAGGCCAGAGGTACCATCGATTGTCATAATTCTCGTGGTTTTCCCTGTGTCCCGGTAGTATATTGTTCCTCGTACCAAAGAATAGGTATTTCATTGCTTTTCACACTGCAGGAACCCTCGACTCTTCAGCTGACACACAAGCACCAGTTGATTGACATGTACTAATAATAGGAGCAGAATCAAGGCCTTCACTGGCAGAAAGCGAATAGAAAACTTCAAGATATTATTCAACAATTAATGTTTGCAATGCTATTTAAAAGGGGTTGAACGAACGATATGGTTGGGTATTCCCTGTCCTCACTCCGAACTCCATGCAAATGCTAAAAGAATGCAACTCCATTTATGTACTACCCCAAAAGATAAGTTTCTCAGACCTCTCGCGTCCGCGGAGGGGGTGAGTTCCCTTTATACACATAAGCTGTTTTCTAAGTCAGTAAGAGCTTATATGAACCCAGGCGGACAACCAGAATCAGAATACAAGGAAGGATCAGAATCAGAAGACTTACGTTGTCCCTTTTGCAGTCCGGCCAAGCCACTCCGCTCCATCATGTCCGAGAACGTGGTTTGATGGCTATTCCTATCATCAAAATTTCTAGCCGCAAGGCCGCCTCCCTTCCCATGATTCTCGCGTTCCCGTAACGCGCTCGCAGTATCGCCATCTGCAAATATGTTTATGTCTTCATAACTGGGCTCTCTCTGCAGAACAGGCGTCACAGGCCGTGCCTGTTGCGTCATCGGAATCCGAGGCGCTGGGCGCGGAGACGATGGTAGTCCCACATTTCTCTGGCTGTTTGGCGAGTTTGACTTCTGGAAGAGCGAGCGTACGCGTTGCACGCCGGTCAGCCTGCTCTCTGCAGTGGTGGACGGAGTCTGAGGTGGTTTCCGCAAGAAATCAGTTCGGATGTCGCTGCTGGGTTGCGGCTCGCTGATGTTGCCAAACGAGGAGCCGCTGCGTCGTCGATCGGAACTGCGTCGGCGGGCACCGAGTAGGCATACGCTAGCTATGGTGAGAAGAACGCCGAGAATCAGGCCAGGGAAGAAGCCAACGAGGACGGCAGGTACAGGGAACTTGTCGCAGTGGCTTGTGAGCTCTGTGGAGTTCGCGGTGGTGGATGTTGCCGGTTTTGAGGAAGTTGTGGGGACTATTGTTGTTGAAGTTGAACTGGCGACTGATGGGACAGAGTCCTGGTTCTTGCTGCGAACACAATTCGTACCGTCGCAAGAGAAGCCAAAGGGACAACACTCTCCATTACATGTTGATAATGGTACTGTGAGTGCCGTTGTCTTCAGAGTGTTATCTGGATGTGCTGTGGAGTTTTGTAAAGATATGTCGCAGGGTATGGTTTGTATTGTTGAGCAGTCACTGCCTGCTGGGCAACAGAGAAGTGTCGTATTCGCTGCGAGTGGTATACAAGTCGAAGTCGATGGACAACAGAAACCTGAAGGTAGCGAAGCTTGTATGCTAGCATCGCATTGTACATAGCCTGTAGCAACACAGGTTGAGGCCCGCTCAAAAATGTGTGCGGAAGCTCGCGCCTCAGTTGGTATCGCAAGCCATACTGCCGCAAGCAACATTTGCTTAGAATGTCCTGTTCGTCGCATCTTCTGCAAGTTTGTTTTGAATTCGAGATTCAAAATCTGGGTGCTTACTTAACAAGCAGATTGTGAAGGGACGCAAAAGACGATCCTGCCCGCTTGTGAGATGTGAACGGAATATGATGGAAATGTTTATGGGCCGAATGATTGAGAATGTCGCAGTATGAATCAAGAAAATATGGACACCCGCGCGGTTAACGACTCTGTTGGTATTTAAACAGATTATTCAACAAAGAAAAACTCGAAGACTCGAGAAAAGAGAACAAAGCGAAGAGTAAAAACGTCTAGAAACAGCTTTCTATTCTTAACCTCTTGATATTTCTTTATGTTCTACCTTTGTTCTACCTAGTAAGCAGGCTCCGGTCGTACCACCGTCGTCATCGAAAACCAAATCAGAGCGGCAACAGCCTCTTGATCCTCTTGTTCTGCATGATGGGTTCGGGAGGTCTTTCACGCGTCGGCCATGTACCTTCGAATAACTCTCGTGGGGCCATAATAGGAAACATGCGGCGGCTCGAGGGGTCGCATACTTCACAGGCTGTGGAACCCTGATGGAAGGGCGCTTTGCAGAGGTCTGAGAAAGGTGTGGCAGTGCAAATGTCGTTGCTGTCTCCTCCTGTGTTTGGGAAGGGTTGTTGAGTGGTTGTGAAGCGCTGGGAAGGATTGAGGGAAGTCGCTTGATGACTGTCGCGCTGGAGGTGAAACGAGGGGGCCGGATCATTGGATGGGAGAAATTGACGCTGTGATTTGACGCGCGATTGGGAGATGCACGGAATTACAACCTCCGACAAGATACCGACCATGAGGGCATCACATGAGCACATCTGTACTCACAATGACAGGACCATTTCGGAAAAGCCTCTAAATTACTCACCCAAGCCAGCTGAACGGAGAAAGAGCTGGATTCGTGAGTCAGAACTTCCTGTTGCTGCCCAATCTACAAGAAACTTGAACGAGTGGCTGTTGAACCCAGGCGGTGTACCTTTGTATCATTTTCTCCACATCTGTTTGTTACCAGTCACGACCTTCACTTCACAGGTCACCTGCGCAATCATTTGATCTAAAATTACCCCCATCAATGTCGCCATGCGCAAAGCAAGCTGTGCTTGTACCTATGCTATCCGACCTACTAAAATCTTCAGCTACTGTAAGGATCCCAGATCTCTAGGCTAGGAATCTAAGTAGGATTAAGAGACGAAAATGCGTTATGGAGACGCTCCACAGATCACCTGTCCCGGAAGCTTCTACGGCGGCTCCCGAAAGCCAAGCATTCCGACAGGCCCCATAAGTCGAACCACACCAGTCATAGACGTGCCATTTCCACGAGAATATTCCTCTGATACTTGAGACCTTGACTGAGAACAAGATATAAAATCGGCGGATGCAACCGCTGGATTCCGTAAATGACCGATGCGAAGAGCAACAAAGAAATGTAGCTCGTCTGTTTTATTTCTAAAAACAGTTACGGTAGTTGAGGTTACACGCATTGACGCGCAGTCGAGGCTGACAAAGGATGAATAGTGTAAGACATGTAACGGTGTGGAGGTGAAGTCCTTTGCATGAAACCCCCAACCTTCCGTACCACACTGTACTTCTTACTCAAGGCTCAGTCGAGGCTGAGCTTTGAGTTTAGGAATCTTAAGCATATGCATCTGCATACTGTACATCACATTGTGCATACACGAAGCAATCTATCTGTTTTTGTTGCATTTGTTTTATTATTTGAGCCCAAGTTACGCATAGCGCATCTAAATCTATGCCCAAATGCGCAACTCAGTAATATGTTCCCTAATTCCTAATCTTGGAGGAGCAATGCTCAACTCCTTCGCCCCTGCATGTCTCTCCTCTCAGAATCCTCGAGACACTGCTTCCCCTGCGCCCCAGACCGGCGCTTTCCCTCCTCGTAGAACGTAATCTCGTGCTAGAGCCAGCCCTTTGGCCCTCTAGGGGAGTAACGCACATATGCTTGCTTTGGTGTTGATATCCATCAAATCGCCCAAAGCATTAAAACCTATTCTGAACCGAAACGCCGTTGCCGTGGGTATGCGCCAAATGCCTGCTTAGTGAACGAAAGATTATATATCTGTAGAGTCGAGTGTAAAGAAATTCGAAATTTCGTTGGCGTTGTCCCGTGATGCATCCTGCCCATCCGTCCCATCCCATGCTATCCCATGCTATCAATTCCATTGATTTCTCATGCCCGTATTGGCCGTGTCTCATGCGTTCCCGAGCCTGTAAATCCAGTCCAGCCCAGCCCAATGCTTTGCAGCAGCCTCTTCTAAACCCAATGTTTGAAATGAATCGTCTCCGGGATGCTATCGAGGGCGCTCGACGTCCTAGGTGAAGTGAAGTAGAAGCGATACTCGTATCGCAGCACTGCAGAATATAAAAGTTTTTCAAAGACCCCTAAAACCAGTCAAGGGTCTCCAAGCCGCGGATTCTAGATCAACAAGAAATCCCAGCCCTTCATCTGCATAACATCTCTCCAGGAGACGTAGTGTGCTTCCCCACCACCAGGACTGAATCGCCCGTCAACGTGTCCCCAGACCTCCTTCAAGAGACAAGCCACGCGACCAAAACTTCCAAAGTTTGCAAGTTCGCCCAGTTGCATCAAACGCTCGTCGAAGAAAGCGCGGAAGGTCGATCCGGCGGTACTGACTGATCCTCCAATAAGATAGACCCATACAAGACTGCGATCAAAACCAACTTGACCAGAAGGAATAAATTCAAGAACTTGAGTAAGCTTCTCAACCAAACCTACACAGCTTGCCTGGCTTGGAGTAAAACCGGGGACAAGACTGCACAAGTAGATTCTAGCAGCAAGACGGAAAGCAGATGTCATGTTCTTGCTCAATTGCTTTGGACTCAAAACTCCCTGGGCATTGAAAGGAATCTTAGGCCCAGATTCTCCGATCTCAGTAAGGCCAATCTGATCACCAAGTGCGTGCACGTGTTGGCAGAGCTGGATGTCGTCCATACCATCCTTCTTGAGGGCTTCCAAGCATGCAATCTCAGAGATCAAATACATGACGCGGTCCTCGCAACCCATCAATTCACGAAGTCCAATTGATGAGTTAGTTGAAGACAGGTGCTTTTCCCTGTAGGTATGCGCAAAAGTTGGAGCTCGACCTTGAATGGTTGAGCCAAGAATATCAATCCAAGACGTAAGAGTCATGTTAAATTGCTTGTGGTCTTGCGCTTCGAGAACCAATCGGCTCAAATCCAACTTTTGTACGAGTGAAATTGCAGCTTGGAAGTGCTGGTGCCATGGGATGTCTGGGAGGGAGTCATCGTATCTGCCAACGGAGCATTGAAAGAAAATCATCCCAAGAGTAGCTTCCAGAATTTCCTGGTGGTCAGTGTCCTGATTGAGCGCCTCGCAAAGCTCTGAAATTGTAGCATAACGGTGGCGCATGATATCGTTGTCGATTTGCTCACCCTGAATGTTCATCGTAGATTTCAAGTGCTGCGCCGAGATGCTGAGGCAGCAGTGTAGGTAGCACTTGTTGCTCTGAAGCGCTGGGAGAACATAATCGGTCCGGGCAGACCCATGTTGATTTGTCTCGAGGATTGGAAAGACAGTAGGTAGCACGTCAGAGATGAAATGGTCAAGCAGTCGTTGGTCGCCCTCATCGAGCTCAATTGCAACCTGACGAATACTCGATGGCGGGCCATGCGCAAAGTCGAAAAGATTCATGTTCAGGTTCTCTTCAGCCATTGATTCTCTCCGCTCGTCATAGGTCTCATCCCACCCGTTATCAGCTGGGAATGATGGGAGCATGGCCTCAGGAGGTGGTGGTGGATGATAGGTGCTAAATGTTGATATTGTCGATTCGCGGCGGGTCGGGATATCATTGACGAACATTTGTCTCTCGGTCTTGACGTCAATTTCATAGGGAGAAAATTCAGGGTACATAGATGCATATTGTGAATGTGATGAGTGCATCTGGGCATTGTATTCGGTGTAGTCGGCAATTCCAGGGGGTGCATTAAAGTCAAAGAGTGACAGTTGAGAGTCAATTGAAGCTGACCGAGTACGATCAAGAGAATCTGAAAAAGTCGCAGAGGTAGGCAGCGAATGTGAGAGACCGGGAGGTGTTTCAGCACCAGGTGTCATGACTTGACTCTGGTTTGTCGTTGTTGTCGAACTTGTCTTCTCCGAGAGCTTCTTTCGCTTGATGATCATCTTGATTTGGTCTTTCTGAAGGCGGCGCTGGTCATTGTTGCTCCACCACATGGGCCTCTTGTATTCACATCGAAGCCCAAGGTGTTTGCATGCCGTGCAGCTCGGCGAGCCCTCGTCGCACTTTTTCCTCCGTAATCTGCATGTGTAGCAACCTTCATGGAATAAGTCAGTCAGTTACTAGATCGCACAGGTAGCGCCAGTAAGGAGAATGACCGAAGTAAAAGTGAAATTCCACAAACCTGTTCTTGATCGTCTATGCATTTGCATCTTTGCCTTTGAAGCAGCAGTGGCCTTGGAAGCAGGCTTTTGCTTTGGTTGAGCGACCGCCATGTTGACGTTCGTTCTGCCCATTAGTTGTGGGTTGGGGGGTTGTGTTGACATTTGTACCTCGCATGCGAATGGTGGGGGCAGCGTGACTCGGGCCAAGCGGATTCGGGTCCAAATGCACTATGGTACTATATTACTGCGATGATGAGAGACTGGGGTGTGCGGAGTCGATAATTGGCGAGACCGGGGGATCGATTAAATTATTAATGAGTGACGGGTCAAAGCAAGTCCAGCTTAACTTTGTAATTTGGGATAAGGTCGAGAGGATAGGATGAGTTCGGACAAAGAGATGAGGAAGAACGGCGACGGGAGAGGACACACTGATGACCTTCAACTCTCGTAACGTCGAATTGTATATGAAGTATGTGTGTTGGTGATCTATATATGAAAACATTGAGATTTCAGAGATTCTATTTCTGGATATCGAATGGGAGAGATGCTATTCCTGCTCTAGCCCAACATCCAGCCTGTGGATACTCAGACAGTATGCACAAGTGCGGCTAGTGGCTGTAGTTCATATGGATAAGTAGGCTAGGGAAAAGATGCGCTGTATGGTGTACTAGGAAGCCTGGTATCGGCCTGCAATATTGCTGCATCCAACTACTTATCCGTGGGGCAGAACAACGCAAGCTGGTTGGATCCAATTTGAGCACCACACCAAATACAAGAAATATGGGCTGGGGTGCAGACTCTGCATCTGCATCCTCGAATGGAAGGCGGATGAAAAGTAGGTAGACCAGTCATTGAAGAGGGTGCTATTTTCGCGAGGCGCCTCATGCAGCGCATGGCCCCGCCCCCGAACGCCTGTGCATCGTTCCATTGGCGTGTAGGGGGGAGGGCCTAGTCATTCAGCACAGCAGGACAATAAGGATGATTCCAAAACAGGTCAAGCAATCCTTTAGCACGCAGCCTCACAAAGCCCATGATTCGTGATGATGAGATCGCGACGTGGGATCCGCCTGCCGACTGCCCCTGTCTGCCCTTCCTCCCGTTGCTCAAGGGTCCCCCTCCCCTCTCCTTAATGCTAGGGTAAGACAGGAGCTGGTCCATGCTTTCTGCAGGACAATATGCAGCTCGATAGCAGTTGAAGCTACCCCTGTCATGTCCAAGGCTGCTACTCGTATCCGCATCTTGAGTATCACGGGGAGACAACGTCGTTCATGAACCTGCACTGCAGAAGCTTCCTTTGTTCCTTTGAGGCAGCCTGCGGATTATGTACAGTGCAGTGCAGTCAACTTAAGCTGGACCTGAACCTGGATGGAGCTTGGGGTCCATCTCGTCTGCCTTGCGGGCAATGCCGCGGGTTTTGTCGATCTCTTCTTTATGCCGAATGCCCGGCCTGTACTGTAGATTATGGACGGAGTATTGCGATAGTTGAACCTAATTTCGAAGACTAGGTTTGGAGAGGCTTTTCCTGTAACTGACCTCTAAGAAACTTGCTATCCAGTGCCCAGGGTGGGAGTGACTTGATAGAGTAACCGAAGTCGGCGGTGGGGGACGGTGAGGACAAGGGCTTTTCGCTGTTAGTTGGACGAATTGACCCGATACGGCAGATGCTTGACTTCTCAGATATGTCAAATCTCAGAGTTTTGTCGAATCGTGTAGCGCGAAAGGGCGGTCAACACCGGATTGGGCTGATAAAGTCGGAAAACTACCAGTAAAGCGGAGGAGTCGCGTCGAGATCCACTTTCACACTCGCAGCCGTTGAGACTCGACTGGACTCGACGGTGGGACCAGGGCAGGCATGGCAACCATGAATTTTGCACGCCCATGGCATGAGCATGCCATGTTCCGAAAGGGACAAGGCGAGGCTGGGTATCGAGGGTGTGGCATCGCGTGACGTGTGTGTGAGTGGTGGAAAGACACAGAGACGTCGTGATTGAGCTTTCAGACGTGCACTAGCCGGAGAGACTAAGAGATGCAGCGAGCATCTGCGGGAAGACGGGAACCATACGATGGCTAGTGTGAAGGTATTCGCAAGGGGCCCTTGTCAGGTGCATCTGCCAATAGAAGATCCAAGCCTGCTGAAGCCGTTGCGGGGTGATTGCTCAAGCATGAAACTAGCCGGCCCTCCCTGCCCTGTCTCTCCCTGCCCTGCTCGGCTAGCCCCCTATTTTCTTCCCTTCCCTTCCCTTCCCCCCCGCTTCCCTGTCCTGTCCCATTTCTTGCATAATCAACGATAACGTCCCGCTGGCCCCCAGGTTTATTTAAAGAAACATAATAGCGCCAGATCGGGACATTAGCGATCATTCCAAACTATTGATTGCTAATTTTGTCCCATTCCCCAGCGCCAAAAGTGTGACCGTAGCCGCCCGATTGAGATCTATTTCTGATCATTGACCAACATGCCTCGATGACTTATCATGGCTAATTATGTTCATTACCAACCCTCCACACACTATCGGCGTGCGTTCTTTTCTGCGGCAGGCCGCGCTCGGCTCGTGCCATCGCCTTAAATCCTTGATCTCATCATCGTCGCTACTCCGTATGCCGGGCATAATAAGTGCCCGCCTTGAAAGCTTTGAGCTTGGTCCCAATCGAGCCATGCGTCATTTCGCGGAGTACGGATCATTTAATGATAGACATATCAATGTTACCGTGCTGGATAGTGAAAGAGCCCCCCTGAAATATCACCACTTTCGTGACGATAGATCGGAGCCCAACTTCAATTATGAACGTGGGACGCTCGTTAAACAATGCCACTCCTGAATACAGTACGTAGGTCTTCTGCACACCATGGACACTACTAGTAAGCCGTAGTTTAATGCGACTTGTCGCGTTGAACTAGTGTTTTCGAGAATCTTGTTGAAGATGCGGCCTCCCGCTTTTGACCTCTTCCGAGTTGAGCACTTTGCATTCTAGAAAAGTGAGTTTCCTGAGTAGTGATTCGATGTCTCGCCATATACACAACCATCGTGACACCATCCTTCGACCCTCCACACTGTCTCATCGGACCTTCTTTCATTCTGACCTGTCTTTTGGAGCGGAATCTCGCATTGGATTTCAATCATGTGAGGCCGGTGTGAGTGCTTCTTCTCCAAGTAATTGGCCAGACAATCTGTAAAGGTTGGGGAAACCATTGCTGAATCTCGGGCATCATCCCAAAAGGTGGTAAAGGGTGGTTGGCACAGCTTCCCCGCCTATCTTATTGACAGTGAAGGATGGGATTCGTAGCCAATACATCGAAATTCGCGGAAAAAGACGGCCCAGGAATATGTCAGGTGAACTTTTTTAGCTCAGCTCCAACTTCTCTCTCTGCGGTGAACACGAAGCTTGCCATGGCATGAAAGTTTCGTGCTATGGAGTTTCTTTTGCAGAGGACAAGAATTAAAGTTTTCAGCCCAGTATTCAGATATCGAGATCAGGTCACGTTAATGGTTCCAGAGCCTTTTCATGTGGTGTAGTTGAGATAGAATGTGCTTGTGCAACGTTCCGTGTTCGCTTCCTGCAATGCTGACCTCTTTAGCCATTAAGAAAGCAACGGGAATGCAACAACGGCACAGTGCTGCATTTGTTGCATACTGGCACTGGATGAATTAACCCCGCATATACAATGTTCTTTATGGGTTCGAGTGCATTTTCTGGCTGCACATGTTGAATTTCCATCACTTCCGGCCCCTCTATCATCATTTATTTTTATTAGCTGCGGCATCGCGGATAGAGCCGACCCCTCTCCCTTCAGGTGCCCGCAAACTTACACACCGTCTCTTCCCTCTTCCTCGGCCCGCTCCCATCGTTGACCGCAGTCCTGAAAACCCATGAAAAGGGGTTCTCTTGTGAGAGCGCATCTTGAAGATGCCATTGGCTTCGTTATCGTAAGATCTCCCCATCGCTCCCTTTATTGCGGCCTAAGGGTCCTCTCGTCCCGTCGCGCCGAGGGTGGGGAGATTTTGTGGAAAGGCTGAATCTGGACGGATTGTAATCGATTGACGAATCGTCGTTAAGAGCAGGGATATGTCAGATGGATGGCCGGCGCGTAAATGCCAGTGTTTGAGCCAATCATGAAAAAAGCAGACATAACCCATGGTAAATCCATGGGCAATCTCACCATCTGATTGGCAAATACTGCTTTCCCGTGCATCGCATGTATCCGTAGCCTTCTTACTGGCAGCCGATCTACGAATCGACGGGGGTTGCTGCAGCCCGGGGTCGATTCCATCGCTTCTCTACGAAGCTACTCCGTACTTCGTACAGAAATCCACCCAGAACAGTCACACATGCGGACCTTTAAGCACAGGTCACTATCTATGCAGGCGACCTCTGCCGGCAACAGACTGGGTTATCGGCGCTTTGGCGACAAAGCTAGAGATACAGTATTCATAGTGAGGCGTGCAAAGCCCGATACATATACTCTGCTAGGCGCCGGCATCTCTAACGGCCTTTCTCCTGATGCTTTTGAATTTTTGCGACGTCCAAGTTTTGATTGTCAGCGATTTCTTATCCCGTCTTCATATCCTACTCAGTACCATATTCTAGAAAGTTGACCGGCAACGGTAAAAGCTAGAGACCTAGCACTCCACTCGCTCCCGAGATCCACCTCCAGACAGGCAAAATGGTATGTTTCTGATGTCCATAGACGTTGTTGAAGGTATTTGTATTGACAGACAATCAGCCTATGACGTCGCCAACGACACCGATCGACCCACGGGTTGAGATGTTCCAAAAGGGACAGCCCTACGATGCATTCTTCAATATGAAAGCGCTGGCGCCACGACCATTGTCAGATGCCACGGAAATGTTCGATACAGACTTTGAGGACGATGATAGTGAGGCAGAAGATAACTCCCCGCGTCTCAGTCTGAATTCAGTAAGTCTTTTTCATGAAATCGTCTTCCCACTTTGCTAACAGCAAGTCAGACCGGACAAAAGAGTGAAACTACGTTATCATCCTTTGAAGAAATACATACTCCAAGCCCGGGCTCACATGAATTTCCGGGTTTCAACTTCGACTTGACAGTAAAGAAGCCAGTAGAGGGTCCAAGAGGGCCACACCTGTTTCGAAGCTCAGTCGATTCCTCGCTCAGCTCGGATGAGCAATACGTTTTAGCAATGTCTCCAATGACACCAAGACCATCGAGCAGGCAAAGAGCGGCGCAAGATGCGCCCAGAGTTCCAGATATTCCAACACAACACCGCCATCTCAGTTCATTGACACATGCGGTGGAGGACTTGGACTTGAATGATGTATCTCTATGGACACCAAGACAAGTCGCAAGATGGATGTATGATGCGGGATTCGAGCCATCGATCGTGGAAAAGTTTGAGGAGAACGATATCTCAGGTGCTATCTTGATTACACTGAAGTTTGAGGATCTGAGAGAGCTGGACATCCCTTCTTTTGGACAACGGACAAAGGTTTGGAACGAGATACATGTTCTTAGAGGTAGTGCGCCAAGTACACCGAAGCCTCCTACCCCATTTGAGGAAGTTTCGTCGCCATGCACCGAATCCCGACAGCCTTCAAGACATCGGTCAAGGTCAAGACAAGGGAAGGTACATTTCGAGTGTGGTTCAGACGAAGAACCTAAACGCCGGAAGAGTTCCCGAAGACGGCACAGGAAGCAAGACGATGCGATAACTCCACTCGAGTCAGTCTCCATCGTTGGCATTGAGCAGCTTATGCCCAAGCCCCATAAGTGCTCGAAGGGAGAGAACTGCTCAAAATGGCGGAAGCAACAACGTTTGATTGAAAACTTCAAGAATGAGCATCCCGTCAGCCCAGAGGGCGGGTCAATATGGGTTGCCGGCAACCCAGGAAACCCCCTCACTGCGGAAGCAGTAGCAGAGGCTGCAAGGCCCATCTCAGATGCAGTACCATCAGTCGTTGCCTCGTCAGATGTGCTTGGTCCTGCCGCAGTCCCACAATTTCAGCATCTAGAGGAGGCCAGTCTTCGAAATGTCGAGTCCCGCGACCCTCAAGACAATGTCCAGCAGTTTCTCAAGTTCCAGCACATGGATCCCAGGAACATGGTGTGGTCATCCGAGGAACCTTCTACGCCTCCATATGAGATGTTCCCCGCGCTCAAATCTCCTCACACGGGACTTCGCGGTCTTCCCCGACTTGCAATTCCACCTCCTAAGCCAGCACCACCACCACGTGCTGCAAGCGCGAATGCATTCTCCCCTTACCGAATGGAGCGAGCCGAGGCCATGTCACCAGAACTGCGTAACGTAACACAATCCCCAGCTTCGGTGTACCGCTTTGGCACTCCGTTCTCCGAGATGGATATGCCCGTGACAGCAGTCCCAATAGGGCCCGTTGCACGTGAAGCATCTCAATCTGTACCACCCAACATGTCTTACAGACATGCACCAGCACCGGTCATCCAGCGCACTCAATCCCGCGCTTCTGCGCGCCGTCCATCCTTTCCTGCAATGCCCCGCGTCGACGAGAATATCTCCACTGTATCCTCAACCCAAGAGAGGTTCAACCCACATTATACGCAACCTCCGCCACAGAACCATGCCTATCCTTGGTCACCAGTCAATGCTCCTGCTACCCGGACTGCAGATGATGCCTCGCATGCTGGGTACATGAGGAAGCGCAAGACGAAGATGATGCGCCATGAATGGCACGAGCATCACTTCACCCTCAAGGGCACTCGCCTTACAATGCACAAGGATGCGCAGGCTCTAGAGACCCTAGAGTATATAGACGTGGACGACTATGCCATTGCGTGTTCCTCTCTCGCCTCGGGCTCCAAGCTCAACGCTGCTTTCAAGGCGATGAACATCTCCCGCGGCAACAAAGACAAGAAAGATGAAGCGGCATTCGCATTCCAGCTCATTCCAGCGGCCATCGAGAAGGGTGTGAGACTGCGGAAGAGGGAGAGCGCGATGGTCGCGAATGGCCAGGCTGAAGGCAAAGACGCCGGCGCCAAGAACAAGACACACTACTTTGCGGTGAAGTCAAGGGATGAGAGAATTGACTGGATGCGAGAGTTGATGCTTGCGAAGGCGCTGAAGCAGAAGAGTGAAGGATGGGAAATAAACGTTAACGGCAACATGATTTAAGTAGAAAGCATATCGCTTATTTGAGCGACTTCTTTGTTTTGTTTTTTAGTCGCGTTTCGAAGCAAGCGGTTTTTAATTCAATTTCGGCGGCATTTCTGGGCGCTTTTGGGATCATGAATGGCGACTTCACTTGAAGTATTTAGGTAGATGACACTCCTTTGACGAATAGTCTTAGTTGGAATAATAAAAAAACATAAATTCAGGTTTTTGATTGTTGATTGTGAAATGTGTTTGACTTATTTCCCCCACAAACATAGCAAGCATCTGAGAAATAGTTACTGTAGAGAAGGGGTAAGTTTGTGATACATAATTTGCGCTGAAGTTCGTGTACAGCAGAAGTGGACTTTTCTGATATCATCCAACATTAACTCTCTCGCCGACCCATCATGCAATATAGTACAAAGTTTTGTGATGGGAGTTCTATGCCTGAACGCCAGATCTCTGCTTCAATATACTACAGTGAGATCCCGTCTATTCATCACACAAACGCTGGGTTGCTTGAATTGGGATTTGCATAGGTCGACACAATATCCCAGTCAATCGTATGCCACCAATTCTCCACAAACGTCCTCTTGCCCCCAGCACCGCCAACACCCACTCCATAGTCAGGAAGGTAGACATGTTCCCATGTGTTGAGGCAAAGAATGGGTGTAAGCTCAACCCCTCCGGGTGCTACTTCCGCAGACCTGCCGTGAGCCCCCAATTTTCTCTCATTGACAGCAGGACCACGCTGCAATTCCCTGACATGATCGGAGAACTGTTCATTTTCCGTATTCATATCCACCGGTTGTCTCCTATAGTGTGCTTGTGGCCAAGGCGAACCCGCCAAATATGTCGTGAGAATAGAGTATCTCCTATCTTTGGTCTTCACCAGCCAGACAAAACCCGGGCCAAACATCGCGGTGGCGGTAAGTAAGAACTCTTGTCTCAGAGTCTCGATTGAAGAGAAGGAGGTTTCGAGTTCCCTCTTGAGGTCGTTTCCCATGGGACCTGGGTTCGGGGAAAGACCGTCGAAGAAGAATTTGTTGTTGTGCGCCATCGAAGCGTAATTGAAGATGGGAGCGGAGTTGGGATCTCGCGCATATTTGATGAGTATTTCTTTGGGGGTTTTGGATTCCATATCAGTTTCTTGGATGCATCGTTAGTCAACAGCTTCACTTGAGAGAATATTCCACAGCTTCGCGCGAGGAGCTGGCAGCACTTTTCTCTCTGCCAGAACTCCTGGCTTATCTCGCAATGGAATGGGTAGTAATCGACCTACCTGCTGTAAGGACATTGAGCTTCTCTACCATCAGAGCCTGGTATTGCGTCCACGCCATGTCGAAGCCGGCAGGCGATAGGAGGCCTGGTACGCCATTGTTGAAATTGTGGTTGAGGATAGGAACCTTGTGGAGTGAGCGGCGGAAGATTTTGAGAGAGTTCCCTATCCGAGGGAGAGCTGGCCGTAACATTTTTGGTTGACAATGGGTGATGCAACTGTAGTTCTCTTTTGAAATCTTTCCATCGCGGCGTCGCTTCTCCACGACACACACGGAAAATCATTTATCCGCCGAAGTTTATCCGATGGACTACGACTAAGCTAAATCCCCTCCAGAAAGTTTTAAATCGATTATGCTGAGAAGGTCTTCTGGATGTTGAGGTAGTCTCATTGAAAGTTGAAATGGGAAGACATTCTGCGACCCTAGTGAAGCGCTGGACGAAGATCACCACAGTAGAGCATTGAGGTTCTCGGGGAGAAAGAGTATACTATGCCGCGAGGTCAAAATGCTAACAAGACGAAATCACCAGGTGAACTGACTTATCCAACATATGCTATAACTCTCGACCACGCCGAAGCAATGCTCCACTCAAAATCCCTCGAGAGAATCATGACCACCCAGAGGCCCAATTGCAAAACACCAGTGGCAGGCTTTCACGTTCGAGTGGTATTCCCAGTGCTTCCTTCCACCTCTAACTCCACTAGACACGAACAGCGAAGCATGGAAAGACCTATTTTGCTTCAAATGAAGGCTCAATCCTCGGGATCAGCGAATCGAGTTTCGTTACCATAAACGAGATGGCCATTCCGACTGTAGGAAGCCGCCGACGACTCCGGCAAGTTCTCGAACGAACGTCGTGTTCACCTTCGTTAGCCCTCGCTTGAACAACCTTATTGACTGTGAACATCACTGGATAAATACGGACTAGCCCCTAGGGCATTAATGCCGAGTTCAAGTCGATGTTGCAACATTGTTTATATTGATCAGATCAGAGACGAGATGAAGATCCATTCGTCAGGTTAATCAAGACACGCAAGTCTGATTTTTTCAGATCGTCTTCGGCCCTCACAAGTGTCATATACTGTTTGCACATGGCAAGAAGACAGAGTAATTTTCCTACCTACCATCCAAGTTCGAGAGTCTTTTAGGGTAGAATGAACTGAGCAACAAATATACCATTTGAATTCGCCGAATCCTTCTTGTTTTATTGCGGCCTTTCAATGTTACAAATCAACCAAGTTGTTGGGTACTTATTTCCGCATTTGGATCGTTCTGCCTATTATGCTGTCTCCTGCGCTTCAAAAGATGCCTTACCTAGAAATGGAAGTAGATGTGATTATAGTCATTATCATAGCTTTCTCCGATGACACCGCTCATATAAAAGTATCCTGCCCTTTCAAACTTATAAAAACTGCTCTCTTTATATTTATATTACCTAGTTATGCGTATTCTAGACTAATCTCTTGGTGTTAATATGTCTATAGATATGAGACTGAGCGATTGTTGCCTTTCTTTGAACTGCTAGTGTATGATTTCCCAAACATGTTCCTACACTGATAACATCCAGGCAATGTTCACGAATATATGGCTACAACATTCCACTTATATTATTTATGACTCCATTGGAAAGATCGAGCACATGGGATGATTCAAACCTGCGCTGTGGTACGAAAAGATAGCTCCAAAATTGGAGCGAAACCGATTATCTTTCTTGTAGACATTGTACCATGCATAAGTCGGTTGAGATTGAGCTGACATCTGTCAGTCTTCGGATGAGAAAGCAAGTAAAGTCCGCCTCCTTGTTGACAGCCACATCAAAGCCGGGTTCTATTTCTACATAGCAGAAGTCAACTGAAATGATAGCCTATCACTCTTTGAACTCGATTAAGACACCACCTAAATTATGCGGAACATTCCAAGGCGAAAAACTCTGTTGAACAACAATTTTACCTGCGTGCTTTGTGGTATCAGTGTCACCATATAAGTCTGACAAATCTCATAAGAAAAGCTTTAAGCTTGTTGTCACGGAGCAGGAGCCTATATATATCCACTTTTCAAAAATTCACTCTTACATATCTATGAAATATCGGTACCGTGATTGCAAGCTACTACCTAGGTCCCTCGAAACCCAACCTCACCACCCCGATCACCTTCACTCTTACCGTCGACATGGATACTCCGCTTAGATCCTCGCTCTTGTCGGCTAGTTTGATGAGCTTGTATGGTGCTACTAGCGAAACTGTTCTGTCGAATTAGTATGCGTGTCTTTATATTCATTTTCTGAATTTTTTGAGCGGAGCTGGGAGATCGCATTCCTCCAAAATCTCCTGTTTTTGATATGCTGATTCTTGGATAGGAATGCGATGGTCCTGGTTGTCGGGCTTACTTAGTAGCGTTTGAGGGGAAAACGCTTGGTGGGAGGGAGAAGCTTAATAAAGTGGTGACTTGCATTGCTATGAACTTTGGAAGGGGTGTTTGAGGGCTGGTATGGCATGATCCTTCTAAGTACGTGGAACTGAAAAAAAATAGTGACAACAGACATACTGGATTGGGGGTATACAAGTGTTTTCATATTCCAACGGTGTAGGATGCATTTTCAAAAATGCGAGATTTTACAAGAGCACAGGTATCTTTGACCCAGTCCATTCTCGTCAAAACCGGAATACTCTAGGGTAATCTGATCAAATCAACAAAGATCCCCTCAATTAGATGATTTGACATCCCCGGCATACTGGCACCTTCGAACCATAGACATATTGCACCCGTCAACATTCGCAATTCCGGAAAGTCCCATCGACTGGTCGAGGTCAGCCAAGATGCCTTGCAAGACTTGCTTTGCTCCTTGCTATGCATTTTTAGCTTCTATCAATACTCAACATTGAAATCATTCCACTTACCTTTCCTCCAACAGCCAGGCCGTAAATTGCAGGTCTTCCTACCAAAACAGCCTTCGCGCCCAGGGACAGAGCTTTGATGATGTCGACTCCGGTCCGGATACCGCTGTCGAAGAGGACAGTCAACTTGTCTCCAACCGCCTCAACAATCTCAGGGAGCATCTCTAAGGATCCAACTGCGCCGTCGAGTTGTCGTCCTAGGAAGAATTAGCAGATTTTAGTAAAGGTTTTGGTGTGTTTGGAAATGTGTTGACCTCCGTGATTCGAGACAATTATGCCATCCACACCATGTTCCACGGCCAGCCGTGCATCATCTGGATGCTTGCGAGGTGTTAACACCGTCTTAATAACTCATTTCTACAACGCAAACTTACTTGTATTCCTTTCAACACAATCGGGCCACCCCAATGTTTCTTCAGCAATGCAATATCTTCCCAGGTATGAGCAGCACCAGAAAACACATCCCCAATCCATTCCTGCGAGGCTTCTACGATTTTCTCTTCAGGGGTAGCTCCATATTTCTTCTGGAAATGCTCTCTGAATACCGGGTCTCCCCATCCAATCTTGTTCCCAATGCCCTTGAAGAACGGCACATAAGCATGATCCAGGTCTGCAGGTCTCCACGCCAGCGCCCACGTATCCAAAGTAACAACCAGTACTTTGAAGCCGCTGTCCCGGGCTCGGTTGAGGAGGGAGATTGTATATGCGTCCGTCTGAGGCCAATACAGCTGGAACCAGCGTGGCCCGTTGCCACTTGTTTTGGCTACTTCTTCAATGGATGAGGTGGACGCTGTGCTGAGGATATATGGAACGCCAATCTCGGCGCACACTTCTGACAATCCGGTTTCTGCATCCTCGTGGAAGATTGATTGGACGCCCACCGGAGCCATAAGGACCGGGGTTTCTATACGAAGCAGAGAGTGTCAGTTTCTAGCATAGACACAGTATATTCGTGCTGAAGAGCTATGCATGAAAATCTGACCATATGTCTCCCCAAATAGCTCTACGCTTAAATCTCGCTGGGATGTTGCTCGGAGCATCCTCGGAACCAGTTTCCATTGCCGAAAAGCCAATCTATTGGCATCCATAGTTGCTCTTTCCCCGGCACCCCCAGCGACATAATTAAAGGCTGTTGGTTTCAGTATGGATTTTGCTTGCTCCTCAAGCTTATTTGGATCAGTGGTGACTACGGGGAGGCGATTGTGAAACATGCCAGCTAGCAATTATTAGTAATTATTCTGTAAACACTATGCACATATACTCTGTACCTCGGTATACTTCATTTTGGAATGCCCCATATTTCCGTTGCTTGTCATTAGTCGCCTGCACCGATTGGGGTATTTGTTTATCAGTTGTAGAAGACATTGTGGTCAGCTATAGAGGCTGCCGAGAGTCTCAGCTGACAGGATTTAGTGCTGTGAGGGAGGGATTCTGAGGACGAGGAGACAATGATGGATCGAGGATACAATTATGCACACCTGACTTGAATCCCAAACTCTATATGCAAGTGATAAATGCCGAGGTGTGCGCCCGCAGATTACTACTACCTCGGAGGCAGTGCCAGTCACTTGGCCCAATGAAAATACGTCTCTGCCAAGGGCAAAGGGTGTAACTTTGAGTGGAAACAGTATCTACTTCTAGAGGTGCTATATTTTACATAGTACAAGTCTGAAGATCACCACAGAGGGGGATCTTTCAACATAATTACGCAGTAGATAATTGCAGCAGCAATTGAATGTTAAAACCAGAGCATTTTACAGACCTAACAATCGAATGGCACAATATAATGATACTAATAGAGTCCTGCAAAGGTAATACACGTTCAAAGTCGGAGATAAGACTACCCCGCAAATACCCCGCGATAGATGACGGGACGTTTCAGTTTGGCACCCCTTGTACGCCACGAACCCATTGAAATGGGAGTGCAATTCGCACCAAGAATGTGGCGGTTCCCCCGCTTCTAAGACTTATATTATCATCAAGCAGTCTGCAATCCCTCCTGAAACCTAAAAGGCACCTCGTTCAGCAGCATTGCTACTCCGTATTACACCCACTTCACATTTAATTAACATACTGCAAAAATGGCTATAGTAGAGACACAAAAGTCGTTTGATATCCCCAAGAAGTACAAGGCTGTCATTTATGATAAGCCTGGAACTCTTTCTACCAAGGTCGAAGAGCTTGATACTCCTGAGCCCGGAGCGGGCGATGTGCTTGTTCGAATGTGAGTGGAGGTGGAGTCTTTGTACGAAGAGAAGGGTCCGCCCTTGGATACTGACTAACCCTATTAATCTTCTCTAGAACGCATTCTGGAGTCTGCCATTCGGACCTCGGGGTGATGGAGAACACCTGGCGTGGCCGTAAGAATTGAGTATCATCCAAAAAAGAAAAGTGTTGGGAACTAATAGAACAGTGCCTTATCCTACACAGCCAGGCCAGGTTGGTGGTCACGAGGGAGTTGGAATTGTCCACAAACTTGGCCCTGGTGCTGAAAATGGCCGAGTTAAAGTTGGCGACCGCGTCGGGATCAAGGTATGATGTTTTACTGACATTTTGATGACTGTAGGTAGACTGACATTAGTAGTGGGTTGCCTACGCATGTAAGATTACCGGGCAGCTCATTTACTTCCTATCTGGCATGTTTTGGGAGTTGTGAGGAGCGTCTTTTCTAGGCACCCAAAGACCTTCTCATGGTTTGATCCATACTGCTGGAAATTTTCCTGGAAAGACAGAGCTAATTTCCCGTTCTTCGCAGGTGGTGCATGCCCCCCTTGCATGGAAGGCAAAGATGGCGTATGCTTCGTGAGTGTAATAAGAGTCATATATTGATGCCCAACTAATTTGCTCTTGTGATTAGAACCAGAAGATCTCAGGCTACTATTGTAGGTTGACCGCTTGTCGTTGCAGCCGTGAAGGTCGAGTTCTGACCCATTCATAGACCCAGGGACTTTTCAGCAATACGCCCTGGCTCCTGCTAACTACGTCACGCCGATTCCGGATGCCTTGAGTTCTGAAGATGCTGCTCCTATGCTTTGCGCTGGAGTCACCACGTAAGTTTGCCCTTTAAAAGTCTAAGCCTCGTCGTCGATTCTGGGGTCGCAGGTTGGGCCGCATGAAATGGAAGAACGCTCAAATTTGACCCACTTTAGGTACTCGGCCTTGCGAAAATCAGACGCAAAAAGCGGACAATGGGTTGTAATTGGTACGGTGTACTCCGTAAGATCTGAAAAAATGTTTGACTGACGCATTTCATAGTTGGGGCTGGAGGTGGTCTAGTTAGCCCCCCTTTCATGCTCGGTTGCCAAGACTGACCACGTGACTTTTAGGGCCATCTTGCTACGCAGATAGGCGCTCGTGGTATGGCTTTACGTATCATTGGTATTGATCATGGAAGCAAGGAGGACCTTGTTAAGTCTTGTGGGGCTGAGGTCTTTCTCGATATCACTAAATATGATGATAAAACCATCGCCGAAGAAGTCAAGAAAGCAACGGGGGGCCTTGGGTCCTCTGCGGTTATAGTTTGCACGGCATCCAACAAAGCATATGGCCAAGCTCTTGACTTTCTGAGATTTGGAGGAACACTTGTATGCGTGGGTACGTGCCGAGCAATTTTGTGAAATATCATCTCCATAAAGGATCCTACCTCGGGAGGCAGTATTAACTCGACCCTAGGAATGCCAGAAGGAGACTCCCAACCAATTGCAAAAGCATACCCGGCTGCCATGGTAAGGCTTCTGGAAGAAACAGCGGGGCATCTTTAACGTTTCACAGGTTGCAATGGAGCATAATATTAAGGGTTCGGCAGTGGGAAACCAGCGTGAAGCAATGGAAGTAAGGAGCTTCTCCCATTTCGCTCCTCCTTACTTACACAAGTAGGTCCTCGATATGGCCGCACGCGGCATCGTAAAGACGCATCTTCGAATAGAGAAGATGGACAATTTGACAGAAGTCTTCCAACAGATGTCAGAAGGGAAGATGCGAGGAAGAGTAGTGCTAGACCTCCAATAAGAGTTTAGCAAAGACTTTTGTGTATGTTGTGTAATAGGGGAAGTGTGAATAAAGGCGGCCAAGGCAAATGATCAGGCGAGTTTAGGGCTGAAGAATAGAATAAGTTTGAGGATAAATGCAGTCAACATGTGAAACTTCTGAGGGGCCTGCCTGCCAATAATAGAACTAAACATTGACCAATCTTCTGCTAGAAGTGCGTCTCAAAAGTAGTCGAAAGAAAGTGATGACCCTGGCCCCTGTTCCCGAAACTACACCAGATCGGACTTTCGACAACGTATCAGTATGACTCTGTGGGATACTTCACGGCTCTGGGGTATATACGAGATAAGAAAATCACATTTATCCAATGCTTGCCCATAGGAAGCATTTTTCGCTTCTTGGTGGCGAATGCACGCTGTAGGACCGCATGTCGGAAATGCGGCTGAAGTTGGTTTTTGGAATTGCTGTGATCACTGGACACATATCGCAGCCAAGACCCATCCTCTTGCAAAATGAGAGAAGGAATACTACTTGGTAACTCGGCGTATGATTTGTCAGAAGGAGCCATATAGCCATATAAATCTAGCTTTATTAGTAGGACTCGGTGTGATTGTGGACTATAGGACGATATTAGAGGAGAGATGGAAAGTTGGGAGGAAATGGGGGAGATGCTTTCTGACTCTGTTCATACCTAGCTAGGTGATTCCGCGGTTAATGTCATACAGAGGTCAATAAAGCAGAGAATAGGAGGTGGAAGACATGGTTCGGTAGCTAACAGTACAAAGCAACTCCACATATGTTGTGAAATGGTTGAAAAGGTCGATAAAACGGTCGTCGAGCTGGATCTGGAGGTCTTCTCCAAGTCAGCCCTGGTAGCCTGCCCCACATAAATCGTACCAATCGTATCACGCCCTACGCTACAGCCTGGCGTTCTGGCATTACCACTTCCCCGCTACATCACTTCCAACGACACTATATTAGACAGTCATCTATTGTGATTGCCTTGCTCATTCCAGCCGACCTGCCTCGAGACCATGAACACCGTGTGCGGCCTTCAAAGAGGCCTTTCTACTATGCTAAGCGCAGTTGGAACGGAAGGCTGAGTCCTCTCCGTGTTGTAAAGCTTTTGAACTGACAGCCATCGAATGCCATTGTGATAGGCAGAATAACGAAGGTATCATAGAAGTACTCCCTATATAAATCAGACAACCTCAGCGCAATGGAGCTAGCAATCTCGATCCAAGTGGGTTTTGATCCTCATGTCCCCTACGCTTTCCAACTTCTCCAAGCTCGCCATTACACCGAACATGGAAGCACCATCTCAAGGCACTGTTCCTGCCACATCGGAAGGAAAAGGCAAAGGCAGAGCGCCACCTAGCGAGGATAGCAGCTCTAGCTCCGATGACAGTAGCAACGATGGGGGTGATTCGGACGATGAAAACGACACAAACAATCCAGCAGATGACCCTGAAGATTTCGAAGATGATGACCGGGAGGAAACTACCAGCATTTCCGATAATAAGTCTCTATTTGCCCTAGATCATTGTCGCCAGCATGATTCCACATACGCCTTTCAAATTGCCTCCGCGAAGGTGAAAAACTACAGCCTGCGAATCGAGCGAGGAACTCCAATACGCTGTTCCTGTCAAGAAGAAGATTGCCGCCACAGGCATTGGCTCCTAGATCAACTTTTAAGGGTCTCGAGTGGACAGGTCGCTGGGCCCTCTGAGGTTGATCCATACACACGAATATCAGCGAGGGGTTTCGAGAACGTCTGTTTAGAACTCAACTGGGAACTAAGAGGACCTTCAGTAGATGTGGAAACCGAGTGGCAGTTGCAGAAGCGTGTCAAATCTCCTTTCGAGCGCCATCAGCAAACAATGCGCATGCTTGCGGACCGCGTGAATATTGTCCGCGATATAATGGCCACCCCAGCCCCACTTCATACTACCGATGACCACCGAAGAAACCCGCTACAAAATCCCGAGACGATCAACGCTCATAATATCTTAGTACCTGGGGACATAGAGGCTACCCTGTTTCGCTTGCTAGTGCTCGATGAACATATATTCCATCAATATCAACTCCGGATACCGACCAATATTCAAGCCTCGGACTACTTCTTACAGATGAAGCGGAAGGCACAGGAGACATGGGAACTTCTGGATGAATACTCTATAGATGGACCTGTCTATGGTCGTCATTATGATGTAATATGGTGTGGCCAGATGCTGGTCAACATTGTCGAGGCGATTCACAATCATATAAGAGACAGACTACCTCTACCGCCGGCTTCCCGAGAAAATGCTGCCTACGCCCTTGTTTCAATCCTCCAGCTGGTCGTCGACAAAAACTTCGAGATTTATGGCAATTCCGCCAACTGGGTTCGGCGTAGACCCAGTCATGAGCCAGGCAAAGCACGCAACCTTTACATGTGGCTGATTGGAGAAGTAAGTAGTGCAAATCCTGCAGGCGGGACTTTTGTACTCAGGGCGCTGGAGGATGTATCTGATACGTGTCGCAGTGTTGCGCAACTAGAAGCAATTTCTAAAACGATAGCGGAAATCGCCTGGTCTGCTCCCGAGCCCTATAGAAAAAGATTGAGTCAAATCATTGCACGGATGAGGGGCGCGGCCGAACCTGGACCTGGACCTGGACCCCCACCAGGACCCGGGCCGGATTCTGGGTCTTCATCGAAGAGACCAGCGGCCCCTGGCCCATCGAAGCGAAACGTCAAGAGAATGAAATGAAGGGACCAGTAAATTCAAAGTACCGTGCTCTTCACCTGGAAGCGGGTTGTTTGAGAACACCCGTTTCTATGGGCGGTGCGCATTCTGTCGCTATTTCAAAGTTTCGCCAAAAGTCTTACGTCTCCCTGTTCTCCTTGGTTCTTATTTTCCTGGAAAATATGTCATTGGGACCTCCTCAGAAACCCACAGCTGCTCTCCGTCATCTACTTAAATTAACCCGGGCGGTTACACCTCTGCCAAAGGCGGGCCTGCAGAGCTTTTACTCTTCTGTGTTCATTTTTGACCTCTTGTATATGAGTGTCTCACCTAGGATTTAAAGATTATTGTATCATAGATTGAAAGTGTGTCTCAGCTTTCTAACATTTGGTCTACATCGTGAAATTTGATAAAATATCACAGCTCCTCTTCAACTCCTTGCTAGCACTCCGTTCTCTACGCTCACACGTAGGCTCCAGCTAAGTGTCATCCCACCTCACAGTACGCATCCTTTGTTTTCTCATTCACGGCGTTTCATACCATCTGAAGCCTCGATTTCTTCTCTTTTTCAATTGCCTGATTGTCGATGATAATCACAGGCTTCCCTTGCATCTTGCCCGAGTGGGCAAGCTCTATAGCTTTAGGCACCTCTTTGATTCCATCAAACGGATTGGTTTTTACTTTGATATTGTGCTTTGATACAACCTCCAGCATTTTCTTAATATCCTCTCGGGATCCTTCGCTCATTAGCTTTGAACTCATTTCTAGAACGAGTTTCAACTTACCTGTCAGGCTTCCATCTAAGGTTTAGAGAATCTTGGTTAGCACCAGCTTGCGCGAACAAGCTAAGAATAGCGGAAGGAATAGATGCTTACGTATTTTAATATCCCGAAAGATCAGCTCTGCAAAAGGAACGCTGACATCTCGCGGCTGCGCAATTTGGATAAGCATGCCATGCATTTTCGTCACAGCAGCTCCCAAAGCGGCAGCTGTTTCGTGATCGCTGACGTTCAAGGTAACTTCCGCGCCTTGACCTCCAGTGATCTTTTTGACTTCTTCAACTACCGTTTCCTTGCTCTTTCGAGCATCTATGGTAGCATCTGCTCCAGACTCCTGGGCCAAACGTAAACCCTCATCACGAGCATCAATGGCAATGACACGGAAGCCAAGAGCCTTTGCAAACTGGACACCAAGGTGTCCCAATCCACCTCCAGCGCCAACAATTGCAATAGCCTCTCCGGCCTTCAAGCCAGCCCTCTGAGCCCTAGCAATGCCTCCCCCTACAATTCGTCAGTCCACAGATATGCGCCTGTGATCAAAGACCCTTACAGATAGTTATTCCAGCACACGCCAGAGGAGCAGCGGACTGAAAGCTGATATTGTCGGGCAACAGACAGCACTCTCGGCCATCAACAACCTCATACTCAGCAAAAGATCCATCTATCGTGACGCCCAAATAGCCACCCGCATTGCTGCAATAATGCGAGTCTTCTTCGGGCCCGGTGCAGTCTGCGCAAATCCCACAGCGATGATAGCATAGGCTGCACAGGATCCTATCGCCAACGTGAAATTCGTGGATAGCAGACCCGACCTTGACGACTGTGCCGGAACCTTCGTGAGAGGCGATACATGGTAATCTAGTACCCATTATACCGTCCGATACCATGCCATCTGTATGGCACTATTTAAACAATAAGCGTGGCAATAATTTAGAAGAGGAGCATGAGAAGAAGAGTTTAGATCGCCATCTGTAATCTCATGCCACAGAATAGAAATTGACTAACCAACGAGCCCACAGCAACTTTCACGAGCAGATCATATTCATTGATATCCTTTCCCGGAGTAGGAACCTCATGGATTTTATATGGTTTTTTGAACTATTCAAATGTTATTTCAACTCGTGCGACTGTCAGGGTCGTTGGAGAGGGTACTTCAATCAGCTGAGCTGCTAGCATCTTTTCTGGGATTTGGCTGGCCATCTTATGTAATATTTCTCGTGCTATGGTAGTAAAATCTGAATTATAAAAAAGTAAAGTAGTAAACAATTGTACCTATATCTCAATTCAAATGTCGCGGGGTACAAGTACTATACGAAGGTATCCTAGTCTTCGACATTACGTCAATCTGCACGAATTAACTCCGAAGGTTATTCGGAGTTTATTACAAAAGATTTAAGGGCCATTTGAACGTCACAGTGCCAAGTCACAGCAACGTGAGCCCAGTTTGTTTTGGTCTCAAGTCCCTACCTATATCTACCTACCTACATGATACTGTAGATACGCTAGCCCGGGCAGTTCAGTCAGCCGCGCGCTTGGGTTCTCTCAAGTCTCCACAAGCATCCGCGCGTAATAGACCCTGAAAGGTAGTTGCTCTGATTCGGGACCTATCTCACAAGCACTTAATTTCTAACCCAAAGCAGGTGAACGAACTACGGGACGCTCTTGACCATGAAGGACTATGCAGAAATGGGACTTTTGTCAGACAAAAGTCTTCCGGCGCACGATCAAGATTCGGACCGTTTCGCCAGCTCCAAGAACAGTCGTATCTTGAAGAAAGCGGCATTTTTGTCATTTATCATGGTTATGTTGTATTGCTCCTACAGTATGCTGTTCCGCTCGATGCTCGTTGTGGCAGGCACAGGACCAGGTCAAGCAGTTGGATCTAGCGGTGTCTCAAAGGGCTTCTCAAAATTCTCACAATACTTTGACCCAAACCCAGAAATATATCCCGGCCCTACAGCTACTGGACGAGCTCCTTTTACGGCTCAAGAAACTATGGCACCGATGGGAGAGAAAAATAATAAAACCATTCAGCAAATGTTCGGTCATCTTTCTCCGTATTCTCCCAACATTATTGGGTTCGGAGTAGAGGAACAACCACTTCCTCCAGGCGCCAATATCATACAAGTTCACGTGAGAAGTCAGTCTTTTTTATTGTAGCTTAGCTAATGATATATAGACGCTTCATCGTCATGGCTCCAGATACCCTACAGTGAACACCAACGTCCAAGGTTTTGGTGGGAAAATGGCCAAGATCAGTGGGAAATACAACGCGACTGGTTCGCTCTCCTTTTTGAATACTTGGTCCTATGGATTAGGTGAGGAGATCATGGTCCCTCAGGGGAGGTTGCAACTGTTCGAAAGTGGTGTCAATCATTACTATAACTACGGCCACCTCTACAATCCAAACAGCAAAATTTTGGTGCGAACAACTACTCAAATGAGAATGCGTGAGGTTAGTCAATACATTCGTTCCTAGATCCCGAAGGATTACTGCTAAAAACTCTGGAAAGTCTGCGTGGAACTTCCTCACAGGTTTCTTCGGGTTCGACTGGGCTTCCAAGGTAGACGTGGGCTATGGAATCGAGGGCGATGGCCAGCATTGGAACAATTCACTCGCTGGATACGACAACTGTGATAACGGAAACAGTTTCCGCAACCAGGGCGGTTTCAATGCATCAGAAGAATGGCAAGGCATTTCCCTCCAGAATGCAACAGAACGCATAAACTCCATGATCGAAGGCGTCGATTTCACCTTGAAGGATGTTTATGCGATGCAGACTATGTGTCCTTATGAGATTGTAAGATTAATCCAACTATTCATCACGTTCCTTTCAGGTCGTGCGGTGACATTGTGACTGACCACAACAGGCCGCATACGCATATAGTCCTTTCTGCGACCTTTTCACAACGGCGGAATGGGAAGCCTTTGAATATGGCATCGATATTATGTTTGCAGGTTATGTTGGTTATCAGTCACCAACAGGGCGAGCAGTCGGCCTTGGCTGGGTCCAAGAGCTGGCCTCGAGGTTGAAACGTCAGACCCTAGGCTATTCCGTAAGTTGCCAATTCATGATCTCTCCAACTTCCGATATCACATTCTAGTAATAACTCCCAGAGAGTTCTGGGACATTGCGAATAATCGGTCAATGGATCGAGCCTCCTAAATTGGTGTCGAGGAAGTTTTGCTAACTATTACAGGGCTCCCAAATAAACACAACTTTAGACAGCAACGAAAAGACATTTCCAGTGAACCAAAGTCTATATTTCGATTTCAGCCACGAGTAAGCAATACCCAAACAAAAAGTCCTACACTTTCTGTGAGCTCCGAGGCCGAGAGCTGTGTTAGGAGCCAAAAAAAAAAACACGTGTTCCGCAGTACATAGGAATCCGGCTCCTGACAGCTCCCGAGCCCTTCAGCTACCTAGACCGATTCGGGGTTTTATCATACTAATTCGTTGGGCAGTACCAACATCATGAGTATCATCACAGCTCTTGGCTTCACGCAATTCTCCCAATTCCTCCCCGCGGACCACCAGCCTGGCCTCCACAACCTCACCGTCTCGCAAGTGACCCCTTTCGCAGCGCGTCTCGACATCGAGGTTATCCGTACCCCCCAACCACTCCTCCCAGACCAACAGTACAATACAAATGGGGAAGAGACGCAGTATTTACGCTTCAAGTTGAATGAGCGGACGCTCCCGCATCCGGAATGCGGGATGGATAGAATGGATGGCTTGTGTGAGTTGGATGTATTCTTGGGTCTGGTGGAGGGGTTGGAGCGAAAAGCGGATTATGAGTATGCCTGCACGGCAGACTATGAGGCTGTTCCGTATGGAGAGATTACGGATGGGAGGCCGAATACGTGAGGTGGGTTGATGGGGGAGAGCGCCTGTTTTTTTTTTTCTTTTCTGGCTAGAATGGCTTTGACGAAGCTGAGAGCCTGTATATATAGTCACCCTTATCCCAGGAAGCATAAGTAAAATTCATTATAATTCCCCCTGTACTAACTTTTCAGTCCTCCTTCTCTTTCCGCCTCATAAAGTTTTGAATTTCTTGACTTTAGTGATTCAAGGTATATCCAGGCAAACCACCAAACGCTCTTTCATCTTCAGATCACCAACTTCAACATGCAAACAGTTCTCGTTCTTACTTCACTAGAACGGGTTTCAATCTGCAAGAGTCGCGGAAGCACGAAAGTGATTATGCGCTACCAGATTCTACACAGCCCATGATAGTCTTATTGTCCACCTCACCATCGGACAGGTGAAGGCAGGTAAGTCCACTTAGTAATTCGATGCATTCATTCATTTACGCTACAATAGGCTTTCTCAGCACCTCGATCGCAGCTGGCTGGCTGACATGGAAAATCGCTATAAAGTACAGTACCAAACGCAAAATAGAATAGAGTAAATAAAAGCAAAGAAAAGACGTCTTTGTACCGAACTACGTATAGTGAAGCTAAATTTTCATAAGAATCTACCATTTTGATAGTACCTAGTATATAGTCATGCACTATTTACCTTCTCTAAGGACAACGACAAAGATAACCACCGCTATTAGAGGTCCTTAGCATGGAGCTGAGAAAGCGAAAACTAATTCCTAATACCGGGAGAGCATGCAGATGCAAACTATCTTCACGGCACTATGACTATCCTTCTTGCAGCACTTCGGGGCAAGCCATGGCCAGCATTGTACCAAGAGGCACTCACTTCACTAGTACCTGTTACAAAGTCCGTCAATCAAAACAGGATCACGAACAGCATATTTCGTAGATTCCGCAACAGGTTGAAATACTGCTCTTGTATCAACTAGAAATTTTGGTGTCTACTGCTTAAGATGCGTAGTTTACATCGCCCATGCGGAATAAGACATCATATTGACAGCTACCACCTTAAGCGAAGCCCCTTTCCATCAGCATCCAACTTGAGCCCAAACCACAACTACCACATACACTGGTGATTGATTCCCAGCACCTGTTTACAAAGCACAGCATAAGTGTCGACTTTATTTGTAGATTTTTCATTCATAACCGAGCTAACTTTTGCCCAATTTATCAACTCCCGATTATGCATAAGCCAATATCGAGCTGGTAAAAGGGTATGAAGACATCGCCGACTGCTACAGAAATGTCTGAACTATTTCACCTAAGAAACGCTGGGTTCAAGCGTAACGCCCGCCATGGTGTTTGCCCATCCTATCAAGCGCCAATGCTTCTCAATACGACGACTCAAAGCAACCTTCTCGCCGATGTTTGTGCACGCCGGACTGGTGAGTACCAATTTCGCAGCATCAGCCCTCACAGCGACTACCTTGGCTCCGGTTGCCGTGGAACCAATGTTCACCATTAGAACCTCATTCTTCGCCAGCTTAGCGACCTTGGCTTGCTTGCCATCGGCAGTCTTGACACCCAATAGACGACGGAGCAAGAAGTAGTTGACTTCGATCTCGGTGTAGATATCTGGTAGTCGGCCCTTGAGTCCAAGAACGAAACCAACCAGACGATCAGCACGGCAGAGGGTAGGGTCAATTCGTGTTCCGACACCAATAAGCCCACCCGGGACTGCGTACTTGAGATCGTTGTGCTCCGAGTTTAGCGTGACAATTCTGCTGAAAATTGGTGTGCATTTGATAGCTCCCTTCTCATCTCTAGTAACAATTCCAGGTCGGATCTCGATCTCGTCGCCGAGCTTCAAGACACCGTGCAAGACACTCCCACCAGCCACACCTCCCTTCAGCTCTTCGATTTCAGCGCCTGGCTTGTTGACATCGAAGGATCGAATGACAATCATCTCAGGGTCCATGGAGAAATCTCTGGGAGGGACGGGAATTGTGTTGACAATCGACTCGAGGATAGCATCAATGTTGAACTTCAGTTGGGCAGATATTGGGACGATGGGTCTCTTATCAGCAACGGTTCCTCGAATGAACTTCAATATCGACTGGTAGTGTTGGTTTGCACTCTCCTCCTTCATCAAGTCGACCTTGTTTTGGAGAATAATGATCTTGTCAAGCTTCATAATCTCGATAGCTGCAAGATGCTCGGAAGTTTGAGGTTGTGGGCAGGTTTCGTTACCTGCAATTAGTAGGAGAGCGGCATCCATGACTGCTGCGCCAGACAACATAGTGCTCATGAGAATATCGTGACCAGGGCAATCAACGAAGCTACATATGTTAAAATCATATCCTTAGACTTGAGGATTTCAGGAACTTACGAGACGTGTCTAAGCAATTCATATGTACCTTCACATCCTTCTCGCTCACAGGGAGGATCCACCTCTTTCTCGCTCTTGTAACTCCTGAAGCATGTTGGTCTGGGACATTCGGGGTTATTGCACTTGTAGATCTTCGCATTGGCGTAACCAAGCTTGATTGTGATATTGCGCTCCAACTCATTCTTGAACCGAACGGTCTGGACTCCTGAAATCGCCTTCACAACGGTAGATTTTCCATGCGCCACATGTCCAATAGTACCGATATTGATCGTTGCCTGTCTGGCGATAATTTCGGGGGTCAGAGGAGTCAAGGACTTAATATCCAGATCCTTTGGCTCTGTTTGGGGTGGGAGAGTAGGGCGTATGATAGCTGGGGCAGTTTCTTTTTGTGCGGACTTCTTCAGCGCCGACTTCACTGGCTTCTCATCAAGCTCAGGAACGTTGTCATCTACATCGTTTTGTGCGTCAAGTCCCGGAGAGCCTGGACCAGAATCCGAATCCGAGTCCAGATCATTGCCGTATTTATCACCGTTCGCCGCCATAATGGGTGGTTTGTGGCGGGGTAGTTTTGGTATAGGTTTCGATGTCGTGAGGGAGTGACGCGCTTTTCGTGACTGCGAGGAGACCGCGTGCTTCAACAGGACCGGATTTGAAGAATTTCGATGTCTAGGGGAGGAGGCGCGGTCGTGGTTTGTTACGTGGATGCGCACGGAATTTCGACGTCTTTCAGGTATTTGACTTTGAAGTGGGTTTGAGTCACAAAAAAAGCCGAAGCGGGCTGGAGTCCGCTTTTATTTTGGGGTACGCCGCTGCCGCTACAGTATTGCTGTCTGCTGTAGCTTTCTCTTCACAACACAACACAAACAACATTACCCCACCAGCAAAAGTCGCATTGCTCTCTCTCAATCGACTCCCTATTATAGCATTGGACTGTTTCAAATATGCCTACTCTAGGCTTGAATGCGGCTCAAGCCCTCCCACGATTTCTCCTTCCAAGATTAAGCTGGCAAACAACGTCCACGAAGAACCATGCTGTTCGAGCATTAAGCACAACAGTATCCACATATAACTCTCCTTCCAGGCCTCTGAATACTGCAGAGAGGAGGCAAACTATTCGCAGAAGAGACGGTGGGCTTGCGCGACCGAGAACCAGCATCCTACAAAACCCCTCACATCACCAAGCTTTTCATGCCACCGCTCGTCAAGCGCGGGACCACCATTTTGATACCTTGAAATTCGTTCAGCGGTTGCAAGAGGAGGGATTTACGGAGGCACAATCAGTTGCAATGATGAAAGTGCTCAGCGATGTCATCGAAGAAAGGTCCGTTGCCTCTTTAAAACTTCTCCACGCTTGTCTCAATACTCAAGACATGGCTGGGAAAGCTAGCTAAGAGCTTGCCATTGACTTATGCCTTAGTATTCAGAACCTAACACGAACAATGGTCCTACGGGAAGACCAGGCGAAGGCAACATATACGCAGAAAGTAGATTTTGCAAAACTGCGCTCAGAGCTGCTGTCTGCAGACTCTACAGAATCGGCAACGACGCGGGCAACTCATGAGCGACTTACCAATGATCTCGCCAAGCTGAATGCCAGGCTGAGGGATGAAGTCGGCAGAACACAAGCGTCTGTGAGACTAGATCTTAATTTAGAGAAGGGACGAATCAGAGAAGAAGCGAATGTACAGGAGCTAAAGATCAAGGAGACAGAGACGAAGATTGAGCAAGAAGTCGCAGGTCTCAGAGAGAAGTTGGAAGCAGTCAAGTTTCAGACTTTGCAATGGCTTATGGGTGTTTGCACTGGTAAGAAAGAGGAACTTCTGAGCGAGGCAATTGCTAACAGACTTAATAGGTACTGCTGCTTTGATACTAGGTGCTTGGAGGTTATTGATGTAGAAAACTGGCGAATCAAGCCTTACGAATCCAGAAGGATGAAAATTTGCACAGTCGCCTAGGGCCCCTGCGCCTCGAAATCTAATTCGTTCTACTACTGCAATATGGTAGAGTGGTTGCGACGTGCAGTGCTTCTTTACAGAACTCATCCACAGCGGGCGTGCTTCAAGTGAACGAAACCGCATTCCAAGTTTGCAATCTCTAACCTTCAGGTCATTAAACTGATGATATATGAGGGTGGTGCCCGATCGATACCAAAATACGACTAAATATACTGTTCCTAATAACGTCTGCCTCGTCTTAAGTGAGTGCTTTATAGGGTCTTACTCGCCACTTAAGAATTGTGAAGCCGTTTCGTTTCGCTTTCCTGTTAATCAATCCTAAGGTCTTTATCCTTCCACACTATCAATTATATTGGCAACTTTTCATGGCTGGATATTATCCGACTTCACGTAGATATTCGTCTCGAAATGCCATCGTTTGAGCACTAGAAAGCGCGACACACTTTTGAACAATGTGAAGTTCCTTGTATTCACAGATAAGTAACTAGACCTTGTATAAAACAATTCAAGAGTGAACGAAAGTTGTACTTCAAAGAGATTATTAGATTTGAAAACCGAGCTAGGCTGTAAATAAACTAGCTTATAGAAAGTGGGGCTTCTTTCAGGGGGGGTATGTATATTACAAACTACAACTTCTTGCTTTACTTATGCAAGTAATCTTTTCAATTTTTGATTAGTATTGAGACTGCTGCAAGTGCTTGGACTCTCTCACTCTAAATTTCGCCACCTCACGTCGTCCTTTATTCTTGTTCCACTTGTTCCACTTGTTCTTGCATTTGCGACTGATGTACACTCGAAATGGTTTCCTCTCAAATACCCAAGGAGTGCATCATCAATTGGAAGCCGCTTCAAAGATCATCCAGTCATGCCGAAACAATGTCTCCTATTAGCTCTAGTGGTAGCATGCCCCATCATTTTACCAAGAGGCTTCGAAAAGCTTGCGATTTATGTCGCCACTCCAGGATCAAATGCTCTGGAGGGAGCACATGCCAGAGATGTGCAAGTAACGGGCTAAAATGCAACTATGGCGTATCGATGAGACATGGACGGACCAAAGCAGCTGCCAGACCAACCTCATCATTTTCCAGTAGGACGCGGAGTGAGTCTACAATTCCAAAGGAGGAAAAAACAACCCAGAACGCGGAGCTCCCTAGCTTTACCAATATCGATCTTATGAGCAACATTGATACAGATGATTGTCTCAGCGATATGGCCGTGGGCGCCGATCAAGAATATCTCACGGGTAGTGGCGCTTTCATGAGGGCTAGTCCCATGTCCAGGGACTTAAATTTCAACTATTCAAATACAGATATATTTCCCGTATGTACAGTACAGCCAATGTGACACCCATGATACATTCTTGAAAAATTGACTGCTAATTGACCCTAGATCCAGTCATCTGAGAAAGACGTTATTTCTAGCAGAGCAGGACTCGGAATCAGTACGCCCCAGCTGCAATTGCAACCAAGTATGGACTTCTCGTTCGGAGATTCGCAACTTGATATCGGCACTAGATCCACAGAATCAGCTGGGCTCCCCCCAACCTCATTCAACGCCGGAGCTATCTTAGGTCTCGGCTCCAGGACAAATTGTCGCTGTCTGAGTACCCAGCTCTTCTGTGTCGCGGAGCTGTGCAATATAGAAGATCCTATCAACATTGCGTTGGATGCAATTTTGCAAATTGTGAGAGAAAAGAGCAACAGCGTGGAAGAGTAGTAAGTAAACCAGCGTTTCAGTTGTTATACTACTTTGCGTGAGACTGGATGGAATTCCTCAGTGTTTCACAACACCCAAGCCAACCACCTGTAGTCCAAACTCAACCACAGACACATTCTAACATTCTTCTTCTATAGCCTATCCTGCAAAAAATGCTCTAAAACATCAGCGAATTTCATCTTCCCAGCTATAATCTTACAACGGATCGTCCTCCTCCTCTGCAACGTCGCCAGACACGGACTCCTCTACGTCCAGTCCATGAAGCTGAGGGTGGGTTCATTCGAACTCTCTCCCGAAGAGGACGTATCGCATAAAAAGCTATTGATTTCATCAGCTGCGAAGCAGGCTGATTCCGTGCTCAGCGAGTTGTGTGCCGCTGCGATGAATTACCAGGAGAGCAATAGAGACTCCATGTTAGAATCGGGACGGGAGAATCTGAAGTGGCTTTTTGAAACTGTACAGAGTAAGAGAGCTAGGTTGAGAATCATCCACGGCTTGCTGGATGCGCGCGATTGGGGTTGCCAAGTTAGTATGGAGGCTTTAGACTGCTGCCGGCCTACTTGAGTGTTGATACCCAACCTGTTGGTAATTGTGATATATGCTTGACGGTCATTCTTATATCTATATAATGCTATGTGTTTCAGCTAAATCTATGTTATGTAGGGAAAGTAGGGATTGACTACATTACTCGCGGCCACCCATATAGTCAAATTTACGGCAGATTTTTCATATATCATCTCTGTGTCCGGCACGAGAATTCCCCGCCTGGTCTGAGGCATTCTAATCATCCAATTCTCATAAGCCCTTTCTGTACAGTTGTTAAATATAATACCCAGCGGGAGGGTGTGGGCATGGTAAGACCTGACAGCATCTGCGAAGCGTCTCCAATACCCCTTCACTGTTTTGCAGCTCTAGACGCACGCAATCTCAAAGCCCCCGCCAAGACAAATGCAACAGCTCCCGCAGCAGTAAAAGAGGCCGAAAAAATGATCCCGCCACTGAACTTGTTCTCTGCAATATTGATTATCGTCCCGGCAATTGGGTTTCCAATCAAAAAACCCATAGCTGCAAAGCACAGCGACATCCCAATCCAAGTTCCTACAAGCTGTAACCCCGGGGAGAAACCAGCTATAACGGTCGCGGGCAGCGAAACAACCGCACCAGAAATGAATCCATATAATATGCAAAATACAACGAGTCCGCCTAGATTATCGACCGCCAGCCAGCAGAAAGCGATAATGCCGGAGATGAGCGAGGCAATTGTAATGACTTCGAGCGAGCCGACCCTGTCTGCCAATAAACCGGGAAGGATACGTCCAAAGACCGAAGCACCATTCAACACCGCCAGCATGTAAAATGATAAGTCCTCCTTGATCCCCAGGTTGCGCTCCGCATAGATAATGGCATAGAAGAACGGTATGTAGAGCCCAACGAATGAGGAAAATAGCCCAAGGTTGAACACCATATAAGGCAGCGACCGTAGCGCAGCAGGGTCGATCATGCGGCGAGACTTCTTCGGTGGCGGGAGACGCGTCTTCATGATCAGTATACTGACAAGCAGCGTCGCTAGTGCAATGAAGCCGATGATCCTCGTTGCCCACGCAAAGCCTATGCGCGGCTGCAGCTTGTGGAACACCACGGGGTAGATGACGCTTCCGACACTACCGCCCGCTGCAGTGATGCCCGTGGCGAGTGCGCGTTTAGTCGTGAAATACGTGGCTACTATTGCGATGGATGGCAGGAATAAGCAGCCGGCTCCGAGGCCGGTGACTACTCCTTGCGCGAGGAAGAGTTGCCAGTATTGTGTTGCGAGGGAGGTCATCATCATGCCGAAGACGACGAGTACGGATCCGGTGATTATTAGGGCATGGAAGTAGCCTTGGTCGAATATAGGGCCGGCGATGAAGCTGAAGAAGACTCTGGGGCAGATGTTAGTATAAGCTTCGGAGCAAGTAGATTCTCGAGAATGTCTCTCTGGATTTTCAGGGTCGTCTAGCATAATTTTTGAAAGGACACCAAGCGAGGAATCTGGGATTGAAAGTTAACTTACAAAAGGAAGCCTTGAAAGGTGCCAATCCAGGAAATTTGAGACGAGTTGTGCGTTGATAGGAGGTTTTGCTCATAAAACGCTTGATACGCCCCGAAAGTGTTGATTATACCCCTATCGACTTTCCTTAGAACGCAACAGATGGCCAATGGAATGGGAGTTTCTTACCATGAGTTGAAGAATAGCAAGTGTGCACCAAGCACCTGGAGCCAGGCTTGAGCTCCGCCATTTGGAGGAGGTGGTGGCCCTTGCAGATGGGGTAACGGTTGGGCCTCAAAAATGCCATCAGAGGTATCACTCTGTATCTCTTTATTTTCATCCATGCTCTAGCTCTGTATATAAAAGCCTTTGAGGAACAAAATGTAAATGTAATTCAGGGGAAGTGTTATTACTCTTATAGCACGTGAAACACCAGAATCGAAATACAAATGACAGAAAGAAGCAAAGCCCAGAGCTAGATATACAAAACCTTGAGGCAGACATTGTTCCTAATCACGCTTATACTTAAGTTTTGAGAGGCTCCGAGGAGATGAAGAAGTGTATATGTAAGCCCTGCTCCCCTTCTCGTAGAGCGGAGGAAACGGTTTTACCCGAACGGGTAAGTCCACGCCAAGCGAGCCTCTTGAATACATGCATGTGCATTTCGCTTTGCGAGAAGCTGACATGAACTGCAGATCATTTCACCAGTAAATTCGTTTGAAAAACTAGAGCATGAGTCAACTTTATGATTCGCTGAGCGGCATTTGAAATTGAGTAACGAGTTGAAGGATAAGTGGGAAGTATGAGAGTGAAGATGGGATTTCCACGCTAATTCGGAGGATACGCACAGAGCGATATCGGGTTTACCTACCCATCATTTGAACATGCTATTGCCGTTTCGCAATATACGAAACGCAATATACATAAGGTATGATGTGATTAAGCATTGCAACGTGAGGATGAGCTAAGTTTCTAGTATTTGGTGGAAAAAGGAGAGTCGTTCGCTTAATCTCGGCATGGCCATCTTTACTCTTCAAGTCCCATACAAACCTAGCTATACTTTAGCTACCCCATTCATCCATTCACCGCCGACCCAATGCAAAACATAACTTTAAATCTTTGTTGCACGTCGTAGCTTTAAGGAAAGATATAAAACCCGGGATCGACGCTAAGAATTCCTAGGCGCTAAGGGTCGGGAATGTCAATATATGAAGCTTGATTTGCAGTAGAGTATATGCATATGGCCTTGGATGTAATAACAGCCACCGGGTATCGAGCTAGAAGCCTAAGCGCGGCAGGTTTATATCGCAGTAACTAGCATAGAACGAAGATAGCAAAAAAGCCTTTACCAAACGAGAAAACAAGATCGTTCTATTGTGGATTGCCTAGGCAGTCCAGTCCAATCCAGACTTACGAATATTTCCGACTGTCTGTCTACCTAGGGTCTGGCTCCGAGATTCCCATAATCTTCCATGTGAGCTGAGACACTATCTGTCCCTAACAATTAATTACATTCAAAACCAACGAGGGCATGATGGAACAGGCAACAAAGAACCGCGAGTCTCAAAAAGCATTTTGCATTATTAAGCACTATTCTCAGTCTTAGTATCGCTCCCGCCTACTACATGAAACCAGCTTTTGGTCTACTCCATTTTGGCCAACCGATTGCTATTTAAGAGGAAGAAAAAAAAAGGTTTGGTCAATAATACCATTGCAAAGTGAAGAAAAATAACGAATTATTGTGGTATCGCAAAAAAATAAAACATGCTAGTACAAATATGCCCTCAAACTGTCTGCTTCTCGCCTGAATTCAAGAGGGAGTAGGAGTAATGTCCCTACTCGTCCTGCCATTCTCCTTCTTGCTCAGCAGACTCTTACGGAACCCCGTTTTCGGACTGTCGATCCCGTTCTGCTCTGCAAGAATAAAATTGCTCTTGACGACAATGTAGCCGCTGCCGGCCTTAATCTGCTTCTCCTGACCACTACCAGACTCGTCGACGAAGAAGAGGCTTTCTCCGAGATCATCGTCACTGCCGAATGTGTTGTGGCCCTTAACTTGTATCTGGAATTGCGTGTCTGCTGAACAAGCACACTTGAAACTCTCTTTCTTCTCGTTGAATGTTACGGTTCCTGAGGGTGATTTGATGTGGTCTGTCTTGTGAAGTATTTTGGTCTTGGGGCCGAGTTGCTTTATGTAGACCATTACGGCGGAGGATGGAGGATAGCCGGAAGCAGAGAGGATGGTAAAGGCAGCAGTTCCAGTTGATGCGCCTGGTGTCCCAAACGCGGTGCTGTGCATTGAAGATGCCCCAAAGCTTTTTGTCCGAGTGTGAGGAGTTCCGAGAGAGGATCCTGGAGGTGTGATGGGAGGTGGGATATCGGACGTGGGAAGCCCACTGGCTCGTCTTGGAGCACTGAAACTTCCCCCAGCGGCGTAATCGTTATCTTCTGCTTCCATTTCGGAACCATTTGTCTCTCCCTCACCCTTCTTCTTAGATTTAAACCCGTGTCTGATGAAAGAGGCACCTTTACCAACACCATGAGCCGCAAAACCAACTCCTTTTATTGGCGCACCTGCAACACCAGTGACAATTTTGCCAGGAGTTGCAAAGGTGCCTGAAAATGTTGACGATCCTTGGCGAGAACGCGTGACATAGTCTGGTCTGAAAAGAAGTCGCAATCTCACAGATCCAGATTTACCGTCTAGAACTAAGTTATATTCATGAGCTCTGAAAGGGTCGAGTAGATCGAGATTTATGTCTGCTGCACCCAGGAAGTCTGCCTTATCGCCAAAATCCCAATCGTAGACTCTGCAAACGAACTTCGCAGCTGTTCTCGAAGCAATGTCCAATTCGAAGAATTCGTTCCACGCAGGCTGTAGCGTCTTTTTCTGAACTTTGGTCTTGAACACCTCTTTGCCATTTAGTTCGAATTTGCAGTAAGGATCACTATAACCATTTCGGTCTGCGGATGGAAGGTCTGAAGCATCAAGAACATCAACTCGAAGTTTGCCCATATTGTTGATACTTTCACTCGGGTCGAGTGTCATCTTGACAGGGATATACTTCAGGCTGACCTTGACACTGTTTGTCCGGCCTTCATCATCCTTGAGTTTGAGAATAGTAGGATTGTTCTAGCATGTGTTAGCATTCATCCATTGTCTCGAGTATCGTGGGAGATCATTAGCCCCCAGTGATATGTATTTCCACTTACCAGGCATTGCTTGAGAGTATCCATGGTGTTTCCAGTCAATTTGGCAAGGGTATTATCCTTTTTCTCATCACCCTTGCTTGCTCCCTTTTCTCGAATGCGTAGTGTGATCTTCGAGAACTCAAGCTCTCGGACGAAACAATCCCCAATTTCATCCACACTTGTTTTCTTACTTCGGACTGTCGATGAAGAATATGAGGGGAAGGCCATATCGTCGATCACCACCTCAACATGAACATTACTGTGGGTAAGGTCGACATCGAGAATCTTGAAAATAATGAGACCGGACTCATATTTCATGAGCTCCTCTGGGCTGAGTCGGATCTTAGCTAATTTCTTCTCTTCTGTGTCTTTTGTCTCTTCTTGCTCCTTTTCGCCCTCCGCTAGGGTTTTGGCAAGTGATGCATCAACTTCGGCAGAACCGTTGATCTTATCATTTGCTGTTACGACAGCATCTTTGGTATCAGAAGACTTATTCGACTCGACAGATATGCGCCCTCTCTCGGATGACTTTTTCGTCTCAGCTGCTTCTTCTTCTTCGTCCTCCTCTGGATCTGCGATGTTTAAGAGAGGGTAGAACGAGGCTGTATAGTTGAGGGTACCCTTCGGTGAACCCTTTCCATGCATACGAAGCCCAGCTGTTAGAAGGGTCTTGGTGTCATGAACAAGATACTCGCCGTTCTCGGCCTGCGATATGTAGTCCGCCGCAATGACCTCTACCGAACCCAGACTCCGATCGCTATTGATAGTCTCTTGATCCATGACCTCGAGTGTCAATTTCTCACGAGTGCTGTGGACCGGCACATAAATAACTTCATCCCAGTCAGGATTGAGATTATTCTGAAACGTGACTGTACGGCCCTTTTCGATGCCCGAGAGTAGTACGCGGACATAGGGATCAGATTTGCCAAGTGTTTCGAGATTTCGAAGATTTTGGGCATTCTTGAAATGGAATCTCATCACACCGATTGGCGTTACATAACCGCCAGTCCCAGAACCAATACCAGTTAAGGCGACTGGCTTCCATTGAAGGGTCATTTTCACCCGTCCGCTTTGCGCACTGGCGAGATTGTACCACTCCTTGCCCTCTTCCATTAGCCGTAGCATATCATCGAGCTTGACTTGATAAGTGCCGAGGATGGGGTCTGCAGAGATGTCCCTATCGTCTTTGATTACAAGACCGAGCCTGGCAGTCTTGCGATCAGTGATGAGCACTTCCTTGGAGCCATTGTCCCAGATTGGATTGTTAGTTCTCTTCAGCTTTCTGGTGACGTGAATCTCCTTATTGTTGAGCAGTAGAACGGCGTAAGGACTGAGCTGTCCGATAAGACTCTTGGTGCCATCCAGGTCTTTGGCCTGCTCGACAGTGATTCGTGCAATTCCGGTATTGGACTCTGGCGGAGGTTCTTTCTTACCATCTGGGAGGTCCCCACCCTCGAGAACGGGGAAAAAGCGAATATCAGACGAGATAACTCCACGAGCCTTGCCATTGGCCATAACCTCAAGCTGCTCATTTTCATACTCCGTGAGCTCTTGCACTCTTTCCAATGGAAAAGTTGCGGTACCCAACTCCTTGTCCTTTCGATACTCATTGTAGTCGAAGATTTGTAATGTGAGAACATCGTTAAACGATGTGACGATAACATACATCGTCTCGTTCCATCTAGGATTCGCATTCTCTTTGATGATCTTCGTCTGCGCCAGAGCAGTTCCGTTATTGAACGATAGCACAGTGTACGGGTCAGGAGTACCAGCAAATTTGTCTGGATTTTTGAGGCCCTGTGCACCGTGAAGTGTTACAGCCATAACACCAATTGCTTGGTCGACTGCAGAGCCCGAGAGCATCTTGGCCACCTCAATTGGGAAGACATTCGGGGCATACATGATAGGACCTATGTTCGCATGGATTTGGTCCAGGATGAAGGTCTCCAGACCTGTAAATTGCGGAATTAGTATTGTTCAATGAAGGGACATATTATGGAGTTCGAGAGTTTGGCAGTCTCTTGTCTTAGAGCACCCTGAGACATCCAGATAACAACCAAACTCTTGAATTTATCCGAAAAGGGAACTGAGATGTTTGGAGAAAGTGCATACCAGGAATAAAATTGATATCAAAGCCTAAGGTATCGCCTCCAAGGGGTTTGCAGACATAATCGATGTGAGGCTTTTCCAAGAAGCAGATCTCTACTTTTTCGATGTGGGGGAATGGTATCTGGAGCTTGATTCTGACCTGCATGAGACCAGAAAAAGCCATATCTTCCACAATCACATCCAAACCCTTGCTGATCATGGCTTTGCCAATTCTGATTTCAAGAACAACTTTCGGGTTAACCTTGTTGCTTATTTGGCGAGAAGTCATGTCAGATTGATCTGTTGGGGTGAAACTGAATTTCCAGTCCATCAGAACAACATCGTCTTCAGCCTTGGGGTAGGTTTTCACGTGCTCCATTCGGGGAGGCTTAGATCCAAGGGTAAAGGTCTTCATGCGAAGACTATCCAAGAAAGCCGGTGTAGACGTACTAAGGACTTGGTCGACTGAGTTGATGATAGTTTCAGCAAGGACTGGCTGGAAAATGGGCCAAAACTTGAGCATGAAACTATTGATCCATTCCAAACTCTCTGTATCCGTCTCTAGCTTGTGTTTGGAAAGTTCCCGGTTGACGTCGTCTCGAAAGTTTCGTCTTACTCGACGGATCGAGGTTCGATAATATGTGCCACAGGTTGCCATAATGAGGAATAGCCAGGCAAGGCCACCTCCTAATGTTGCCACAAGCCACGAGGCTAGACATGCGAATATAATGACCGCCGTGTTATGATACCAGTCTGCGAAGGTCAAATTAGCATGATTCATTATGGAAAAGGATATTGTGTGTACCTCCAAAGAACTTGTCTTCAAGTTTGCCTTCTACCCATGTTTGGTGGTCTGCTAAACTCTCACCCTCTATTGACTCCGGGCCGGAGCCAAACCTGGGTGCCCATCCAGTCCTCTCAATCCATCTATCCTCGTCGTCTGCATCAATTTGTCCATTTGCTGTAGGCTTTCCCGCGCTGTCTTTCGACGCCGCTTTGGGTGCTGCCATGGCTCCTGCAGTCGAGGGTGAAGGGAGATTGTACGCCCCAGGTTTGCCATCATCTATATCTGTGGGAATGGCAATACCCTTGGATTTGTGTTCATGGTGGAAGCCCTCTGGCACACGCTGGAGAGCAAGTCATTAGTTTAGCGGGACCAAATCAGTAGAATGGTATATACTTACAGCTCTCGCCTGGGCCGCTTTTTGCTCAGGAGTCGCATCTGGGTCAAAGGTAAAAGCTGCAACACCAGCCTTCTGGCTTTCCTGAACGATTTTGCGCTGTGCATCATTGGCGGTAGTGGAGGAATTTGGGTCTCGGGCAGATTCCTCAACACCTTGAACTTTCAACTCGGGGGCGAACCCATTCCCAGACATGATTGCTGTAGGAAATGGTGGTGTCGGTGTCAGTGTCAGTGCCGGTGTCAGAGGTCAATTGATGCCTGCTGTCGTTGACATGCGATCTGGACAATTGAATGACCAGCGATGCGAATGGAACGAGGTATGCTGGGGGGTTGAGTTGGGAAGGAGGGCCAGCAAAAGAAAGGAAGCTTGGATCGCAGGAGGGACGTGGGATTAGCCAACGGGGTGAAAATGAATAAATAAATGGCGGTGTTGTTTGCTGTGTTGTCTACTCCGTAGAGTTTGCGGAGCTCTGTTGAGCTTCTCAGCTGGACAGGCCCAGCTCCTCACTACACTACTACCTTAGGTATGACGAACGAAGCGCTAGGCGAGGCTATGAGACGGCGATGGCTGGGCTGTGATGGCCTCTCTCTCTCTCTACGCCAGCCCACGGTGGCCTGCCTGGTGGCCTTGTGGAAAGTGCGCGATTTTAAGGTTATGGACTATTGAATGGATTGGGCTGGATTGGACGTTGCAATGCAATACGGTTGGTATGTTGATGTTGTATTGATTTTTATTATCATCGGAATTCATGCGTCGTAAATACTTTTTATCTAGGTAGATCTTTATTTACTACTCATGGAGCGCATGGTTTATATATGGGCTTATGACGCAGATGCGACTTTTGTAACATTTCGACGTACTGTGTTGTGTACTGTGCGGAGGTACGGCGCAAACAGGGAATACTACTGTACGCGCTTCTGCATGGGAGATCTAGGCTAACCTGGCCTGGGGTCATTGGACAGCCCACCTACTGTAGCCCCAGCCCAGCTCGTAGACTGTTCCTTTAGGAATAGTCGGGGATAGTTGGGGATAGTTGCATGAAACTCAGCAGAGCAGGCAGGAGGATGTCGAAGCTACAGCCTGCAGTGGGAAGATTGTTCGGAGACTACCTACTCCGTAAGGGTCGGAGTACTCTGCCTGCATACCTATACCTAGCGATGCTGCAGGCTTCATTCTCGCCTTCTCCGTTAGCGAGACTGGGCTCGATTTTGTTGGATGGGATGGGTTGGACGTGTCAGAACGTGGGACAAACGGCCTTGTCTTGTGAGATTCAAACGTCCGGGTGTCACAGCAGCAACATTAATACTTACGTAACTACAAACAAAAAAAAGGGATATATTCATAACTCTTCCCACTCTGCTCACATCAGGTCGTATAAGATAATAAGACACCGGGGAAGACACCGTGGCATCCTATCGAGCCAAGCACATTCGTCGCTGTCTATTGCGGCTATCCCTAGGAGCGTCTGTCGACATCCATCTCGATCATCTGTTCCACTCCGTACTTCGTACAGTATCATTGGAATGAGTACTTCGTACGGAGGTAAACCGAGAAATAGTTTAGGTTCATACCTTACCTTATCTAGTAACAAAGATTGACCATTTTGTTACTACTTCGTTATCACATGGAGATTAGATAAGACGATCACTCCTGTCTTTCCCTGCCCTGCCAGCCAGCCCCAGCCAGCCCTGCCCAACCCAACCAGTGAAAGTTAAACCATGCCATGCAACGATACGATACGGCGGTGGGGGCTTCCTGCCTCCTGAAACCCTGGCCTCGTTGCTGACCACGACCGAAGGTTGATCGTTAAGTCATGCATCCACAGATTACTTTGTTTTGTACCATTCTTCTCCTTTCAATGCTGCTTCAATCGTCCAACTCCACCTCATAAAATCCATTGTGAATTGCGTCTTGGTGACCAACTGCGCCTCCACGACAACACTCCTTCAAGCGCGTCCTTTCTTACTTGATATTCTTACTTGATATCCGTGTCGGTGTTGGCATTGCTTTACTTTCACTTTTCACTTTACCCTCCTCCTCGTTTGACTTTATTCGCAGCTTCGAGTCCATAGCAATACCAGCCGCGCGGCCATGGACGAACCCACGAGTTCTGGCCGGGAAAATGTGCACAAATACAAGAGCAAGTTCATGGGGAAGCTCTTCAAGGATAAGAAGCCAGCGAACGACGCCGATGTCGAGATCCACGCATTCCTTCATGGGCCGTCAGATAAGCTGCATATGATGCCGATTGAGGACCCTCCTAATCCACAATCTCTATCACGAATCGATACGAATAGCGCGCGGAGATGGCCAACAGCTGCCGAGGTACAAAGTGTTGGAAGGACCACGAGAGGGCGGCCAGTCAGTCCAAAACAAAGTAGAAAGGGACTGTCCGTTCGATTCACAAAAGAACATCCCGAAATAATAGGATATGGAGGCGATGAGGCTACTTCACCAGTCTCTGAGATGATTGCGAGGAGGTCACAGTCTCAACAACCCCGCCATCAGCCACCTGAAGATCAAGCACGCTCTCCTGGTTATATGCCCAATGCTACTGGAGCCCCCGGAAATACGCAAGACTTTCGACCTGGGCCTATGCGCCGTACACAGACTGGTTTTGAATCAATACTGGAACAAAGGAGCTTTGCTGGAAGCTCAGCTCGTACCCCACGTCTAAATACTGAGGATGAATATTCAAACAATGTTTCTATAAAGACGGACCCATATGATCCAACATCATTTGCAGCCAGAGTGAAGGCAGAAATGCAAGCAGCTGAAGGTAAAGCTTTACACGCCGCTCGCTCCCCAGACGTGGACCACCTACAGCCTGGACCCGCCCAAGGTTTTGATTCTGAACTCACACCCCAGTTAAGGGAGCTTCATATGAATACGATGAGGAACAGCATGATATCTGCTTCCCCTGGCTTTCCAGATCAGCTTGTTCCTGGGCGGCCTCAAACACCCGCCGACTCTCAGAAGTCAGCCTCTATTTCCGGCAGTCCCGTCCTTCTATCTCGTACCTCGACAGCTCAGACGTCAACGTCACATAGGTCACCAGCAAACTCTATCACAGAGAGCCCTGCCCCTTTATCTCGTACATCCACTCTGCAAACGACTCCCAATCCAACTCCTCTTATGGAATACCCTCTCACCTTATCTCGTACGCCAACGATAGGCTTGTCAAAACCATCGAGCAGTACAGATAGTCCATTTACACTGTCACGAAATCCAACAATGCAGTCGGCTGTGCTTGCTGTAGGAGACGAAGCTCTACAGGATTTCTCGAGACGGATTGCTCATTTATATACTCTGTTCCGCTTAGCTGCAGAGTCTGTCAAGCCCATTTCGACATGTTCTCTCGAAGAGTCCGTAAGAACGGCTTTGTGGTGGTTCCTGAGAGGGAGAATGAATCTAGAGGCTACAGCGAGAGAGCGGCCCACGTCACCGCAGGCCCAACAAGCCAACGCGTTCGTGCGTCAACAATCTTATTCGGATCTTGGTAAAGCGCTCTGGATCATAGAGTCCATCGGGGATCAAGTATCGGACCTTAAGTCTAGAACGGATGGCTCTGATATATATGCAGTCGCCATACTGGAATCGCACCAAAATGTCTTATCTGGGTTGAAAAAGCTGACCATGTCAATGAAACGTAACGATCTTCTACCACGAGAGGATGCGATGCTACCGCAGGGTCTAGATAATACGATATGGGTCCACGACGAAGGTAGTCGGTCCCTGGTCGCGAGTCAACGACATACCCTAGCGATTGTTATGACGGATGCCTTGCCCCTGGGAGATTCAAGTTGGAACTTCTGCTATGGACGTATGTTTGTTCAGGGCGTTTTGGAGGAAGATGCCGCATCACAATACTACCGAGCTTCATTATTGGTATCTCTGATTCGCGGTGTGAAGGAAAAGGAGCTGAAAGCTATGATTACAAGTCAAGATGGTTCGCTACAACTATGCATCCAGGAAGATGGGAAACTTGGACCGACGTGGGATGATGTTTCATGGCAGTCAAAATCCAATGCCCTCAAGGTAGAATTACCGCGAGGTTTCGTTCTACGTCTTAACTGCTCTGAGCAGGACTACAGGTTCATTTGGGGATCATATGATTATCAGACTAAGATCCACGCAAGCTTGATTCAGCGTCGCGGCGAAGAACTCATATTCGATTCTATACTCAAGAACTTCAAATATGTTGACCAGAACCCGGAGTCTAGATTTCCGAAGGACATTTTACCCAACTGTCAACTGCGAGTGTTTGAGAAGATATTTGTTGACAAAGCTGCCACTGGGGTTCGCACGATGCACCGAGGCTTTCGAATTGCCCTGAATACAAGCCCTCAGACAAAAACCCTGAGAGGGATCGACCAAGACCTTCCACCAAAGCTTCCAATCCAATTTAACTTCCTTCGTGGAGAAGATGGCCAACCGGCCCTCGACTTGAAAATTCACAATCAAAAATCAAATTACAAAGTAGTCTTCGGCTTCAACGATGCAAGCGAACGAGCTTATCTCCATACACTCCTAACGGGCACTGCCCTTAGAGATGGGGAGGACGTTGTTGCTGAAGGAGCGATGAAGGCCTTCTCCATCGCTGGGCACTCTTTTGGAGCGACAAACTCCACGTGTCTTAAGATGCTCGATTGGCAGAACTTCCGAATCTTCAATGAATATGATGGCGACCTGGAAGGCACCAATGCTGTTCTCTCTGATCATCTGCGCGTGGTTCTCGACTTCAAGACCGGAAGTCTTACAGATCGTATCAATGTCGCGCCCGGCGAATTGCAACTTCGTCTTGATGTTAAGATCTCCAAAGAACTAAAGCTTTTACGGCAACCGCAAGAAGATATGACTATATCTGTCACTGAGTCACAAGTCTCGCGGGAGTTACCGCATGAGCTTGCAGAATTGTTAGGAATGGTGGAGAAATCCCAATCTACTCGGACATACTTGTTCCCCGGGCTCCAGGAACTACATCTGTTCCAAGCAGCTTTAACAGGCTTTGTGGTCCTCTACGATGGCATGGCAACCTCGTTTAACATATCTCGTCGACGAATGGTTGTCCCGATCTATAAGAAGTGGGATGCTGCCTCAACTCGGTTGCAAGTTGTTCGACGAGAGAAGGTTGTTCAACTAGTTGCCTTCTTTGAAAATTTCAACCATGGAGATTGTATGAACTTCACTTTGAAATCGACCGACGTCTTTGAGACCTCGAGCCGAAGTGGCAAACATTCATTGAAGATCGTCGATGCAAAATTTTCAATGCCAAAGGCTCGCGGAGAAGAAGGCTCAGTTGGCCACGAGTTTGTTTGTTTGGATATGCCCGAGTATCCAGGAGAACACGACGACATCACGATTGTTTTTGACACTGATTCTGGTAAGTTTGTATTCATTTCTTCGGGTCCTCATACTCACACTCTATAGAGCGTGATAAATTCGCACAAGCATTGCCGGCGCCCTCGAAAATGGCATCACGGATGGCATCAGTCAGGAGGTAATAATGATAATTTTGCAGGAGAACGTAAAGTGGGCAGAGTTTTGGGAGCATTTAGCGGAGTCGCATTGCAGCATTTACGGATGATATCCAACGGGGGCTTGGAATCAATTGGAGCCTTAGCTTTCCATCACGAATCATGAAATAGCGATTTGAAGCGCCAACAAACAACAAGACAAGCCACGATTCCCATAATTGACGTGTCTAGTACAACTGCCAACTAGGTATTTTATGTTTTTGAGTCAAAGTTTCGTACCAATCAATAGCATGGAGGCGGAAGCTTGGTCTTAGAGTCCGTATGATGGGATGCCGATGCTTCCAAAGCGCCACGTGATTCTCCTTAACAAAACGATCCGCACGTCGTCATAGGCTATACTCCGTAAATTCCAGGTTTGTGAAGATCCCGAAATAGAAGGGTCGGTCGCCCAATCATGCCTCGCAGAAATATGGATGACATGGACGGGTCAGTTACCGTGGATATGTGGATATGGCTACGAGTACAAGTACAAGTACCGTATCTAGATGGTAAACAAAAGAAATAGCCAGATGTGGACAATGTAATGTAATATAATGTCAAACAATCAGTATTACAAACCTTGATTATTCATAGCAGTTGCATTATATTATTATTGCGTCGCGCGCATAACGAGTTAGCATGATGCGGAGCATCTCGAAGTAAGAAAGAATACGAGCCCTGATGAGCCCTGACGAGCCTGCCCCTTAGAACCTGTCCTGTGCCTGCCTTTTCACGCTTGAAAAGCTTCCTGACTTTATTCACAAACACTGCGTCCCAGTAACCTTTGTGTACCGCGACGACTTCTACTTTTCCACCGTAGAAGTATATAGTGGTACTGTAGTCGAGCCAGTCGGACTTTTTTTTGGGTGCCCGCGATAAACAACATCTCACTCGTTTCACCTCACAATATCGAGACATACACGCCACGCTGCATTGTCACTGCTCTCCTCCGCAGCGACTCTCTCACCATCAAAAGAATCGACCGGCTCTTAAGGATGGCGTTCTAAGCAAATCACCTCGACTACACTCTTCTGTAGGAGGCACAACCGCCACTCGTCGATGTCACGGCCGTTCGTGAACGAATGCCATGGAAAAGTCGGAATACAACAATCAGGCCATCCAGGAACATCATGGTGACCATGTTGGAACGAGCGGTCAAGGCATCGCGATAACAATGTCTGCGGACTCGAGAGAAAAATGGCAGGCAGCAGGCCCGTGTGTGCCAGTCGATGGGCAGCTCTCGAACCTCCCTCTCCCCTACCAGCCCACGATTCCCAACCGCAGAGCAGGCATGCTCCTCCCCGGGCGGTGGCACACACACTCTTTTAGCACTTTAGTATATCTTCTGGCCCTGATCACAAGCTTCTGCATCACCCCGGCGTCTGCCGTGTTGATCGACTTCAACAACTGCCTGTCAGAGGCTTACCAGAACGGCGAGAGTGGCCAACCAAAGCAACTACAATTCATTCCCTTGTTTATGGACGCTCGATTCAACACTACGGACGCGAGGCATACGTTACAAGTCGTAGTATGGGGAAACGTTACGGGGTCAGGCCCGGATAATCTAGTAGTCAATCTTCCTGCTTGGGACGACGACACATACTGGCAGAGTAATGCGACTAATCTGGGTGGCAAGATTATCAGCATTCCAGATGAAGACTCCGCGAGCCCAAAGCTTACAACACTCTCTAATAAGGTCGAGGTCTTAACTTACGAACCCTACAATCACTCCGACGCTTTCTGCGATGTTCTGGTGAACGCTACTTGCCCCCTTGCTCCGGCCTTCCATGCAAATGCGTAAGTTGGATTTCTTCATGTACGTCTTGAGAGAAGCTTACTGAACATTTCTCTAGGACCGATCCCTTTCATTTGAATGCGAGCAATTCGGCTTCCCTACCCTCTTTCAACTTTACGCACGATTTCTACAGCAGCTACGCATTCACGTCCTTCGCTACCACCCTCCTAATCAAGTACGGAAACCAAGACGCTACTTCCATTGGTTGTGTCTCTTCGAGTATTACGCCAGATCTAGGAAGTGCTCTCAGCGGCGTTCTTACCTTCCTCCCACTCGTGATCCTCCTCTTCGTTGGGTTTGCGACTGCGTTCGGTGGGATATTCAGTCCTTGGGGCACTACAGACACATTCCGTTGGACAACGAATTATGGACGAGATGAAGATCTTCTCCGTTTGGTTACTCCCGGGTTTGGAGACTGCTTGCAATACATCCAGTTCATTGCTCTGACTGGGGGCCTGTCACTTAATTATCCCGGATACTACCAACCTATTGTCAGCAAGGTCTCCTGGTCCGCGCTCATGTTCAACGCGAGTTTCGTTAGTAACGGAAATGGAACGGACAGTCTGGTTGATGGTATATATGTTACACATGGGAAATATGGCCTTGACCACCTGCGACAATTGGTTGGCATGAACGAAGTGACGGATGTGTGGGCTGGAATGGCTATCTGGCTCCTAGTCATCATTGCGGCTGTGTTGGTTTTGATTCAAGGTGGATTCCTGTTGCGCTGGGTATACCGACATGTCAACAAAACCGCAGAAGAGGACCTAAGAGCGAAGAACCTGCCATTTTCAGTGGGCAATGTTATTAGGATCGTTTTCAACTACTTCCTACTGCCGATAGTGGCTTTATCCATGTTCCAGTTGGTGGTAGCTGGGAAATCGCCTGCGTTTGCGGTAGCATTAGCGGTGGTGATGCTAGTCCTGATTCTTGTGTTTGGGGTATGGTTGCTTTGGTTTATTGGCAGAACAAGGCCCAAGTCCTATCTCTTCGATGACCTTCCAACTGTGCTCCTCTATGGATCTATGTATAACACCTACACCGACAATGCCGCCTCTTTTGCCCTCGTTCCTGTCTTCGTTACTGTCATTCGAGGAGTTGCTATTGGGGCTGTGCAGCCGTCTGGTATTGCACAAATCGCACTCTTAGCGATCTGCGAGGTCATCTTCATTCTAACAATCCATGCGTTCCGCCCATTTCATTCGCCCACGTCGATGAACGCCTATCACACTTTCTTCTCGGCTCTCAGACTTACTACAGTCTTTTTAATGATTTCATTTGCTCCTTCCTTGGGTGTCACTGATGGATCGAAGGGCTGGATTGGATACGCGATTCTTTTAATGCACGCCGGTGTGTTGGTTTTCGGATTCCTACTTAATGCTATACAAACAATTGTTGAGGTTGGAGCTCGGATGGCTGGCGCTGGAGGTGATGATAGTGGAGCAGCCAGGGGTGGACTGGTCAAAGTATTCGGCATGCGTCAACTGTCTCGGCGCCTGCCTCGTCGGGATGGTGCGTCGAGACAGAGCCAGCTTTCCAGTGCTGCTATGCTCAATGGTGATGATGAGAGGAAATCTTATATGATGGATGGTACCGGGAGACTCAGAAGTCAATCTGCTGGTAGTACCGGCATACTTCTGAACCGACAGAGTAGTAACCTCGACTCACTCGATGCTTTTGGGGCAATACCTCCGCAGCAACTTACCAATACAGGAAGTTCATATACGCCAACTACTCCTGGCGAAGCCAGCACCTTCTCTTTCCTACCTTCGGCCGCGGCTCCATCAGGACTAGGTCGAGACCGTGGCCCAATTGGTGGAATAGCTACAGCAGAAACATCACATCCATACTATTACCGACCGCCTAGGGCACGCAGGCCAACGTTAGAGGGAAATCAAGACTCGCCCGGGGATAGAAGTAGAGGCTCGTGGGCAAGTGCAGATTGGGCGAAGAGATGGAGTCAACCCGGATCTGGTACGCCTGATCAGCTTGAAGAGGGGCAATCGATTTCTGGAAGAGCCACTCCTATACCCCCGCCCCAAGCAGTAGATGGCAGTGACGATCCCAGACGGTCACAGGCGGACTATACCACCCGTGAAGTCGACTTCTATTACGGCGTTCGTGGCCCGGCCCTCAATGCCAATGTGCCGAGTCGAAGGATACGAACGGGTCCTGCAGATCCTACTGGTCCTGCAGCTTCGGCCGCAGGCTGGATAAAGGGCCTGTTTGGAGGAAAGACGAAGGAAAAGGGAAAGGGATTTGAAGTTGTGAGAAGCTCACGGATGCCACCAGGAATGAAACGCCACGGAGAAGAAACACCCCCAGAAGGAGTTCCGGTTGCTACTGGAGGAGTTCGGAATGGGCCAATTGATTCAGATGATGAGTCTGTTCATGCTGGGCCATCCCAGGCTGCAGCCCACGCGGAAGCTGTAGCAGAGGCCAACGATTCGCATGAAGATGACAACCTCGTCAGCCCTCTCGAATCAGAGGATGAAGGTTCACAAAGCGACGATGATAGCTTTGAAGTGACTAGGATATCTGATATCCCACCATCTATCCCCGGGCTCCAACTTCCAGACGAGGGCATCGAATTACCGAGCAGATTTCCCTCGAAAGCTACATCAAAAGCAAGCTCAAGACGAGCCATGGCGAGCAATGTTCCTCTAGTACCTGGTCTGCCTGGTCAAATAAGCAGATCACCAACAGTGCCTCGGAAGAGCTCGAGGCGGAAATCACAAAATGTTGATCTCACCCAACCCGGAGCAGAATTTTTCCATCAGAAAGGACAATCATCGCTCGACGCCCGCCTCCCCTTTGAGCGAACTACCTCCCACAACCGTCAATCGACCATATCCTCAAATTCGAGTATGGTAACGCCTGAGACCGGAGATCATTCCCGTACCCCATCTGGGGCACTCGGCCACTTCGGCGCTGATTCCAGGGACGATCGACCCACGAGTGTCGGCTACGTACAGCACCACAGCATACAGACTGTTAATCAGGTTGATAATCCAGATTTCCTGGGTGCGTCAGCTGAAGTTGTCGACGGTGGACGGTATAGTGGTGCTTCCTCTATGGAGAATCAACGGCATTGAAACAAACGAATACACATAATAAATACACTCTATCTAGTAGGAACCGCCTATTGATTCTCTTCCCGCGCACCAAACACACCACGCAACGAATTTTCTTATCTTCAATCAGAGAGCACAAATAAAAGTACGCCTGGCGTTTAGGAGGCCACATGAGTCGCCTTTGTATGTATTGTGGCTGGAGTATGGACGGGAAGGGAGGCACGATTTGAGTTTATATGCACACGTTACAGCGATGTTATTTTTTTTCCCCTTTCTCAATACTACTCAGGATGGATACGATAGATAAAGGAAGGCAAGGGTTGTTGGGTTGATTGGTTGGCTCTTCCGATGGGACGTACTGGAATAGATAGGTTTCAAGCCTTGGATTGGGAAGACGGGACGGGATGGGATGTGGATAACATAATTCGATGTATGAAGACTCGGTGTTTATATAATAGTTTACGTTTATGGCCGCTGTACTTAATAACTCGGGGGGGTTAAATGGACAGATGCGTTGATATCGTTGGGCGAGAGATGTGCTTGATTGAGGCTTCTGACTGTATATGCAATAAGTGAGATGTAATCGCCTCTCCGTTTTATTTGGGAATTCGTATTATTGTTACATTTGAAAGTCTAATGATTTATCCATCGATATACAACGTAAGTTTGTAACAGAATATCATATTTGGTTCATTCGTTCGTTCCTTGAGGTTTATTATACTGAAATGCATACTATGCTTCAGCCCCTTTCGCCAGCCCCTTTCGCCTCATCTCGTCATGGAAATCAAGTGTTATTCCCTGGTCAAGTCAACTAGTATAGAGAAAGATGAGTAGGCGGAAGTCACAGCAGCACAGCTATTGCTCTTGCTTATATACTAAAGCCAAAGCTAAAGCCAAGTACTGTAGATGGAAAGTGGGGTTGTGAGTTACAAGTTATCGAGGGTTTGATTAACCGTTATATGGGGACTTGGAGACAGATTACTCTTTCGTAGCAGAGATGGACTTGGATGGGAATAGAGGCTCTCGACGCGTATGTAGGCGTTTTGGGCACGCCAAGATTTGAAACCCATGAAAAAGAGGCACGGGAGAAAAAGCTGCCGCGAGTCCGCGATAGCGCAACGCGAGGACCAGGACGAGCACGAAAGGGAAAAGAGAATCACTGCAACGCAAATGCGTCTTTTGAGTTGGTGTAGTATCGATATGTAAGAGATGGAAGTCAATAGACTGGATGTTATTGGAGCAGAACGAACGGTTACTACCGGGTATATATACAAGTACGAGTATAGTGAAGTGCAAAGATGCGATAGGCAGAAAGCTTGGGCAGGCAGGCTTGCACAGCCAAGCAATGAATGTTCTTGGCATGGAAGATGGGATGAGTCCGGCCCCTCTTTTGCGGTACACCTCGAAGCAAACAAAAGACAGCAGGACGTATGTACGTGGTATATCCAACTGGTAAATCTTGAGAATCTACTCATAAAAAGATAAATATGATGTGAATGACGTGGTTCCTTATGGTATACAGATAAATATCTATATATATCCCAACCCTGAATGATGACGAGCCCCACCACTTGCAGCAAAATTCGTAGTACAGACTGTACAAGTACCCCTCCACACACATAAAGAGTAAGATTTGCAGCCTGCGTCATTTGCCTGCTCTGCTCTGCATCTGCTTTGCTCCGATTCAACCGCTGCGTTCACTACCTAGGTACACACTACCTTACCCGACTGTTTACAGGTATCCAACAACAACTATCAATACTGCATACAACCTACGCTCCAAATACAGAACACGGCAGACACAACAGACATATCAGCAGGATGGTTAGCTTGGTACACTCACATCGCCGGGCTTCCGCGGCAAGTGCAAGTATGTATTAAGTTGCATTCATTGCCTTTACTGCCCCCTCTGGCATTCCCCCATACACCGTCGTCTGCGAATCTTGGGGCGAGAAGATGCTAATGAAATTCTGCGACACCAGGCAATAGGTCCTCGATAGATGATAGCAGGTCGGATGGCCCGGAAGACGACACTACGGTCGTAGAGCCGGAGCAGGGCAATGGTGAGCTTCAACGATGGGAGGAAAGGATGGATGGCTAATGTGGGATGCAGTTCTTTCACATATCATCTCCCAGCTACGGCCGGGCGCGGATCTGAGCCGGGTTGTGCTGCCGACCTTCATCTTGGAGCCTAGGAGCATGTTGGAGCGCATCACAAAGTATGACTAGATCTGGGACAATCCGGAGGACCGGAGGATGAGGGCTAACACTATCCAGCTTCATGGCACACCCGGAGATGCTGCTGCCAATACCAGAGCTGGACGACCCTGTGCAGAGATTTGTGTCTGTGGTCAAGTTCTATCTAAGTGGATGGCACATCAAACCACCGTATGTTCTATCCTTCGGTTTCGCCTGGATGTAATACTGAGGAGAATACAGGGGCGTTAAGAAACCACTTAATCCAATTCTGGGGGAGACTTTCACAGGCTACTGGGATTTCCCAGACGGAACGAGAGGCTACTACATCTCTGAACAAACCTCCCACCATCCTCCCAAATCCAGCTATTTCTACATGGCCCCCGAACACCATATCCGAATCGATGGAACCCTCAAGCCTCGAAGTAAATTCTTAGGTAACTCTGCAGCGAGTATGATGGAAGGAATCGCATTCCTGAGCTTCTTGAACCGCGGAAAGGGGCCCAAAGGCGAACGATACATCATCTCCCAGCCGAATATGTACGCTCGAGGTATCTTGTTTGGCAAGATGAAATATGAGCTTGGAGATCACAGTTTTGTGCGTTGTCCTGAGTTGGGTCTTTCTGCGGATGTAGAGTTCAAGACGAAGGGATACTTTGGTGGAACGTACAATGCTATTGGGGGAGCGATCAAGAACGAAAAAACCGGGGAAGTGCTTTATGAGTTATCTGGGATGTGGACGAATGAGATGTGGATTAAAGATGTGAAGGTAGGGGTTTCGAAGAAATGGGCTGATACTCTGCTAATTAGTGGATAGACTGGCAAGAAAGAACTACTATTCGATGCTACGAGAGCAAAACACACGCCTCCGACCTCACGACCAATCGAGGAGCAAGACGACCGCGAATCTCAAAAATTATGGCTAAACACTGCTCAAGCTGTTAAAGAACGAAACCACGTGGTAGCCACTGATGAGAAGACGAAAATCGAAGACATGCAACGAGATGAAGCCGCGAAGAGGGCTGAGGAGGGTGTCGAATGGGTGCCAAGACTATTCAGACCAGTTCAAGGGGGTCCTGGCGGTATAGACGAAGGGGAAGAAGATCTGGACTGGATCTTAAACGCAAACATGTAGGTTGTCCCATCCAAACAGTCGATTTAGGTTACTAACAGTACAGTGACGGTGCAACACCCGAGAAACAAGTCGAACAAATCCTAGCCGTTACCCCTATTCTCCGCGGCCAAAAGTCCAATGAAAAAAATCCGATCCCCAAACGCAACCCATCCATCATCTCCACGAACACCCCTGCAAAAGCAGCTCCCGCTCCCGCTCCTGCTCCAGCAGCACCAGCTCCAGCTCCAACAGGAGCAAGCGACCTCATCAACTTCGGCCAAAATGAAACTTCAGTAATCCCTGCTGATCTAAAAGCGGCACAGACAGAGAACGGCGGGCAGCAACAGAAAGAACTGGAAAGCACATTGTCTAATACGAGCACAGTACACGCTGACGGCAAGGGGAAGGGGCCTCTGCTTGATCTCCAGGATTTGACGGCGGCTTTGCCTGCTAAGCAAACACTGCTGAGGGAGGACACGGACACGCATAGCGTGGATGAGTTTCATGACGCTAAAGCATAAATTGGGCAGGTTGGGGACTTAGAAGGCGTTTTTATTCTATCAGGACTGGGTACACGCGCGCTTGGTGAGGGCCTATGTATAAACTACAGGGCAGACAGATAGATACACCAATACATGATTTTCCAACATCGAGTGTGATGAATTTGCCTTTGTGGATCTGCGTTTGCATGCAGATGTAATTTTGGTGGCCAATGAATCTGCTATCGTATAGTACATGATTTTTGTAAGTCAAAGAAAGATACCCTGAACGCCATGCCAGATAATTCCGTCCGTTCTTCAGTCAACACAAGCCAGGCTTCCGTAACTTCTACCACCCCCATCCCGTCAGCGCGCTTCCTGAATTACGCTCTAACAAACTCCTTCCTCATCCCTACATCGCCATTATCGCGCCCTGCACATAATCTCCCTCATACACTCCTCTCCTCCCCTCTCTAATACCTCTTCCTCGTCGGCTCCGGACTAGGACTCCGACTCTGACTCCTCTCATCCCTCCCCCTAAGCCTCAACCACTTCTTCGTACTAAGCTCCAGCTCGCGATCCAGCTCCGCACTAGGGTTCTTCCGATGGATGAAATTGCAGAAGCCGCCTCTCACGCAACCCTCGCCGCTATTCAGCCGGCAGCACGCTTCGCGGAAATCCGTGACCGGCGAGAGCTCGCAGTAGATGGGCCGCGCCGAGTACCAGCGCGAGTTCAGCGCGTCGCAGGCTTTTTGCGCGCTGTCTTCGTATTTGAATCGCGCGTAGACGTTGCCGATGAGATCTGGTGGGAAGGTGAGTCAGTAATTTGCTAGCTACGTATTTGAGAGAGAAAGATTAAATTCTCAAGGGGAAAGGAAAGGAAAGAAGGAAAACCTACGATCGTTATTGTTGTCGCATACAACCACCTCCTCAATCTCCCCAAACTTGCACATCTCACACCAGAAATCCTCATAGAAAGCATCGAAGTGGTTCTGCAGCTGACTGGCGTTCATCTTGTTCTTCGGATCGTAGGCTGGGTTCTGGTACAGGTTGGGCAGGAGGATGGTTTGCGAGTAGGATGGCTTGACGTGTTTGCGAGAGCAGCGGTCGCCGTGGCGGCAGGCGCCGATTTTGTAGTAGAAGGAGCAGTTTACTTTGTCGGCTTCGGTTCCGAAGATCGAGGCGAGGTAGTTCGCCATGGTGAGGGTATTCTTTGGTGGCGGAGGGGAAGAAGCGTTGATGGGTCTAGAGGTTGTTTTTAGACGTTGGAAGTTTGCGCCGACGACGGGAATGTAATCGGAGATGAAGCGGTAACAATATTGAGGTTATGTGCTTTTGAAATTGCCCTCGGTTTGTGGTCTGTATACAATTTGGCGTGGGTATTGGGGGATGTTGTTTTGAGGGACGGGCCAGCAAAAGTTCAAGATATGAAGCTTCGAGAGCCGCTCGTAATCTAAGCGAGTATTACTAATCACATCTGCCGCCTTCAACGCCACCTCGGGAGACCATTCTAGAAAGTGATGATATAAAGTCTTCTCGTGGCATTTACAAGGCTTTCCCACACATTCCTGGAGTGTGAAACAATTCCCAAGTTATAAATGACTCAAATCATGATAGTGGTCAGGTTTTGAGAAGTCTAAAGCCGATATCGTATGAGAGTACCGCTACCTCCATACCGGGTGCTTGGGGATCTTGCACCGTGCTCCCAACGCTGGTAAATTCTACGTTGAATGGGTCTCATTGTTTGCCTAGTTGTATCTAAGTTTGTTGTTCAGGTCAACATCCGATTTCCAATCAATGCGGGGGGTAATTAATCAATTCTAGTTGAGTTCTGTTCTAGGACTATTTGCATCTACCAATATCTCTTGCGATGCCGAAACGATCCTGACTGCTTTTCTCGATAGTTAAACGTCTCAGGTACCATCAGGTATCTGTGCTGTTTTCAAGCGAATCATGCTAGCAAGGACACCACCAGTCATTCCGCCCTCGCTCCACGAAACGCAAAGGTCTCCTTTCTTCTCATCCGATGCCCTGCGAGTAACAGCAAGTCAGCTTGCTACCTTAATCTCAGGACAATGATTTAGGGGTTATGAGACATTATTGGGTCATGCAAGAACTCTTGAAAGGGGCGCTTCGCTTACCATGGATGTACATACATGCAGTATGTAAAGCCCGCGCCCTGCCCTTGATCTATTCTGTAAGTACCCATCAACTCGTGTATATCCCAAGGTCCTTCTGGTCTCTCCGCTCTTCCCATCTGTATTTTGGAGTCTGCAAAGTTGTTGCAACCTATGAAAGCCCATTGGTAGGGAGAATTGCCGCCAAACATCTTCGTCTTGAATACTTGTCCATGCACAATGCCTATAGATTTTATGGGGTCAGCGTTGTTAGTCAGTGACCTTTGGGAACAATGTCAATACTTCAGCCGTGGGATATTCTTCTCTGACATACCTTCAAAGACGATGTCACAAGCCGCGCTCGAAGAGGTCCAGCGACCAGGACTTGTCCAGTACTCATATTTTGTCTTGTCATCTGCCTCGAAAATTCGGACGCGACCCAGTGCGACATCAAATTTGCCAGTCTTATATCCATAGACGTAAACATAGTGTTCGTCCTTGACAGCACAGAAGCCTCCTAACGCAGGCTCTTCGCTCTACGGTACCTCAATTAGCTCTCATTTTAGATAGAAGCAGCGGCAACAGTACCGATTTCAACTCTTCTAAGCCGAATGTGACATTTGACTATTTAACTTACCAGGAAAAGCTCATCTTTAACACGCTGAGCCCAGACCATTTTCTGGCGGCCAATACATCCGACCTTAGCAATACCGGTCCACTTGAGTACCCAGTCATCAGATTTCGGATCCTGCTTCTGCATCATCTGGAACCATGTCCACCCAAATATATCACCATTAGCGAGTTTGTCGGATTCTACCGTTCCACTAAAGCTCCATATTTTCCACCCCATACTGTCTTCCTTTTCGGTCAGGGGGATGAGGGTCGGAATTGCATCTGTACAAGGATGGCTTGTGTACACCGTGAGAGTAGGGTTGCTGTTCTTGATGCCAAATGCGGCGGTATTGCTTGAGACACCTTGGAAGGTTCCGTCTGCTTCGTGAGAGAATGTGTCGCCGAATTGGAAGATTATGGCATCGCCTAGTACAGACGAACGGCCGATATCTCGCGGATACCAGTTACCGGATACTGCGTGCAATCAGTCATTTGTTCTCTTGCCTGCTAGGTGGGGGGTGGGGGTTACCATCGCGGATTTCACCTAATGGAGTGCTACTGATGACTTCGGGCGGCCATATAACAGCACGCTCAAGGGGTGGCAGACTATCTCCATTGCGCCTCTTAAGGTCGAGGTCCTTCCTGATAGACATGTTGCATTGAGGATAGTTAATGAGGAGTGCATGTTAGAAACAGGAGCGAATAGAACTATAATATGCCGGAAACAGATTGCTACACTCGTGCCTTCCCCTTTTCTTACGAGGAAGTCCTAAGCGAGCTTTCTCTCCTATCTGTCTGTGAAATTCACCGCGCAAGTCAAACACTGACAAGGTGCCGAACTGTAGGGTATATACAATTGAATAGAAAGTATTACAAACACAACCTCGGTGTAATGTTGTCTTAGGTCAGGTTTCTTAAAGAATTAATCGCGGAGCCTGCTCTGGGGTGTCCTGGCCTTATATTTTTGCGCTTTCGTATATCCTTAACCCTCATAGGTGCTAGATGATATTGCTCGATTTTTCGCTATTTTGATTGGACAAATGATCTTACCTTTTCCTTTTTCCTGTAATTCCTTTTTCGGGATTTTAGTTACTCGGCAAGCAGAAAAGGGGCGAAGCTTCTTCTTTTAACGATAGAACCAATTCAATCATACCATTCGCATTAAAACTATAAAGAGTTCTGCAGTTCTTGTACTTTATGAGGCGATAAAAAGCAACTGAACGTCAAGTTTTGCTTCGCTAACAGCCACCTCCAGATAGATTCTTGCTACACTGGTACCTGTCCTATCACTTCGTCTCAGCCAAAAGCGCTTTAAAGCCTTGCAGTAAATCATCTCTCAGGTCTTCCCACCCCTCAATCCCAATGCTAATCCGCAATAATCGTGTGTCAACCTGTGAATCAGTCATCGTCCTCCATTCGATTAGACTCTCGACCCCACCCAGACTAGTAGCATGGTGGAACAGCTCCAATTTACTCGGCAGTCTCTTCGCAAACCGTTCTTCCTTCATGACAATGGAGAAGACTGGACCAAAGCCCTTCGGCATCTGTTTCAGCAGCCAGCCATCCTTAATGTCAGCTTCCTGCAGACTCGCATGCTCTATCTTCGCGAGCACAGCTTGCACAACCTTACTCTCTGCATCTTCAGCCTTAGAGGTGAGAGCAGAATTTAGCCACCCAACAAGCTTCCCGACACTGAACGCCTGTTTCTCGACTCGCACCTCAAGGGTTCTCACACTACGAATACCCAACCACCCCTCCATATTCCCCATCACATTCCCCAAATGCAGCCTCTCCGCCCCCAACTTCTCAAACCACTTCTCCTTTGCCCACTTCGGGTTCACGGCAAGAATTCCACAAAGCATGTCGGAATGTCCGCCGATATATTTTGTCCCGGAGTGCATGACGATGTCCGCACCCCAGAGAAATGGGTCCTGCAAAGGAGGAGGAGCAAACGTCGCATCCACGGTGAGGAAAGCGCCCCGTGAGTGAGCCTTTTCGGCATATGCTTTCAGGTTTCTCGCTTCGCCAGTGGGATTCAGTGGTGTTTCCACGTGCACTATGTCTCCAGGCTGCAGGTCCTCGGCCGGGCAATCCAGGTCTAGTTTCTGAAGCCCCGTAAGTTTCTTATGTATGTCGATAATACCGTGGCAGCCGTGATATCCTTCTCCAATAGCAATGCGTTTTGGGTTGAGGAACACCAGCATTGAGTGGAAGGCGCTTAGTCCAGAAGAGTACGTAAGTGAGGGTCCCTTGAGGATTTCTGAGAGGATAGCCTCAAAGCGTGTAGTGTTTGGCGCCGTGTGCCGGGAATAGACATGTCCTTCATATGCAGAATGTTCTGGCTATTTGAAATGGGTCAGCTGACTTGCCCCATTCTTAGATGAGGAGACTTACACCCATGCTCGCTAATGTTTGTAGCTTGTCTGGATCTCTGTTGTAACGATAAGTAGTAGAGACATGCAGGGCTGGTGCTACATCTTGAGTTTGGTTAAGGAAGTCATCTGCGTGAACAGTCCTAGAGGAAAGTGACAGGTTTGTGAGTCCGTGATCGGGGGTGTGATCTTCGCCATTTTGGTGGCCATTGAGGCCCGGTACTGAAGTTGCCATTTTGTTATTTGCCGATAAGATGTTTAAGCAGTGAAGAGAGAGGATGAAGGTGTTTATATGCGTCCCATTTTTGTTGATGTCGCAATGTTTTTCACGCCCTTCGGTGGAGCCCGGGTTTGCTAGCGCCCGGATGGTGCAACGCCCCCCTTTTATTCGGATACGTTTCTTTGCCTAGCGAATTACCCGCCCAATGCTTAATGAAAATGTAGTATCCAGTCATCATAAAGTAGATTTTAGGATCTCGAAATATACTTTTCAATTGAATTTTCGATGAATAATTTCGTCAATGGTTTTGATTACTTATCGATGAAGTCGAGAGCAGGAAGTGGAGGAAGGGGTCCGTGAAGCAGTAGAAGCAGCGGTGAAGTATGACTTATACAAATAATAAAAATGGTAGGTGACAGGATCTCATCAAGAGGGTATTTGCACATCTTGGAATTGTAAAGAAAGGGTCAATATGCTGACTTGGGAAAGTAGGATCACTAACTGGACACTGGATTCAACATTGAAAATTTTACCAAGACGCTGGCTTCACTCTGTTCTCTTGTTGAGCACCTGAGTTGTGTTTGATAGTAGTTTCTTCGAGTTCAAGTTGTCAAGCAAAACGAGACTACGAGCTATCCATATAATGTTTGCAGGCCTTTCGAAGCCACTACAAGCATCCAATGACACTTCTTGGATCCCGAATCATCTAGCCGCCATACTTCTTCTAATATCTCTAGAACGCGGGAAACTTGCTGAAGACCAACACTGCAACGTATTAGTACTTTAATTTCTGTCAAGATCAGGAGATGGGAAGATGGAACACTCTTCAAAAATGCCAAGGCAGCAAATTTTAACAAAGGGAACAAAGAAAAGGGCTGGTTACTACTCGCTATGCCGGCGAAGTCCCTCCCGAACAGTTTCACGGGCACTCTCCTTTGAATACGAAGATTCCACCAGACGTAGTTGTGGATATTTAAATGGTCTTCTAACTCCACAATCATTCAATCCCAATTGATTCGTATTCATTTCGTCGACCAACCAAGCGCCAGCAATCAAGACGGGGAGACCACACAGAACACGGGTTCCGGAAGTTGCTGGGATTGTCTCAAGAAGGTTTACGATGTGAAAAGCTAAGGCTCTAAGGAAGTTGTGTTGTAATGGAGCGAATTCCTCACTAGAATTATATCTGAAAGTTTGTGTCTCTGAAGGTTCTTCCGTGTCTGTATTTCCGCAGTCGTTGAGTACTGGTTGCCGTGCTTCTTGTTGCAACAAATGTGGAAATGTCGCGTATATCTGGAGGAGACCCGCACAGCGGTATGCCTCTCCGACCCCCAAGATATCATCAATTGTTGTCTGAGAGTCCTGTGGATCTTGGAAATTGCTTTGTGGTAATTGAGTCAAGTCTAACAATTCAGAAGCCAGTGATTGAGCCTTTTCTCGCAGGAAATCTTGAAGTCCTTTGGACTGGTCAATCTCCCTGTGGGACAGGCGACACAGAGACCCAACCTTTCCAATAGTAATAAAGAGCTGCATTGAAAATCCTGTCAGGGGATGTGGAAAGATCCTTTTCAGATCCTTGGGGGCGTCTGTGTCATCGACAATATCCTGGCACATTTCAAGATTGAAGACAGTCTGCTGTAAAGCTTCTTGATAATGGAAAGACTGCCAGGGATCACCTGCAGCAAAAGCCGAAATCATAAACCAATACACATATGCTCCTAGTATAAATGTCTCCTGGTAATTGAGATATTTTCCCTTCGATGTGAGCCAGAGTGAGAGAAGCACTTGACTGCCTAAGACATGGCTCGTCCCTATGTCGTTGACGTCGTACCACGCCGATGTCAAACCAGCTATGATAGAACTGATCATGAGTTCATCGGAGACAATTGGACCCTGAAGATTTCCTATCTCGGTTCTGACCGCTGAGAAAGCTTCCGATTGCAAACTCAGTGCCTTGAGTCGCATTTTTGGGTGTTGTCCGCTGAGCAGCGCCGCAGATGATGCTTGTAGAAGTAGGAGAACAGGCTTCGAATAAGCCATCATCGAAGCAGCAATAAATCGGAAGGGGCTGACATCGGAGTTGAAACATCCAGCAATTCTGCATACTGTCGTGAAATAGTAGTGTATCAATGTAGAGGACTCGTCGTTCATCAATTGAGGTAAACTGGGTCTGGTCTGACCACGGCTATTGCCAAATGAGAAAGTGGCTACAGATGCAGAGCTTGAATCATCCTGGCTCTTTCTTCTTGATTTGCAGCCTTTTGCATGACTTTTATAAACAGCTTGACAGTTTGTAGATTCCAGTGCCCCCGAGTCATCAATCCACTTCAAAGACTTCTGATAACCTGGACACGGAAGCTGTTGCCGATGGCATTGTCGGCAGCCTGGCATACTCAAGTCGCATTTAACCTAAATCGAGCAAATCATTGTCAGTATCGAAATTGTGTGGTATTTTGCAAGCAACGCACCTTCCGTCGCTTGCATTGCTGGCAGCCTGCGCGAGACTTGATACGTCGTGCCTCGGACATTTTCAACTCCGCAATGCCCCAAAATACCCCAATGAAAACCTTTGGATCAGAACAGGGGTCAGAGAATACTGATAGAGTTGTTTCTAATTCTTGTTGAGAATTGATGAAGAAGTGTCGTTGAAAGAGCAAGTCTACAACTTAACTCTGCAACTAAGTCCTCGCTTGCAACCCCTGAGATGCCGTCCTCCCCCGTCGCACTATTTATCAGAAAAGGGTTTAGGCTGATCTCATACGCCGCTTCCTATTGGCTTCCCGCATAGTACTTGGTGTTTCCATGGGGAGCTCTCACTTACTAACTTAACATCTATCATGATGTAGAGATCGTATTTCTAGCCTAAGTGTCTCATATCTTACCGTAAATTCCGTCGCACTTTTTGACTACAATCGGATTAGGCTGGTGTCAAACAACGCATTCCTTGCATTGTAAGAATATATAAGTGGAAGTGCAATTTAATAAAGAATCATCTCTCGAAGACTTCGTTTCATTCATTGTCTCTCCCATCCTACCTATTTAAGTCCCTTACCATTGATCTATTATTCTGCTCCGTCAATTGTTCGAGATGGCAAAGCCATCGGAAGTGCCTGAGAATGAGATTGATTTCATTGTCACCCCAGAACCTGCACCGCAAACCTTTCAAATTGATGAAGACTGCGGCGTGAGAATCGTTTCGGCAAGTCCAATCAGCTTGGGACCCCAAATTTTAGGAATTCGTCTAACCGTTGCAACAGTCTCCTTCGATAAAAGATGGAATTCTTCCAGCAGACGGACCTGGAGCCGAAGGATTTTCCAACGTAGCTCTTCTTACCCTCATCGTCGGTGTTCCAAGTCTATACAAACTAGGTTCCGGGAAAGGATGGGTTCCAACTACTCTCGTATCAGTCCTCACATCGTTCCCTCTCCTCGCTGGTTTTTGGTATTTGTCATCAACTCTCACGCCCCGAAAGAACCAAAAAGTCAAACTCCCTGGCCGTCCAATCGAACACTACCTCAAATTTCACAAGAAAGCCGATAAGATAAAGTATCGTGGGAACAACAAAATTCCTATCGATATTTTCCAGGAACTGTATTTCAACGGTGACGTTGAGTTCAACGGAGATGCCTTGGAAGTGTTGGAATATCGACATGATTGGGCCAACTTTAGGTTTACATACAGGCTATTCAAATACTTCCTGCTCAGCTTCATACCAGAGGTAATCTTGCATACCAGATCCCAAGGTAATCTTCACCATCCCCTGGCACGCATGTAGAACCAACTGACAGGCCGGCATAGACGAAGAGCAAGTCCGCGGGCACTATGACCGTGGGGACGACTTTTACGCCTGGTTCTTGGGCCCCCGCATGGTTTATACCTGCGGCATAGTCTCTGACACCACCAAAGAAGGTACACACTCCCTGATATTGTTCCTCTGATCTTAGTGGTTCCGGGCTTCCGAAGAGTATTTTATCTTCTGAGGTTTTGCTCTTTGCAAAAGTCATAGTACTAATCCGTTGTAGAAACACTCGAGCAACTCCAAGACAACAAAATGGCCGTCGTCTGCAAGAAGCTCGGCCTAGAAGGCGGTGACACAATGCTGGATATCGGCTGCGGATGGGGCACTCTTGCACGATATGCTAGTACCAATTATGGCGCTTACGTTATAGGCGTCACTCTCGGTCGTAACCAGACTGCTTGGGGAAATGCTGGGCTTCGAGCTGATGGGATTGCGGAAGAGCAGAGCAAGGTTCTTTGTATGGACTACCGCGATATTCCTAGGACCACGTTCGCCAAGATCGCGTGCTTGGAGATGGCCGAGCACGTTGGTATCCGTCACTTCTCGAGCTTCTTGAAACAGGTGTATAACCTGCTTGACGACGATGGAGTCTTTGTTCTCCAGCTTTCTGGGCTTCGCAAGCCGTGGCAATACGAAGATCTCATATGGGGGTTGTTCATGAATAAATATGTGTTCCCGGGCGCTGATGCTTCTACTCCGCTGGGCTTCTATATCGATAAGGCTGAGGGCGCGGGCTTTGAGATTAAGAGTATTGACACTATCGGCATTCATTACTCTGCAACTGCGTGGAGATGGTACAGAAACTGGCTAGGTAATCGTTCCAAGGTGGAGGAGAAATACGGCAAGCGATGGTACAGAGTATGCTCGCCCGCAATGCATTTTCTTGGACAAAGTAACTAATTGGAATGTAGATTTCGGAGTATTTCTTGGCTTCGACAACCATTGCTTCCAGACAAGGAACTGCTACGTGCTACCAGATTACCCTAGTGAAAAATCTCAACTCGACACAACGAACTGGTGGTATTCAGACCCAGTTTGCCATCTCAGGGGCGCTAGCTGCGGGAGTAGATATCAGTCTAAATAAGGCTTCGAATCCGAAATCGTCGCTCTGAATTTAGAATTTGAGGGCTAGGAGGATTAAAGTAGATTATATATTTTTGTGTTCAACTTTCAAACCAATTTAAGGAAGGTCGTACTTTTCAGGAGAAGGACACAGCCGCATGTCGAGAACGCTATAGGTTGAACCGAATGGTATTTATATGAAATGATAACTACTGCGCGGTAATTTGAAGTCTTGCGGATATCCCTTAACGCGCCCTGAACGGCCCTAAGCCCCAGTATCTAGAGCTAGAAAAGCTTTGTTGCTCGACTTTGGGAACAGGTACAACAGGGCCTAGCTTTTTGAGAGCGGAAATCATTGGAACATTCGAGACAATTAATCCCATCTACATTTGAATGAGATCGAAGTTCATATAATCGCCGAATTGGGCGGTCTTCAGCCTTTTTGCACCTGATGATTTGCCCCAAAAGCCCCCAAAGCAAGTATGAGGAACGTCACAAGATAAAAACAGCATCATAGTGGCAATCGAGAAAGATGGCAAATATTCTATTAGCTCGCAACTATAGAGCATATTCCAAGCAAATGGGTATCGTTTAAATGCAACCAAGCAGACGCCAAGTATAGATCTGAGCAAACATGGCATATTTTCCGTCATGAATCAGTATCAATCATATCAAGCAACACTTAGGCCTCCACCGAGAAGATTCCCAAACTTATATTCCACTTCACACTGCCTCTCCTCCTCGGCATCCATCCACTTCTCGACGACAGCTTGAGTCCTGCTCGTTAGTGCTGGCATGCTTGAGGCATCAATTGAAAGGCCCGTCGGCTGACTTCCATGGGCGGCATACATATCATACTTAGCTGTGTTCATCATGAGGCTTCGAAGGCGGTCGGTATTGGTCGCAAGTGTCAGAAGCAATTGGTGAGTTTGTGAATTATTAGGAATTAGTTCCAGTGGGAGCTTCATGGACTTGGCGCGGGATAGCTTCAGCGGACCTCCATTCGGAACGGCCATCAGTTTCTGCTGCTTCATGAAATAGGCACGCGGATCCCCATCGGCCAGAGTGGTCCTGATTTGTTCAACCACTCGTGCACCATTTCGTGACGATATTGCATCAGCTTCAAGGGCTTTAACGGCAGAGATGTAGCGGTTCTTATGCGGAGAGGATCGAGCCCTTTCACCGGAGTCTCCTTGGGATGAATCAGCTCGTGCGCGTCGGTATTTCCCACGCTCCTGACGATGGTGTTGAGTAGCTTTCTCTTTTCTTTGTTCGTAGTCCATGGCCCATTCAAGCTCGGGATTTGCCTCCATCTGAGGTCTTTCCTGCCCGTTACCATTCTGTGCCGGATACCCATCCAGCAATGTTGACTGACGGAATCCATCAGATTGTATGGTATTTCTGCCAATAGTTCGTGGTGGTGCAAAAGGTTTGTTCACACCATTCGATCTCCTCGCACCCTTCAAGCGCTGTGTCGCAGGTGGTGATACGAAGGCATTTTCCGGCAAGTTCCTGGCGGAGACAAAATCGTTTCGCCGTCGAACCTGAGGTGCTCGTTCCTCAACAGTAAACAACTCATCGTAGTCAGCAGCTCCTAATGGTGGCCTGCCACCCCGCATGTCTTCATTGCTATATCTTCGCTGCGGTTGATTATGGTGTTGAAAAGGCAAGGTATCTGCCATTGAGTGGTCAGGGTTTCTGAGAATCTCATTGCTGTATCGTCGCCTTGGTGATCTGGAGGCGTTTGGTATTTCTGAATGATTAAGATCTAAAAGCATAGGATCGGATAGTTGACTAGATATCTGAGTAGAGGTTTCCGAAGGCTCTGCAGCTAAGTTGTGCGAGTCAGATGGTGTAGGAAGCTTGTTGTGGTTATCCTGTTGCACAGGGGCGACTAATTTCGCAATAAGCCAAGGATTAAGAGGATTGGATGATGTGTTCGTTGGAGCTGACTTCTCTGTAGGCCTTGGACTTCGGAATTTGCTGGGATGACTGGCTCTTGCGGGTCCTCTATTCTCTTCTGTAAAGTCTTTTGACATGCCAAATCCCCATTTGCGTCGGTTTCCAACTGCTTCATCTTTACTCGCCTCAATGCTTTGAGCCAAGTTATCTGTCCCCATGACGGGATCACTGTTTATTGGAGACGGCAGGGATGGAACTAGCAGACCTTTTGGTAACTCCATGGGAGCACCCGTATCGCTGGGCGAAGATTGTATGCGATTCGTTGAGGATTCCACAGGCTTCCGAGCAAGAAGCAACTCGAACTTGTCAAGCTTTTGGACTGGAGGATGTAGAGGTCTAATAGTAGATACAGGCTTACTCTCGCCATATATGGTTCTAAACAGACCTTCAATAGCTTCCAACACAAGATATTCATTCGAGAAAAGAATATCATCCTTTGTAGGCTCTACGTTGGGATCGTAACTTGCAACTAATACTATATGAGCCAGCTTTCTCCTAATCTCAGCCAAAGCTTAACATACCAGGACAAGTAATGCTCAAACGAATAAAAGGATTCTTGACTTCAGATCCATCCTCAAATGCCGCCTTTAGGCAATGTTTAAAAATAGTGACAATCCTCTTCATTGTACCCTTCTCATGGGACACTGGCCGAGAATCTACGGAAATGAATTGACCGTGCCCGAATTTCGAGGGGTCAGCATCTGGTCTCGGAAGGAAAACCTCTACTAAAAACTGATCGTTCGACAACTGATGCTTTTCGGTGAGACTTTCACTAGCGTTCGCCTCGCCAGACTGGGATTCAGAAAACACCAGCGACTTTTCCATACACTGCCCCGCCGCATCTCGTCCAATGACCTGTGAAACGGCTTCTTTGATGCCATCATTCGGTCGTGGTGCGAATGACCAGGAGCCCTTGGCTCCCTTGATAACCTTGAGGGTGAATCGAATCGACGGCCTGGAGAGTGCATAAGATTGCAAAAGCTCTTTGACTTTCACGAGTGTCTTGGGGGCTGCTTTGAGAGTCGTCTGTTTTCTGACCGGAATTTTCTCTAAGAACTTGAGAACGCAGACCGTAGTACCAATAGGATGTGATTTGCGGCTTTGACTTTCGATACCTCCAGGAGCTTTCAATTTTACTGTGGTTGCCACTGGGTCGGCGTCTGTCCTCGAAGTGACAGAGACTTCTCCCAACTGAACAGCGCTGGCCAAAGCCTCACCACGGAAACCCAGACTGACACCCCCAATAGCTTTCAGATCATCAAAGGAACGCAGTTTACTGGTATGTCCTCGCCGACCAAGGGCGTCAAGATCTTGCTGCGGAATGCCGTGGCCATTGTCGCGAACCTCAATCTTGTCGATGGTGTTTTGAGAGATGAGAATGTCAATAGATGTTGCCTTTGCATCAAGACCATTGTCAATGAGCTCTTTGACGAGGGATGTAGGAGTTGTGAGAGCTTGAGCAGAGCCGAGCAGGTGAATGGTTGCTTCAGGAAGAGCGGCGATGGCCATTGCGAACCTAAATGATGAAGTCTAGACTGAATATGTTCTCATTGTCAATGCCGACCTTTGCCCCGGACTTTATAAGTATACAAATGCATCCATTGACAGATAATTGAAACGGCTCGTTGTGAGGGAAGAAATGGAAGAAATGGAAAAGAGATGGCGAGGTAGCCCGGCCCGGATTCGTCAGCCTTGTAGGCGAGGCTACTGTGTGCATAACTAGGACACTACCCAGGGAGATATTACTAGAACTTTAAAAGCTAATAATAATAGAAAGTCTCTATTATAATAAAAATAACAAGGGATATAGTTTGTCCATCTTTTTCCTCTTGTCTCTCTACTCGGAGTGAATTACTCGAGTATAGTCTTTCTGCATACTAGTGGGGGAGAGTTCTGATTGGCTGGCACTTTAGAGTCATCGCGATTTTGTTCTGGGTTGACCAGTGTAAATTTACAAAAAAGCACAATTGCACCTTTCCATTCCATTCTCCACATCGAGAGTCACCACACATCCAATCCAGTTCCTCGAAAGGAACGCCAGTACGACGTCTCGACTCTTGTCCAGAGCGCTCTGGGTGCGCAGGTCGCCTTTCAGAATTACTTTCTCATACACACGTGCTAAAATGGCTACTAACGCTGCTTCATACAATCCAAGTAATGCTTATACCCTAGCTGGTCACAGAATATTAGCTGACAAAATTGCTTCAATAGTTGGAGAAGAGACCGGTCCCGTTTCTGGAAAACCACCTCCTTTGTCCAACGAGACGAAAGCCGCTGTCGCAGACGCTGCCAATGCGAGCGCCACAGGATCTCATGTCCCTGGGCAAGATGCCGGGAAGAAAGTCAAGACCGAGAAGGAATTAGAAAAAGAGCGGAAGAAGGCCGAAAAGGACGCCAAATTTAAAGAAAAGAAGGCCAAGGCACAGGCGGCTGCGGCCACCCCAGCTACAACCAGCAAGACTGCAGAAAAGAAGGCCAAAGCTGAGAAGAAGATTGATGTCCTGCCGGCCTACGTTGAAGACACACCAGCTGGAGCTAAGAAGATTATCAAGTCCTTCGACGACCCGCAATATAAAGCATACAACCCAATTGCTGTCGAATCCGCATGGTACGCCTGGTGGGAGAAGGAGGGGTTCTTCAAGCCCGAGTTCACCGCAGACGGCAAGGTCAAGCCAGAGGGCAAATTCGTCATCGTCGAACCACCTCCAAATGTCACTGGAAAGCTACATATGGGCCACGCTCTTGGCAATGCTTTACAAGATGTCATGATCCGGTGGAATCGAATGCACGGAAAGACCACTTTATGGCTCCCGGGATGTGACCACGCAGGTATTTCGACTCAAAACGTCGTTGAAAACATGCTATGGCGCCGGGAGCAGAAGACTCGGCATGATTTGGGAAGACCAAAATTCGTTGAAACTGTCTGGGATTGGAAGAATGAGTACCACGAAAAAATCAATACCGTTCTACGACGAATGGGAGGTTCTTTCGACTGGACGCGAGAGGCATTCACAATGGACGAGAACTTTGCTGCTGCCGTCACCGAGACCTTTGTTACCTTGCACGATCAGGGGATTATCTACAGGGGGAATCGCCTTGTCAACTGGTGCACGAAGCTCAATACATCTCTATCTAATCTAGAGGTCGTCAACGAGGAGCTAACTGGCCGTAAATTGCTTAGAGTCCCTGGCTATGACAAGCCTATCGAATTCGGTATCATTGTCTATTTCAAATACAAAATCCAAGACTCGGATGAGACTATTGAAGTTGCAACGACTCGTCCAGAAACAATGCTTGGAGATACAGGCGTTGCTGTCCATCCGGATGACGAACGATACAAGCACCTTGTTGGAAAGAATGCTGTCCACCCCTTTATCGAAGGCCGGATCATGCCTATCGTCGCAGATACATATGTAGAGAAGGAGTTCGGTACTGGTGCCGTCAAGATTACCCCAGCCCACGACCAAAACGATTTTGACCTCGGCAAAAGACACAACCTAAAATTCATCAATATCTTGACAGATGATGGCAAAATGAATGAGAATACTGGTCCTTACATTGGACAGAAGCGTTTCGACGTTCGTTATACAATCCAAGAGGACCTCAAGAAGGCCGGCTTGTACGTCGACAAGAAGGATAACGCAATGACCGTTCCTCGGTGCGATAAGTCGAAAGATATTATTGAGCCTATCTTGAAGCCGCAATGGTGGATGAAGATGACAGATATGGCAGAAGATGCCCTCAAAGCTGTCACATCTGGCGAGATCAAGATCCTACCTGAGAGCGCCGAGAAAAGCTACATTCGATGGATGTCAAATGTTAACGACTGGTGCTTGTCCAGACAGCTGTGGTGGGGACACCAAGCACCAATGTATTTCGCACAAATCTATGGCGAAGAAAATGATGAGGCAAATGGTGACTTATGGTTTGCTGGAAGAACACAAGAGGAAGCAGAAGAAAAAGCCAGAGCAGCTCTGCCTGGAAAGAACTTTGTTTTGAAGAGAGATGAAGATGTTTTGGACACATGGTTCTCGTCTGGACTCTGGCCTTTCGCAACAATGGGCTGGCCTAATAAGACTAACGACCTTCAAGAACTGTTCCCAACTACCGTTCTTGAAACTGGCTGGGATATTCTCTTCTTCTGGATCGCCCGAATGATCATGTTTAGTATCAAGCTCACTGGAAAGGTCCCCTTCAGTCAGGTCTACTGTCACTCCTTGATTCGCGACTCCGAGGGCCGAAAGATGTCGAAATCATTGGGTAACGTCATTGATCCGCAGGATGTTATTGAGGGTATTCCTTTGGAGGACCTCCACGCCAAGCTCAAGATTGGCAATTTGGCCCCAGATGAGGTAAAGGCCGCCACCAAATACCAAAAGAGTGCTTTCCCTGACGGCATTCCTGAATGCGGTACTGATGCTCTTCGATTTGCCCTGGTCGGATATACCACTGGTGGCGGAGATATTGCATTTGACATCCGTGTTATTCATGGATACCGGAAATTCTGCAACAAGATTTACCAAGCCACGAAATACGTACTGGGTAATCTGGACGCAGACTACGTTCCTCGAAAGACTGCTAAGCTCTCGGGTAATGAATCATTGCCTGAACGATGGATTCTCCACAAGATGACCATTGCCGCTAAAGAGATCAACCAATTACTTGAAGATCGCGAGTTCTCAAAATCGACCCTGGTTGCCTACCGATACTGGTACAGCGAATTGTGCGACGTCTACATTGAAAACTCGAAAGCCATTATCCAAGACGGCACTCCGGAAGAGAAGCGCTCAGCCATTGACACCCTATACACGGCTCTCGATGCCGCCTTGACAATGATCCACCCATACATGCCCTTCTTAACCGAAGAACTCTGGCAACGTCTGCCCCGCCGACTAGAAGACAAGAACCCCTCCATCGTCCTCGCCAAGTACCCAATCTACGACGCATCAATGGACGATCCTACCTCCGAAGCAGCATACGAACTCGTGCTAGGCATCTCAAAGGGTATCCGCTCCCTCATGTCAGAATACTCACTCAAAGACGAAGGAAAAGTCTTCATCCAAACCAACGACAACACCTCCTACACCACCGCTACTACCCAACATCAATCCATCAAATCCCTCTCCGGAAAATCCGTCGCCTCAATAGAGGTCCTTGCACAAGGCGCCGCGCGCCCTGCCGGCTGCGTCGTCTTCTCCGTCTCCTCGTCAGCCGCCGTCTTCCTCTTCGTCAAAGGCCGCGTCGACATCGACTCGGAGATCGCAAAAGCTAGCAAGAAGATGTCCGCTGCTGACAAGGGCATTGAGAAGCAGAAGAAGATTTTGGCCGATGAGGGGTATAGGGAGAAGGTCAGCGAGGAGTTGCAGGCTGTTGAGAGGGCCAAGTTGAGGGATTTGGAGGTCGAGAGGGATGCGCTTGCGGAGACTATTGGACAGTTTGAGAGGTTGAGGCTAGAGTAGAGTAGATTTGTGCTGCCGATTTGTTTCAGTCAGTATGAAATGAGAGTGCTGTTATGATCAGACTTTTTGAGGGATTTCATGCAATGAGTGATCGATCGTCCTTGCCTGGTACCTAATTCATGATCAATAACTGAAAATACGGAGCAGACGAGCCCAATCTCCAAGAAGCATACCCTTAGTACCCTATACGTTGAGGAGACGGCGTCGGGCCCGTGCTTTGAAAATTGCCTTGGACTTGTAAACCACTTACCCACGGTGGAACATTGCTGTGGTACATGTTATCAAAATCTATACTGTCAAGGCTGTCACAACGTGCATGATAGTATGAACAAAGCATTTTGAGTATTCACCTACTGGGTGAAGCAGTGAGACATGGATTCAGTATTCCCCAACCGATAAAATCCTAGACGTTCAACGCCATTCCCATCCTCGTATATCATATACATATCCCCATTCCCATTTTCCCACCCCGATCCAAAATTCCAATTCCAATTCAACCATAATCGAAAACATACAGGGGTATCTCTAAAACGTTCACATATCACATAACAACACACTTCCCCTCCCTTTTCCCATTCCTCCTGACTCCAGCCCCCTCACTAACATCCGTCCACCCCGCACTACTAGCCCCATCCCTATCCTTCTTCAACGTCTTCTTCTCGCGCATACTCTGCCTCCACCCCCTCTTCTTCGCATCTTTGATATTCTTCGCCGCACTGCGCTCCGCTCTACTTAGCTGTCTGCTAATTGTTGATTTCTGTGTGTAGTATGCAGAAGGCTCGTGTTGCTCCCTCGCGCTGTGTATCGTCTCCAGTCTTGGCATAGGGGGTGCTGGTCTTAGGGGCGAGAAACTGGCCTGGCGGGACCCGAAACTGCTGCGATGGTCAGGTGGGGATGTGAAGGGACGGGAACCAACTGCTACACGAGGGGCCATGTAAGAGTGGGCCTGTTCGTGTTGCGAGGGGCTTTGGTTGGTGCCCCAGGTTTGGCGGTCGGTGCTACGTCCTGCGGGCCCTTGGGGGCCCATGGAACTTCCCGAAAGGCGGCGCGGAGGGCGCGAGGGGTCGATTATGCTGAGGGGTCGGCCAGTGCGGTTGTTTAGGCGGGCCAGTTGTTCAGGGCTTGGAGAGGAGAATCCGGGGCCTGAGGATGCGGGACCGCTGACTGAGCGGGTGGTGTTCACGGGGGCGGTGTCACTTCGTTTCCAGATGGGAAGAGGCTCCTCGGACATTCCTTGCAGGCTACCATTGGCGGGAAGGGTTTCCGCTCGTCTTTGTAGCAAAGGCTCCGGCTCCGACTCTGGGCTTGCTTGCGGAACATGAGAATACCGTACGGGAGCAGATGGTTGTGATTCGATGAACTGCCGTCGGTTCTGCGCTACTGGAGCTTGAGGAGGTAGCTTAGTTAAGTGGTGCTCTTGAGTTGACCTAGTAGGTACTTCTTTGCGAACCGATTCTCGATTTGGCCTTAATGGCAAAGTGATATCAGAACTTTGTTCGGTTCCTGCTCCTGACGCATCTTCCCAATCTCGCAAACGACGGTCCAAGATAACGTCGGTCGGCTGTGTACCAAGGGGAGCAGGAGAGACAGGCTGTTGCAGAGTAGCTATCATTTCTGGCGAGGGAGAAGGAATAGGGGAAGAAACAGTGTCGTTTGTGGGAGCCCCAACAGGTCGCCTCGTAATCTGGTTAACTGGCGCTGTGGTGACTTCTGCTCTGGTTTCTGGTATCCTCTCTATTTGACCTCGCTCTCTTTCTGCGCGCTCATAATTGGCCTGCTGCCTATTGGTCAGATCCCTATTCGCCTGTTCTCTATTCGCCTGTTCCCTGTTCGCCTGCTCCCAGTTTATTCGCTCCCAATTGACTCGGTCTCTAGCAGCCCGTTCGCTAGTGCTTAGTTCCGTATTCTCTGGTTCTCTTCGATTGTCTGTATTCATTCGACTTTCTGGTTCCCTTCGAAGAGCAGGTGGAGGAGTTCCAGGTGGAGATACATCGTAAAGATCATCAAAATCGTCAGGAGCCATCGTTACTGGCCGCGGACGCTCTTCCTCCAACGATAGTCGGTCCATCGTCTGTGTAGTCGTATCACTCATACTCCTATGAAATGAATAGGTTTCTCTCCTCGATCCACGAGAACTAGTGGAAGCAATTGTACGGGATCGAGATAAGCCACCAGAGTTTGGACTGGGGAAGTCGAAACTTGCGAAACTTGAAGGGCGGTGAGTTTGTGCACGCTGAAGGTTGGAGGCGGCAGCAGCCTCTGCTAAAATCGATCTCTGGATATGCTCAGGCAGCGGTGGTACTGGATCTTTTGTGTAAGGTGGAGGAGGTGGGACCCAATTGTCTGCGTCACTTTCATGGGGATGTTCTTCGCGTCCATCTGCTCGACGATATTCGATATGTTCCTGCGCAACGGAACGCGGGTGTAGTCGCCGGTTCACTGCAGCAGCAGTTGCAGCGCGTCGAAGAGTCGTGCCAGATCGAGGACTGGTGTGAGAGTACGGGGCGTCAAATGCCTCTAGGTCCTCATAAACAGATGAAGTCTCGGAGTGCTCAGCTATAACGGTGTGCTGGCTTGCCCTTCTTTGGGCTAAGTTACTTGGAGCCGCATATGGATCTCCCAGATCATGATCGACCCTCGGCACTGGAGGTGGCTCAGGGTGCAGATCTTGGGTAGCTGACGTTACTGCACGGGAGACACGATTCCCTCTGCGCCGTGCAACAGTCCTTCTCCTTACAATAGCAACCTCGGTGTCCAAGTCCCTATGTTCCTCTTCCAAAATCTCAGGTTCGTTGTTTCCCACTTCAATGGTGATTATTCTTTTCTTTCCATCTGTCGCTGCATAGTCAAAATCGAGTATTGAAATGCGGCCTCCATCGATAGGGCTCATTCCATCGTCTTCGCTTATAGGGGATGTGTTTACAATGCCCGGTGCCACAGCCACCAGTCTTTCGCCATGAAATGACGTTTGCATATCGTTGACCCAAGCCATCGCGCTGACACGATCGAGACTTCCAATATTCCGACCTTCCACGAATGTGTTCCGAGCACGATCGCACAAAAGCTGCCACTGCGGAGTCCTACCAATGCTCTCACGTAGTCTGTTGCCAGAACGCAGTGACGGAGCACTGTTGCGGCGTCCTGCCTGACTCAAAGGTGTGCTAGCTTCACTATCTGAATTGCTATTTGCTGCATTGCTAGGGTTCGGTAATGCCTCTAGATCTTCAGGGACTCCATATAGCCAAATGGATCCCTGGAATCCTGCAGCGACTAGATCTCCTAATTTACTAGCGGCTGGTAGAGTGCTGGGAAGTAGCTTTAGGATCGAACCAGACTCAGCTGTTGGGCCAGTAAAGTACGTCGTTCCATTGCGAAGATCGTCGATCCGGACAGCTCGGAACGTCTCAAACACTCGGTCATATGTGAACGTCCAGCTTGCCTCGTAATCTGTGGCGCTGGGAAGCAGTACCGCATGCGAACAATCTCGACTTCCATTAGGGAAAAGTATAGATGTCGTCCATAGAGCACTAACGCTCTCCTCTGGTAAACTCGCACCGGGATTGTAATAAGGTGCTGTGAGAACAACTGTGCTGGGATTTCGTGACTGCATAGTACTTCCAAGAAGTTGTGTTCCATCCTTCGAAAAAGCCAAGGAGTCTACGCCATAGCATTTCACCGCTCTCCGTTCCGTACTTGTTCTCTCTGGCTCGAGTGATGAGACTTCGACTCCCGAATCATACGCGGCAGCCAATACTGCCCCTGTAGGTGACAAGGCGATGGTTCGGGGGGTATGGTCCAAAGCAATAGCACAGGTATGCTTGGGGTGCTCGCCTGTCAGGTCGTATAGATCAATTTGAAGGTCTGTTGATAGAACGGCCAACAACGAGCCATCGTCTGTGATAGTCGTTGAAGCTGGTCTCCGCAAGATCTTCAGCTCGCGTTTAATCGTAACCTCTGGCCCTGTCACATCTAATATATGGATTCGTGAAGAGCTATATGCCAATACGTAATGTCCTCCTGGAGACAGACTGAAATGAAAAGCTTCACCACCGGGCGCGGAGGAAGAACTTATAGAGGTTGACACCAGACTGATGACTGTCTCTTGTGGCCGTAGGTATGCTTCAAATAGGTTTCGTTTAATCTCCTGCGCGAAGAGTCTGCGAAGTCGTGGTAGGCTATCTTCGTCCGCTGGGACCATGAATGCATGGTGTATTGCAGAGTAGGAGGGGCATCGAGCTAGGTGGTGTGTGTACAGATGTGCCTGCTGTGATACCACGCGCCATTTTCGATTTAATACAATCAGCGATGCGAATCCGTTCGGGTTGGTGAGCTGCAAGATTCTGGAGAATGTAAGTGTCAGCTGGAGAATCGGATAGCCTCGCGATATGCAACTCACTGTTCAATGATTTCATCAGGAAGCCTCTCAATTGCGGGGTTTGCCTTCGGTTTGAAGCCCCCCACAGACTTCTTCTCTCCATCTGGAGGCATGATGATGGTTCTGGAGGTTGTCTTTTGGAATCTCCTCCAGCTTCCCGTATCTGGGTCGAAATAAAGTCGTGGTGCGTGCGTCGGGCCCGCCTTTAGATCCATGGTGATGGTGATGTGTGGAATAGTCGGATTGTATGGTTTGAAGTAGGAGAATCATTGAATTAGAAGAAAAGAATTATACGTGTTGTTGGAATTGGGGTAACACGGGTTAAATGATACAGTAGAATTGTTGGATACACAAGCTGGTTCCCCTCTATTACTCGTATTTGCGGTGCGCGCGTCGCAGTAACGTTTAGTGAACAGGGGGTTTGCACCGAGGTTTTTTGCGGTGATGTTTCAGCTTTCGTGCAATTATTTGCAGTAATGTATGTGGTGAGAGATGATTAAAGAGAGAACAACGAAAGAGAGAAACTGAAAGTAAGAAAAAGGACCGAGGCCAAATCGTATAAACGGTTCCTACGGAGTCGTTCAGTATGATTCCCAGATGGATCTACAAGTATAAGTTTATTTATGGGTGTCGATCAGTGCCTAGGGCCGGGAGTCAGCGTCTAAAGAGGCAGCTGTTGGTGGGATAGAAGGGAAGGGTAGTAGGGTACCTAGGGTGCCTCGGGTGCGATCCAGATTCGGTGATGCAGCAATGCAGTAATGCTTAAAAGACCTACCTACTGTACACCTAAGTTTGCATGTACCTGGGCGAGGCTGCAATAATCATTCGGATGTGCACTAGGTACAATACGAAGACACTTGATCTTACTGTTGCATCGCAGTATATCAATAATTCTAAGCCTCAATAATGAATATAAATGTGAGTGGTGAGGGCATGCTACAGTAGACCGATAGCTGTGCTGCACGCAGATAGGCGCAAAGCATGGACCTGGCCCTGGTTTCTTAGAGTTTCAACCTAATCACGTGTACAGTATAGTAAAAAGTATATAATCATTTTCACTTTACTTAAATATCCGGATAAGAGGAACAAATTGTCAAGTAAAAACTATAATCTCAAAGGTTCAACGAAACATACCTACTTATCCTATATGTGACTAATACAGGAGGTATACAATATCACGTGTATCTCATCTAGTATCGATTTGTAAGCAACAACGCGCTACTCGAGATGGAGTGATTTCTTATTTCTGCGGCAAACTCATCATCGACACCTCATCCATGACATCCCAGGCTTGTCTGCTCCATCTCTGCTACCGCTCACCATGCCACTTTGTGACTACGAGGAACTTGCCAAGACTCTAGTAGAAAACTTTAACCTCCTGGCAGATGAAGTACAACTCCTCAGCGACAGGAAAATTATCCTGGAGCACAAATTGAATTATGCTCACAGCCAGGTCAGTTCCAAAGTTCTTTCTTCCTTCCAACAACCTTCTACTATGTGATGAGAAACTTAGCTCTAGATCTGGAGCTGCCACTAACAGCGACGACCGACAACAACCATGTATCCTGATTCGTAGTTTTTGCATCATACATTCCTGTACAGATTTAGTAATATCTTTCACTGACCAGCCTCTTCATAGTATCAATTACTCGCCGACAAGTATGCCCCATCTGATCCGGAGATCTCAAGCACTTTGGCAAAGCTACAACTCCCGCCGGATCTCCAAGTCTCAACTCCCGATCCGGCAGGTTTCGTTCCATTACCACAGCGGAGACAAAGAGCATCCAAGCTGCAGACTGCAGTAGCTATACGCGACGGGAGGAAGGCGGCACAGCTTCTCTCGGAGTTCGGAGGCACGACCGGATCTACAAGTATATCCGGCGCAAGTAGTAATGTGCGATTGTCTGCGCCTCGTACATCTCTCTCGACAGTGCTAGAACAAGATTTTACCGTCCCAGGGAAGAAGAGTTCATTGCTTTGTCCGTTTGCTCGTCCTACCAAGCCTCCTAGCACGATGGTGTCAGGTCGTCCATTGACGCCGTCTGATGCTAAAGATCCTACACCTCATCAGTCCGCCGATCCAATCTGTGCTGCAATGTATGCAGAGACAATGTCATCACCCCCTCCATCGGCTACAGGCTCCGCGGCGAAGTGTCCAATTCGATATCTTGATCAGCACTCACCAGAAGAGGTTGCACGCTACTTCGAGACCCACAAGCATGAGATCCCACGAAGTCACGAAGTATGTGTGAAGCGTTACCAAAGAAACGAAAATGATATCAGGAAGCTTGATGCAAAGTATGGCAACCTTGTCAGCATGATTCAAGGCCTCGGTCAAACGCATCAACCTATGTTACCCTCAGACCTACACGAACAAGACGAGGACATGGAACTTGAGCGCACATCCAATGAACGAGTAGAGAACTGGGCTAAAGCCGTAAGTGCAGATGGTGTAGGCATTGAAGAAGACCTTATAGAGAATAGAGAAGAGGAGGATGTAGAAGAGGACGATAGAGAGAGCAGATTTGATCGGCCATTGAAGGAGGTTCGAGTTGGAGAGTCTCCAAGTCGACCTTGGGGTATACGAGTACCGATATTTGATGAACCTCCCAAACAACGACCTGTCTCTCCGCCCCCGGCACCTGTATCTGCAGAACACATACCAAAGCCGGCTGGGAAGTGTCCCTTTGGCCATGGCCAGGGCAGTCTGGAAGATCCTCTTATCCAAGAATCTCCTCAGGCGATCGAGCAAGAAGAGCGACCTACCGGCAAGTGTCCCTTTGGTCATGGGCAAGAGGCACCATCAGGCCCGAAGAGAGTGCAACAGCAAGAGCGACCTGCCGGTATATGTCCGGTGGATCATGGGCAGAAAGCCGAAGAAGCAGAACAACCTCCTGTCATTCAGACCCAGCCGACTTTCATTCAAACTCCTCAAATACCAACAGTGGGCGGTAATTCGGCCCAGATGATATTCACGGGCCCAGTATTTATCGGGTACCCCATGGAGCAGGCTATGGCTTTCATGCAGCAGTACAATAAGGGGGCATTATGAGTGATGAGATTGTTTATGACATTAGCATGGCGTTAGAGCACGGTTCTACAGGCGTTCAGGGCATTGTACCTTTAGCGGCATGCATCAGTCCTTTGGACATACATAATAAATTCTATGGACAATTCCGTCTTTGTAATCAAAACGTTTCTGCAACCTTTCAGAACAGGTTCTCCTCATTTCGCGCCTCTTTAACTTTAACTTTATTGTTTCTAACCAAAACGCCATCGTCCCATCCAGACCAAGCCATATATATCCCAAATGCAATCATTTATCAGCCGACCGTTTCTAAAAGTCGTATATATAGTACATATGCTCTTCCCTAATCTCTCCCCCTGCTTGTTTTCGTCTTCGGATCCTCATCGGCATCCCCAGAAGCAAATACATCCCCTTCTCCCCCCGAAAGCTCATCCCTATACCCCGTCTCCCCCGTCTCCTGATCTTCAAACACACCCTCATCATTATCCCACAGACTGATATCATCATCATTCATCAACGCGGCCGCATCAGCATCCCCCGCCTCGGCAGAATCACTATACTCCCTCCCCACAACCACATCCCCTGCCCTTTGTCCATCCTCCAACTCCTCGATCTCGAGCTCCCTAGCCCTAGCAATCGTCTTTTGATAAATAATCCACCCAACGGCAACACCAAGCACACCGCCAACGATAATAGAAATGTAGTTGATGGCCTTCGTCCCCGCATCCATCTTGCCCCCCTCACTCTCTGCAATAACCGCCAATCTCGACCCGATAAAAACGTGAATCAGTAACTTCGGACTCGAAATCGCCGTCGCCAGCGCAAAACTAAGTGGGTTCACTGTAGGGAACGTAGACATGGCCGCATTACTCAAACTATACGGCAGCGGACAAAAGCGTATCATGCACAGAATCTTCAAGCCATCATGTTTCAGCGTCAACGCTAGGGCCTCGAACCGCTTATCCTGTCCCACAAGCCTATGCACATAGCTGCTGAGCACCGTCCGACTCGCCATGAACGATGCGAGACTACCTACAATGGTGGCTGAGGCTACAATGAACCAGCCGTTCGGGAAGCCGTACACGAAGCCGGCGATTGTGACGGAGGTGCTGTAGCCGATCAACGGCGGGAAGGCGCAGCTGAATGTCATGAGCCAGAGGATTATCCAGCCGCCGGTTACGGAATGCCATTTCTTTGCTGCGGGGGCTAGGAAGCCGAAGATGCGCTCGCTGTATACCAAGAACAATATCCCGAACACGAGGGATATGAGGAGGGCTATGATAGCGGCGATTCGTTGGGGGATGGAGAGGGACTGGAAGGTCTTGAGGAGTTGGCGCTGCACTTTGTAGGCGGAGGCGAGGATCTGGTCTTTGAGGGAACTTGGGGGCGTCGAACGCTGCGAGTAGGGCGAGTTGGTGTTTGCGCGCCGGGTGGAGGAAGATATGCGGCGGGACCAGGGGGGGCGTGTCGTTTCTGGAGAGGGCGAGGGGAGGGGCGAGATGGGGAGGGCGAGAGCCTTTGCTGTGCTGCTGTAGTCTGCTGGCATTTTGTGTATAGCTAGCTAGCTCAGCTCCGGATGCAGAGGGAATAGTTTGTAGGTTCTGCGAGTTGGATATCCAAAGGGGGTTGAGAGCTCGAGCTACCTCTGCTGATTCATCGAGTCTTTGGAGTGAGAAGTGAGGTTGTTGATGCGAGCTGGCGTTGGGAGCGGTTTGATGTTGGCCGTGCTTGGGTGACGGAGACTTTTCTGAAACCAAGTGCTGACAAGACGCAGCTGGGTGAGGCGGCAGTATTAGTTTGCAACGAAGGATCGAAGCAAGAGCCGCACTTAAATATGCACTTATACAGTACGAGAATACCAAGGTATACTGAGTATTTTGATGAAAGCGAGGCCTTAAAGGTTACCCAGGTACAAGTAGGTAGCTTCGTATTGCAACGCTCTACTAGCTCCATGATGGTGACGGACGTAGGAAGATCTCCTTCCCATTCCAGCTCACTCGAGCGTTCCGACGATACAGGACAAGTCATGTGAGTTTACATATAATGGTAAATCCTGATGTACCAGTATTTCCAGAGGGGGACATTCGAGGGATTAGAAAAAAGCTGTAGAAATTCCCTTTTCACTTGCGAGATTTACTTGGAAGCCATAGCAAGAAAGTCACCTTTGTAAATTGGTATATAATTTTCTAGTAGTAAGGATAAAGGAGTAAATGCACGACAAGTGCGCTAACATTATACTTTTTGGTAGAGAAAATCCCCAGCCAGTAATTCCTGGATTGACCTACCTAGTTACGCTCATGTAGCCTTGGGTGAAAATGCTTTCCAACAGACTTCTTACATGCTCACGAATCCTGGGACTTGACATGGCATGGGTGGCTCTTTCCTACGGTATATTGATGACTAGGCTTTTGTAGAAGGGAATTATGAAGAGGCTAAGCTTTGTACCTTGGACTTTTCTTTGTAGTATAAAGAGTTCCTTTCTTCGTATTCCTTATTTTTAGCTGCACCCAGGGATGTTTGAAGGTCATAAGTCGGAGCCAATCATATATCCCTAAATTGTTAGCGTGTTCTCCCCAGATCATTCAGTTTGGTGGTGCCCTTCCTTCCCTGTCCCAGCCTAGACAGCCAGATCCTAGCCTCACTACTTGAACCCGAACCTCACGCCTCGTCCCCTCCCTCCTTACTTTCTTATACTCTACTTCCCCTCAACCTTTCCTACTCCCCTCGCTGACCATGATAACTTCGCATTCCGAGTCGACGATGTAAGAGCCTGGTGCCTTCCGTTGTCGTACATCGCCGTTTCCCATCTTGCGCCATTTGCTTATTGCATTTCAGCTCGCACCTTCCCTCCGGTTATCCACAAAGTTCGACATCCATACCACCTATCTTTCGTTGATTTTTCATTTAATCCAACCTTGAACACTTTACACAGAATCTAATTACCTTCTGCGATACCTACAACATCTGCGAAAATGCTGTCTGACGCGACGTACGAGATATGCCTCCCGCTCCTGACGGATGCTGCCCTTGACGACGAAGAGAGGACCGACAGGCTGGAGGAGTTGCTGAAGAAGGAAACCACCCTTGTTGGAGCTCCGCTCGAGAATGCCGTCCTGAGTGTGCTTTGGAGGTACAGGGAGCAGACCACGAATCCCTCGTCCCCCCCGCCGTTGCGGCATACTGTATTACGTCGCCCTTCTCCCGCCCCATGGCCGATCCCTCGCGGGAGCACTCCGATATCCTCGTCTCCTCGTCTGGGTGTCAGTCCCCTTGCTCCGCCTGGATTTGTGCCACCATCTTTCAATAGAAACAAGTCCGGAACCGCTTCCCCCTTCACGTCTCCCCGCCCTTCTCCAAGGCTTGCTTTTTCCAGCCCTGCAATTCCTCACAGCCCCAGTCTGAACGCATATGAATTTCCGACCGATACAGGTCCTACCCAAGATATATATGGAGATTATGGAAGCGACAATGTCGACTGGCTGGTGAATGATGATGGCGTGAGCATTACCCCTTCATCATCTGGTCAAAGTGGTCTGAATGCAACTGCTGCCGAGTTCATGCAGCCGCAACAATCGGATATGAGCCCATATGATATGCTGCGCTCAATACTTGGTCCCGCAAAATCAGATGACGAGATCGAGGCTGCTCTTGCTATCCATGGTTACGATTTGAGTGCTACTATCAATGCATTCATGGAAGGCCAACTCACGGAAGGCACCACTATCCCTGTCCCGTCATCTGATGCAAAGAATGCTATTCTCATCGGAAAATCAATGGCTACGGAAATACCGCGTCCAATCACGCCAGCTGGACAGTTGCGAAGCGGTGTCGTCTGTCGGTTCTGGTTGTCCACTGGACAGTGTTTGAGGGCAGATTGCAGATTTAGCCATGATCTCAGTAACCATATATGCAAGTAAGTGATTTCTTTCTCAAACTTGACTTGTCTGCACCACATGCTTATTAATCTAGATATTGGGTCATGGGGAACTGCCTTGCAGGTGATACTTGCATATTTTCACATGATCCATCACACTTTATGAACCGACTTGCTCTTGAGGAGAGCAGTACACCTCCACTTCAAACTACCGCCGCACCAGGCTTCCAATTTACAGACTACAATGCATTCCCTTCATTGCAAGGTATGCAGGAGTTGTCAAACTCGTTCAATTCCACAAACGCTTTCAGTAATTATCAGGGAGGAAGTTTCACACCTCCTCCTGGCTTCAAAGCAATGCAAGGATATGCAAGTGATGGATCCAGTCAACGATCACGGCCTAGTAGTCGAGCACGAGAGCCAGCGGCTCCTTCTCTTGATGACACAGAAGCCTTCCCATCGCTTAGCGCCGTTGCTGCAAAAGGTGGCAAAAAGCACCATGGAAAGAGAGGCGGCCATGGCCACGGTCATAAAGAAAATATTCATCCCAGCTCTCTCGCCGAGGTTGTCAAAATGTCTCCATCTCCTGGGCCTGGTCTTATGAGACAGGGCGGGAAGATAGGCAGGAACGGTAGCTCCACAAGCATTCGAAATGGAGAGAACAGTGTTGCAGCTCAGGCCATTCCAAGTCCGCAACATGTTCCTTGGTTGGAAACTGGCGAAAGAGCCAATAAATCATACCTTAAAGCCAGACAAGATGCTATCAAGCATGGTGGCTTGAGGAATAAATTCTTACAAAGGTAATTTCCCCTTTGTTTCGTTTAACAATTCATCACTAACACAAAATAGTGCTGCCCAGGCTTGGAATCGTAATGATGCTCGTGCTGCTAAGGCTCTCAGCCTCAGGGGTCAAAGCGAAAACGATCTCATGCGAAAAGCTCACAGAGAAGCCGCCCGTGAGCTCTACGAAGAGCGAAATAAGCACGGCTCTTCAAGCGCCGAGCTTTACGTCGATCTTCATGGTCTACATCCAGAAGAAGCTGTCGAATACTTAGAACGAGTGCTCCTCGAATCCCAGAAAGAGATGAGACCGGTCTATGCCATCACGGGCACAGGCCACCACAGCAAAAACGGCAAGGATAAAGTCGGCAAAGCAATCCGCAACTTCCTCAACGAGTGGCGCTATGCTTACCGTGAGTTTTCTGTTCCTGGAGACAGGAATAATGTGGGTGGTATCTTGGGCATTGATGCCAGATCGTGGGACAAGACTCTTGCAAGACAGGGTGTCTCTATCGAGCCAGAGGCAAAGGAGGAGGTCGATATCCTTAATCAAGGTCACGAAGTGGGCAGTGGTAAAATAAAGTTGCTGGTCAGAGATGCACCGAAGGGCCCTAGCGTTAGTCGGTGACATGCACTTTACTTTAGGAAGAAAGAATAAATAAACTCGTAAAACATATCAACCGTGACCCTGTCCTGTTTACCTGTGCTTCTTATTCTATTATCATCGATCAGTCAATCGATCGATCACGACAGTAACTATAATCATTAGTACACTTCAGTTCCCCTTTATCATTCTTCAAGACATATATATAGCCCATCCTCATCATTTATCTTATCTCGAATGACTCTAAACTCACGACCGAGTCAATCCATACTCAATAAATTCTTCTCATCTTCGCTCACATCCCAAAGATACCTATCTATCTAATATCATAGTACTGTAACCAACACAAGAGCATTCAATATCCCCGATCGGGTTAGGCGCTCCTTAACCAAGCTCTCTGTCAAAACGTGTTAGAACGGTAAATCTGCCTAGGCTTGGGCATTATTTGGATGAGAATGGAGGATCTGGATCTGGGTAGAGGGATGGTGGATGTTGGTAGAGGAGGGGAGGGGGATGATATGTTTGTATGTATCTGTATCTGTAGATGGGTTGATCAAATAGATATGTCAATTTTAATATTGCATATAAATTACACATTCACTCACGGTCTACTCAATAACAAATACGGAATCCACGATATTTTGTATCACAGTATCTCAAGGGGAATGTTTCAAGAGGCCCGCCATAACTTATTAGTTGGTGTAGATAGGACTAAGAAGCGAATAGACAAGATGAGGTAGACGGATTTCTCAGACTAAGAATTTATAAGATATTGACTAACTTACCAACTCTATTGCAAAAAGGCCAATCGACCAGCCAGAGCGAATCAATCAAGTGGTAGTCTGTTCTATTCCTAGCCGGGCCCAGTAATCAACGAGTGGTATCTATGTAGTAACGAACTCCTGTCCGTAATGGAAATCCCAACTCCAAACAATGAATGATGAATCAATGCAGCAAGCATACTTCCAAAGCCCTTCCAAATGAAATATCCCATGAATGATGCGACCCCATCCGTGCTACACTATCGATCCCGACCACTAATTTGGATGCAATGGGCACTGTCCATTTTTCGTAATCCACCACCTTTTGATGCATGTCAAATGGAACCTACAAAAGCACTCCAACCTCGCCATATCCTGGCCAACCTCGTAATTGTCAAAGCAGATGGTGCACTCTGCCTCGTCCACGCAGTCTTTCTCTGTTGCCGTGTATTGAAACAGGCCGGACGCGCGATATGCGGTATATGTGTTTGCGGACGGTGCTGCATTCGCATTCGCCGCTGACCCTGGACTATTCTGCGCGTTTTGAGCGGGAGGTGCTGTGCCTGCGGTTCCTAGCGATGCGTTAATGATACACTGATTAACGTGGGCAGCCCGTAGGTCTTCGGCGTTTGGGAGACTGCTGAGTGGCAGTCGGCGGTGGCAGATCCAACATAAGTCCGCTTCGGGGATTCGCTGCTGTGCTGGGGCTCTTTGCGGCGGTGGGGGCAGTGTGGCTGCGTTTGCATGTGCTGAGGATTGTAGCAACATACCTGCCTGGTTCCCGGTAGGCTGCTGTTGTGGTCGTGGGTTTGGTAAAATCCCCTGATTAGATGCGTTAGTCCTTGCCATTTTTAGTCCAGAGGTTTGGGGGGAAACCTCGTGCCAAAGATCTTTGAGAAATTGACCAGGGCTCACCATGTTGGCGGAGTCACGCGAGGTGCCGCTGATCTGCTATGAAATTAGTAGGTGAAATGCTTAGGTTTGCGGACTAATAAGTGGGATAGAAGGAGAACGTACTGTGCTGCTCCGAGATCTAGCATCCCAAGGCTCTAGAGTCCTGTGCCTGTAATTCTGATCGTTGTAGCTACCGTATTGTATACTCGCAGAACTAAGAATGCTAGGCTCTCGGGGTACTCGGGCGGTATTTCGGAGAGCCTCGTGGAATGTTTCCAAGTTATTTGAGTGCCGCTGAGACTGGACATAAGAAGAGGATACCGCACTGGCAGAGCGACCCTGCCGATTCGGCGAGGAATAGAGTTGTGCAGATTCGTGGAAGGACGGTTGGGGAGGAGCGATGTTGGGATCCGGAACACATGGATTGCATAGTCTAACTCGTTCTCCTCCACCCAGAGTCGCAACTTCCCAAGAACTCCCAGCTCGGGCAGCATCTACATATGGTCGAGGAACACTAATACATGAGCCCATGGCTGCACCTTCGGTTGGTACCTGGACAATGTATTGATACGGGATGGTGATGCGATGTGGAGAACACGAGTTACAAACCACTCTTCCACATTTCCTGTAGGATGGTGTTAGTAAGTGGTCTGGGACTCATGAACTGTTGAAGATTCATCTAATCCAGCATATGCAGTGTGAATACGTACCTGCAGTGATGTTTTCGGACAAAAAAGCCTAGATTGATGATAAGTAGGTGAATCATGGAGCATTCTTAAAGGAGGGCATACTGAACTGTGTCCTACAAATGGGACAAAACGTAACCTCAGCATCTGGCTGCCACCTAGGTGTAACGACCTCCGATGCTTCAGCAGCCGCACGTCGATGTTGATTTTGGCTTGGGGGGCGAGAAACAAGCGATACATCTACTCCAGGAGGAGGCCCATGACCCTGGTGGGCCATTACTGAACGTGCCGAACTTGTTACTGATGTTGAAGAAGTTCTTCGAGGATTCGAAGGTCCGTCAAGTCGGGAAGGTCTATTCGTTCTCATTTCGTTCACAGATTCGTTTGCTTGAGAGCGCTTTTCACCCGTTCGCTGAGAAGCAGAATTGCCTCGACTCCGTGATTCTAGACCTGATGGAGATCCTGATTCCCTCCATCGCTCATATTCTCGACTAGATTCATTCACAGCCCCCTGAGACCCAGTCACGAAACCCTCGTTTAATACAGTATCTCTCGCATCTACTTGGGGATCCGAATGTTGAGTAGAACTTGACCCAGGATATGGCGGTAGAGGCCGCTCCTCTCTATTTGGACGATGCTGAATGGCCACGGAATATTTATCTGACCCGGGTCGGTTATCCATTTCGATTTAGATAGTAAAGATTATGGTGTATGGATTACTAGCAAGTAGTAGAGTATCGAAAAATTATCCTGGATGCTGGTTGATGGAAATCGGTGGTTGAGGTCTGTAGCTTTTGAAGAGCCACGCAGAGTCCTCTCAGAGTCAACCCTTGTCTTTAATAACCACTATCCTTCTCGCTATAATTGTCGATTCGCTCTCGCAGATAAAATCAATATCCAGTTCCGTATCAGCACCACAGTCCTGTTCACTGAACCTTGAGGATGTGGTTGTTCGTCGTCGTCTCGATTCGACCCTTGCCTCCACTTGACCACAACAAAAGCACTCTCCTTGCCTGTTCCTGGCACCTTCTTCGTCCAATATTGATCTCTCTTTATATGTCCGAAGTATACAGATAATTTTAATCCAACTTTCCCGGTCTGCTCGATTCGTTTTCTCACAGGTCGAGGCTCGAGTCAGGTCTCCGATTGTTTGCACCGCACTGCAAAACAAAATAAACAGATCAGCATACAGATCTCTTATAGCCATTTAACGTAGATAGACTGCACATACATGCCATAGGTCACTCACCCCTCACTTCTGTGTTGCCCTACTCGCTTTCCGTACGCTGTAGCCTGTACCCGCCGCTGCGTGGGGTACCTACTCTTTCCTTACAGATCTAGTCCACCACCTTCGTCTTCGGATTCTTAGGCAAGAAAGATCTGGGCAAGGTAATATAGATCAAAACAGAAGCAGTGATCAAAAGTTTAGACGGTGACGGTGATGCTCAAGTAAAGCATGGTATGGCATGGAACAAGGTTCATGATGTTGGTGTTTTACGGAGTAAGGTAAGCTCCCGCCGGCGATAAGATAGCAATAGTGCCGTGTTCTTCCGATTGATATTCGAGTAAGACAAAAGAAGGCATCTAGGCTAGGCAAGAATTTGGCTTGAGATTTGTGACAGTACCTAGTCATGTAATAATGTTTTAAGATAGAGCTTTGATCAAGTGGTTTGTAGGATGGTTACTCCTGCTATCGAATACTTGTTGTTTCTATTCGAAGCTCCTGCAGAGAGCGATTCAGGGCATGAAGCCGGAAGCGGGATTTTCCTCAATGGAGTAAGTGGGGGGATTTGTCCTTCAGTCACGTATATAATGCAAAGTTGACTGTAAATTTTCGTAATTCTATTGAGTGCAACGGGTCATTAAAAATCGAGTAGTATACGAGCTTCATGCTCATAAGATATTTAACCATCGAAAACTGAATCATAACCCAGCCGGGTCACATGCATGCTAAAATAGCAAACTCATCCATCACTCTATCGATTACAAAGTATCAATCATCTAATGCTCCAACAGTCTCAAGGAACCTTGAACCACGACATTCTCCAGAATCGATCCGGGAGGGACGTCAATCGTGCTGCCTTCTGTTGCTACAATGATAACCGTACCTTTGAGAGTGACTCCTCGGCCCAGATTGACTGCACCAGTGATGGTCAAGTGGTCAAGCTCGATGATCTTGGGAATACTACCAATACGCTTTTGGAAGTCCGAGACCTTCTTGAAGTCATTGCCAAGCTTGATGAGAGGAGCTGGGCCGAAACGGTTGGGGTCAATTTGTAATTGACCGTGCTTCAGCGAGTACAGATCCGACTTGACAAGCATCAGGTCAGAGCAAGTCTTGACTGGCAAGAAACGTCTTCTGGGAACATTGACACCATGAGCATTGTGGAAATGACGTATAGCAGCTCCGACGGCGGTCTCAAGTTGGACAATAGAGACATCTGACTCGCCCTTCTTGTCAGCTGGGATAGTCTTGTTGTTAGGAATAATCTCCATCTCGAGCTCATTGTTCTCAACGATACGCTTGACAGCCTTCAGGTTCAACCAAATGTTGTTGGTGTTGAAGTACTTGAACTTCTTGATGGACTTGAATTCGTTGGTGTGCTCTTTTGGCACTTGAGCGATTTCGAGAAGACGGACAGATCCTTCGTAGTCAATGATGGTTCCACCCTTGACATCGGCCTTGGTCTTGTCGGTCAATTCCATAATATATTCCGCCTTAGTCTCGACCATATGCTGGAGAATACGGAGATCGACAACCGCGCCCAAGTTGTCCACGTTGGAAAGGAAGAGAATCTCAACACCTCGGTCAATGAGCTTTTCGAGAATGCCCGAATTATAGAGGGACTCAAAGACATCTCCATGTCCAGGAGGGTACCAGTCAGAGATTGGAGAGTTGAATGTCTTTGGCGCTGGGAGCAGAGAGTCTTTCAAAATTCTAGGGTATCGGGATTGGTTGAAGGTCATAATATCAATGTTGTGGCCCTCGTATTTCTTGATGATGTTCTGGGTATCATCGTCTGTGTTGAAAGAGTTCATGAGAACGAAGGGAACGTTGACATCATAAGTTCGGTTGAGGTATTCGATCTGTCGGACGGAAAGGTCGAGGAAAGACATGCCATCACGAACTTCGATGACAGACTTGGGTCCAACGCATCCCATGGAGGTACCGAGACCACCGTTGAGCTTGAGAACAGCGAGTTTGTTCAGGAAAGAAACAGACTCGGAGTTGGCCAGCTCGTTGTAATCAACCACTTGGTTCGTTGCTGGTGGTGCAATACGATCCCAGTCACTACTTAATGATTAGCCTTTCGTATCGGAATGTTGATGCTTGCAAGCCTACAGTTGGTTTCCCTTCGCTTTGTCGTTCAGGTATCTGCGGAAAAGCGCAAAAAAGTTGTCCATTTCCGTCTCGAAGAGCTTCAAAATATTAGCTAGAGCTCGGGAACCACTTTTTGAGGGGAACGTACCTTCTTCTCGGTGGGATCTTCAACCGTGTCGGCGAGGTTGTTGAGGGCATTTCGCATTTGGCTCGCAGCTACAGATGTAGAGGTATTCTCGAAGGCCTGGTCATTATCTATCAGCTTTGCGATTTCTTGTATCGTTGGATGCTTGGAAATTGGAAGCGGCGTAGGCGTATCACGTTCAGCGTGATTGGGAGGTGTAGCAGACTGCGCAGAACTGCTGGCAGAAAGGTTGAAAGCATCCATGGTGCGAGATGGGCAAAGGGCAGGGTGCCGAGTGATGGGGGGTTCGGAAGGAATAGCAGATGTAAATCCTAAGTATCGGGGTAGAGCTTTGCTTTCGAGGTGTAGAGGGTCCTTTCCTGGTCTTTCCCAATGCAACAAGATGCCAGGCAGATAGACGCAGAGACCAACTGCTCCCATGACGTGATGCACGCCGGGGGTCCTTCCTTCCTCCTTCATTCCACGAGATGCGAGGAATTACGGGTCACTACTGGCCGCCCGAATGCCAATATGATAGAGCTGTTGGACATGCCAAACGTGCCCTAGACAAGGTCGTTTGATACCGCTCTCACGTTGATGTTGCAGAACCTAAAAGGAAAGAGAAAAAGGAAGAAAGAGATTCACTCACCATGTGCGATTGTGTCTTTCCATGATGCTTTCTGGCGAACTCGGCGTTCGCATCAGGAGCCCCTAGGCTCGAAGGCTTCAAATGTGCGGGCAACGCGCTCTTCAATGCGGATGCCATTGTGTGTGTAATTCGTGTTTCGTCCTTTCTTTCGAGATGCGAGGTTTGGGTTGAGGTTGGAGACTTGTTTCTGTGGGGGAGGATGGGATGGATGGCAGAAATCGGTGCCCAGGTAAATAGCGTAGCTTCTGAAAGGGGGGAAGCTTGCATTAGCCGATACACGGTTGCGGGTTGACGTAATTGTACAGAACTGAGTTGGAGACGCGGGTAGGAATTGGTACTTACGGAGGGAATTGAATGGAGTTGAATTGATGCTTCACAGAAGGTCAATGTTCTTGAGAAAAAGGGCAGGTGACAGTCGACGAGACGAGCTTTTATTCTATTTATCAAAACGTGGCTTGTTGTCTAGCAACCAGAGATTATTAAATTGTTCCGTCTCGAGTCGAGGCTGGGTATAAGGCCGAAAAGGTGTTAGAATAGTGGTACTGGCAAGGATCATCCAATCAACCTGATTTCCCTGCGCCTACCGAGATATCCCATCCCCTATCCGTTTTCGTTCTCTTTCTTCCCTCAACTGCTCTGCCCAACAGAAGGGAAGCCATGAAGGCTCAACTACCTACTCAACGTGTGGCGCATGGCTGTCGATATTCAACAACACCATCGAGTTGTCGGGATAGGTAAAGTGGTATGTATGTATTTTATAATATAACTTCTTTATAGATCTTCCCAAGTTCCCCCGGCACTTCTTCGCTCTCCCCTGAAAAGGGGTGGGTTTCACGGGCCTCAAATCTCGGATCCACCCAACAGCCCCCCGTTCCCCGTGCACACTTGAGGCTGATAATATTCTCAACTATTGATTCTTTCCGATGCACTATTTCTGTTCGTCCCGTCACTATGCATACCTTCTTCCAAGTTGGTACTCGAGTGCAAAGCTTGAATCTCAAGCACGAACTCCGACACGCGTTTGGTCTTGCTTGTACAACTTGTGAACCGTTGAAGTCGAAACGTGGGGGTTTACTTGAGATTCACTCACTTTCCATTCCGAGCACATGCCGCCCTTTCAAAGCTTCACCCAAGGGATGAAACCACCATGAAGTTCACGCTCAAGCATACAAGTATCTACTCATTTCTTTCTATGCCTGTAATGTTCAAATGCCAACCTACAACATAGCTCAAGTGAGATTGCGAAAGATTCCAGTCCCCTTAGGAAGGTTCGCCAGATTGGTACCAGCTTCGTGCTACGTCCACTATGGAATTGCTCGTGCCCGATTCGGCTTTTGTTGCATGTCGCAAAAATGACAGATGGTTTCTGTAAAAGGATCGTGGCGTCGGCATTGACGAAGCCTTTCGGTCTCGAACCACCAAGCCCAAGTCCTCACATCAACTCTGGTCGATTCGAAGAGGACCAGCTACAAGAGCCTCATATCCAGGCCATTGATAGGGAATTTTACTATTATACTCTCCTCCTTCATCGAATATTTCTTCTGATGGGCTACGGCCATCACCGTGGCCTTAGGCTTAATTTGGCCCTTTTTGATTCTCATTGTCACGATCATGATTTCCTAATAATTTTCAAAAGCGTAGTTTATGGAAAGTCTCACTATGATTTTTGAGTAATCAGACGGTCCTGCAACCCAGCGCTCACTCTCACGTTAGCATACTCTTGAAATCTCACTCTGATACGTCTCAGCAAAGCTTTCAAGTATACGATTTTAAATCATTGTTGAGCACCTTTTGTTTCTACAGTTCTACAATCTATGCTATGCTAGAGAGCATCATACTTTCTGACCAGAACACTTAAATAGCTAATGTGCGCGTAAACACATCTACTTCGAATGTCTAGTGTCCTGGGCCAAGCTTTCAAGCAGATGGTTGTCTTAGAAGAACGACATATCGACCTTGTCGCAGCCTGAAAAGCACACTGCATTCTAGAATAGACCTGAACCCCTCGATACAGTTGTCAATAAAGTGGACCAGAGTACTGACGGTTTGTTTTACCCCGCTTAAAGATTTGGAGATGCTCCAAACGGATAACTTAACAGCATACATCTATAGAAGAATGTAAACTTACAAACTTGCCCATCAATATTACTATGGAGCCAAATCATTAAAACAGAGAACAGAGCTCCGATAACTGCACACTGAGCCGTGCGGTTGAATGCCCTCACCGTCTGAGTTGCGGTCACCATGTATGTTGGTCTTACATGAATGAAGCAGAACAGGCGGTGGATCTTCCTTGCCAGACTATACAACACAGATTACTACTACTGACAACTTACTGTATCACTTCCAAAAAACAAAAACAAACACCTTGATTCCCCGCGAACCCGCTCACAACATTCTCATGTTCTTAACGCCGAAAGCAGAGAAGCATGTCCTAACACCGAGATGCTTAAGGCAAAATGCAACAAAACTTGATCTTAACACCGAGGATATTATCGGACTTTGAGGGCGACGTGCAACAAAACATTTCTTGGGATGTGTTTGGTGACTACTAAACAACGTCGGCCGCCACGTAGATATATATACAATTCAACGCCTCCATTTTGACAGCTACGATAGCCACGCGAGGAAAACAATTTTAAGAAGAGGTTATCTGCATTGTACTAATGCGCGGTGCCGTGGACTTGACGCAGGAGAGGAGATAGACTCCAAAGTTCGAGTAATTCAAAACTGCGGTAGGTGTTGTCTTCACTCCTCTCTAGGTGTTCCCTTTCCACCACTTTACAGCAGCAAATATAATCTTAAACGGCTTACAGGGTAAAGAAAATGACTCCGCGCAGTTTAAACTAACACTCTGTGGCCTGAGAAAGCTCGGCCAATATCCACCTGTTCTAGTAGGGTATAGCAGGAAGTAAAATATATACCTGTCAGCCATGACTGTTGAGTAATGGCCTCTCTGCCTCCGCGTTCCTGATATCTACCAACCTGAGTCTCCAGCCTCTCCACCATCCTGGCCGGTAAAGACTCCATACCTTCCACCAACCTTCCGACCTGGTCTTCCAGTTTGCCTGGATTCTCCATCCCACTTTGAATCCCACCACAGCAGCTCCCACAGCTAGAAAGGTAGCCAACACCGAAATGATACACGTGAGGAATGTGATAGTGGAAACATGACAGCCCAGAGGCCGAGTTCTAAGCTCCCACCGTTCTGACCAAAGCGGACAGATGTCTGGATTGTGTATTGGTGCAAGTATGGGAATCTTGGAGGTATTTGGGACACAGGTTGAGGACTCAAGTATGATTAGTATTTGCTCGAACCAGGAGATGTGGATCTTACTGATGGGCACCAGCTGCAAGGAGCTTGGTCCAGACAGCTTGAACATTCTTGATGTGGCCAGCATATACGCAAGAGATCGTCAAAAGTCTCAGTGGTGGTGTTGTAAGAGGGAGATTCAAGCAGCATTTGTGAACATGTGCAGAGTATAGATTGTTTTTGAAAGGCCTGGCGATTGCGCTTGCTGCAAATTTTATTACTATCTGGCGGAGTGATTTACTTTTCTAGGACTGCACATAATGTGATATGACAATTATAACATTTTTACGTTGAGATAAGTTAAAAAAGTTTCATCCTATGGAATACTGTACCTAGTTCAACAGAGCACGCTACTCCGCAACATCCCCTCCCCTCCCAACCGCATGATTTCAGCCACAGGCAAACAAACATCGGTCCCGGCGTCGAAAACTGCCCGACTTGCGACGGAAAAGTAAAGTACCGGATACAAATATTGACTCGTGCTGAGAGTGACGATGGCTTCATCTTCAGCTTCATCGAATTCGAATCCCATCGACCCAAGGCTCAGAGACACAGCTGCTTCAGCAGGTGCGTTTGCGCAGCGCGTGGCAAACAACCTCCCAACTCCAATTGCAGCTCATCCTCCACCTTCGAGATCTACTGCAACCGGCCCACCGCATCAACAGTATCCTGCGGCTTTCCAACCATCACCTCGTCCAATCTCTTATCTTCCCCATACCCCTCAGTCGGGTGAAAATGCGGGATCAGACCACGATGGGGGACCTGACGACCCAAAGCGATCGCGCGCCTGTGAGGCATGTCGCGGATTGAAAGTCCGGTAATTTACTGCTCGATCCACTTGCGATGACCATTGCTAATTGCTCGAAGATGTGAGCTAGATCCTAATAATCCTCAAGGTGACTGCAAGAGATGCGCAAAAGCTGGTCGTACATGCATTATCACTGTTCCGAGTCGCAAGAGGCAGAAGAAGACGGACAGTCGCGTTGCAGAGCTTGAGAAGAAAATTGATGCATTGACCGAGTCGCTGAAAGCAAAGTCCGCTCGGAATAGCGATGCCGATGAGAATCAAGGGAGCTTCGCCCAAGCCCGGCCAAATCCATATCAACAAGTCACCAATGGCGGTTATAACTCTCCGTTTGCAAGTCACCCAGAGGCTCGAACGAACTCAACCGAATGGTCTTCATACTCCAAGGCGCCAGAGTTCGAGACGAAAAAATCATCTGCCCCTCCAATGGTCATGGCTGGACAGAAGCGCAAGCATGCAGACAGCCCACATTTCCCCAATTCTCCCGTGCCCACTCCTAGGGCACCAGTCGATGGAGGAAAACAGCAATACGCTGCTAGTGAGCTAGGAGGAGCAACAGTGCCAGTGAGGAAGGCGCAGACACATGAATATGCAGATGTGGTGGATAGAGGTCTTTTAACCTCCGAGATGGCAAATGTAATGTTCATGTGCTATGTCGAACGCATGGCACCGCACATGCCTGCTGTCGTCTTCCCAGAGGGTACAACATCAGCAGAAGTTCGTAAGACGAAGCCTACCCTTTTCCTCGCCATTCTTGCCTCCAGCGCTGGTATGAACTATCCCGAGCTTCAACGCACCCTAACAAAAGAGGTCATGAACATATATGCAGAGCGCATCATTGTTAATGGGGAGAAGACCATAGAGTTGATACAAGCCCTCCACATTAGCACTTTGTGGTATTGGCCCCCGGAACACTTCGAGGAGCTGAAATTCTACCAACTCATCCATATTGCTGCTGTCATGGCTATTGATGTTGGTATGGGCAAGAAGTCAAAAGTCAATAAGGGCAAACTTGCTGGCGGTCTGTGGAGAGACCATCCATGGCGGCGGACACCATACCCTGACCCCGAAAGCCCAGAAGCAAGACGATCTTGGATGGTTTGTTATTTCCTATGTTGCAACGCCTCCATGGGCCTTCGTCGACCAAACCTGATCCGTTGGGCGCCTTTCATGGAAAACTGCCTAGAATTCTTTGAAACATCCCCCGATACTCTTGCTTCCGACAAACTTCTATGTGAATGGGTGCGCAATCAACATATCTCTGAGGAAATCGGTGCTCAGTTTGCTATGGATGACCCGACTGCTGTTGTCAGCATTGCAGACTCGAAGGTTCAATTTGCTCTGAAAGGCTTTGAGAGAGACCTAGAAAAGTGGCATGGTCATATACCAAATGAAGCCAGATGCGGTATGCATTTTTCCAAACGTTTCAATTGAAAACCTGCTAACTTGCCTAGCCCCGTTACAAATAGCCCATCATGTGGTCAATCTATATATGCATGAAGTCGCTTTGCATGTTGATCACAATGTCGACGAATTCAAACCACCCTTCACAGAGGACGTTTTTCGCGGAGATGCAGTTCACGCTACTGATGCTCTCACTGCAGTTCAGATCAGTGCATTGTCTAGCTGTTTGACAGCCATTGATGGTATCTTCGAGACATTTCTTCGGTTCAATGTTGAAACTATTCGTTGTCTCCCAATCTTCAACTTTATTCGGGTTGCCTATGCTGTCGTTGTTCTTATCAAGATGTACTTCGCGGCAACAACGCCCAACTCTGAATTAGGAAAGGTAATCGACAAAGACAACATGAAGGTTGAGCAGTATTTGGATGATTTAGTTGAGGTTTTCAGAGCCGCTGCGGCGGACGAGAAGTCCCGACCTGCTGCCAAATTCTTCATGGTTCTTATCATGTTGAAGACCTGGTTTCATCGGCAACGAGAAGGCAAAGTTGCACATCTTTCGTCGCCTCCTCGCTTAGCATCTACCCTCCTGACAGAAACGGCTCCAGAAACACCTGGTGATGCCATCCCTCGCCAGAAAGGAAAAGCGGTGCAAAAGAATGGGCAACAATCGTTCAGCCCTACGAATACGCCACTTCAACTCCTTAGTGAAGTTGCAACCGGCAATTCAAGAGGTCAGGCTGATAATGGTAGCCAGTATCCCGGGGGTCTCAACGAATGGCAACAACCCGGCCAAGGCTTTGATATGAACCAGTTCAACATGCCACCAGGCTACATGGCAATGCCCCCGAATTTTGATCCGAGCTTAGGCCTAGATATGGGTTACACGATGGGTGATAACTTCGAGCAAGCCATCGGCATGTCGCTCGGCGTGGGAGACTTCGGATACGATGATTCTTTCTTGGGGCATCTTATGGACGCCAATGGAGCAGGTTTCGACGGATTTTCGAGTTGAGGCTGTCGTTTCGATGCTCTCTATACTCTAGAAGCTCTTTTTCTCAAGATTACTGCAGTCTGGCGTTTACAGACAAACATTTGGGGGGTTTCGCAAAACTGGCGATCACATAACTGGACTTCTTTGGTCTCAAGGGGTTAGGAGTATGGTTTGTAGTTAATGAACTGACATAGCTAGCCAGGGTTTGGAACTTATGATATAGTTAGAACTTGAATTTCATCGAAGATGAACTTATATTCAGGGCCTCTAAGGAAATTGTGATGATGATATCTTCGATTCAAATTGTCTCATATCACTAATGATCAAAATCCAGAACTTGAACTAATAACTGAAATCTCTTCCAAAGCAAATCCAAACTAAAAGAAGGGCCGGACCCCACAATCTCAGTATCCTAAATATGTAACGGAAGCGCCCGAAAAGCAATGAATGCTCTATTGTATCGAATGAAAATTTATGTCTCTCTGCCGCGGCGCGCCGATGGCTGGGCTGGGCTGTCATTGAAGACGCTACTGCACGACCGGGTTTCTTTTTCACTCCCCGCTAGCGGCAGAGCAGATCTTTATCTTTGCTTTGGACTTGTGGAATACTTGATAAGCTGAATATGGATACGGACGTTCGGATTTTCTTGTATACTTGAAGTCTCTTCTCCTGCTGTGTACATTTTGTACTTTTCATTCATACACCAAATAATAACTCTGGTGCTGTTCAATTGCTGTTGAGTTTCATCTCAGTGAGCTCAGTGAGACGAGCACTGACGCCATTACCCCGCCACCAGCTACTTAGTGGTTCTGCTATAGATAAGTGCTTTGTGGAGGTTGCACTCAAATATTTCTCGCACGCACTGTATAACCATCTTGACACTCGCCAATAGCGAATCGACAGAAGCATGTCGCTATTACAGAGGGTTACTTCCAATGAGACGCTGTCTCCGGAGAGGGGGAGATCGCCCACGAGCTCTCATTCTCACAGAGATCGCAAGCTGAGCTTCAGTCCGCTGCCTGGATCCTGGGTCGCGCCTGCTGTGGAAGACAACGTACAGCAGGCTATTGGAGCTTTCGAGGTGCCTAAGAGCAAGAGGATTCGTGAGTCTTTCCCGGAGTGTTTTTTTCTTTTCAATTAGTTGGGAAGTTGGAGCAGGCACAATTTACAAATACTAACAGTGCTTCTCCCACAGTACAAGTCTTCGCCGCAGTAATCTACTGCCTGTTCGCCGCCGGAATCGTTTTCGGATATGCAGCAATCAAGCCCGTCCTGATCCGCGAACACGTATACCGGAATCTCTGCACGAAAGAAGAATTAGAAGAGGGTGTACGGACATGTTACGACCAGGAAATACACCTGAATTTGATGTTCACGGTCGCAGCTGTGGGCACAAATGTCGCAGCTCTACCTATTGGAGCAATTTTGGATACTCTTGGACCTAGAGTTTGTGGAATCATTGGGAGCTTTTTGCTCGCGATTGGAGCTGTGCTTTTTGCTTTTGCATCGGAAGTAAAGTTCGATGCTTATATTCCTGGCTATCTATTCTTGGCTCTGGGAGGTCCATTTGTGTTCATTTCCTCATTTCAACTTTCGAATACGTTTCCCAAACACTCTGGACTTATCCTGGCACTCCTCACTGGAGCTTTTGACTCGTCGTCAGCAGTATTCTTGATTTATCGCATGATCTACCAGTGGAGCAACGGCTCCTTTTTCCCGAAGAAATTCTTTTTGGCCTACCTGGTTGTTCCGCTCCTTATCCTCATCGTGCAGATACTCCTCATGCCCAAAGCTTCTTACAAGACTGTCGGTGAGCTTGTAAAACAGGTCGAAGATGCAGATACCAACTACGATGACCAAGTGGACGAACACACAGCTCTGCTGCAAGACGAAAGACGGCAGGATCGCCAATCCGTCGTTTCCGAGATCACAGATCTTTTAGGCTCAAAATCAGGAGGAAAGCAAATCCAGCAGGAGGAGCGCAAGCAGGCCATTTCTGGTGTCTGGGGTGCAATGCACGGAAAGACTGTAACGCAACAGATTCTCTCACCCTGGTTTCTCCTCATCACCCTATTCACCGTTATTCAAATGACCCGCATCAATTTCTTCGTTGCGACCATCCGACCCCAATACGAATATCTGCTTTCATCCTACGATAAAGCAGTAGAGATCAACACCTTCTTCGACATCGCTCTTCCACTTGGAGGAATCCTTTCTATCCCCTTCATTGGATTAGTATTAGACAACACAAGCACGTTCTTCGTCCTCAGCGCTCTCGTAACAATTGCTACTACTATTGGCGTACTAGGCTGCCTACCATATACTTGGGCAGCATACGCCAACATATCACTCTTCGTCCTCTATCGACCCTTCTACTACACCGCAGTATCAGACTACTCGGCCAAAGTTTTCGGCTTCCGCACCTTCGGCACAGTCTACGGACTCATCATCTGCCTCGCTGGCCTATTCAATTTCAGCCAAAGCGGCCTAGATGCACTGCTTCATAAAGTATTCAATGGGAATCCACTCCCCGTTAATCTTATCTTGCTAGGCAGTGCGTTGGTGGTGGGTATTGCTCTCTGTGTCTTTGTAGGGGTGAAGGCGTATAGGTTTGAGAGGTTAGGGCTGGAGCAGGAAGCTGAGGCTGCTAGCGAGGTCATTATGCCAGGCGCAGAGATCCCGGAGCGTCTTTGATCTATCTTATACCGTTAGGAAGTATGGATCTTGAAATTAATTCCAGATAAGATCTGTTTGGCATAGGAAGCACGGAGTTATGTTTATTTAGGTTGGGCAAAACTTTTGGGCATGGAATTTTGGATGGTAATATGATACCTTGCTTGCGTCTTGTATATACCTTATGTAATTACATTTAAACATAAAAGTATAGCTAGCGTCGAACAGTTGAAGTTGAAATATGCTAAATCTTTCTCGATTTTGATTTTAGGGTATCACCTATGTAGTACGGGACTCAGGAGTCTAGAAGAAGCGAACATCAGAAACAGCATGATACTATTAAGTTATTCATCATAAGAATGTGCTCTCCTTGTCTGAGCAAAAGACAAAATGAATAATAATATGATAACTTTGAATGATATATTAAGCGAACAAGAGAGAATAGGGGCCACGAAATGGAATGTGTTTCAAATCTGTGATCTGTCCCGGACCGATAAGGATAAAGATGAATGTAATAGATGTTAAAGAGGTTTAAGGTATCATAACTTATACAAGTGACTTCAGGGATTGAAACTGCGACCCTTTGATAATGGTAAGATCTTAGTATCATGTGATCTTAGTACTAGCGAGAGTGTCATTTTCTTGACCATCCCATCCATCCTTGTGATCTCCTCGTCTTTACTGTCAAGTCAACCAACCACATATTTGGCAACGACTGGCCTGAATCTGCCGTTTTATCTATCTTTGGCCAACATGCAGGTAGTCCATTCTTGGGAGCTGATCCAAAAAGCGGGACAACCACACTCGACAATCCGCGTCAGAAACTTGCAGACGTCGCTTGTGATCGGTAGAGACGCATGGGGAAGGGAAGGGAAGGCTCAACCTGTTTTGATATCTGCTTCTGTTTCTCTTCGAGAACCTTTCCAATCAGCCTCAAATGAAGACGCCGTCACGGGAAGTACGGTCCACTACGGAATTCTAAGTAAAAGAATATTGGACTCTTGCAAGCGTTTCTCGAAGATCGAACATGGGAGGACCCCGATAATTTTGTCCGAACTTGCTCAAAAGATCGAACATGGACTCACCCGTGAGCAAGTTGCTAGCAGCGGCCTCACGCCAGCTCCTGCACTTCTTCCTTCCTCGATCGTGAAGCTCTTGGAAATCAAAATCATGTTACCTAAAGCATCGCTCTTAGGCGAAGGCGTTAGTTTAACGGATTTATCATTGTACGCTCACTCTGAAGAAGACCGCGGGTCTGCTGAGAAAGCTTATGTCTTGACCCTCCACGACCTCAAGATCCCCACCTTGATTGGTGTCAACCTGAACGAGCGGCTCTCCAAGCAGCTTGTTGTGGCAACTATCAAAATAGATGGCTTCTATCCTAATAAATCTAACTTTTATCATGTGCTGGAAGAGATTGTGGTCAAGGTAAGTTACTTTGGATGTTACATCTGCACGAGCTAACAGTGCGATAGACGATCGAAGAGTCTTCTTTCCAGACCTTGGAGGCTCTTGCTATGCATGTTGGCGAGAGGATTATGAAGTACTTCATCTTTCCAATCGTCACACCCGGCATAGATCCTCGGATCACCATCTCTCTCGAGAAGCCTACAGCTGTCACTTTTGCGGATGCACCTGTAGTCGAAATAACACTTGAAACGAATCCGGGTCTGAATCCAACGATAGAGCCAATGCGGCGCAATGCAATCAATACACCACATCCTCTCTTCCCACTGAAAGGACGGTTGGATGAATGGATTGCATCAAATGATGTTATTATAGAAAGTCCTACAGGGCTTGGACCGTAGTACTTTCAAGACTTGGACCTGGAGGCGCGAAAACTATCATGTAGAGGCAACTGGGTTGCAGAAAAGGCCATGAGAAGGTGACGGAACCACGGATTTCTCACTATATTACAAAATTAGAGGACGGGGTTATTGTGGCTCGACCGAACGCTTTGAAAACCGTCGGTATTGAGCTCCTTAAGTACGTCCTAAGTCAATACTTGGCTTCCACGGGCTATGAGTGAGCTTCCAAGCAATCGGTTTACTCCTAAAGACTACCTCCCATTCACCTGGTCTCGACTGATCTTGGGGTTTGAATTACATAGTCAATCTCTACAAGTCCCACGGAAAGCTCCAACGAAATTCTTCAACTAGGACACTCGAGTCTATTTTTAAGCTTCCTACCTACCCCCTCTAGATCCTAAGAGCCACAGCCATGTCTGATATCATGAACACCAAAGGTCTATACACACAACCCGCTACACGCTTCATGAGCCAGCCACCCCAGCCCGCCAGACTCCTCAATAACCCCCTAATACCTAGTGCGACCACTATAGCGCAACGAATCCAGTCCTACGCTTCTTCGAAACAGCCCACAGACCTAACCACGCTCTCCCACCTCCTCAAAAACTTCTCCACCTACGGTTCTAAACTCCTGCGTCTCGGCCGCGGTTCGACTCCATCCATCACCTACGACATATCTCTCACCCCCCTCTTCTCAGACTCCCTTAACGATTCCTCTTCGTCACACTCAAACTCGCATTCAGCCTGCGCTCAAAAAATTCTCCTTAGACACTTGAGTCTATACACCCCCTCAACCAAAACCTGCACTACGGCAACCGGTATCCCCCTCGGCCGGCTCCTCCTCAACAGTATCCCAACCCACTGGATCATCTTCGTCGCGCACACGAACGTGCTTGCGCTCCGCGCTGACAGGATAGCCGAGGAGGAGGTGGAGCAGTTGTGCGTAGTGCTGCATGGAGCAAATGGACTGGGGGAGTGTATCTGTGCCTGGAGGTTTAGGTGGAGGAGGGGCGATGGGGATACGGATACGGATGCATTTGGGGGTGAGGAGGCCCTAGTTCTTTATCTTGGGGATGTGGGGTTTCTTGTAGCGGCGCAAAGAGGGGAGAGGAGGGTGCTGGAGTGGAAGGTCTTGCGGGGCGTGGAGGCGTGGACTAGTGTGCATGTAGATGCAGATATGGATGCGGAGAAGGAGAAGGGAATGAAGGGGTTGGGGTGTTGAGTTGTGTGTTTGGATTTATGGGATACATGAAGTACTACTAGTTATAGGATCTAAGAGCTAGAGACTTTGGATGCTTTGATGGAGAAATGGTAATGAATCAAGAGACATTTTACATTAAATTTGTGACTGGCAGACTGACTTCAACACGTGCAAAGGTTCAAAAGGATTGAGCCAGATGTGCTCACGATTCATGCCCAATGGACCAGTAGTGATGTAAAAGTGCTCTAGTGTCGAAGCACTACTCTGGAATTCATAGTTAGGATATATTGAGTAATTCGAGCTACAGTACCTTCCGGTCATCCTAACTTGACTACCCCGATGGATCGATATATTGACGCCTGGCGTCCTCGTTGCATAGGACACACTACGAGTCCTTATTTCAGTCCCAGAAAGCTTTCCCAGTTCCCTTCCCTCCAAAAACAGAACCCGAAACACCACGCTAAAGTTCAAATTCCTTGATAACCAATTTCCCTGCCCTATTTCTTCATACTCTTGGTACAATCAGGGCATATCCAGGTCCCAATCGGCTCGCTCTTGAGGCTAACACAGCTCCAATGAAACCATTCGAAGGGACAGCTATCATTATCGCACGCCACCATGTCTCCGAAACTGACGTTCTGACATGAGCAATATTTCTTGTCGTCTGCACCTTCATCATCATCTAGATCGAGCATTTCCTCATCTCCATCACCATGCCGACCGCCGGGAGGAGTAACAGCCTCATCGTCATCTTCTCCGGTACCGGACTCGGCGTCGCTGAGCTCGCTGTCGTTGGTGGAAGATGGGGAGTTCTTGTTGGCGCGCTTTAGCCTGCTAAGACCGGATTTCGCGGGCTTGCCTTTCCGCAGTACCCCGCTTTGTCTGCTCCCTGCAGGCGCTGCTTTCTTCGTGGCGACGGTCTTTTGTGACGAGCGAGGGCCGGCGCTGCCGGCTCTACCTCCGGATGGCGTTCCTGCTCTCGGTGTGCCTGGAGTCATCGACGAGTGGCGGGCTAGACCGCTGGGTGGTAGAGGTCCAAGTCCTCCTGTCAGGCGTTGTCTTTTGCTTGCAGCACCAAGTGAAGACTCTCTCGCCGGTCGGCTCTGTAGTATTGCCGCAGCTGGTGTAGCAGGGGCGGAATGTGTGGCTTGGCCGGTTGACTGGCGGGCTTGAGCTACGGCAGTAGGACGGACTGGGTACTGGTTCGGGTGTCGAGTATGTGGTATGGAAGGTGGGTTGGCGATGGTGTTTAAAGGCATTGGGACGGTGCTGGGCTCTGGGCGAGCAATAACTATCGGATTTTGAGGTTGAGGTTTCAAGAGGGAAGGTAGATCTGGATCGTTCGATAGCTCCCCTCTATCTTGGAGAGCTTTGATGTGGCCATCAAGGTACCGAACGTGTTTGTCGACGATGAGCTGGGTCTTGGTGGCCAACGTGATCTTCTCGTCGCTGAGGATCTTCGCCTTGTCGTAGTTCTCATTGATGACCTTGCGCAACTGGTCTTCCTTGGGGTTCACAACAGTAGTGCCGTTATCTCCTATCCATTTCTGGATCTTGTTATCGTTTCTAGTGATGATGCGCAGACACTCCTGCATCTGGCGGTCCTTCTCAGTTATCTCCTCCTGCATAAAGGCGACCTCGTTCGGCAGGTTCGCGGCTCGGTTGATAAATTCTTCGAGGGTGGCGGCGGCGTCCAGATGCTCGATTGGAGGGGGCATGATGTTGATGTTCTTGTTGAAATCGATGGAAAGGTCGTCTCTGGGCATGATTGTTAATGGCTTTGCGCCACGGATACATACGAACGCGGAATGCAGGAAGACAGAGATAGAGACGGAGACAGAGCTGGATGAATCTACAATGCAATGGTCGCAAGTCGCATGGTATGCTCACCTGTTGTACGCGGTACTTCGTAACAATAAAATTTGTCTCCCCGCCTTTTCTATTCGCAGCCGTGCTCAGATAAGGGATGGTGCTGAAAAGTGTGAAATTGGGGGGCAGGGTATGGAGTAAGGAAGGGGAAGAATGCACGACACGATCGCGACGCGAGTATGTGACGAATGAACGACGCTTGAGCTGGGGCTACCATGAGAAGTTCAGCCTCGCCACTTATCGCCTTAGCGCCGCGTTTAACCTTCTTGATTGTCGCCAGCTTTAAGCCGCATCGTGGGATGCGTCAACATCCTCTTCACTTTAATCCTCAGCCTTTCCCTCTGGCTTGCATATACTTATTTTTATATGAAAAGCTCAAACTGAAATTGCACTTCCTTTAAGTCTGATTGGTAGTACTATCTCCCCAGACTAAACTTTTTATGGACTTTGCGACACGCTCCAAAACCTTGAAAATGGCCACATGAAGTACATTTCCCTTCCACCAGCTTCCGGCCTCCCGACGCAAAGTACTCTCTCTCACTATCCTATTCACCACAGAACTACATTTCCATCTTAATCTCAATCATCGCTGGAGCTTGTCAAGACCGAACATTACCCACATTCCTCCCCAACCACTGCGAAGTTTCTCACATTCGAGGCCTCGAATTCGACCACCCCCACGATTATTGCATATACGCGAGCGCTACTGGCTACAAGCCCTTTCTTACGAACATGGTGCTCTCTTCAAGCGGTATCGTCGAAGAGTACTGGCAACCGCTCACCCAACAGTCAGATTCTCATAACGCAACATTACTTTCGAAGGTCGTAAACGAGATACAGGAGAATGACATAACAAGGCCGAAAGGATATACGGTATCATGGCATTCAAATCCCGAGATCGAAAAACATCACTTTGGGCATGCCCACCCCATGAAACCATGGCGACTCACCTTGGCCAAAGGCCTGATCATGGCTTATGGGATGCACGCTGCCATGGACACCTACGTCTCGCGGCCTGCTACGAAAGAAGAGCTGGAGGACTTCCACAGCGAAGAGTATCTTGACTATCTCAAATCCGCACTGGTAACAGTTCCTGATGACAACGAAATAAAGGATTTCAATCTTGGTAATACCGATTGCCCTATTTTCGAAGGGCTGTTCAACTATTGCTCCATGTATTCCGGGGCCTCCATTGATGCGGCGCGGAAACTTTGCAACAACGAGTCAGATATTGCAATTAATTGGTCAGGCGGTCTACATCACGCTAAGAAAGCTGAAGCGTCAGGCTTCTGTTATGTGAATGATATTGTCCTGGCGATAGTACAACTTTTACGGAAACATCCCAGGGTTCTCTATATCGATATCGATGTCCATCACGGAGATGGTGTGGAGGAAGCGTTCTGGTCAACAGATCGGGTATTGACTCTGTCAATTCACAAGTACGACGGGATGAACTTCTTCCCAGGAACTGGTGACCTGGATAGGACCGGGCCAGACAGCGAGGAAAATCCCGGCGCGCACCATGCCATCAATGTCCCTCTCTCCGATGGGATTGGCGACCAACAATACGTATGGCTCTTCAAGACAATCGTGGGAATGTGTGTCCAGCGTTTCCAGCCCACCGCTATTGTCCTGCAGTGCGGCGCGGACTCGCTTGCTGGAGATCGGCTGGGAAGGTTTAATGTACAAGTGCAAGGTCACGGGGCATGTGTTACGTATTGCAAGTCTTTGGGTATCCCGCTCCTACTTGTTGGTGGAGGAGGATATACCCCTCGTAACGTAGCACGCGCATGGGCACATGAAACCAGCATCGCCATAGGCTGTGATGGGAAGCTCAACCCGATCATTCCACAACATACACCATATCGATCTCATTTCCGCCATGAGACCATCTTCCCCACGCTAGAAGAGATTCTCGGAGACCCCCGTGGGAACAAAAATACCGACAAGAAGATTCGAGAAATTGTATCTTCGATTACCGAACAACTGCGATTTGTCAACAGTGCTCCAAGTGTACAAAGCCAGAGCATACCACCTGATCTGTGTGCATGGAAGGATTCTGTTGATGACGAGCTCAGGGAGATGAGAGAAGCGACTGATGGTCAACTCAGACGAGAGAGAGAGATGGGCTTAGGGGTGCCAATGGAGTTTTGATCTGTTGGGCAATATATCATGAGTTTTGCATGAGCGAGGCGTCTGGTGGCGGTCCTGGGCTTAAATTACGGCGTTTATCATGGCTCGAAAAACGTACTTGTAGCTTCAGAGGTCGCAAATGTACAAAAAGTTGACTCTATTGTACTTTCCTGGAATCCACGTATGGAACCGAGTGCTTCTATCAATATTTACCGTGCAAGCTCCGAATCTGTTCTATGATCTAAACCGCGCAAACTCCATGCTGGTTCTAATTCAAATCCTGCCCCATATTGACAATCTAGCAGACGCCCGCAATATGGCTCATTCTAGTCTATTAACCACCTAAAAGACCCTCAAAGCAATCAAAAGTCATCACTCGCTCCCAACCGCCTGCGTCTCAACCTTCTGGCTGAGCGGCACATCCCCATTCGTAACCTCCTTCACAAACTCCGGATCCGGATCAAACAACATGACATGGAAATGCTCCACCGCATGAACGCTCTTCAACGTCTTCCAATTCTTAAACCAGATGACCTATCACACCAACACAAAAGTTTTCATCAGCACCTTTCCTTATCTATATATAAACAAACAAGCAAACAAATAATACACACACGTGACAAATCAAATCAAATCAGATCCGAAACTTAAACTTAAACTTACATTCTCCCTCCCCACCCTATCCCGAAACCTCTTCCCCACAAACCCCTCAATTAACCCCCTCGCCTCCTCCGTCAAATCCCCCCGTCGCCTCATCATCCTCCAGCACAAACTTAGTCCAGACCACCAAATGCACAATGCGGCCATCAATCCCATACGGCCAATCATTACATAGCACCTTCACATCCGCCTCTTCCTCAAACGGTCTACTTCCCACAGCCTCTACAGGTTCAGTCCAGTGCAGGCGCTGCGAGAGTACGAAGTTCATAACGCTGCTATAGTCGCGCTTGAGGTTGAATATGTAGTGCAGATAGCGGCGTAGCTCGGAGGGCATGCGCTGGAAGACATCGAGGCGGTTGGCGGCGATGATGGCGCGTACTTCGGGCCAGGACAGGATGTGGTAGGAGGCGTCGGGCGTGCTGAGGATGGAGATGTCTTTTGGGTTTAGGTTTGCTAGGTAGGGGGGGCAGGTTTCTGTGCGTTGGGAGATGGGGATGTTGGTTTGCCAGTAGGGGATCTCGAGGGTGCTGCCCATGGTTGTGGGTGGGTTGTGTGGGATGGGATGGGGACTGAGGAAATGGATGGCTGGTTTGGATGTGCTGTATGGGATGATTATGGGAATCATATGTTAAGAGATATAGTTCTAGCTTGGACCCACTAAAGATGGAGGTTTGAGTGAATGAACCAAATCGGTGATATATAACTTACATATCAGATCTTGTAAACACAGCTTGCTCTTACTTGCGGATCTTCATGAAAAGTACACTCCAAAAGGAGATATCTCACTCGTTGAAGAGGAGGATTCAACCTAGTCAGGTGATAGAGACCGAATCATCCTGGATCCGGTCTTATCCAGGCTACCTATGGCATAACCCCGTTTCCATTTAGCTGGATGGGGTTTGTCTGATCCTTCACTACTTGTTCCCAAGGTTTTCAAGATTTGACGTTGAAAAGAAGCCAGCATACATCTTCAAAGTCGGTGTTGATTGGGATAATGCAGGCACTGTACAGTCCGTGACACAGCATTCTCCAGTGATAGACGTGCTGTGCTGTCCAGCCCAGCTTGCAGGTATTACCCTGGGCTACGAAGCATATACTCCGTATAGGTACGCATGGACTACGGAAATCTCGGAATTAATAAGTCCAAGATAATTAGTAAAGTCGACAGCCTTGCCATCGATGATCGATCGCCTCGCGCGATGTTGTACGTACTCCGTAGGCCCGTACAGTAGGGTGCAAGCAAGCGCTGCAAGCATTGACTATCGAGGTGCATTGCTTCTTTGGGACTACTTGGGCCTGATTCGTCTCCCTTTTCCTTTTCCTTTTCCTTTTCTTTTGCTTGAGCCTTGAGCCCCTTTTCTATTCTCTTCCCATGCTCGCCAATGCCCCTGAGCTACTTACTGTACGCTTTTCGGACTCAGGGGCTTCATCCGATCGATAGGTTACCGGCCTCAACACCAGGTACTGTAATTAGTGCCATGTTACAGATAAACAAGTATATCCAAAGGTCGTTACATGGTCCAATGATGTTACGTGCTTCCAATGCCCTGCAGAGAGAGCCTGTGCTTTCTTCTTCCCTTTCCCCTCCACTCCACTTCATGGCGTTGGAGAGTCGAGACCGTTACCGCCCCACCCGTAATTTCGGTGGTGAAAGCTCTGCGTGTCCGCTCCCCTTGCTATTATGATTAGCAGCACCAAGCAACAACGTTTGAACACCAATCTCGGTAATGGCGTGCATGCATAGCCCTCCTCCGGCGCACAAAACCTTGTTCTGAGCGTAGATTTTGCAAGAAACATCGTGGGAGGCGCGCCCATGGTGGGGAGGTGGCTACGAGTACTGTCAATTGATCTTTGGCAAGCCAATCCGGGTCATCGTCCCGATCCTATCTCCGTATTAATGGGTAACAAAGCATGGATACTGTACTGTAGCATGCACCCGCGCCCGTTTTATATGTAGACCTGTTTCCTGCTGTTGTTCGTGGAAACTTTTGGCTTCTTGTGTTGTTGTTGATGCTGCCTTTCGTTTCAATCCTTCATTCCCATCGAATATCCATCTATCTATCTTATCTATCTGATGTAGAGTTTTGACCAAGTCGCTCCTTCCCTCTATTCACATTCTTTAACCAAAAAGGCTTTGCCCTACGTACACTCGTTTTTTGAGCACGCGACCATTCACTTCACCACCTACCGGCCAGCAAAGATATCACTTTTGCGGGAGAAAAAGGAAGAGATAACATTTCCACGGTGTTATTATCTTCAAGTCTTGGATGAGGGTACTCTAATCTTCAACCTGCTCCGGCCCAACTCTCCTTTTGTATCTTCTTCAACACGCATGCCGCTCCTAAAACAATAAGAGTCAACGAATCAATCACAATGCCTCGAACCCCACGCCAACAAACCTTTGTCGGCCGGCCGTCCCCACTGGCACAGGTCTCCCTCACCAGACCCGTATCGCAAACCCCAGAGATGGGACTGGTGCGTGATCCCGCGTTCTGGAAGAGGTTCTCGGCCGCCGTGCACATTGCAGAAGAAGGAGGCGTGGTTGAACCGGAGCGCCCGCGCGGATCAAGGACGAATAGCAATAGTTCGGCGAATACCTTTACGGTCAAGGATGCGTATGCCTTCCTTTCCTGCACGAGCGTTGAGGGAAGATGGTGGGTATTGTAGCTAACGAAGCGAATAGAGACAACGACTGGCTACAGAAACAACACAAAGAAAAGCGCCGTTGCAGGATGATGTGCATCTCCATCACGCTGATGATCATCATTCTAGGGGTTGGGGGAGGGGTAGTAGCCTGGTGGTTTTTGAAGGGCCAGAAATGAGGGGAGGTGAAGAGAGTAAAATTAACGAGGATATGACAACGACACGTACATGGGCCGGTGGAATCCACGACGGGTTACGGTATTATAAGATAGACAATGCTCTGGCGAAGAAGCATCTACGAGTTTTGGGACGAGGACTCAATTGGTATCCATTGGAAGGATATGCATGAAGGGCGTGGGCGATAGAAGTCGGAATATGTATATCAGAATACTTTTGACTAAATGAAAGCTCCGTCACCAAAAAGCTCTTAGGACACTGGTTCGCGCTCCTTTGATTATCCATTACGACTGAGTATATATATCCCTTACACTCGTTCACAGGGGGTCATCATCTTCTAAGCCTCAGCTCCTATGAGACAAGTTGAGGACAGTCGCGAATAGTACCAGTGCATTTCTCTCCTCAGACTAGATCATAAAACCCCACATCCCTCTATCTGTTACATATCTTTGCATTTCGCAAACGCAAATCGTCTATCTTTTACAATATCCATAAGAGTACTCCCTTCTCGCCGCAAACAAATACACGAATCCAACCCGATCCAGCCCACTTCTCTCCCCCAGACATCTTCATTCCAACATCATAGCGTCCAGACAGCACGTACCTCATGTACTGCAACCCGCGCCATCCTAATATACCTATACTATAAGAAATCCTCGCTCGCTCGGAACTTCCACTTTCCGAGCCAAGACACGAAGCGCAACAAAAGAATTCTTCTGTACCTGCTATTTCTGTTTACGATACATCCGTACACATTCTTGAGTAAGAGGGCCAATTGGAGGTACATGTTTGTCGAGTAAAGTTTCCTCTTTTCATGGGGGAGGCGGAAAGTCATGGATCCGGATTATAGACGACCGGGTATGGAGTAAGCGAGGTAAGGTGGGATGGGGGGTTTTTTTATTGGGGGATAAGGGAGGGAGGGGTTGGTGTCGTGATTGTGCAAGGGGAAGCGCGGGGTCCTAGGCTATAGAGAAGAGGACAGGATCCTTATAAATGTGTATGGTACACCTATGGTCGTGGTGGTCTATCTAGTCCAGCTGCAATTGGAGGTCAAGGGGAAGAATTATTGGAAATACCATCCAAGAAGCAGAAAGCAGAGAAGCTGCAAAACTCCAATGTGAGATTGTCACATGTGTGCCAATGCCCTTCTACATTTTCTGGCATGTCACTCGACGGTGATACTCACGCATTAGTCTACTGTACTGCAGAGAGCCTATTTTGCCAAGCTCGCTTCACGTCCAAAGAATCGACCCGTTGTCGCTAAACGTTCTGATATCGAGTGGATTTTATCTGGATTGGTAGGTATCAGGGACGAGCGAGGAAGGAAGTACTTGATATTGGGGAGAAATGTCGTAACAAATGCTTTCAAGTCTAGCTGTTCTGATTATTTACTGCTATGGACTACTGGAACGATATTCATGCCTCATTGCCTTGTCAGGAACCCAATCCTTTGTGCTCATTGACCTACATCTGCCAGCTCGGATCCTTGCATTCGGATCTTCTCATTGCTTTCACCCAGATCTGTCTGGCCTCTGATCTATCCCCACATCCGCATGCCTCCCTCAACCAAGGATACCACTGCTGGTTTGCAATGAAGAAGCGTCGGCGAGGGACATCGGTGGAGGCAAATGAGAGGCCTAGGGCTGATATATTGAGGTCAAGTCGGCCCACCAAGGTCTATTCAAATGAATTTGAGCCTGGACTTGTCCTTTACGTGTATCTTCAGCAGTTTTGCTGGTATGGAAGACCTTGGCTACAAGATTGATCATAATTGATGGCGCCATCCTCACAATCTAACAACAGCTCACCCAGAGCTCACAGGCGGGATGATAGCAACCTCATCGCCCTCTTTTATGACAGGTTCGCTCGCACAGTCCTCGGGAATATCGACATATTCGAGATTGACAGTGACAAGACAGCTCGCTAGCACCTTGGCCTTCATCCCATTATACTTCTCGTCGAGTGTGTCGAACAGCTTCGAAAGTGGTAAGGGGGCAGGCAAACTTTCATTGTTCTTGGATGTGTATGAACTTGCAGATGCGAAATAGAGGATGGTGAAGTGACCAGCAGGAGCTTTGAGAGTAGGCATTTCGCAGGCTATCTATGATTCCAATCGTCAGCTTAATCCACAGCTGAAATGTTCGATTCAGAAGGGAGCTCAAAAACAATTATCAGAGATCTTGGTGTAGACCACATCTCATGGTCTGCAAGCAGACACATGATTCAGGTAATACATGCTATTTTTGTTCATCACGTAGAGTAGGAGCTTTGCGAAAGAATTGAGAATTTGCTACTTACTAGACAGACATTAAGAGTTGATGCGACGAGTTGTTTGACGGGTCTTGAAGACCGACAAGGACGAAGATGATTTCTCGTGCTTGGAGAAAAGAAATTCATGATTTTGATGGGAATTTTTGAAGCATGGGCACGGGCTTCTAAGAAGTCCAAGCTCATCGCGGTCCGACATTCTTCCAGAATCGCGATCGCGTCTCCCGAAATTTATTTTCGCTATGGCCAATTTGGTGATGACAAGACTGCGAGACCCCCCCGTCACCAATCTATCTTTTATCCCATACCTAGGCTATGTTGCAGACTTTCCAAGCTCGAAAGAAAGCGACCCAGTCCTTTGTTTGTTGGCAATGTCTAGCAAGAATCCATCAATCATCGAGTAGCACCCAAAGACCACGACATATTACTAGGACATTTAGAACGTCAAATGCAGAAGGTCATGACCCTAAAAGTCCAAAGCTGGTGTCCGGTTTCCGTCGATTTGTAATTATTTTCCATTCTACCATCTTCATTGTTTGACTAACATCTTCAGGCCCTGCCAGGGGACCCAGCTCCATCCCCTACCCCCCAAACTGACAGCAATATACGAGAGCGTTTCCGGGAATGGGAGATCGCCAACACTCAGTCTCACACACTCTTCACGCCGCTTCGAAGGGATGATACCTTTGGGGATGTTACAAATACCGAGCGGAATTATGATATACTAGTTGACATAGATTGTGACACGGAGAGCATCGACGAGGAGAAATATCAGCAATTGTTTGAACGAGATGAACTAGTTGATGTCGGGGTCAAACGGACGTTCTTACTTCCAGGAGATCTTGTAGAGCTGAGGTAGGCTCTCAACCAGATAAGTGTTTGTCAAATACCATAAGTGCTCACCTCGGATAGATTTTCAGGTGGTCGTTCCCAAGAGCTCGCCATTTACATTCGAGAGCTAGAATCTCAGGGCCAATTTTATACTGCGTCTGGTCGATGGGCACACCGACAAATGAGTCAACCAAAATTCTACGTACCTGGGTTTGTGCAGCCTAGTGAGCTCGAGGAATTGCTTCCGTACCTCCCAGAAACGGATGTTACAAAGGATATGGAAGACAAGCTGCAACAGTTTACAAAGTCTCTTCCACGGAATATTGGCAAGAACCTCCTGAAGAAGATGGACGACTTTAGGATGGATGCAGATAAGACCTATCTTGCTGCCGCTTCAGTGCTTGAAAATGCACACCAATACGTCTCAGAACATGGAACCTCGAGATATGCAACACTAGATCAAATAGCAGATGTTCTGTTAGATACTGTTGTGCCGAAAGATGAAAACGGCACTTACTCGAAGCCTGATCTCTATGCCGTTCACCGTGCTATTCTCAGCTCTGATATTGGCTTCCGAGTTCAGCCCAAAGGAACCCTTCGCTCAGGAGGGTCTTACGAAATTCTTTCTCAATTGGAAGTCAGCGAAATGGGCAGGGTTACCCAGTATATTAGAGCGTACGCCGATAGGATGACACCGACACCTGGAGCTATAAGAGCCTCTTGGGTACCACTCCTTAGCTTCTTCCAAAAGTGCCGGCGCTTAATAGATGAGTCGAGGTTACACCGTGAATTTACACCTCACGGTACTATAGGGCCTTGCACGCGGAATCAGGATGATGACAATCACTACCGATTGGGCACCCCCGGAGAAGAATTTACTGGTACGGATAGCCTATTTATCAAATTCATTGAGTCTTGGGCGTGCTTAGGCAACTTCAACAGTGGTTCAGCCATGAATGGCTTAGCCTCGTCGTTATTACGCTCCCTAGGACGTTATAACGATAGCGTTTTGGACCGAAAAGCGGGGTGGACTTTCTTACAGGAGATAGGCGCCATTCCACCCTGGGAATCTCGGCCTGCATATGAACTGCGACTGCCTTCAACTGGTGGTAGAAGGCTTACAACCGCAACATACCCGCCTTATCACGAGAATGCTTTTACTGAGGACAAACTTGTCGGCATTCGAAAAGATTGGGGAGAACTTCACGTCTTTTGTATTGATCAAGCCGATGCTCATGAAATCGATGACGGTATCTCTGTGGAAGCAACCGAGACGCCAGATGAGTATTGGGCACACATTCACGTCGCCGACCCATCATCCCTCTTAGATCTAAATTCTGAGTTGGTAAAGAATGCGGAGAGAATGGTCCAAAGCATTTATCACCCAGAACGTTTCATTTCCATGCTTCGACGAGACTTCGTTGAAAAGCACTCGAGTCTTGCACCAAACCGACCCTGTCTAACGTTCAGTGCCAGATTGAACCTGAGTGGGCAACTCTTAGAGTACAAACTGTCAGCTGGTATCATACAAAATGTGGTATACATCAGCCCCTCTGTCTTTGAAGGGGTCGCATCAGGGAGACCTGAAAGCTCTGAGACTGATGGAGTCGTGCGTATTGTAGGCTCAGGCTCTACCTCGGCAGCTCCTTCAAGAAGCATGACCTCAATTGAACAGCTTTCAGATGAACAGAAGAGGCAGTTGAAAATACTGCATCAAATTGGAATTACCAACGCAAAGAAGCTACATTCAAGAGGGGGCTTTAACCAGGGGCAAGCGAATTTAGACGTATCCGTTTATTTCGACGGCGCCCCGTGGAAGAAGCAGACCCCTCTCTGCAGCGTTCGTCATCATGGCGATCCAACCATCAAGCTGGTTATCCCGGAAGAGAAAAACCAACCCATGGGTGCTTTGGGATACATTATGCAGCTCGCGGGTGAAGTTTGCGCAAGGTGGTGCTCTGCTCGAGGCATCCCAATTCCGTATCGAGTCACTCCTGTCAATCCAGACAAACAAGATCCGGCGGAATACTTCTCCAAAGTCCTTCTCCCGTCTCGGAATAAGGAAGGTTTCGCACCATCAGATATTACACGAAAATATTTCAACTTGGTCGGTGCGGCTCAGCCATCGCTAACTCCTGGGCCACACATGACTGTCGGGGCAGAGATGCTCACCAAGTGCACGAGTCCACTGCGCAGATTCCCGGATCTCTTAGTACATGCGCAGATAGGTGCTACTCTGCTTGAAGAAGCCCGGCTGGGCAAGCCTCTCGTCGGCAACACAAACGACGATTTCCTTCCGTACAGTGCGGACCGAATTAGCGCTCTGCTGCCTCAAATCGATACTCGCGAGAGGTCGCTAAAGAAAGCCGAGTCAGATGCAAAGCGAGTATGGCTCAATCACTTTCTTGTACGTGCGTGGCGTTTCAAGCAGGCAGAGCTTCCGCCCACGTTGACTTTTTCCGTCAGAAGCATCGATGAGTACAATGGTATCATGGGAGGGAGCATCGCAGAATTTTTGACTAGAGGTCAATGCTCGATACCGGACTGGCTTGACGCTGATGATATTAAGCCTGATGATAAATTTGAGGTGGAGATTGCTGATGTCGATGTGTATTGTGACCGAATTTTACTTACGGCTCTTCGACGCGCAGAGCCTTCTAAGAGCGTGTAGCAGCAGCTATCTATTAATGGGATAATAGTTCCCAACTGTACAGTGCAATATCCATGTATCATATTTGTACACTAAGGCTCACGCGGAGCAAAACTACATAGGAATGCAAAACTTCATTTCCCCTCAAGAATACCATTATAAATACCCGCCTATGAGACAAAACAAACCACGTCACATATCACAACAAAAGCAACTCAACTACCACGCCCTTGCGATTGTTCTTTGCATCTTTTCTCATCTCACTATCTGAGGAAATACTCATACAAATTCCACAAAATGCACACACCAATAACCACCATCTCGCTTCTAGCGCTTTTCTCACTTGCTATAGCTCAAACATCAAGTAGGTCTGTAAGTATATCTATCTCTATTCGAGAAGAAAAGGGGTTAAGCTAGCTACTGCTTGCGGCAAAAGAAGTACCGCTCGCCCTGGCCGTCCTCCCTATACCATCCATCCACCTCAACCCGCTTCCCGAAATCCACTCCAGCACCTCCATGCCCATGCCCATTTTGACCCCCACATCCACATCCACATCCACATCCACACTCTCAACAAGCCCATCATACTTTTCGTCCGCCATATCCACAACTCCCTCACCCTCATCCTCATCCTCATCCTCAACCCCAATACCCTCCTCCACACCCACACCCCCATCGTCAACCACAATCTCAAGCCGACCAAGCAGCGGCATGTCGATCCTAAAGCACTAGCATGGGTTGCTGGTGCGGTGGGGATTTTTGTGCTTGCTTGAGTGAGTGAGTAGCTGCGTATCTAGGTAGGCAAAGGAAGGAGTAGGTCGGTTGGGTGGCATTTTTCTATTTTTGGGGTTGGCGTTTTTGGTGTAATTCGGAATTTGGGGGTTTGCTATCAATTGATTAATTCACTCGCTCGCTCTTTGAGCATACAGAAAGGTAATGACTATGACTTTGGATTGTCTTGAAGGGCTTTGGAGTTTAGAATATGTAGAGTGTCTTGAGTTACATATGCATTGGGTTGTACTGTCTCCAAAGCTCTCGATATATGCTAATGTAAAATGGGGTGGATGAATATAGGTTTCCAAAGGGAAGAAACGACAGCATCCAGTTCGTAAATGCGCTAGCTACTATGGACAGTCTAAATCGCACTTAAGCCCTATTTCTAAGTGTATATGAAATCTTTGATATACTTGATCCCGGGTTTCATCTTGACTAATGGAAACTGCGGATAAAATCAATGGCATTGGTTACTACGCCTATATGGGACGTAGAACTTTCCCCACGCTATGTATCTTAGAGAAAACGCCGGGAAAAGGATTCCAGCTGAGGAACATTGCAATGAAGAGTGTGGTAAGCAGCCCCGAAGTGATATATGACCAACTCTTACCGTTCAGTGGCGGCAGCCTAACTTTGTGCGACATCAGCGCCGATGCCAAATAAAATGTTGAACTTCCGAACACCGAGTTGTGACACGAGTGTTATTACTGATATTGTGACAGCCTCGAGAAAATATAACCGGACCCGATGTCAACCGCCCAAATCAAGTACCCCAGACGCCTCATCCACCTCCGCTTTTCAACAGCATCCCCACAAAAGCATGTAATTGTTCCCCTCATCATAGGTACGAGGAGCTTCCGCATCTGGAAGTGTACTGTTCTTCGGACCGACCGAGAGCTTTTCGGCATATAATGTTCGGGCTATAGAACGGGGTATGAAAGCGGCGGTCTGGGCGCAACAGGTGTTGGTCGAAGTCAGCACCTTAGGCCCCCCACTACCGCCTGGTGATAGATAATCTCCCCCACGAAGAAGTATTACGATAAAGAGAGACCTTGCAAGCAACGGCGGATAAGGTCCAATGAAATAAGGCAGACCTGAACGACCAGACCGTCATGGGGTGGTGCCATTGTAAGGTTTTTGGGAAGCAAATGAGTAGCAAGCGCATGCAGAAAAGCTTTGATAGAGGCTACTAAGACATACTACGGACTGGCTATCCATAAATATGCCAAAAATATTACATCCCCAAGTCAACGAGTATGAACTCTAGAGAAGTGCCAAATTATAGGTTCGAGTGTTGTGCACGTGATTATATCCTTTTCGATGGAGCAACTTGTCCCAGCAGGCGGGAAAACACATTAGGGCAAACTCACCGCTGTTTCCACACGGGATGGTGCTTCTTCTCTTTTTTCTTGGGAAAATCGGAAGTGATATAGCAAATCGTCAAGGGTGGGGACAACATCTGAGCTGATCAAAACGGGTAGCTGCAGATGCAGATACCCGTAAGACAAGGTATTTTCGTACACTCCGAAGCTCGAACAGCGGGGAACAAATTCTATCATTTTTTACCAGCTTGTCAAGGGCCTGGGAGAGGGTCACCTTGCTCCCCTGCCTCTGTTAGAACAAAATAAGTGAGGAGATTCGGCTGGGGAAGAATGAGACATTTGAAGAAAACAGTAGATTCTGTAACCCCCCTTCTCCCGCCGTGTGCCCACATGAGAATACTCGGCGGCGCGAAAAATATCAAGAGAGTATAGCTTTCTTTGAAGAGATATAGAACCTTGTTCTAAACTGCTTTCGTGATATAGCGATCGGTCTATGTCTTGCCTGATATAAAGAGAGAAATGAAGAAACTAAATACAGATTGCTCGTTCTCGTGCGACGTTTAAACATTTACACGTAAACTCAGTCAGTCCATTCCAGGCCAGTCCACTCCAAACCCCACGGTCACACCAACGTTCGCTTCCACGACACATTGCACCAGTTGTGATGGCTCCGAGAGGCTCCAGTACTAGGCAGGGTCTGGTTGGGTTGCCGTCCGATCCTCCCCTTCCCACTCCCCCTCGAGAGCGAAGAAGAATCTCTAGGCTAAGGAGTAAGGCTCAAGCCAAGGTAGGAAACTGGAGGTTTGACGACAGCAAGTGAGCGCGATGGCCGCCATTATTAATGACAGAGTAGCTGCAGCAGTAGCCTGCATGCACACCACGAGATGGGGGTCATCCTCCTGCAGGTGATGATGCAGCGGATAGGGTACGGTATGGGCCTTCGTATATGAATCCAGTGAAGGGATCCTCAGTGGCTGCATGCCAACGTGCGGAGCACGCCTTAGCGAGTTGCTGGGAGATAGAATAGATACCTAGCCTAGGTACATGTGGTAAAAATCAATTAATTGATGGAGACGATGAGTTTGAGGTAGAGTTTGTTGTCGTTGTATTATAGTATCGGCTAATAGAGTTGATGATAGAATAAGGGAGAGGAGAGGGGAGAGGGGAGAGGGGAGAGGGGAGAGAGAAGGACTGGGAGTACCTAGGTACCTGTACCTACACCTACCTACGTACCTACCTAACGACCAACGTTGAACTTCAAGCCCGTTCAACATCACCACTTCTAATTGATCCTCTCCCTCGTAATTCTCACACTTACTCCCTTCCTCATCACACACTCTCGCCTTCCTGTCATATTAACGTTCACATGCTAACAGGATAGCAATTGCTTCCTTTTCCTTTTCCTCTCCTCTTTCCGCTTTCCTCTTTCCTTTTTCCCTTTTCCTCTGGCCTTCCCTTCTTTCTCCGAACTGATTGCTACAATCAGCCACTGCTGGCATACGGTACTGTGCTGTACTGTAATTGAGCAAGCCCACCAATTGCACTCTTGCCGCATCACTCATCCCACGTTGCCTTGCTCAACAACACAACCCCCCACCCCACCCTACTGTACAATCACAATCAATCCATCCGAACAATCTACCTCTCTCCTTCACTTGTCGCTGGCTGCTGGCTGCTCAGGCATTCAAGGTCAAACCCAGCAAGTCAAGACTACTACTACACTACTCGCATCACTCGTACTGGCTGCGACTATTCGTAAACAATTTCAGTACTCTACTGTTCCTATCTACTCCGACCTTCGCATCTCTCCTCCCCTCCTCCCCTCCTCCCCTCGCACCTCGGCCGATTTCGTGTACAACACACCCTTCCAACCAAATCAAGACAGTCTTGGATCCTCGTCTTGTGCAGCATCGGCGGCACTATACAGCGCATTTACAACCGCTCCATATCCACCAACCCTCTCCTCTCCACTTCCAGATCGGCCGGCCCAGTCTTCGTTCGTGCTGCTTCCCGCATCGGTGCGTCGCCAATTGACCCCCCTGGTCGATTTCGTGCCCACCTATACAACCCCTCGACTCCAGATTCCTCATTCATCCGGGCTACACCAGACTTCATCAGCCCACGCCCTCTGCTTCGTAACACTTCCCCTCGAGCTTGATGCTACACAAGGAAAAAATACTCCACCTTCAGTCGTACATTTCCCCTTCATCCCATCTATGACATCGGATCTCGCAGACGAGGAGTACCGGCACGAGTAGGACAGCGCAATGCTACTGGATCCTTTAACTCCCCCCCAAGACCACTCCATATCTCCTTCTGGCAACGGCACATACAATGGAAATAGCTTCACATCTCCTGTGGGATCAAATTCACACAACTTCACTGGACTTGCGAATACCTTTGCGCCAACACCAGTGAGCGATATGGGCCTAGATAACCGGGACGAACGGGGGGAGTTGGCACAGCAAGCCGACTCCTATGATTCCATGGATGAAGACCAAGATATGTCAGATGGAGGTGCGGCTTTGACTATGACTCTTTCACACGCGGAGGCATTGAATGCTGAGCTAGATCTGCTAGACGCCGAAGTCATGGGCCCCGATAACTTCACCAGTCTGCATATTGATACGCACTTCTCATCTATGGAAAATCACCACAACCAAGACGTATCTCTCCATACCGGTCTGCCTGCTTTAGAGCCGCATTCACCTCATTCACAAGACGAGCAGGAGAACAGCGTTGCCACCGATTCCATGAATACTCCCGATTTGCCAGCAACAATGTCACAAGTATCTCAACACCTGCAACACATCCAGGACGGGCAAGAACATGTGGAATTGGACATAGTGACAGATGAACATGGGACATTCACAAACAACAGTACTCATCCCTTTCTTGTGCCCTATATTCCTCACTCTCAAGTAATACATCAAACAATGCATGGTTCTGCTGGACCATCGCAAGTTGCCGATTACGTGTCACTCCCAGATATCTCTTCAGTTCAGAGTACAGAAATGACTGCAGTGCTTCCATTTGCTTTGGAGAGTGGTATAGGCCTTGCATCTACAGCCGCAGCAACGAATGACTTGGTGCAACCTCAAAGCCCCCTAAATGCATCTCATTTATCTTTCGTGGATATGACTTGGGAAGAAGAGTCCGACGCTGACCAGCATGAAGTGGAAGACCAGTCAAATTTAAGCCTAGGAGACTTCCTCTACAACTGGGGGATGTCGACGTCTCCAAACGACGAATCGAGAAGACGGAACCGAGGTCCGATTCTGCCTGTACTTCATCGGCAAAGGTTTGTCGAGAATCTTCAACCAATCCGACGTAGTGATCTACAGGGGGACCTGTGTGACATCCAGAGGATCAATTGGACCGAATTAGGAGTCTCTCGGCTTGAGGCCAGACAAATGCGACGACAAACTTACAGCAACTATACCAATGTCAGACTTACGCACCAGTGGCATGTGAGTATTCTTCCTAGACTTGGTATTGACAGAAGCTGACTTGATGATTCAAGCCACGGCTTAATGGTGCGAGGCTATCGGACCACGAGAACTTTTTCAAGTTTCGGCGAATGGACTTCGATCACAATGTCCACTTGACACATTTTCAACTTAGGAATCTCATGTCCTGCGTATCCCGAGATAACATTTTCTATACTAGCAAATCAAAAATTCTTCAATGGAACCCCTCGAGCACCACCAAAGGCCCAGAATCCGTGGTCATGAACCTCGAATCTCCAAATGTTCAGCCATTCCATGCGGCTGCTTTTCCAGGTGGCATTCAAATCTCTACATTGGCTGCTGGGCATGACATTCTTGTTGCTGGTGGGTTCTGTGGAGAGTATGCCCTTGTGAATCTGAGGTCACACAAGGACACTAAGCACTCTGAAGGTCTCCTTACCGATGAAATGAACAGCATCACGAATCATATTCAAGTCCATTCATCTCGGAGCTCCTCCTTTCCTGTGGCTGCTTTCGCCTCAAATGACCAGGGCTTTCGAATTCTGGATGTCAATACAAATCAGTTCGTCGCCGAGCACAAATATGACCATGCCATAAACTGCAGCGCCATCTCACCAGACCAACGCCTTCGAGTTCTTGTGGGTGACACCCGGCAAGTCATGATCTGCAATTCGGAAACTGGAGAGGTCCTCCAGAGCTTGGATGGACATCGTGATTTTGGATTTGCGTGCGACTGGGCAGATGATGGCTGGACTGTCGCCACCGGAAATCAGGATATGCAGATCAAAATATGGGATGCAAGAAAGTGGACTTCTAGTTCCGGAATTGCCCAAGCGGTTGCTACGATCGCAGCTGAAATGGGAGGTGCCAGGAAACTCCAATTTTCACCTGTGGGTTCCGGAAAGAGGGTTCTTGTTGCGGCAGAGCCAGCGGATTTTGTCAGCGTAATTGATGCGCAGACCTTCACGAGCAAGCAGACATTGAGTTTCTTCGGCGAGATTGGGGGCGTGGACTTTACAAATGACGGGCAAGACTTGATCGTGGCCAATTGCGACAGCATGAGGGGCGGTATTATGCAGTATGAACGATGCGATTTTGCTGGAGACGGACTTCATGGGCTCGAAGCCTTACGAGAAAAGTCCGACAGATATCGCCGGAGATCGACGGGGTTTGACTGGATGTCTGATGATGAAGATCTCGTCAGTCATTCAAAGTCAAGAGGAACTATCACTCACCGACAAAGAAGGGCAGCACAGCTTGGAGTCACGATGGACCATTTCTAGACGCGAAGAGCACTGTACAGTTACGCCCTTTGAGAGTCTGAAATGGTCCGATATTTTCTTTTGTCAGCATCAACACCACACCGGCGTTTTATTTCCTTTTCAATGATACCACGGATGAATGGATGGAATGGAAGGATGGAAGGATGGAAGGGAGTCTAGGGCATTGTCTCTCACTGAGACTTTTTATTTTATAATCATGAGGTTACGCGTAGCGTGGCATGGCATGGCATTTACCGGCGTCATTCATTTTATCTTGCGAGGCATTTTACATTTACACTTTTCCTATCCGGTTCGGCGGCGTCTCCTGCATTACGGCACATTGCATGGATCTGGATACCGTTTTTATGACCTATGCACGACAAACATATGGAGGGCAATAGCATTCAAGATGTATTTAGGGTGATGGAACATGGGGGATAGACTGAATGTTTTCATGTGAGTGCATGGAACGTTTGCGAAGCGAGAATAAGTTATAGGATTAGGGGCGGAAGGTGTGATTATAGTACATAGTCGTAAATGAATCAATCAAGATTATTCATCGTTGTACAATCTGCTTGCAGGGAAATCAATGTCTCATAAGATGTCATTTCCTGTCTCTGTTCTGCTCCGAGTTAAGCTTGTCGCCTTCTCGTACACTTAAGCAAGATCCTCCGGGGGTTTTTCATTGCAACTTCTCTATTGATCCTTTGACACAAGGCAAGGCAAGAAACAGTCTTCGTAGCCGTTCAAGGCTCTCTCTGGAATCCAAATCCAGACAGAAAAGAAAAGAAAAGAGACACCAAGTGACTGACATGGTTCATGGCTATCCTATGCCGTTCGTTCTGTTACTCCGTACATAGTCGCTATGTGCGAAGAATAAGTAAGATTACATACCTTGTTCCTTCACACTACTCTTTCTTCTCCAAGTCCTACCTACCTACCTACCTACCTACCTACCTATTATAAGCGTTATCTGTACATGTCAAAGCATGACATAAGGTAAGAAAGGGCAGACAGCAAGCAAATTGTCCTATTGATATACTAAAGGATTCGATTGGTATAAGTTAATAAACACTAAAAGTTACGTACAGTAAAACCACAATCATAACATCGACCGAGGCCCCCTGCCCATAGACAAGGATATATTCCACATCGCATCGCATTGAAACTACTGACATGCCATTATATGCACAAGACACGAAACTCAGAGATAACTACCTTAGCTTCATTATCTTCTGAAAGATACTCCCTCTTTTCTCCAGATCCAGACCAGCTCAAGTAAAGCGTGATTCTATATCCTTCCCTCCACTTTATTTTGTACATTCAGAACAAAAGATAAAGATGGCGATACTAATGAGGCTGATTGATGCTTGGCTGCATTTAGAGGCTTATGTCTACGAAGAGATGGATAGAGCCCCAGAACTGCTCGCAGTTGAGATCACCTGGCGACTTCCACATATCGTTCGTGAAAGAGAACAGGGCTGTCTTTCCTCCAACCGCCTTCGTGATGGCATTGATAGCGGTAACCTGGTGGTCCTCACCGGGGCATGCCAAACCGTTGCATTCACCGGAAGAAGGCCATCCACACTCCAAGTTGATAGCGGACTTGCCTGCGCAGAGATTGTCGGCGATCTGAAGCTGGGCGAGGGTGAATGATCCAGCTTGATCGGGCGAGACGTCCGCGTTGAAGAAGGGATGGATGTTGGCACCAGTGACATCAACAAGGGGGCATAGAAGGTCGGTGACACCGCTTTCTTGCCAGACGTTAAGGGGCTCAGTGGTCGTACATTGGCCGGAGTATCCAGCGCCGCTGAACTTGGTCTTGCAGGATGAGATGAAATCGGCGAGTTCCTGCACAGTGCAGTATTTGTTGAAAATTGCCTCATTACCGATGACGATAAGCTCGACGAGGTCCCATTGAGCCCATGCCACGATGTCGCTGACTTGCTCTTCGGCTTTTGAGATACCGTTCGTGTCGATGAAAACACCGAGGATTAATTTCAGACCAGCGATCTTGGCTGCCTTACCAACGAAGTCGAGGGTCGAGCAGTCGGTGCTGTAGAGACGGACAGATTTGAAGCCAGCGGTCTTGATTGCCGCGATGTCAATTGCGACCTGGGCCTCGCTCAAGCATCCACCTCCGCTGGAAGAGTAAGGGGTGTAGGTCATAGCCCACTGGTCGCCACTTGATCCGATGCTGACACTGCTACCAGAGCTCGAGGAGCTCTTTGGTGCGGAGCTGGAAGCAGAAGCAGAGCTCTGTGCCTGGGAAGCTGACGATACTGGTAGAGCAAAGAAAACAGATGATGTGGTGGCTGGAAGAGCAACTGACACCGATGATGTGGTGGTTGGTGGAGCAGCAACGGACGAGCTAGTGACTGGAATAGCAACGGACGAGCTTGTCACTGGAATAGCCACGGATGAGGTAGTTACTGGAAGGGCAACAGACGAAGTGGATGGAGCAGCCGTCGACGAAGCGAACGGGCAGAAAACAACAACGTCGGTTGCCGTGATGGTCGTCACAATCAGGGGTTGAGTGTAGGTGCCTGGTGCGTATGAAGCTGGGGTTGGGAAGACGCAAGTTGTCGCAGCAGAGACACTGGTGGTGATAGGAGCAATGGTGTATGTACCGGCCGAGGGGCAGACATAGCTAGTGGTCAAGATGGTGCTCGTGACAACGCCCGAGTTGGTAGAAACAGTGGCATAGGGGCAGACAACAGTTGTCGCAGTTGTAACAACGGTCACAACGCCTCCAATGGTGTTAGTTCCAGGGGTGACCGTCGCGGATGCAGGAGCGCAGACGGTGGTGGACGAGGTCAGGGTAACGGTTGTAGCTGGGATCGTGTAGACGCCCGGGGTTGGGCACGTAGTTGCCAATGGGGTTGGGACGTTGGCAATCGTGCTTGTTGAGCTGACAAGAATCACGGTTGAGCTGGGGGCTGAAGATGTGGTTGGGACGGCGGAAGAAGAGTTCAAAGATGGCGATATGATTGGTATCGGGGCTGAAGAGCTCGGCGCTGAAGATGTGATCGGAACTGATACTGAAGTGTTTGAAAGTGCGGCGGGTGGTGGTGGAGGGGCAAGGGCTATAGGTACGACGGTGGCTGTAGAAACAGGAGGCAGAGAAGCTATAGATGGATGGTATTAGCATATGTACTCAATATCATGATCAAGATCCCAATTGGAGTCTTCAACGTACCGACACCCTCTCCGGCGGTCACGGTGACCCAGACTGTCGTGCATCCGCAAGTTTCTCCAGGTGGAAGGGAAGTTACAGTGACCAGCTCTCTAGGCATCTCGTGGTGGAATGCATTGTGAGCATGACGGCGGGCAAGGTGACTTTTCCCAGCACTGACACCAGTTGCAATTGCCGCAATGGTAATGGCTACACCTGCAGACCTCATCTTGAGTGATTACTTCTTTGTGTTGGTTGCGCAGAAGGGTATTATTCGTATATAGTTATAGGAAGGTATTAGAGTTTCGTGAAGACGTAGGGGTAGGTATCGACAATAACGAGTGCCCGCTGAAAGAGTGAAGCGGTAGTGGTAGTGGTTTGAGGAGGATGGAAATGAAGGTACGACGGTGTATCACAGCATCAACATCGACAACAGAGAGAGAAAAGAAGGGTGTAGCGGTTGGGGGATGTGGAGTAGTATATACCCAACTAAGGGCCTCCAAGATGACCCTTGCTCGTACCCCTGTCAACGTGTGCCCGTACCTGACTGATATAGCGCCGCACTACTGCTGGGTCTTTCATCGCTTCGGGCCCGCCAAGTGCACAGTGCAGTAGCGGGTGGCCCAGGGAGAGTGAGATCGCTGTTTATTGATTTTATAATTTGATAAAGGGGATACTTCTCTTTGGCTGCAATTGGTCCCAGGAGGGAAAAAGGAGAAGGGCGAGGTATAGCCAGTCGGGCTTTTCATCTTCTATGTAATTTGCGGGGAGAAATCCACGCCCGCCAAGTGCCACTGACGATTGGCTTCAACGGTCCAATATTACCGCTGCAATTCAATTCAATTCAATTCAATTCATATGTCCTCTCATAGACTCATGAATAGATCATAGTCTTCTCAAACCGGTCATCCCCACATACCCCTTTCCACTCTTCCCTATAGGTGGGTTGTCCATAACGAACAAACAATATTGTCCGTCACCGTCACCGTCATGCAAGGTAATGCAAGGCAAGGCAAGGCAAGGCAATGCACGCTCTGAGCCCGAAAAGGAAACATACCACACACCGGTCTCGCCTCCACTAACCTTAATTCAGCCCCCCTGCTGGCGGGGTCTTGCCGAATCCGTTCAGATCTTCCCCCTGAGTTGCAGGGCCCAAGCGAGAAAAGGAAATTGCATGATTGCATGGATGGATGCTCGCTGCTCATCTGCCGTACGGCGTACTTACTGTTCGTATCATCGTCACCGGAATCCGGAATCCGGATACGATAGGATAGGATAGGATAGGCAAACTCTATGTCTCTGATACGGCTCCTCTTACTTGGGTCTATGCCATTATGGATATGCTCATCATGAATACGAGTACCGCCAACCACTTTAGTTCAGTTTAACCGACATGCCGAGACAAGTGAGGAACCTGCTCCATTCTTTTCACAAACGCAAGCCAACTATAACCATCGTAAATGAAAGGAACTATTCCAACAGGAACTCTTCATTAATTCAAAAGGTCATAGACCAACACCTATCCTATGCAAAGCACGCATTACTACAATGACCAAAGGCAGCAAAAACGCCTTCTTAGCAACCCAATAAGCCCAATTTGGAAACAGGCTATGCGAACAACCAACCAATGCATCCCTCGACCCATCTTCATACATTTTAGATCCCCACATCCGAGTACTCGTCCTCATACCCAGGATGCTGCCGAGGATAAAGACCCGTCATCGTACTGCCCTCTTTACTGCCCCATGCACTAGCTTTGAGCCTGCGCTCCTTCTCAAACTCATCCCATCGCTTCATCGTGATCTTGGAGCTGTCAAACTCGCCTTCGTACTCAATCCCCGCTTTCTTGGTCTTTTCACCGGCCGTCTTGCGGGTATCGCCCCACGAGAAGTCATCGAATTTCCAGAACGCGTAGGTAGGGAGGACAAAGTTCCAGATGGGCAGGGAGATCAGGTAGATTAACATCCAGACGACGTACGACCAGCGGTGAGCTGTGAGGACGATGAGAACACCGGGCAGACCGAGGATCAAACCTAAGAGCACGAGTGGAATGACTTGTACCGTATGAACGATTGAGTCGATTACTGTACATATCATTAGCAACTTGATTCCCAGAAGACTCGCACTTTACTTACCGACGTAGAAGGTGAATGCAATAGCGGCAGGGAGGACCAAAGTGCCAGTAAGTTCGATACCGACAACGAACTGCATACTGAAGCAGAAGGTACCACACAAATCCCGGACGAGGACAAGTTCCATGAGATTGTGTACGGTACTGTTGATCCATCTACGTCTTTGAGACAACAAGACGCTGAACTCCTCAGGCACGGTAGTTTTGCATACGGCCTGTGGAACAAAGACTTGTTTACGCTTAGGGAACGTTCGAAGCATGAGCGTCGAGAGGTATCGATCTTCTCCCAGCAAAAGCAGATTTTTCTTGTGCAATGTGTCGACAATGTTTTCAGAGTAGTGCTCCACAACATCAGGATTGGCCAGGATAGGAACCCAGAAGTTCGCGCCTCCCTTTGGTGCCTTGATTCGGTACATGCAGAAGCATCCGGGGAGACAGGTGACACCACCGAAAACCGATTCGAATGACTTGGACAGATGATGGGAGATGAAATATTCAAAGACTTGAATGGCAGAAACCCATGTAGCTCTCTTGTTGGCAATCTTCGTCTCTCCGCAAAGACCCATGATCTCTGGATCTTTAACCATGGCAGAAATCATGTGCGTCAAACTGTCGGGGAACACTTTCGTATCGGCGTCAACCATCAAAACAGTCTCGTAGTAATGGGGTTTCATCCCAGTGACCTTCCATAAGCAGGTAAACATCTCGAATTCCAGCTCCGTCATACGCTCGTCGAACATGACCTTTTGCAGAAAGGACATGAGGATAATTTGACTGTCGCGCTTGCCTCTGTTACCTGGCTTGCTCTTGCTTGCCTCGTCGGGTGTACCACACTTAACCACGCACATCATTGCCACACGCTGTTGCCTGTCCGAGGGAATGGTCGAGTTAGCACCATAATCGTAGAATCCCGAGTAAACCTTGGCCATGTTGTGTCTCTTCGATCCACTTGAGACTGCAACATAGGAGAATGCCGGAACCTCATCAGGAAGAACGGCATGGTCTTTCATCATGCTCAAACAGATTTCAGGTGTTGACATGGTTTGTCCCTTTCCTTTTATCATACCATCACAAATGACAAGAAGGACCTTGTGACTGTTAGGATAGTCCGTCATGGCGACCGAGTCAAGAGTGGTCCGAATAGCAAGTTCGTCTTCTGAGTATGCAGTGACAAGGCAAATAGTGTGAACAAGAGGGTAACCAAACGGTTGCCAATCGGCAGGCGGCTGAGGCACAACGGCTTCATGGATATAACCTGCTGGGCCTGGTCCTTCGATATCTGTTTGAGCGCCATATCCATTTGAATCGGTCCGCAAGAAGCTAGTGCGGCTACTGTTTCCCTGATTGAACATTGGCTTGGACCCAATTAGCTGTGCAGTCGAAGTTTGGCTGGCCATAGTAGTTGGTGGTGGGCGACCAACACGGGACAATCGGTTTTCTGGTGCGTACGGGCTTGTGAAACGCGAAGTTGTTGGCAAGAAGGTGCTTCCCCGTTTGCTTAACCTGTCAGACCCAGCTACTGTACTTCCAATATCTCCAGGAATTCTAGGGGGAGCTCGGTAGATATCATCTGACCAATCCTCAATTTGACGGTTTCTCTTTTTTGGATCAGAGGACTGAGAAGTTTTGGAAGCAGCGAATTTACGACTTAGGAACCATTGGAAAAGGAGAGCTAGGACGAACTTGGCTAGGACGATGGCCAAGATAAAGATCAAAGACACGTAGAGAACGACTTTGGAAGCAATGCAACCAATAGTTTCAGTATCCACACTTCCAACCTTAATAATCTGTTCGAAGCATTGAGCCATCGCCTTCTCGTCCTTGGTCTGAAAAGCATGGGTCATATCTTTTCCATGTACCGCCGCATTGGCAGCAGTGGACCGGTCGCTCAGCTGGACGAATCGTGACGGCACTGTGACTTCTGTTCCGTTGAACCATTTCAGCAAATCCAGATCGAGAACGTTTCCGGAGTAAACCATTAGATTCCTAGAGTTATTTTTGATGTCGTCCCAGTTGAAATAAACATCACCAGCGCTCCGAAGGTCGTAGAAAGCCGTGCGAGCGTCTGCGATGGTGTGGCATGAATATCCCAAGTAGTAGGGGATGGTCTTGTTGACAGCAGTCGACCCATCCTGATTGAAAGTCGTGCAGGGGAAGTACCACGCAAGATCTTTGTTTGAATTCGTGGGAACATCTGATCCGGTCGAGAGGGTGATCAGGTCCTTGCATTTTCCATTTACGTTCTGGAACAAGAAGCTGCCGTCTTGGCCGGCATGCTTTTCTGTCAAATCGTATAGGACGTTCGCATTGTCGGTGATTCCTTTAGCAGCAGGATGATGAGATTCTGACAAGTCATACGCACTCCCATGGAAGATCATATATCCTCCACCAACTTCATTTACACGCAATCGAACAGATTGGGTGCCGCAAACAGTCGCCGTGAATCCGAAGGTCAAGAAACCCACAAAACCCATAATATAAAGGATGATACTGATCAAGCCCATCTTTTCCCTCCATGCTCTTTGTTGTGCTCTCGAATTAAATCCAAAGCATTTGAGGACAAAGTCGGGACACCAGAAAGTAACAAATGCACAGTATACGTTCCATAGACTTGGTGGCTTCACAGTGTCTAGGGCCTTTTGTCTTTCTTTCTCTTCCTTGGTCATCTTTGGCGTTCTCTCTCTGGTCAACTTGTTGCCACCAGAGCGGGCCCCATGCCCAGCCTTCTCGGTAGAAACGATATCGTCTGGTCCGGCGCCACGGCCCCGTCTGCTTTTCTTCTTCATAGGAGGGGAGGCATCGGATTCGGCCTCGTTGGACGATCGGAGTCCAGAGGTCTCTGTAGCTGCGGCGTCGGCCTCCAAGTCTTCATATATTGGGTCATTTCCCGTTGAAGAGGGCTGGACAGGCATGTTCGCAGCATGTTGCCGGTAATGATAGTTTGGGTGATCGCGATCGATTCTATTTCGCTCTGGACGGATCAGACTGCGTTTCCGATGTATCTCTCCTCCTCCTGCTCGTAATGGTTGAGCCATTTGCTCATTGGTATGGGTGGGTGTCAGCGGCGAAGGGAGCGTCTCCGTGAAGGATGTCTTTGAGGGTCCGCGAGAATGCCGCGTTGGCGTTGGAGGTGCCATCGAAACGGAACTGTATCCAGCCTCCTCATCATGTCTTCGTCTTGATCGGTGTTCTCGGGAGGGAGAATCATTGACGTTGGGTTGCGACATATTTCTATAGTAAATAGCTCGTCAGAAACTGCTAGCGTTCAGAAGTGCTTTGCGATGCAGAGCTGCAATTCCGCCATGCATGTGAAGTGACAGGCTGGTTGTACGACGGGAGCTGGAAGATCTTGGGATATGTTTGCACAGGTGAACCCTGCCTCTGGCTCGTGTTCCCAAGCAGTGGACAGCTATGTACGTCGAAGCGAGAGTGTTTGTAGTTTCCAAGACGGAAAGGGGGGGAATAGAGAGGTGGAAGTGAAGGTAGCACACGCACGTACAATGATGATGTTGGTTAAGAGTGTAGTTGTCAGTAAAGAATGTTTGTTTGTCAGATTCACCAACCCCTGCTTGTTCAGTTTCAAGCGGGGGCACCGTTCCTTGGTCGACCACAAGCAAGAAGTGGTGGCTTGAAGCAGAGCGGGATCCTTCGCCGAAACTGATAGTTATTGGATGTTGTGATATGATATAGGCAGGCTGTTTGCCGAAACCTTGGACGACAGAAGGGCAGGCTTGAAGAAGAGGTAGGAGGTGCAGAGTTGTGGCTCTTGCCTTAACAAGATTGATTGATCGTGTCGCAGTGGCCGGCGGTTGAGGATGGTGGTTCGACAAAACAGGAAAGCGACAGTGAGGTTTTGTCGTGGTTTCACAAACAAATAGGAGCGACTGGACAGGCCGTGAAAAGGGCTAAATAAACGAATGAGGGGTATACTCTATAGATAGGTGGTATAAAGAGGCCCGCGATGGTCTCCTCCTTGAACGTTGGCGTTGAGCCTTGAAGTTCAAGAGAGGATTGCAGACCTTCCCCTTCGCTGCCCGGCCCAGTTACCCCTACCCCTGCCCTAGCCAATGTTTTGTTCGCTAAAACAGCAAATCCATAAATATGGGCCAGAAGCGGTAAAGAGCCGATTTATGGTGCATCTATTTTCATTTTTGTTGCCCCAGGCGATTCAAATTTGGCAACAACACAACCGCTCTTTTTGCATAACAACAGCTTCATGCGCCTGGCATATCGCATTTCCAGCCTAATATCTCCTCGTACTCAGTAGTCGTATTCCTATGAGAAACTCGCGATACGAAAAGGAAGACAGACGTATTTTTACAGAAGCATCCGATCGATCTTGAATGGTCAGCGAGCAATACGAGGTTCTCGAGTCGAGGCTTGCATTGCCTCATGGGTAGCGTCGTTAGCAATTGTCTAATGAACCTTTTAGGCTATCTATTCCAAAGCTCTGTTACTATTGAAATATGAAAATACATTATCACCGATCTCGAAAGAACTACAGTACATCGGATAGCCTCGGAAGCCCGAGAGAATAAGCTTCTGTAAAGCTTCAAGGAGACGTTGTCGTAATCATGATAACCTTGAAGGAACCCATATGATTCTCCAGGCCTGTAAATATATTTCTTACTTCTTGCACATCTTCTTCTCCCGGAAAATTGCTACTTTTTGATATTTCCTAGTCTGCTCGAGCCTCATCCCGTTCATGGGCATTCTCTTCTCTCGAAATGCCGAGCTTCCACCCGGTGAACCGATGAGATCAGCTCAGGTGCAGAATCTATCAAAACGCCACGAGTTCTGTACAACACAAAGTCCACAAATAGATGCCCACGAAGCGCTTTTATGGGCGCCCTGAAGCGCTCGGCGCTGGTGGAACCTGAGGTGGTTTTACTTAAGGTTAGGTAGGTACCGTATTGGTCGCACATGTGGCGGAGCAGAATTTTTACAACGGGAACGGGAATCTCTCGTACCAGCTTCGGGACCGGAAATAACGGTCCTTGTAGTCACTAGGCAAGCTATGATTTGTGCGGTATGTCAGTAGTGTGCCAAGTTGAAAGGAGGAACATGATGAGAGGCTTCTGGATTTGGAAATGGAAATAGAAATGCACCTTTGCCCAAGAGGTTCACTTTCAGGGGAAGCGCAGAAAATCCCATCATATCATGTGGTTACTTCAGATCTTAGGGCCGGGCCGGGTTCCAACCAGACTTCCCGCGATCTCAACGGACTCACTCTACGAAGTACTACACTAAACTAAAGAAACTCTAAATGGGAGAAAGTAAAAGCTTCAACTATCATCTAACGTCGAGGAGGAGTGAAAGGTGAAGAAATACAGTACTCGGCGTTTAATAGAAGGATCTTTTTGTAGACTCGTGACTTTCTGAGTACGTGTCAGATCTTAGGTAGGTATTGGATTTGGTTTCAGGCCGCGTGCCAGGAATGTACCGGTAGTTTAACATGAAAACATCGTTTCCTCGTCGTCCATAGCAACTTATACCCCTCAATCTTCAGAGGATCTGGAGAACCCTGTCTAAAGCAAAGCTCCGGAAACAAAAGATTCCCGGCGCATGCATAAGGTCAATGCTTGTTTGAAGTTTTGACTTTGATCAGCTACTGTACATTATGATTCCTTCTCGAATTGGATTGCATTTGTTTCCCCGCAGGTTTCACGTCTCTTCAACTGGAAGCAGCCCCTTCTGCGGCCTTCAGTGATGCACCCCACCCAGCAACGGGGAAGGGGAGGGAACACGGCATAAGATCTGAGCAAAAACACCGCAGTATCGTCGCATCGTCCGTCGTATATATTGTATGGTGCAGGGTTTGTGACAGGTCCATCTGTCCCTGTACATGCTTCTACCAAATCCACTTCCAGCACTACCTACGGACTCTTGGCTCTTGAGTGCTCTTGCAGCAGAAAGACCTGACCTGACGTGCTCTGGCGCGTCCGTAGGTACGAGGTAAGTCTTACCTTTCGTACTCGGTACTCGTACTGCACTGTATCCGTTCTTGCCGATTTGGTTGCATACCTACACTACAGTACCGCGGAGTCGGTGTAGCGTTCCAAAGAGACGAGACTTTGATTCATCTGATCCCAAAGACGCGTGAAAATCAACAAAACCAAGCGCAGGCCAGCCCAGCTCACCCAAGATCAATGCTGTATCATTCTGCGCGCTATTCTTGTCCCTAGCACGTCACGTCTTGCTGACCGCAGGACAGACAGGGCAGGTGCAGTGCAGTCGGTCGGTGTAGCTTACCCGCCAAAACAGGGGTGTTGATCGCCACTATAACATTTTGATGTACTAAAAGTACGTGAATCCGAAACCCGTTCGTTAGTACCTCAGGTATCCCATTCACCACCCCACACCACTGAGCACTGCACTGCACTGCCGACCATTGATTGACTCTTCAACCAACATCTAACATGTAAATCTGCTGAGCACTGAGCAGGCCAACAACGACTATTTTTCATTGAATACAGCCTTTCTAAGCCTTCCGAGAAGACTGGCCTTAGTCTGCACATGTACCTTAACCTTCGTTTTTTTTCCTTGCAGAAGCGGCTAGCCCCAGGTAAGACAAACTGCTGGACTCTTCGGAGTCCTGGGAAGACATTCCAGCATAGTTTTCTTGACAAATGCTAATCTGTTTTCGCTGCCGCCAGCATTCCAATTTCTTCCCCAGCTTCCTCTGGCCTTGCGCCCATTTGGCGGAGGAAGAGAAAAGATACTTTTAGAATTTCACCGGGCGCCCGCAAAAAACATCCCACCAACATTAGTCTACAGTCCCAGTACAAGTAGTGAAGAGTGACACACGGCAGAGCCGGCTGCCGTGGGGAAAAGATACGGAGACCAGAACGATTAGCTATAAGTGTCAAGTCGCCGACCCAAAGCTCCTCCAGGCGAACTGCCAGAACATCATGGCGACACTTTCTCCCGAATCGATGAACAGAAGTCCTATGCCTACTATCGAATCCCCGAAAGACTTTTTTGCAGATGGCGAATCGAAAGAGAACATGGGAAGGAAATCTTTGCCTACAATACCTATACCCGTTACAGGGAGGATAGCTGGTGCACCAATGTCTCCAGTTCGAGTGAATGTTCAACAAGGAGACTGGCCACCACGGCCATCAAGTGCCAGGATTGAAGGTGGAGATGGCCATGACAGGCAGATTTCAGTTGACTCCGAAGGCTACATGGAGGAGCGGGAATTGGACCCTTCAGAGCCCAAGATGATGCCAGTTATACAGGATATCCCGTACCGAACAACGTACAATTCAAATAAATCAGGGCAGGTCCAACAACCACAGACGGCCGTCAAATCTTATGTGGACAGTTCAAGTCCAAGGTCCAGTGGTTCCTCGAGCAATAGGAATGCAGCAGGACGCGGGTATCCGGACCGAATAGATGAGAATGGGAATGATCCAACGAATCCTCCAGTGCCTCGTTTGCAATATCACCATCAAGCGCATAACTCAGAAGGGAGTGACAATCCCACACGTCTATCAGGTCGTAATAGTCCAAATGCACCACTAAATAATCCAGTTGAAGCTGGTGTTTCGATAGGTCGTCACTTGACGCCCACACTACAAGGGGCTAGGCGGACCCCTATACAGCAGCAACGGCCTATATCTGCGTATTCTGATATGGGACAGAGAGGACGTTCCCCATCAGGATATATGACGCCACACTCACCAGGCTGGGGAGGGCCGCGTGCTCCTTCAGCAAATTCGGCGAGATCTGATAGCAGGCCAATGTCTTATGTGGACCTGACCAATACGCAATACCCTCAACCACCACCGGCTCCTATTTCGATGGACAATTCGCAGCTCAGGTCCGCTGTGGGCTCAAATGCATCTCTTCTAAGCATGGCAAAGACACTGGACATGTATCGCCAAAATGTAAAGAAGTTGAACGACGCTGAAACTCAATATGCATTTGCCATCTTCCTGATACAAGCTGCACAAGAAAACGGGCTTGGTCAGGATACTGGCCCTGTACCGCGGAAGGTTAGCCCAAAACCTGGGGGGCGCGATCTCGACAGCCCTTACGTCGACAAACCACAATCTTCACCACAAGAATTACTAAGTGAAGCCAAACATATACTGCAGAGATTGTCCGACAAGGGTTATCCCTTTGCTCAATACTATTTGGCCGATGGATATGCATCCGGGCTTTTCAGCAAAGGCAAGGAGGACTACGGGACAGCGTTCCCTCTATTCGTGTCGGCAAGTAAACATGGTCACGCAGAGTCAGGATACCGAGCTGCATTATGTTATGAATTTGGATGGGGCAGCCGGAAAGACCCAGCAAAGGCTGTGCAATTCTACAGGCAGTCAGCTTCAAAGAACCATCCAGGGGCGATGACACGCCTTGGGAGAGCGTGTTTATCTGGAGATTTGGGTCTAAACAAGTATAGGGAAGGCTTGAAATGGTTGAAGCGAGCAACAGAATCAGCGGACATGCAGTATAACGCAGCTCCTTATCATCTTGGACTTTTGTACATTACTGGATACGGTGATGATATTTTCCAGGATGAGGTTTATGCCGCTCAGCTTTTTACACAAGCCGCAGATCTCGGGCATGCAGAATCATGTTACATTCTCGGTGATTCCTACGAGCACGGGAAGTTATCGTGTCCGCGAGACCCAGCACTGAGTGTTCATTTCTACACCGGAGCGGCCCAGCGAAGTCACCCTGCTGCCATGATGGCTTTGTGTGCTTGGTATATGGTTGGCGCAGAGCCCGTGCTTGAGAAGGACGAGAACGAGGCATACGAGTGGGCGCGCCAAGCAGCTGAGTTGGGTATGTATACTTTCATACTGTTTCATACCTCGTTTTATTAACAACACCTAGGCCTCACAAAAGCCGAGTACGCCGTAGGCTACTTCACCGAAATGGGCATCGGCACACGACGAGACGTCCTCGAAGCGAACGTCTGGTACGTCAAGGCCGCCGATGGAGGTGACGAGCGCGCGAAACATAGACTAGCAGCCATCCGCGCCGCCGCGAGCGGCGGCACACCGATGGATGTCGAAGCACCTCGGAACAGCAAGATGAAGAAGACAGCGAGCGGGAACGAAAAGACGGGGCAGACCGATAAGGATTGCATTGTTATGTAAGAATGATGGGAAACATGATGAATGATACAAAACATAGCGAAATGAGGAATAGTATCACTAAAATGGGGAACTTGAAGAATGAATGATTAGGCGTTGATCGAAATGGCATGTCACGTTGTATATATGGCGCGCCTGTTTCGAGTCTCGTTGCAGCATGCATGGTCGGGCGTTTCTGGGCTCTGCGCATAGTTTCGGTGCATAGATTGCAGATGAGAGGGCATAGCTCGGTGGTTGCGAATTGGGCATTGACGGGTTTGTAATTGCATTGGAGCGGATAATCTACGAAATGAGATATGTGGTTTGAAGACACTAGTAGTATACAAGTATACTGCTGCCTCACTTCACTTGACTTGCTTTTCTTCGGTCATTACCTACCTATTCCAATCCAAGATCCTCGCTCCCTACCTACCTACTTACTTACTAATAAGCCATAGTTCCTGGTCCGCTTCCCCGTTATTCCCCCGCCCCCCCCCTTATTCTCTACTATACCTAGCTTCTCAACTGATTTCTCTCCAACAGCGATCCGGCAACGTCCTCGCTTCCCCTTTCCACCGGAACTACTCTCCCTGCTGTACTCCTGTGCCCTTTCATTCTCTACCATCACCTTGATCCCACTTCCTTCCTTCCTCTGCAACTTAACAGTCATGCATGGAACTTATAAGTTCTACTATAGATGAATGTATGACCTTTTTATGTTATTCTTCTACTGTACCGCTCTCTGTTCGCTTTACGTTCATATAATGAAGCAAGCGGATGTGAGATAATTAGGGATACAGTAGATAATTGTTATATATATTCCTCTCTCCCACCTTCCCTCAACTCTTGTGCTTGGTCATCCCCTCCAACCCATTTTCATTATCCCACTAACAAGACATTAGAGACAATGCGAACCGTGCAAAACCTATTCACAACTTTGTCTGTCACAATACGAGTAGAGAAACAGGATAGGGTATGGAGGGATATTTAGGTATCATTCTTTCTATTACTTGCAAGCCCCATGCCCCAAAGCGCTGATAGGCAATACCAAAACAATATCCCGCAGGATAATAATCTTCAGCTAGCAATATGTAAGAATGAATCACACATCCATTCATTAAGCACCCGTAAGTATAGGAAAAGAAAGTCTAGTAACGAGAACGCCGCCTGCGCCGAACGCGTAACGCTATGCAAAGAATGAGAACCCCTGGACGCCGCCTCATAACGCTATAAATAACATTGCTCGTAACATAGCATCAGTCATAAGTGATGCAGACCTCACGTTGTGGTGAAAGCTCTAAACAGACACGAAGAAGGAATGGTGAAGGACTGGAGCCGAGAGGCAGCTCTAGACTCATACAACGATGTCTGGGATATTTGCTTCTGGCTTCCTTGGGTTAAACCAAGCAACTCTCCGATCGTCGTTGTTTCTAGAGCCAACCGTTACCCAGACATGTTTGTAGGGAACTTTGACATTGACTGTCTCTCTACAACCAAGCCATTTCAAGCGGCCATTAGGTTCCATGTTACTGTTTCCAATACCGCCGTTGCTGACCCATTCTTTGACAATGTCTCTGATGAACTCGATTTTCTTGCGGAAATCGTTGGCGACAGGAATTCCTTGCATCATAGGGTCGATCTCTGGGCGCTTGCGAATTGTAGATTTGCCGGATCGACTTGGTTTCACCAAGAAGTTGAGGAGAGTTTGAAGCGGGTAGGAGAGATGTTGGCGGTCATCCAGGGCTTGGGCGGGAATCGTGCCTTTGGAAGAGAGATCCTGAGCAGCTTCCAATGGGAGGTGATAGAAGTCGCACCAAACGCCGTCGGCAGAGATTACAATCTTAGTGTGGTCTGGAAAGTTGAACTGAAAGAAGTCAGTAAAGGTCAGATATACATAAGTGAATTGAACGAACCTGGAAATGGCCGTCGGAGAATCCCCAACAGCCAACGTCACCCCATCGTTGATAGAAGGTGATGACATCCCGACCAACGGTAGCCTCTGTTTGGTCTTCTGGGGGTGCAATTGCCAATGTTTCGTAAGGGTACTCTTGATCTCTTCCAAATGCGGTCATATAATTTGCAAACTTCTTCCAGAGCACGATCTTCTCTCGCTTGCGGTCATCGCATTCGTCAACGCCTCGAGATAACTTACCGCTCTCACCGTCCTTAACAGTGATCTTGTAGTTCTGGGCGCTGACTTTGCCGCGAGAAATACCTCTTTCGCCTCCATTCTCATAGAACTCTATCTTGGGCCCAGAAATCGGCACAATCTGGTGTCGATCGACATAGGCAGGGTTCCCCCTGTTTTGCAAATGCCTTTCCGCATCTCTGACAACAATACACGACGGCGGTAGTCTCCCTTTGCTATCATCAGCCGGGTCCACAGGTGTTCCCCTAAAGATGCATCCGACACTGCCATTACTTAGGATGTAGCCAAGCCCAAATTTATTGGTGTAGTCGACCCATTTCACAACGATTGTCGGATGTGGTGCTGTTCGGCGTGACTCTAAAGCCATAGATCTGCTGTTGAGTGCTCGCTCCAATTCGGCTTGAAGTCGCTGAAGACCTTTTAATACATGATCAGGTTTTGTGTTTGGCAATAGCTCGAGTTTCTCGCGGGGGCTGAAAATCGACGCCGGTTTCTCAACAGTGAGATCGATCATTTGGACCTCCTTTGATTTCTTCTCTACAACGGGCTTCTTGAGTTGATTCATTAAATCATTCGCAAGTCGGTCTTCAACATCGGCCACTTCTTCAGAAACCCTTTCTTCATCCTTTCGGGACTTGTTTCGGGTGGGTATATTAATAGCTGGTCCTAAACTGCTTTCTACAGCGGATTTCGAACTTTGTCCCGAAGGCTGACGTGTCCTGCCCGCTCGGACAGCTTGACTGAGGTTTGATGCTCCAGGTCTCGCTCTTTGTTGAGCTGCATAACTCTGGGTAGCCGGACGACTTGCTGGTAAACGCAGCTGCTCGACTGGCTTAGATTTTGGAGCAACCGATGATCCTTCAAAATCGTCTTCATCATCCACAACTAGTTGCGACTGCTCTTTTACCCATTCAGCAAAAGGTCGATATACCACACCGTCGGGCAAGGGGACTGCTGGGGTAAGGCCAGCTTTCTCTTCTGCAGCAACTTCTCGATATGTAGTTGTGTGTGACTTCGGCGGATTCCAAGGGCCAACGTCGCACTGTGCAGCCAGTTTCTTCAAATTTCGTAGATAAATGTTGGATTTGCCGGCTCGAACACCAATCGAGAGGAATTGCTCACCAGCAGGTGCCATCTCACGTAGATCCGGAGTCATTTCGCTGGATTGTGGCATCCAACCACATGTGAAGAACGGATGCTGGACTATAGTGTCGGGATCTGGCCGTTCTTCGGGTGCTTGGAGCATATCGGAAACTAAATCCTTCGTTTCTTGGGAGATGAAATTCTCCGAAGTATTTAGCTTAGGCCAGTCATATTCTCGCTCACGCGCTCTGCGGTATATCTCGTCCGCTGTGGTTGATTGAAAAGGAGGCTTCCCGGTGAGCATGGCAAAACTGTTTCTGTCAGTTGATTCAGAGGATAGTAGATGAGGCAAACTCACATGATGATCCCCAAACTCCAGATATCAACTGCATGATCATGTCCTTGCTTGTCCTTGCTAAGAATCTCAGGGGCAATATAATTCGGGGTACCGCACAGGGTTGTTCTTCGGCAAGAACTCCAGTCCTTGCCTGACATGAAGAGAGCTGCCAGACCAAAATCGCCGACTTTGACGTTCATGTCCTTGTCCAAAAAGATATTCCCCATCTTCAGATCACGGTGAATAATGCCTTTTGCGTGCATGTACTTGATTGCGCCTGCCATTTGGACGGCCCAAAACCGAACTTCAGGTTCAGTTATAAACTTCCTCTTCTTGACCATATCCATCAGAGAACCATTGGGGCAAAGTTCCAGTACTAAGTATGTGCATTTATCGTAGGCGAATGCTCTGTGGAATCGAACGATATTGGGGTGGTTCATCTTCGAATGGATCTGGAGCTCGGTTTGAAACTTCATGATTGTCAGTTTCTCTTCAGATTATTGGAAGAATAGATCCGACCTTTTGTTCCATCTTCTTTTGTGGCATATGGCTCTTGACAATTTTCAAGGCATATGTCTGCTTTGTACCCGACAAGCGTGCTTCATAACATATAGCAAAGCCTCCCCTTCCAAGTAAGCGGCCTGTTCGATATATGGCTCCATCCTTCCGATCTGAGCTTGGAGGCTCTTGAACCTCCTCTGGGGGCGGGGGTGGGTGGTCCTTTTCCTTCTGGATCGGTCTGCCGGCGGGAGCTTTCGGCTTCTGGGCTGCTTGTTTATTTCGAATGGGGGCATTCGTATCCCTGGGTGACAGCGCCTCCATTTTCAATCCGCGTCTGGAAATGGACTTCAGGAATAAAGACGGACGGGCTTGCAGATTTGGCGATTGCTGCGAAATGTCGAAGTCGTTGAAAGGTATGGTGGTCTCACGATCGTGCACATCCTAGTGAGAGTAAATAAGGTTGGCGTGTCCCAATATGGATCTTCGTATTGGCAGGGCAACGACGATTATAGTAGATGACTAACAATTTCACTGCATTGATACCGTCTACGAATCCTCACAAATAGTAGAACATGCTAGATGGAAGGATTCATTGATGTACGCATGACGGACTTGGATATGAATCGCGGGTCCATTATATGAACGTGTCAATAGTCGACCAAAAACCGCTACATCAAATGGTCTCAATAAACAACTTTCTCCTCAAGCCAGCATTATGGTCCCCCTTCCCTTATTCAAATTGGGAGGTCTATTTATAAGACATGTCTCCAAATATGGCGCGGTAAGATTTGCAGATTTCTTGATGCTTGGAACCTGCAACTAATCTATTCTAGAATTGGATCAAAGCCCAAGCCCATGACCATCCAAGGTTTCGCAAATCCGCCGCCAAATATGGTCAATTGATGCACCAGATCAATATGCGAATGTCCGTAACATTACTTCGAAATATAGAGGCCGAGAGAAGGGCAAAGGAGAAGGCAGAGGCACCTACAGTCAAGACAGAAGAAGAAACCCGGCAGGACGAGACGAAGGCCAAGAAAAGCCAAAAGGAGGCCCCGAAGAGTATATGGCGGCGGAAGTTCCGGCCCCTGCCAGAAACGAAAGCTGTGGATCTCTTTGCGGATGTCATTGGAGATGCTTTCATCCTCTCAGTGGCTATAGGCCTAATACTCTACGAATATATACGAGCGCAGGGGAAACCGGATTCGAATGGGCTGAAGATAGCTGCTCTTGATGAGAAGTTGAAGGAACTTGTCGAGAAGGAGAAAGAGCTGGAGGAAGCAAAGCAGCAGCAGCAAAACAAGGTTGAGACTCTGGAGCAAGCTATTGAAGAGATGCGGAATGCAAGTCGGAAGCAAAAGCAGTCCGTATCATTACTCTCCTGATGGTTAGCTTTTTGCGTACGCAGGCCGATTCGAAGAGCATGCAGAGGCTTTCCGCCCTGGTCGGGGTCATTTATTATTGCCACTCAAAGAAGGGGAAGACGTTTGTACGATCAAAATGGGTATGAACAGGTTCCTGGCATTCTGAAGTTCCAGGCCTTATGTATACATACACCTATGTACCTAGGTATTTTGGGCAAAACTCGCTTCTTGGAAAGTCTTCGCTTCATAAAACTGAGGCGTTCAAGGACCTCCCAAATGTACATTCTACTTTACATACAATCAATCCCATCTCCCAGATCTTACCAAAATTGTGTTGTCCCCTTCGGTCAAAACGATTCCCACTCCTCGTGACCTAGTTACAGCCTTTGACAGCATCACCTCTATCTAATAACAATCTACAGCAATGTTGTTCTGCACTTCCCTGCGGAAGAGAAGTGAGTGGGCCGCTGTTCCAGCAAAGCTCCTTGCTGAGCAACAAGTAAGATGGCAAGGTAAGCTTTGTGATCTGGTTTCCACCACTTGCTAACATAACCTCAGAACAGTCACTGGAAACCCACGACTTGGCAATACAGGTCCCTCGCCACAACCGCGACCACCGAGAATTATTTCGCCTTCTCCTTCTCTCCGCCTCAGATGTTGAACACACTGGAACAGCAATGGCACGTATCGAGAGGCTTTATCACCTGACAGGTGGGCGCCAGGTTGGCATCATCTTTCTGCTACAAGAGAAGTCTCCCAACGGCAGTGGAACAATCCCGTACATGAATCTCCAGTGCAGGTTAGTAGTCTTAGGCTCTGGTCTGGTATTTCAATGATGCTGATACCAGCCAAGCCTTCTTTCTGCCTTCGACATGCCCACTATTCCGTTATTCTCCACCCGCTCTATACTAGACACGCTCTTCAAATTTCAGCGACAACTCGTTTCAACAAGAGAGGAGATATATATGCCACGAGCAAGGCCTGAGATGACCTTACTGCCATACTGTTTCCTCACGCCACCAATGCCGGAACACCCTAAGAATCTCCTGAGCGATGTTGTTCACACCATGGGGGAACTGGCTGGGGCTGCTACCACCCTAGATGGCCAGAAATGCATTAGGAGCTTGGTATCAGAGCCGGGCTCGACTGTGGCTGAAGATATCATAAAATTCTGGGAGCAGGAATACTTGGTATAATACCTACTGAAACACAGACAAGAACTCAAGGCAGAGATCACAGAAGGATTTATAAGAGCTGGCATTGCACATTACTGACAGATGAACAAGTTGCACAAAGTATGGGGATCTGTAGGAACTGAGCTGAGCCGAGCTGAACGGGCAGAATACCTCCATGGCCCCATTTAAAGTAGATACGAAATGCCAAGATCTCCTTCTCCCTCTTCTAGGCCTTTCCGTGGATCTCTCCCCCAAAGCTTTGACCAGTTTGATGTTTTGGCAGATCATCCACCCCTGGAATATGACGTTGCGCCGCGTCCCACCTAGACAAAATATCCGCATAGCAAACCAGGAAGCGGAAGCATGCACAGTAAAACCCCCACTGGAAATAAATTCAGTCCAATGAATAAAGTAAAGGACAAGTAGCCTCTTTTTCACTCTGTAAACAAATCGACAGGTGACTTGCGTGAGCGGACCCTTGTTCAGTGACGTAGCCTTCCGCCGCTAGGAAAGCACGCCAGCCAGGAACACTAACTCCTGGCTCTGGAGCTACAAAATCATCAACATCTCCCACTTCCATCACGTTCCTCATACAAACCGAATATTTCATCGAAATCAATAACACGAACTTCAATCCAGCCTCCCCTTCCAAACCAAATCCAGAACCTCAATACAAATCAGCAATCATGACTCGCGGAGAAGCAAACCAGACCAAGATCCACTACAAGGGCGCCGACGAGGACTTCATCATCTTCGTTGACGATGCAAAGGCGGCCAAGGACTGGAAGAGCGACAAATCCATCCCGCTTGCACAGGTTGTGAGCTCATTCAAGGTCTTCGTTACGCACAAGTATGTCTATTCAATCCTGTCCTCTTTTTGTTGTCTTTACCCCTCAATTCATCGTCTCCTGATGTGTGCGGGGTCAAACACTACAACCCCACATCCAGTAGAGAGCCCAAACTCAACCTCTTCATCTTGTTCATACTGCATAACTGAACTCTATACTAATATTCTCTATTACAGGCACGGAGCCCAAGGCACAATGGACGGTGCCTCTCATGCGACTCTCGAGAATGAATTCGGCACCCACGTCGACGAGGAGGTCATCAAGCAAATCTTAGAGAAGGGCACTCTTCAAGAGACCGAGGTACATACATATCCTACATTATCCCACGTCCCCTTACATCAAATGCTAATCAATCTTGTAACCACAGGCGGCAGGCCGAACCGGTTCCACGAACGACAGCATGGGTACACGTGCCGCTCACTAAATGTATTTTCTTTGGTGTTATTATGAGCGTTTGCACGGTGGCATATAAGAATATTGAACATGGTTCCTGAAATCATGGTGGGCGAAGCTACTTAGCTCTCTACGGAGAATGCCCAGGAAGAATAAGAATAAAAAATCGTCAAAAGCAACATTGTGGTTTATTGCCTAGTCCGGTGATTGTGATATTGCGAGTGGATGCTCAGATGTCTCCAGTTGCGCGTGCCATCACAAGGTTAACGATAAAAGGTCATTCCTTTCTTTCAACAGAGCCCCAGCCCTCGTGTAACCATTCACAATAGCCCTTGCACTTGCGTATACCTATGGGTACCTAGCAAGAAGCCCGACCTCCTAATTCCGTACTCTTCCCCACCTCCAAAAATAGAAAGACATTCATTCCATCCATCGCCAATGGAAGGCATTTATTTCTTCAGCAGTACTGTGCAAAGTCAGTCCAAGTCCAATGAGCCCCAACCCTTCCTTCCACTCCGCCCTCTCCCGAAACGAATTCGTACCACCCCAACAGGTCATATTACATTACGGCATATTCCAGAATAGACATTAGAAGACCCTTCACGACCACGAATAACCACAAATAACCACGACAAGATTTGATTCACAGGTTACGAGTACTGCTATATACAGCAAAAGACGGCTGGCTTTCCGCTGGCTGTACCTAGCTGCATCAATCATACCTAGGTAGGTATGGTAAGAGCCCAAGAACGATGAAGAAGCCAAGCTAAGAATGAATAATAAATCTTCCTTCATCAGCCAATGAAATGAAAGCACGACTTCAGAACTAGCTATAGTGGCATAGCATATCATACTGTAATATACCAACCAATACTCCAAGACTGGTACTATGCAGTATAGCTTCGTTGACAGAAGGTAATAATGTATACCTACTACAAAAGATTGCATCGATCCCGACTACATAACCCACTCCTTCAGATTCAAAATCTCAAAATGAAACACGAATAAGCAGGTACCTCCTCTCCACACAATCACAGCGCCAAAAGAAACAAACCCCCCTTCCCTCCCTTCCTTCTCTTCCCGTACTTCTCTTCCCGTACTTCTCTTCCCGTACTTCTCTTCGGACCCCAAAAGCCTTCCTCTCCAGATCAAGTGTAACCAACCATGTAAGTGAAATAGGTCATGTGCGTGCGTACGACGGCGTTATGAGGCGCAGGCCAGACATCTTCGGAGCCTTGAAACTTGAAGTGTACGAGGATAATGGATGGATGGATGTTGTGAGATTTTTGAAGTGGGATTACTGTAGGAGGCAGGGAAGTACTGTAAGCAAGCGCTTAAGAAGTCACACCACCACACCTGTGCGCACCAAACTCGTGATTGATTCATAGAATCCTTCTTTCGCAGTGGGCTTTTTGGGGATGGGTGTTGTAGTTACAGTAGTAGGCGAGGAAATTGTAATGAGACGGTGAGAGGATACTATAATATGCTTGCTAGGGAGGAAGAGGGTCAGGTGAGTGAGAAAGGGGGGGATGGAGGTAAATGAACGAAAAGGAGATACAATTCTAGGACTTCACAAGAAAAAGGAAATGAAAAAAAAAGGAAAGGAGAGTAAGAATTTGGGATTTATCGATAGATTTATCTCTCGACATTACAACCCATAAGCAACGATCCGTTACCCATCCCACCATGCACCCACATTAAAGATACGCCGACGCTGATGCTGCTAAAAGAGATTGCTCATCTGTTCCATGTCATGTTCTATGATATATACATCTGTAAATGACCTAAGAGGAGATGTTATATCTTTCCACCTGACCATGTACAGTATGTAGTCTTTTCATCTTCAGGAATGAAGACTATACTTTGCCAAAATTACCACCACGTGGGGGTAGAGACCACGGTACAGCTACCACGACCTATTATCCGTTAGTATATTGTCTTCTCACTCCCGTATAAGGGAATGGCATAGGATAGGATTAAACACACCTCCCCCTCACTATAAGCCCAAAAATAAACACCCATCCCTATCACATAATAAATCGCCGGATTCGTCGCCTGGTACATCAACGCCGCGACTAAAGCACACATCGGCAGCGCCACGAGCCTCGCCTCGATACTGCGGTGGATAGCAGTACCAGCCAGGAATCCCAGCGGCCATTCCCATGCCAGCATGACGAGCCCGGAGATCAGGTTGATGGTTTGCAGGACGGGGATAGGTTTGACGGCCCCGTCTAGGTTCTTGGTCAGGAAGTCCCAGAAGATTTTGGGCCAGAAATAGCCTTCGATCGCTGCTGCTACTTGGTCTGTTGATATAGAGTTAGAGATGTGAAGTGCGTTTTGGGAGAGAAATGAACATACAGATTGCAGCAGTGAGGACGATGAGGCGGGCCCAATGGTTCTTGATGAGTTTACCCATGGTGTATAGTAGTTTCTCTGTTGTCTTCCTGCTCTTTCCCAATTCTTGAAATCCTATTCCCTTCTCCCAAAAGTGTTGACTGGTACAAAGTCGATTAAAGCTTATAGAGTGGTGAAATGGTCCGGGGAAAAGAACGAAATAGGGTATATGGCAAGAATCCGGACCTGCGGACTGGAAGAGAATGTAGGTCGTTGATGAAAAAGAATGTTATCGACGACGACGAGTGCACAGCGCTGGTAGTAAATTCCGGTCACTATTCGTCTGGAAGTTGCGAGGGGATAGTCTATATCTCTGGGCACCAGGACGGGGGTCACTGGGCAACAGATCCGCTTTGTGTCTTGTATCAGACACCAGCCGAGGGTTTCTTCTGCTCTTCCGACCAGGACGGCTTGTTTGTGTAGGCACAGACCATATACTGGGGATATGATCTTCTATGACTGCTGACATCCGGGCGGCGGAGGGAATAGTGGTATGGTATAATCGAGGAAGAAGAAACTGTCAGGGCAGTGTATGATGCGCGAGAGTTTATGCCATGTAATGGGACATATGGAACGGCAGAGTGGACTTTCTAAGCAGAATTCGTCTGATCCGATACAATCTGAAGTGGTAGAGGGAGATTGCCTTATGGAAGTCTGTGAGAGAATAGGGTGTGAGTGTTAGATCTTCGAGTTGAGACGTCTTAGAGGTTTCGAGAGATCTTCTTCAGATGCGATGCGGGAACCCGAGTTTAAGGATGGCAAGGGCAGTAGCAGTGGAGACCAGGCATGACTAGGAGTCTAGGACCATCATCTAGCTAGCAGTTCCGTGTGCGACCATCGAGACCCCGGGAAGTGTCTCTCCCATGAGTTGAAGAAAAAGGCCATGATGCACACTCGTACAGGACGGTCCCATATGCCGCCCACACGGGAAGCAGCATGAGTCTGGCGGATCGAGACACAGAACGGGTAAGATCCAATTCAGGGCCAAGTCCTATAGACCTCCAATGGATCTAAGTTTGAACAGTGGTTTAGCCTATCAGCTGCATATACGGCTGCAATGATGAAGAGGCCTTTCAATGTGGTGGGCGGTAAAATATGCATTGAAGCCATCTGTGGGGAGTGATTGGCGAGACGTTAGAAGTGGGCGCGTAGAGATGGTGTAGCGATGGTGCTGAGGGGTGCAGCAGGGATGGTGTATTCAGTGGAGCGACAAGCATGAGTGACAGGGAATTAGACTACTCAGCTACTGTAGACGGTACGGCAGACCAGGGTGGGGGGGGGGGAGCGAGCCGAGGGACATCTCCGTCAGCTTCTTGATCCTGCCGAGCCTGCCTGACCTGCCTGACCTGCCTGATCTCGATCTTCTCAAAGTTCTCATCAATTCTTGCAAACTGCCTACTGTGCACTTCGGGAGGATAAACATCTCAGAGTGTCACTAAACCCATACTCACTTTGGTTTTCATCTCATAATCACATCTCCGACGTCTAACTGCCATCTGAAATGTTCAGGAGGGATATGAGACGAGGCCCGAACATCGAGCAGTTTTGCATCGCAACGCTCAAACCGCAGCTGTCAGAGGCGATTAGATAACCTATTTGGGCACGACTTTGCCGGGTAATACAATTGCGGTCAATTGCGTGCAGGCTTGTAGCAGGACCAGAGGATGCTTGAAAAAAAATCCTATTTTATCTGATCCGTGGTCCGACTTACTTACACCGCATATCACTGCCCTGGGCCCCCATTCATGGCAATGCCCCATCCATTGCAGGATTTCAAAAATATTGTGCTTTTCTTTGACGCTGGAGGCGCAAACTCAAAACAGATTGTTCTCGTATGGCGGTACAGTACCATACTTTGTAAAATCATCAGATCCTGTGCTTCTGGCAGACCGCTTGCTTCCGCGAGCGTTCCACAAGTACCAATGGCGTTTTTCGATAACAAATACGGTGTGAGCATTCATAGCAATGAAGCTGACGACGATTTATCACACTGTTATCACTATCACAGAGCATCCGATAGCTCAATGTGATAGTGATGTTCTGCAGCTCGACCACGGCCCACGCACGATCACCTGGTTGCGGGGTTTACATGTACTGTGCAGTACTGTACGGTGTGCTCCTGCTCCATACACAGAACGCTATTCCAAGAGCGCCATCTCAGCCTCCAGCGGTTGGAAGTTATCTCCTATTGGTCTAAAAAGTATAGCACAGGGAGGAGCCGCCAATCCATGCAAGCGCTGGACCGACGGCTCGCACGATTCAACCGAGTCGGAGATATTTGGATCACGTCACGAGCACGAGCAGCTTGTCTTGTACTGTAGCTCTAGTAATCAGATGGCTGGGTGGATAAAAGTCGAATAAACTTCGACATAAACTTCGCGCGCAGGCCGAGAACATGTCACCCGTTTATTATTTCGACTTTCGTACGATCGAAGAACATGTCTGGAAGATCTCAAGATTTTTGAGACCCCGGCCCGGCTACCCCGCTCCCGCTGAAGAAATCCAATTTAACCACCGGAATCTAAGAGGTCAGCAAAACAAGCGTATGTAATGGAGGGGGTTGGTGGGGGGAAGAAAGATCTTATCTATTGACAGGGTGAGTACTACTGTACAGTATACTGTAATACTGTACTGTACCTGAGCTGGAGGATCAAATCTTTTTAAGTGCCACAACAAGCCCAAGAAGTTTTATCAAGTGATGTCATTCACGGTTTGCGAGTATAATACTTTGTTGAAATACATGTAGTTTAGTCAAACCCTCAGAGACATCATCTCCAACGACTGTGCGCCCACTGCACAGAACGAGCTTGCTAGCACCAGATACCGATAATCCATATAGCGAAAAGCTTGGAATAGTGAACCTTTCGACACGCATAAAATTCTAACGAAAGAAGCTGCGAATACTTCCTGGCACGATACGACTACTCCTGCCAAGCCCTTTACCTTTCCTTTCCGGCTTTCGCGATTCTGCCGCAATTGAGACCGACTTTGCTCGGGGAGTATTTTCTTTATCTTCAATAGATGAATCTGCAATGAGTGATGGTGCCGGTGTTCTGGTCTGATTTACGCTATTCGCGCTCGAAGTTCTCGGAGGCGGAGTAATAATCCTGTGCCCATCATTTCCCCAGCTCGTCTTGATTTTCAGCACTGCAAGCCTATTCAGCGAGCTAGCAGGACTACCATTGGCTACAACCTGCAAACCTGGAAGGGTTTCAAAGGAGTCCTTCAGAACGTTCTCCCTCTCATCTGGAATCACCGATAACCGTGATCTTGCAGGGTCATCAATGTCCATCGGAACGTTGATAGATATGTGGTCAAGTCGAGTTGGAGAGTAAGACCTCAGAGCATCATTCTCACTAATGGAATCGTCTTCTGCTGTCTTATGTAGGCTGGCCACGCTGCTGGATCTCTTCGTAAAATTGCTTGCAATGCTCGCTACGCTAAGTTTGCGCATCATAGAGCTGGCAGATGTGCGGGCAAGATGCTCACTCCTAGCGCGACTTGACATTCCTGGGTAAGGAAGAACTTCACGGGTCCATACATCTGCAAGAAGCGCCTCGAGCCGCATCCGATCGGCACGAGAAGGAGCGAGAACTGGAGTGCGGTTAGTAGCAAGCAGAGATTGCGACCTGTTGATGTTGGTCGATGAAGCTGACTCTTTGAAGGCGTTCGTGTTCTTGATAATAACCTGACACATTCCTGATATCGAGCCAACAGTCATTGCTCTGTGTATCGACATTCTTCTAGCGATAGTGCCTTCGAATATTAGCTACTTAAAGCTATATCAAGCGAAGTTGCCTTACCGGGCTTTCCAAAGACAGTCCCCATTGACTTGATTGACAGGGACAGAGATGCAAGCGCCGCCTGTTCGCCTGAATCAAGAGGATCCTTTCCAGAATGATCCACAAGTCGGCTTCGCCACTCGAGCTCTTCTTTTTGAGAACAAGCACTCATCGTGACCTCAAACAGTTGGTGGTCGTATTCGAATACCAGCTTCCAAGAAAAGGGAACAGTGTGGCACTGCAGTCCTATTGAAGTCATTAGCATTTTATTGAGAACTTGGCTTTCAAACCTTTGGCGATCATTGTTCTCATCCATGGGAAAACCATCTACTTTTTCTAGGAAAGAGTTGGACACACCTCTGCCATTATCAATCTCTTCGATCCTGAGGTCACTGAGGCCAATACAGGCTTGGACAATGTACACTTGATCTAATCTTGGGGCGGAGGCTAGCAAGAGGAAGTCACGATACAGTAGGATGATTAGGTATTGTCCATCAGCTCCGCTTTTGGTTTGCCAAGAAACATGTAAGACTCCGCAAAGATGGATATGCCCGAGGCCGCGGATGGCAATTTTGGAACGAGTATCAGGCTGTGCTCGATATTAGCAAAACAAACTGAACAGATTGTGCAAGAGGATATATCATACCCTGTCGGGGAAAATAAGACGATCTTGCAGGACCCATGATTTCTCCATCGTTGCTTTCATCCTTGGGTCATCAGTTGCCCGATTAATTTCGGTCGTCGCTTCACGAATTCTGAGGAGGACATTATCGATAGCTAGGTGAGAATTTGGGCAATCGCACACCGGTGTCTGCTTCAACAGCTCTGCAAAAAGGAGCGGATATTTGCACACTCGTTGGATTGGCTGGGTCATCTTTAGTTGAGATTCAGAGTGTCAAATCAAGGATAGAGCTCACCTTCACCAAAAGATCTCCAATTGCGAGAGCCTTCTTGGAATTACCATGCTGACTGTTCATCGAAGAGAGCGACGAGGCCAGTGCTTCGAAGCCCTTCTGATAGACTTCCCATTGAGGTATTGTCCTATACATAGTAGCCGCATCCCTGATCATCAACTCGTATTTGGCGCCGTATTCCTCGTAAATAAAGAAGCGGCTCAGCTGTAGAAAATTCGTAAGTGAACCCATGTGGTGGATATTGATATCGTACCTTGCTGCCAAATATGCGCGCAACTTCAGCTGCGACTCTCGGCTCTGCAGTCAGCCCTGGTATTTTTTGGAGCCAAGACGAACCATGGCCGTTTTCGGGAACCGCATCGAGACTTCGCCATCTGTGGTGTCCTTTTGGAAGCAAAGATAGAGATGACTGATGGTAACCTGGCTGAGTATATTCGGAATGCGGAACAACTCGATGCAAGTCGCCGAGAAGTTCTTCATGCAGTTCGATAATCTCATTGAGGTTTCTGTTGATAGATGCTCGAAGGGCTAACGAAAGGTTTGGGATGGAGGCCAAAAGCGTAACGTAGACCTGATGTTTTAGCGAAAGGCTTGTGGTTCTGAGAAGAGTGCTTACATGTGCAAGGAATTTGACATCTGCAACGTAGCTCTCTTCAGTGCTAATTAACTCTTCAAGAACCCGACGGCGCTGGAGCAAACGAGTTGTGACGCCCTGGTCCACAACAACCCCTCTAGCGAAGGATGAACTGTCTTCAGAGTGTCTGCCTCCTTGTGAAGCTTTGCTGCTACGGTCGGTCCTCTGGTGATGGGATGAAATGCCCGTTCTTCTCGAGTGTGGAGCAATACTGAGGCTTGCAAGGCTGATGCTGGCACTTTTGACGGCTGTGACAAATCCAAAAGAGGAGCCATAAGAGGACTTCTTATGGATCAACTTTTCTCTGGAAGATGGCGAGTTGGGACGCTCTTTTTCCAGAGCCGAACCATTCGCATCACAGCTTACTGTCTGTCTTCGTCCTGCAGCACGTCTTTCGAGTTTCTTCACCCACCTATTGAATGGGAACTCGGAGTTCAAGGGCAGTGATCGATTGACGAAGTCTTCCACATCTTTTGCATCATCCAAAGAGAACCGATTACCTGTGGCGACATTCTCGGTCTGAGTATCGTCTGCGTTGAATGACAAGCCTAATGCAGTAACGTTATCCAAAATATTCCGCTCAAGACTATCACGGCCAGAAGAACTTCCATCGTCGGCATCAAGATCAACTTCGTCAAATGCATCATCTTTGTGTTGCTCCATCGAACCCCTTTGGCTTGGAGGAGGAATTGGCGTTCCCCAGCTTGTCTTTCGGGAGATGTGTGTCGAACTTCGGCGAGAGCATGTCGGGGTTGAGAGGAGAAGATTCGTGCTTTGAAAGGATGCCTCTGACAGATCCATTTTTGAAGCAAGGAACCAAGAAAATGATATTACAAAATTTCCTCCAAGAATGGTCCAAGAAAGACTTGTTGCTTAACAACAGCAAAGTCTGGATAGCATCAAAATAGTTAAGCAAGGGGAAAATGGGATGAAGGTGAAGTGAGGAAGTTTGACAGCTGAGAAGATCAAGAAGTCGCAGACTTAGGGGTGCAAATGATCAAGAACAGAAAGCGCGAAGGAGGGAGTTTTGGGAGTTAGCTGAACTTTCTGTGAAGAAACTTTGACGGTCCCATAGCAACTTCTAGGAGACCATGTATATGATTAGAGATGCGATGATACTAACTGCCTGTAGACAATCCAGAAACCTCTTTGCGAAGGAGCCTACCTACCTCCTAAGCTTTTGTCAAACATACCTATAGCTCACGCGATGTTTAAATCTCGAGTTTGAGGTATGAGCCATTGTCTCTCGTACAAAGTTTGGAAATTAACATAAAGACAGGAAGCGTTTGAAGATGAACGACGAAGTCTTATGTATTACAGCACATCACGTGTATTAGTCATCAATCGCGGGGTCAGCAACGCGTACATACTCCGCAGCCTGCTTGCGAGGCTGAAAGACTCGCAGCGTTTACATTTCTCTTCAACCCCCTAATTTGAAATAGCGTAATGGGTCTGCCATTAAGAATGGAAAACTTACACGCCCCAACGGTTCACTCCGGACCTACTTCTGGCCTAGCCGGCACGAATGGCATCCAAACAAGCGGGCTGAGCCTTACACAACTCCAAGCTAAAAAGGACAATATTGAAGCTGAAATCAGAGCTTTGGGCAGTGTATTAGAATCAGTAGGTTATACCTTGATATATCTAGAGGTCCATAAGCTGATAGAAGATAGCATGGTGTTGATATGAATACAAGGCTCATCACCCCTGATGGATTCCCTCGGGCAGATATAGATGTGGCACAGAGTAGGATCCGTCTGCCAGTGCTTAAGGGTCACTGCTAACGGCATAACAGTTCGAACGACAAGATCACGAATCATATACCTGAAGAACGATTACAAAGCCCTCATGAATGTTATCGAGAAACACATACATGAACATTTTGCGAGGCAAACAGAACTTGCTGCTACGGAGGCAACTACAAATGGCTCGACTCCCGTGGACGTAGACACATCGCCATATTCATCTCGTGTCCAGCAAGCCGCTGGGCCTCCCTTTGCCAAGGTTAACAGCGTTGTGGATGGAAGCCCTGCGGATTCTGCTGGATTGAAAGCTGGGGATGAGATTAGGAATTTTGGTTATGTCAGCCACACGAACCATGATGGCCTGAAGAGAGTCGGGGAGTGTGTCCAGGGCAATGAAGGGGCAAGTCAAAATATTCAAGTCTACCAGTCGATGTTCAAAGCTAATATGTATACAGCGTGAAATTCTCGTCAAGGTATCTCGTTCGCCAGCGTCAGGCGCGGCTCAACGACAGGAACTGCAATTAACTCTCACTCCCCGACGAGATTGGGGCGGCCGTGGTCTTCTGGGTTGCCATATTTTACCGTTGTGAAATATTGAAGCTTGTTGGCATCATTTGGCAGGGTTATTTTGCTTCTTTGAACAAGCGCTGGTGTTCCATGGAAGGTGTTTTGGGGTTTGAAAAGATGTGTTCCACAGACAGTTATAGGTAGCTAAAAAGCATTCAATCTTGGTACCACATAGGAGTATATTCGTCAATCTATCCAGACTTATAAAAGCATCGACTCAGGTAGGGCAATCAGCAAGACCGCTTCCTTGCTGCGTTTCTAGAGGTCAGAAAACGGGAGGTATAAGATCCTTATCCTACATGTTGATGAGCAGAAGGAAGCATTTCTCGTAATTTAGATAGGCTTCCATGTCATGTTGCCTGTAAAATTTACCGGGGCTCCAGATTTTTCGTTCGGGTGTTTGTCTGAATTGCATGACAAAGGAGGGCAAGCCGGGATAGCATTGGTATCATCAAAAAAGCTGTAGTTTTTAATAATTCAACATTTCCAACAAATATGGAAGAAACTTCACAATGTTAAACAAAGGACGTTGAAAATACAAGAAACCCCAGACAACCTAAGCAAGTCACGTGGCATTTCCCGCTCGCTAAAAAACTGTTCCAACGATGAGCGCCTTGCATCGATCAAAACATCCTCGCTCTGGTCAGGTCAAATCACACTCCACCACGTCCACAACCACCACGTCCAGCACATAAAGGTACAGTCCCAGCTCTACTTTCCTCTCTCATCAATATTCTTCGGCGGGTCGTGATTCACCCCTCTTGCGCTAATACCTTTATCGCAGCCTTGGAATACCGTTCCTACCTTGCTATTTACCTCCACTTCCGTGAACCGATACCCCACATCAAACCAAAATGGCTGAAGCAGCACCGGCTGTCCCAACCTTCAAGCTTGTTCTTGTCGGAGATGGAGGAACTGGAAAGGTATGTAGTATGGCCTGTTGAGCGTGCCGTCGGTGGAAGACCTACTGCAGGCGCATATCGTCTTTCCCCGCGGCGGTGACGCACTTTGCCATCGTTCAACTTCTAACAGCACAACAGACTACGTTCGTCAAGCGTCATTTGACCGGAGAATTCGAGAAGAAATATATCGCGACCCTTGGTGTAGAAGTCCACCCTCTGGGCTTCAGCACGGTATGTTTATCAGCTACACCTGCCCAACCAGCCGCTAACCATTCGCAGAACTTAGGCAACATTCAATTCGATGTCTGGGATACCGCAGGACAAGAGAAGTTTGGGGGTCTTCGTGATGGATACTACATCAACGGCCAATGTGGTATTATCATGTTCGACGTTACTTCCCGCATCACCTACAAGAACGTTCCCAACTGGCATCGTAAGTTCCACTCATCAATAAGGTTGTCTGTTCGAATATACTAAGTTCCTTCATCCAGGTGACCTGGTCCGCGTTTGCGAGAACATCCCCATCGTCCTGACCGGAAACAAGGTTGATGTTAAGGAGAGAAAAGTCAAGGCGAAGGCCATCACTTTCCACCGGAAGAAGAATCTGCAATACTACGATATCTCTGCGAAGTCCAACTACAACTTTGAGAAGCCTTTCCTCTGGCTGGCCCGTAAACTCGTTGGCAACCCTGCTTTGGTATGATGGAACACATTTACTCTTGCCAAGATTAGTACTAATGATATCATAGGAATTCGTTGCTGCTCCAGCTCTTGCCCCACCCACCGCTACTGTCGACCACGCCCTGCTCCAGCAATACCAGGAAGAGATGAAAGTGGCTTCCGAAATGCCACTCCCAGACGAGGACGATGCCGACCTGTAAACATCCTACATCATCCCAACAAGGCATTTGCCGTTTCCTCTTAGCAGCATCTTAGACAGTTGTCTTTCGGCGATATTTGCATTTTTGTCGGTCGGTCTGGCAATTAGAGGCAGATGGTTGGCAAGGACTCCCTCCTTTTGTTTCATGGCATGGATAAGCTTCAATATGCAGCGGGCATATTGAAGCAGGGTGGATTGGGACTTTTATGAGCAATGAACCACCTCGTCTTGAGGTAACACCTTCGAGATTTCCGCTGCAGTATGCAGCTTATGTAGCTAGACCATGAAAAGCATTTAGTCTTTGACACAATATGGAGCACAACTTGGTGCTAACGTGACTGAACAGTACCGCCGCAGGCAGTACTTTACACAAGTCCACAGGGTGTTGTGGCTGAACTGTCGATTATTATAATTAAACGTTTGTGGTCCTACTGCGGAGTAGAATATCATGAAATCGCCGTCCGACTATCTGCCAGACTAGCCCTGGAAGCCAGCCAGCCCCCGCATTCATGACTTTACCCCTCACCTGCAGTCAGCATGTTTTCTTCTCACTTTCCCACCCCTCAACCAACGAGTGTTGTCGATCGACTTGGTCCAAAACCTATCGATACCTATCCATATTTTGTTTCTTTCTATGAGTAGTTGGGCAATTTTACAAGAAGCTATAGGAGGTTGCTTGCTATACTAGGAGTACTCCGTAGGAGATTTGAATGTCCTGAATACCCTGTACCTGTTATGTCTGCGAGGCGTGGATTTGCAGGGTGTAGCTTCTGCACAGCTCCACCAGTTCCCAAGAACATTCGATGATCCTTGTCTGTTCCTTGGCATGTCCCAACCTCCTCTGTGGACTTCTCCACATCACAACGGGACCTTCCAAATCAACTCTAATCTCATTGCAATCTACCGGCGGTCCCGACCGCGCCGCAGCTCAAAGCTCTGTTTACGGACATTTTGGCATCGTATCCGCGGACTGTTATCACAAATCCCGGTTCTCTCTCTCTTGTATCCATGCTCATACGTCAGTCTGAAGCTTCTTTTCGGGTGATTTTCCCATCTATTCGTCATTGTGTCAGTCAGCGCAAGCAAGCATTGCGCGAGAAGGCACTTTATTGTTGTGCTACCTGAACCATGCTTTTACACTGTCTAAGGTATGCAAACAGGCATTTCTGCTGGTGCCAGGAACATGCTTCCCCGAGAGGCAGGTCTGCTAGGATGTGAGTGATAGATGCGGGCAGCTATTGCTACCATGAGCTATAAAACGGGAGCTCCCCGAAATTCACCGTAGGATTTACCCTCTGTGAAAGTAGCAGCTGTGTGAAAGTACACCTCCAAAGTAGCTTCCGTAGTTCAGAGATCCAAGTTCTCTTCGACAAAGCACCAATTGATCTCCCAGAAGCTCTGTTCCAATCCCCACGATGAAGTTCTCACTTGCATCCTCGCTGGCGCTTTTAGTGGCCGTCAATGAGGCGAAGAATGTCCAGCGAAATATCCAAGCTCGTTCTTCATACAATCCCAAGCGTGCTCGACAGCTTCCAGCAGACCCGGTGGGCGTGAAAACAATCACTACACCCCAAAATATAACCATCAGGTATAAGGAGCCTGGGAAGGAAGGAGTCTGCGAAACTACACCGGGAGTGAATTCCTACTCAGGATATATCGACCTCGATGTGCGTACCTCTGGCATCCTCCAAACATTCTTTCGAATTATTACTGACAAACTAAAAGGAAAACTCTCATACATTCTTCTGGTTTTTTGAAGCGAGACACAATCCGAAGGAGGCACCTATAACTCTCTGGCTTAATGGCGGGCCTGGTTCAGACTCGATGATTGGACTTTTTGAGGGTATGCAGACTGAACTTGTGCTTTTGCTTTGCTTCACTAACACTGGCAGAACTCGGTCCCTGCCATATCTCCAAAAACCTTTCTTCATACGTCAACCCTTACTCCTTCACCGAAATCTCCAACGTGCTCTTTTTGTCGCAGCCATTGGGTGTTGGCTTTTCATACTCGGAGGAAGAAGCTGGGACCATTAATCCTGGTAAGTCGCCTATACGTTGGATTTGTGGCGTCTTATGAGCCTTCGCCTTAAAGACAATTATGTGGTGGTAAGGCAAAAGCTGACAAGTATTATAGTTGATTATTCCGTCGAAAATTCAAGTTTCGCGGGTGTTGATGGAAGATATCCGGTGGTTGATGCCAGTATCCTAGACACTACGGATCTTGCTGCTATTGCTTCTTGGCATGTGCTACAAGCTTTCCTCGGCGGGTTACCAAGCCTTGATTCGAACGTCACTTCGAAAGAATTTAATTTGTGGACAGAAAGGTAATGTCTCATAGGCATAGTCTTGAAGCGTTGACTAACGAACTCAATAGCTATGGTGGACATTATGGACCTGGTCAGCCAAAATTTCTCCAAGATATCTCACAATCATCTCTAACATCAGAATAGCATTCTACAATTATTTTTACGACCAAAATCAATTGATTGAGAATGGGACGAATCAAGGAATTGCCCTCAATTTCAACACGCTAGGTGTCATCAACGGAATTATTGATGAGGCTATTCAAGCTCCCTAGTGAGTTTCAGACGCCCAAGGTTATCCTACAGTTCTAACTTGTCTCTTGTATAGCTACCCCGAGTTTGCTGTCAATAGTATGTCTTTCACAAATCTCCCTTCGCGAACATGGTGCTAATTATACGCTCAAGACACCTACGGAATTAAAGCATATAACGACACGGTGTACGATTTTGCAAAATTTGCGTTAAAGTAAATAGCTCGGGTGATTGACCTCATTTGATTGGAACTGACTTCTATCTAGTATGGCAAACGGTTGCTTATCTCAGATCGAGTACTGCAGAGCTACCAATATTTCTTCTGCGACTGACTACGCTATCTGCACCGAGGCAGCGAACTTATGTAGGGATACCGTTGAGGGTGTCTACTACAGTATTGGAGAGCGTGGTACTGTGAGTTTGTTAAGACCTTCCATGAAAACATACCTAACTGTAGTAGTATGATATCCGTCATCCATATGACGACCCAACTCCAGAGAGCTACTTTGTAGATTATCTCAACTTGCCGTCTGTAGCGAATGCGCTCGGTGTAAACCTCAACTACACTGAAGACGCAAACAACGATGTCTATTATGCCTTCCAACAGACTGGAGACTTCGTCTTCCCAGATTTTAAAGACGACGTGGAGTTGCTTTTGAATAACAGCGTCCGAGTTGCTCTCATTTATGGGGATGCTGATTACATCTGTAACTGGTAATTATGCACTCTCTTGGATCTAATATCAAAATTGACATGTGCGCAGGTTCGGTGGTGAGGCCGTCTCGCTGGGCGTCGACTACACGCACAAGGAGGAATTTGCAGCAGCAGGGTACACACCTTTCTTGGTAGATGATACCGAGTATGGTGAAGTAAGACAGTATGGGAACTTTTCTTTCCTTCGTGTGTACGAGGTCAGTTCCTTCCCGTCCAAGTTCTCAAAGGAATAATGAGCCTGACAATCATCCAAAGTCTGGTCACGAGGTTCCTTACTACCAACCAAAAGCAAGTCTCGAATTGTTCAAACGCGTACTCCTCCACCTAGATGTCGCAGACGGAACCATTCCAATCACAGGAAACTTTTCAACATCGGGTGATGCACATGCCACGTAAGCAACCCTCCTCTTGGTTCCTCTCCGATTTTGCTATGTGGAAGGCCTCGACAAGTGTTTCATTCTTCCGACTCCTACTCTTTGCAGGGAACACAATACTGATAAATCCTAGTCACACTAATTCTTTCGTCCCTCTGCCATCAACGTCGAGCTCTGCAAGCGCTTCCGCTTCAGCAGCACTGCACCAGCCGATTATTCCGAGAAAGTTGTAGATGGAGAAGAAAACGCAAAGCTATAATGATAATATGACAAATAATGCCCTTGGTTAGTCTTTGTTGGAAATAATACAATAGACTTTTTCAATGTCCAGACTGAGCGATAAGATTCGCTTTCCTCGTCGTGAGGAATCAAGTCGCAGCCGCAAGTTTGTTTGTGCTGGCATGCGTTCTGATCTACAGTTGTGCATATTTTCTTGCCCAGTTCGTCTTGATATTTTAAAAGGGTGTCGGTTTACTCCAGCTTCGGCGAAGTGCTACACCCCTGGACGACTGTATTGGTAGACAATTCTGCTGAGGGAAGAGGCTGGTTTGACCAGCCATCGACAAATTGCCTGTTAAAGCTATGCCTGATGCCACCAAATATTTGACATACGACACTGGAAAGGAGGCTAATGAAATTGGTAAATCGTGCATGAAAAGCGGATAATTTTTGTCTCTAGGAACCTCGTCTATTTTGTAAAGTGTTAGCTAGACATAGGTGGGGATGAATATTTAGTGAGTCAGAAATTGATAAGGGTTTTGAGGGTTGAAGAGCAATTTTATACGGATAAGTAGCACTTTGCAAAGAACAAAAAGGTACCCAGAAGGTATAGAGGCAATGCGAACTTTCTTGGAGGAGAGAACATAAAGAACGCTTCAATTGCTGCACGGAATCGAAGCGGGTAGAAGCAAATATCATTGAGATTCCGAGACTGCGGCTTGTAAGAGCAAGCAAGACACATTCAAGGTCGTATTTCTACGTCTAGGCGTTCCAGATGACAATCCTTCCATCCACACCACTCGCTATGACTTGTTAATATGTTTCTATATGAGAATTTAGAAATACTTACTGCTGAACTTCTTAACAGCACCACCCGAAGCCTCATAGACTCGGATCGTACTGATAGTATTTTGATGAACCGTTTTCAACTGGGTGTCATCTTTAGTCTTGCCTTTTAAATCCATTTGCTTGAACATGTTGAAGGCTGATTCTTCCCGTGCATCTCCAAGTCCTGGACGTCCTTTCGACTCTAAAGAGCCAGTGAGCTGCCATCCGCCTTCGCTGCCTTTGAAGCGGTATGCTTCACAGTCATAACCCGCTGCAATAATCTCACTCTCACCATTCCAGATGAGACTCATGAATGGTAGCAGTTGGGTACTGACACTAACAACGGCTCTTGGAGGTTGATCTGCCCCATTGGGATAGACAACGGTGATACTGCTATCATGAGCAGCAAATGCGAGAGCATCTCCACTGGGGGAAAATGAGACTGCATGAACCCAGCCTGCCGAGTTATTGAGATATTCTCCACAGACAGTGTTGAAGGGCAAACGCTCTCCCCATACACCCGGTTCCGGTCTAGTATCGACACCTTTGATGAAGCTGGAAAAGACCCTCGCATGTGCATCAGTGGAACCAGCAGCCAAAAGGACTGAGTTTGGATGCCAAGCTACAGTGGTAATGGTGCTTCGGATAGGCTTTTTGATATGTTTTGATACCCACCAGTCGTTCTCTTCCTCAAAGTAGCATACCGCAATGACCCTGGCACCGGATCCTACGGCGAACTTCTCTTCGGATGGAGACCATCGCACAAATGTAGCTGCACGGTTGATTCGGAGGAGGACGAGTGTAGGTTTGTAGCCAGTAGGAGAAGGCTCCCAGACCAAGGCATTTCGATCTCGAGGGGAATTAGCATTTTCACGAGCATGGTGTTCCAGTATGACACACCTTGCGAACAGGTCACAATCCTCCCGCTCTTCAATGCAATATCAACACTGGTGACGGTCTTGTCATGGCCCTTGAGTTCATCCTTGAGCTTGAATCCAGCCCCAGTCCGTCCGTAGAGTTCAACGTTGGTGTCACGCGCAACGGCCAACGTTTGCTTGTCTGCGGAGAAAGAGTGATCCGCGATCGGGTGGTGGAATAGGTGGTGAACTTCTGGTGCAGCCATTTTAGTAGAGTCGTCTTGATAGGAGGAGCTCTCTACTATCAAGTGGTTTGAAGAAGTATTGGTGTGGATGTTGGATGCTGGATGTTGGAGAGTTGATGTCGCAAGCTCGTACTATAGCGGGGTTGCCTGAACCCACCGTCGAAATTCTTGAGCCTCAATTGTCCTCGAACGTGAAAGCGCGTCTTCCCCCACCATTCTCCCCCACAACCACGACTTCAAAATGCAGGAAAAGAAAGTCCCGGCATATGCGCCAAATCAATCGTGAGTTGGCTTATCTTTTGAGGAGAAACATATCTAACTTGCTCAAGACTGTACATCACCAACCTCCCCTCGTCGAAAATCCAGAAAGAAGACTTGCGAAGAGAGCTCTACATCCTGTTCGCTACCTATGGCCCAGTCCTCGATGTAGTCGCCTTACGGACAATGAAGATGCGAGGTCAGGCGCATATTGTTTATCGGGATATACAGACGGCAACCCAGGCGATGAGATCTCTGCAAGGATTTGAGTTCTTCGGCAAAGAAATGGTGAGCTCTCTACACCTTCTTTGAGGATTATAGCTAATGTAGGACCTTCTCTTCAGCAAATACAATATGCCAAGTCAAAGTCAGACATGATTGCAAAGTTGGACGGTACGTTTAAAATGCCAGCTGCCGCGGCGGGAGCTGTTACTGCTACGGAATTACAGCAAAGTATTTTCAATGCGCCACCCTCCGCCTCTACCGCATCAAATACCACTGGAGCAACTAGCGGAACTTTGAAACCACCTACTGGGAGTGTGGACCATGCTATGGAGGATGCGAGGAGCCCGACCACAAGTGCTGCTGGCCAGAAACGGAGGAGAGATGATGAGGAGGAAGAAGATGATAGCGAGGAGGATGTTGCTATGGAAGAAGACAGTGACGACGAGTAGATTCGTGAGAGTTGGTTTGCATTTCAAGGTGTTTGGAGTTGGAGAGGTAATGTGCGACATAAAAAGTGTTCCACACGAGCAAGATACCAGACAGGAAAAGAATAAGTCATATTTGACTATATAAACGCCTTAACCATATTGATAATGCACGGGGTGTCCATTTTTAACACTTTCCTTTCGTTGACTAAAATGTTGTACCTTCCTTTATGCCTCCTCTGCTGCCATCTCAGGAGGTATCCATAAACCGACACAGCCTCCAACCAGCCCAAGCCAAATCATCAAGTAGTTAGCCATTGTGCAGTCGAAACTTTCCATGGCCTCCTTAGTCTGGCATGGATGGATGAAGAAAGCTGGGACGTCTGTAACGGGATGCGGCTGCAATAGAATTAGTATCACTTGTACGCCAGTGAAGAAAGGGGCAAACTCACCGCAGCCGAAATTCCACCTGTAAATCCCGCAGCCCGAAGTCGACTCTTGTACCCCGGCGGTACAAGGTATCGGTAAACTGACTCCAGGTTAAAAGTAGGCTCGCCCATAGGAAGGTCGTGCAATGTGAACCACAATGTGGGCATGTTGTAGGTTGGGTGCAAATGAACCTCATAAGTCACATATGGCTGGTCTGAATGCAAGCTATATCGGGGTAGAGCACCACTATCCATGGCCCCTCCATGTTGATTCTGCAGCTGAGGGCGAAGTGCTTCCTATCTGATGTGTTAATGCCCTACTCCTGGAACTCCTACTCGTTTTGAGACTTTGGAAGGAACCACGAACCTGGTCTGCATCTTCAGCAGCAGTTAACATGTCAACATCCACCCCGGGCCCATCAAGATCACTATTGAGTTTTTCAAAAGCTAGTGAGAGATCATCTTTCTCTTCGGGGAGCTGAAGCAGTCGAAGTATCTCGATGTAGGAGCTCCCAGTTGTTAGAGTCCTTCGTAAGCGGATCTTGAAGATCTTTCTTGTTGGGCCCAGCTCAGCTTTGACATACTTCCGGTCGAAGAACGCACACACAAGTTCGAACTCTTCTGTTGTAAGGAAAGGCCATTGACGGTAGTCCCCTCCACATGCCATGGTGGGATGGATCAGAGCGAGAGTTTAACTCGTGAACCACTAGCCTCCAGACCGTAGAAGCAAAGAGTGTATCAATGAGGAGATACAAGTTCTTTGATACCAGGGTGGATTTCGCTATTGAACTTTAGTTACTGTAAACATATGAGGGGATGAGGCTGACTAACTTACGTCTAGATAGCAGATTGATCCTCGTCGTTGGCGAGTAGAATATTATACTTGCATGCTTAAAAAATTCGAAGTCTTAAGTCCCGTTGTTGTTGACTATGCTATAGAATATAATAGAGGTATTAGAGTAGCTGGACAATTTTGTTAGGTATTGGTTCTTTCAAATATGGAACTCGCGAGACTCACTCGTGGTTCACCGCGTTCCCACAAACTAGAAGAATTAATACCTTATTCGAAAGAGAATGAATAGACGGGTTCTACAGCTAAATTGGAGAAAGAAAACAATGACAGGGAGTACTGCCGAACTACTTACGAGTCAAAAATCCGTTCGAGTTCCAAGGAGCTAGCTAGATTGACTTTCCTGAGCTGATACAATAGTTCTCACGGATCACCAAATGATTCAATCCAGGGGATGCATTTATTACTTTCTATGAATTTGTAGATTTGCTCATCCACCTCAATGCAGCTTCTGGGATTGAGTGTTACTCGAGTAGATTCTTTAATACCTAGCCCTAGCCTACTGTAGGTAGTTAACCCCAGATTTCATAAGGTGACGAGGCTGAAGATCACTTTCCACTAGTCGCTAAATGCGGCCGATCTAGCCAAGGACAACGTGTATTGTACTCGTAACCGATTCCTCTACTACCACAATCCCGTCCAATATCTCTGGGCTCTTTCCTGCGTTGTAATTGTACCCTTATGCTTGTACTATAGTCGCTCCTTACAGTTATGATATGAACGTTCGCGACCCTTTCAACCTCCACCGGTCGCCTGCCTACCACATTCTCCGAGGAAGTGCCACGCGGACTGCGGCGAACGTCAAACAAAGAGTTGTCGAGGTTGGCACACAAGCTTTCGAGACGGGGAAGCAAGCCGTCGAGGATATGTCAAGTTTTTCGATACCAAAAAATGTACCTTCGTTTACAGATCCGCAACGTGAACTAGAAAACCGAGCTTGGGGAGCGTCAGGAGTAACGGCTAGGACAAACGCACATTCGAACGGAGGTGTAATAAGTGACATGCAAGACCGCGTGGGAGGCTTCTTTGAAAAGACCAGAGGGGATCTGCCAATGTACAAGGATAAGCCTTACTCGTACGCAGCCTCGCGGAGGCAACGACCGGTTTGGAGGCGGAAAAGGACATTTGGCATTGCTGGGCTCTTTGTCTTCATTCTATTCTACTTTCTTGGATACTTCGGAACTCATGCCGAGGCATCTAAGAAGGCCAAAAGCACCTGGAGCTGGTTGAAAGGGCCGGAGAAGAATGTACAACAGGTCGATTGGCTGGAACGAAGAGAAAGGGTCAAGGAGGCTTTCATCTTGAGCTGGGACGCTTATGAGAGATACGCTTGGGGTATGTCAAACAAACATAGGCTTGGAAGACTGCAACAGAGTCTACCTTATTACACGAGGTTGTGCACGTTCTAATGTTCTCTCATAGGCTATGATGAATTTCACCCAATCTCCAAAAAAGGAAAACAGATGGCCCCGAAGGGCATGGGATGGATCATAGTGGATGCTTTGGATACGATGATGCTCATGAATCTCACGAGCAGGTTAACCCACGCACGGGAATGGATTTCTACGAAGCTCGATTACGACCAAAACCAGGAGGTCAACACTTTCGAAACCACTATTCGGATGTTAGGGGGACTTCTTTCGGCACATTATTTATCAACTGAGTTTCCAGAAATGGCACCTTTAACAGATGATGATGAAGGAACCCCAGGCGAAGACCTTTACCTGGAAAAGGCAAAAGATCTAGCTGACCGATTGATGGGAGCTTTCGACTCACCTTCAGGAGTGCCATATGCTAGTGTCAATTTGCAAAAGGTGCAAGGCATTCCGTCACATGATGATGGTGGAGCATCCTCCACAGCAGAGGCAGCATCCTTGCAGCTAGAATTGAAATATCTGACGAAGCTCACCGGAGAAGCCTTCTATTGGCAGAAGGCAGAAAAGGTGATCCAGGTGATTGATGATAACGGCATGGAGGATGGGCTCGTCCCAATCTACATCTACGCACATGATGGCCGCTTCCGAGGAAGTAATATCAGACTTGGGAGCAGAGGAGATTCTTATTACGAATATCTCATCAAGCAATTCCTTCAAACATCAAAAGAAGAACCTATATATGAGGAACTCTGGGATGAATCGCTTGCCGGTGTCCGAAAGCACCTCATCACGTATTCCAGCCCGTCACAATTTACTGTTCTGGGAGAGCGACCTGAAGGCCTTGCCAAACCCTTGTCTCCAAAGATGGATCATCTTGCATGCTTCATGCCAGGTACTATCGCACTGGGTGCCACTGGTGGTATTACGGAAAAGGAGGCTAGGAAGCTCCCAACATGGTCCGCGAAGAAGGATGAAGAGATGCGACTTGCGCGCGAATTAACGCATACTTGTTGGGCCATGTACAAAGCTATGGCCACGGGACTCGCTGCGGAGATCACGCATTTCCATGTTGACGAGCCAACTTTACCTGAATCAGCATCCCACAAAGCCCCTGAAAATCTTGATGACGAAGAGAATACTGAATGGAAGAACGACTTAGTGATCAAAGATAACGACGTTCATAATCTACAGCGACCCGAAACCGTCGAAACGTTGTTCTACATGTGGAGGATAACAGGAGATACAATGTATAGAGAATGGGGATGGGATATGTTCAAATCGTTTGTCAACTACACAGCCGTCGAAGACGGAGGTGGCTTCACGAGTTTATCAAACGCAAATATCATTCCCCCACAGACAAAAGACAACATGGAAAGTTTCTGGCTCGTACGTACCAAATTACCAATTCTTTTTTCAAGAAATTAGGAAATGATCAAAGCTAATAATCAGGCAGGCGGAGACTCTTAAATATTTATATCTCCTATTCTCCGATGACGACCTACTTCCTCTTGACACAATTGTCATCAACACAGAGGCTCACTTTTTCCCGCGGTTCAAGCTTGGCCCGTTAAACAAGACTGGTTGGCAAAGAAAACCGCGTGGTCCAGACGGGAAAATCATACCTGAACCGCCATCGAAGAAGACCGAATCACCTACAGTGGAAGTGAGGACTGTACAGCCGGTGGAGCCGGTGGCATCAAGCGCGGGGGTTTGAGGGTAAGGATACAAGGATGGCTTGTAAATATGGATAGGATGGGCACGATTTTGAATGAACTGAAATTATGGGCGTTGGGGCCTTTACTACGGCATTTTGAGCGAGGCGAAAATAGTATACTTCGATGCTTCATAGACTCCTTGCGAATGACAAGCCGTGCGCGTTTGACCGAGATAAAAATAATCTCTAGATTTCCTCTATATGATTTATCTTCTATAACAAACAATTACTATGGAATAGTTTCATCACCGTGATAGCAGACACAAGCTGCTGGTTTAGATGTGCCTAATTCTGTTCTTTATGTCAAATGTTACCTACATCCGAGGTCGATGAGGGATGATATCGTGACATAGTCTTAATAGCGATGCAATCTACCTTTCTGAGACCAGAGCCCACCCAAGTATGTTCAGCATGAAATCGCTCGGCGAGTATACACCAAAGCAGGAATACAAGAGGAGAGCTGGATCCTTCACTCAGTCCTTGTTTTAGCTCGTTGGATGCCCCACCTCGATAAACATCTTAAAAGTAATGCTAGAAGGTTCAAGAGATATCACTCAGCCAGGGCAAGCCGAGTTTCCTCATCTCAACCGCCAATTGGAAGAGATAGTCCAGACTAGAATACGTCAGCAGAGTTTCCCTCCATGAAAAGAGGTCGATCAAACCTCTCAGCCTGCGTCTTCGCCTTATGCACCGTCTCTCCCCATACATAAATCCCATGCCGCCTAACCAGAACCGCATACGTATCCGGATATTTGTTCATCGCCTCCTCCAAGCTCTCCGTCAAGTCTTCTTCATGTGGTGTATTCTCAATAACTGGTATCTTCAATGTATCATGATATCCCAGATTCCCTTGCTTCTGAAAGCCCTTTCCAAACCCCTTGATCTGCTCGATATTGTTGATCTCAAATAAATCCGATTGCACAGTCTCAAGCAAGAGAGTAACGAGGACCGCCCATTGCGAATGTGTATGAATACAGCATCCCGCGTTTCTCTTTGTGAAGGCTGCGATGAAGAGCGGCGTGCATTGGGAAGGTTTGAAGGCCGGCGGAGAGCGCAGATATATTCGTTGCTTGGGGTCGACTTGTTGAGAAAGAGCGAGGACGTATATATCTTCAGGCTTCATCAGTTCTTTCTGAACGCCAGATGGCGCGAGATATACAAGATCACTGTGAGAGGATGAGCATCCATACGGTTGGCTTCGCCGCGAGACACCTACTCGTTACGAATGCTTGCGCCTCCTCCAGTACCGGTAACCCATCCTAATGTCCAAAATTTGCGACATAGCTCGGGGATGAGGTTTGCGGGGTGTTGGCTGTCGGCGGATTTGATCAGGTGGTCGTTGTTACCCGTTGGGTCCGGTTGATCTTCTTGGTTAGACATTATGAAGGGGTGCGTCCTTGATAATCCCAATTAGGAAGTTTGGCAGGCAGGAATTCAACTGTATTAGGAAGTTGGTGGTTGGTAGAATTTAAGGATGCTGTTATAGTTATTTTATTTATCCCCACAATCTAGGGGTGGGGCACACCGGAAGTACTTCAGAGATGTAAACACGTACATTCAAACATGATGAAATAAAGAGGATTGAAGGGAATTAGGCTAAATGCTACCAACACCAACACATATATAGTTCCCGGAAACTTGGAGATTTTTGGAATGAGGTAGTCCAAGCTGTAGTTGCTCAAGTTGGGTTATGCTGAATCTAAGGCTTCTTGCATTGCAGTGAGGCTCGTCTCGTCATGGTTTAGCTTGGCTTGACCGCCCAGGCGACAGTTCAAACCGTTGTTGAAATAACGTCTATTTCAGAAGCTGAGAATAGAATGTTCATATAAGAAGATTATGATAGATGCAATTTATATAAATACTGCATCTTTACCAAAGGACACTTTTCATATCCAATAAAAAATAAATCCCAGCTTGTAGCCAGATATCATTATGTGCTGTGGTCGGACGCTTGTAGTACAATGCCGGCGGGAGAGCTCCGCAACACAGCTACTTTAATCCTTGCTCTCCAAGAGGACAGGTGGTAATTTCATAGTCGTCTCCGCACACCGATTCATAAACTCCTTCTTAGCCTCCGCCCTTCATCCTCTCTTGTCTTCTACATTCCACTCCATTCTCTGCTCTACTCTGCGCTCTGGAAGCAAACACCAATACGCAAAGTCTTCTTTCAATAGTTGACTGCTGCTCCCTCTACTCGCCTTGATCTAGAAATCGCTCTTCCTGACCAGCTTCGACATCATGCGTTTCCCCGCAGCCGCTATCTCAGCAGCAGCTCTGCTGGCAGGTTCTGTCAATGCAGATGCTCAGTCTGTCCTCAGCGAAGCCAGCTCCTCCGTCTCCAGCGTTGCCAGCGATGCTTCCTCTGTCGTTGAATCCGCTACCTCGGGCCCCGAGCTACCAACTTTCACTGTAAGCTCCCAATACACGCAGCGCCCGCGCATTGATTCTTGTCAATTAACATGCTAATTTTACTCTTTACAGCCTACAACCATCAAGGGTGATTTTGTTGAGCAATTCACAGACGATTGGGACGCGCGATGGAAGCCATCCCATGCCAAGAAGGACACCAAAGGCTCCGCTAAAGAAGATGAGGAATGGGCATATGTTGGAGAATGGGCTGTTGAAGAGCCACACGTATACAAGGGAATGGAAGGCGACAAGGGTCTTGTTGTCAAGAACGCTGCAGCTCACCATGCCATCTCAGCCAAGTTCCCCAAGAAAATAGATAACAAGGGCAAGACTCTGGTTGTCCAGTACGAGGTCAAGCTCCAAAGTGAGTATATTATCTCTGACTAAAGATTATTTGCATTGCTAACAATCGTTCAGATGGTCTCGAATGTGGTGGAGCTTACTTGAAGCTTCTCCGTGACAACAAAGCTCTTCACCAGGATGAGTTCTCCAACGTCTCCCCCTACGTTGTCATGTTCGGTCCCGACAAGTGCGGTACCACCAACAAGGTCCACTTCATCGTCAACCACAAGAACCCAAAGACTGGCGAGTACGAGGAGAAGCACCTATCAGCCCCCCCAGCCGCCCGTATCCTCAAGACCTCCGAGCTCTACACTTTGATCGTCCACCCTAACAACACTGTTCACATCAAGTTGAATGGTGAGCAAGTCAAGGAGGCCAACCTCTTGGAGGACTTCCTTCCTCCATTCAACCCCCCCGCCGAGATCGACGACCCTAAAGATTCCAAGCCTGATACTTGGATCGACGAGGCCAGAATTGCCGACCCTGAGGCGACGAAACCTGAGGACTGGTATGTATACTCGCATGGTGTCTTGTTGAGAGCTGAGCTCCTAACTTGCCCTTTAAAAGGCTAGCGCTAACTTGTCTAAAGGGATGAGGATGCGCCATTCGAGATCGTTGATGAGGAGGCTACTATTCCTGAGGATTGGTTGGAGACTGAGCCTCTTACTGTCCCTGATCCAGAAGCATCCAAGCCAGAAGATTGGGACGAGGAAGAAGATGGAGACTGGGTTGCCCCAACTGTCCCTAACCCCAAGTGTGATGATGTCTCTGGCTGTGGCAAGTGGGAGAAGCCAGTAAGTGCCCAAGCACTCCGCAAACCCTCTTCAATGCTAACCACATCGTTTAGACAATCAAGAACCCAGCATTCAAGGGCAAGTGGACTGCACCTTACATTGATAAGTACGTATTTTTTTTCTTTTGTCGTGCTGGGAGTTTGTTTCACCACACGGGATATCCTTCACACACCTAAACAGTCTAAATGAACCAAAAGCTGACTATCCGACTAGCCCTGCGTACAAAGGTGTCTGGGCCCCAAGAAAGATCAAGAACCCTGCATTCTTTGAGGACAAGACTGTAAGTTACTTCCCAGGCCGATATTTAAATCACGTGATGATTCGAAAATGTATACTGACTTTTTGATTAGCCCGCCAACCTTGAACCAATGGGAGCAATTGGTTTCGAAATCTGGACCATGCAGAACGACATCCTCTTCGACAACATCTACATTGGTCACTCTGTCGCAGATGCTGAGAAATTCGCCCAGGAAACTTTCTTCGAGAAGCACCCTATCGAGCAACTCATTGAACTTGCCGAGAAGCCCAAGGTTGAGGATAAGCCAAAGTCTCCTTCTGACCTCGTCTTTTTGGATGACCCCGTCCTATACGTCAAAGAGAAGCTCGACCTGTTCTTCACCATCGCCCAGAACGACCCCATCCAGGCCGTCAAGTTCGTCCCTGAAGCCGCCGGTGGTATTGCCGCAGTTCTCGTCACTCTTATTGCTATTATCGTCGGTGTTGTCTCACTGGGTGGATCTACCCCACCTCAAGTAAAGAAAGCAGCGGACAAGGCCAAGGCTACTGCCACTGATGCCAAGGACAAGGTTGCGGAAGCTGTGTCAACTGGAGCTGAGAAGGCTCAGGAAGCTACCAAGCGCGCTACTAGAAGCTCGTCGTAGATTGTCGGGAATGAATGAAGTATAATGATGAGAAGAGATAGCGTCGCAAAATAGCGGCGAGGTGGAGGTTTTGATGGGCATTGGTCGTCACATTCGCACTCGCATTTGCATTTCCCGTTCACTGATGTGATTTTGGTGTTCGATAATTCGGCGGATGTGTATTTTAGGCGCACAAAATATGAAGCAAATCTTTTGATTTATCGCCCGCGTGTCCATTTATGTATGAAGTTATGGGTGCGGTTTCGGTCAACTACCAAATAAACGAATTATATCAGCGGTCTTTCTATTCGCTCCCATGGAATTTATATGATGGCGCACGCAAAGCTGAGAAATCCAACGCTACCAAATAACTCCCTTCAATATGCTCAAATGGATCGATCTCAAATATTCATTCGGAAGAAAATTCATATGCATGCCGTTAGATTTCCGCGCCCGCTCGTCCCACCCCTATCTCCCAAATTCCAAACTCGGCACAATTACAGGTCCGTATTTCGTCGGTGGGCTGAAGCCGCCATCTCCCTGAACCACAAAATCCACTGCCAGGCTCAGCTTCGTCAATCCCTGCTGTCCGCTATGCACACTGTTTGCGTATTGTGTGCCTGCAATCGCTTCCGGGTCATATGCTACAAAGGCGACGTAGTTTCTCCTGCCCATTAGCTTCTTCATTTCTCGAGGACCGCCATTTGTATCCGTTTGGAAGATTTCCATCATGTCTTCCTTGGTGTCCGAGACTTGGTTGGTGGTCCTTTGGCCGTTTGCTGGGACGTAGAGAGGTTTGTTGTTGTGTAGCATCTTGAGAACGTAAGATGGAGGAGGTGCTGCAACCACGGCTGAGGATATGACTTGATACATTGTTTTGTGATCACTTGGGTGGCTTGGATCATGTACTAGACCGGCACCGCAGCAATTCACATCTGAATACGTATGTTAGTTTTTTACTCATTGGGACAGTTGTGGTTTCTTTACCTCCAGACAAGAAAGTCATGCGGATACCCTTCTGATGCGCAATTCCTTGCAAAGTTCGAATTAAGTATGTCCTCTCAAGATCTTTCGATTCGTGCGTCCACATGTCTCGCAGCTCATCAGCAATGTCAATGTCGCCAAAGGTGTTGAGAACTCCTCCCATAAGCCCAGACTTCCCAACTGCCTTTTTTACTTGGGAGAATCCAGATGCCACAGCGTCTTTGCCACCTACTACACCTGCTACGGAACTCGTAACTTTGCCAAGCAAATTGTATGTTCCAGTCACTGCTTTCTTGCCCGTTGCCATCGTGTGAGCTATACTTTCAACGGTGTCTAGGCGCGGATATATGACTGGTACTGAAACCATCCAGATACAATGTTGTACACTGGGAGGGAGAGTCGCAACCTTTGGGAATATTCCTTGATAAGTCGGACCTGCCAGAACTTGACGTTGATTACGTTCTGAACGGCAATCTGGACCAATAACCACAACTGCAGGCCCAAGGAACTTGACGAAATGCCAACCAGAACCGGTGATTGTAAAAAGATCTGTATCAGTGCTAACGTTCCGAAGAATCTCTAGAGTCGTATGATGTTGAAACAGAAGATACATTTCAATGCCAATACGTCCAATATTCTTGAACATATTAGACGTTTGCATATACTCTGGATACGATCCGAACCCGTCAAATCTAGATAGCTGTCAGTATTCAATAAACTAGAAGAGGCTTGATTTCTTACATGTCATGGTCATCGATCTGCAGGACGTGAGGAATTTGAGCGAAAGCTTCCCTTAGATACGGTTGATCGAAATGACTGCTGTAGTAGTGGAAATACGCATGGGAAACATCTTCCTCATGCCGAGCGGTCCAAGCTGCACTTCGCCGGTTGTCTTTGCCACTCATGGCTAGCCATTGCTTCAGCAACGGAATCTCTTTCCATAATCTGTCTCCATATATCTGATCGCCTAGGCCGAGCTGAACATGGAAGCCACCACATTCGACGTTCTTCTGTAAAATGTCTTTCCACATAAACCCAATTCCACCAAGCTTAGAACGCTCGGTCATGCTCGTATTCATAGCAAAATCATTGCCGGAATGTGCAATAAATCTCCAGTTGGTTTCGTACCGACCAGCAACTAGGAATTCGTACCGAGTACAGCCTAGGTGCGATGTTATGGCATACGTCCATTTGTCGCTGGGACCTTCTCCCATCTGTAATTCTACATCATATCGATAGAAAATCCATCTTTGGTGCGTAAATATTGGGTTAGGTTTGAGCTGCCGAGGATTTGGTGATAAATCAACACTTTGATGTATGTGGATAGTTGGGGGTTGAGGAGCGTCCGTGACCAGCATAATTGTACCCAGCCACAAACCTCTTTCCATATCCATATTAACATAACGAAGATACGGTCCAAAGTAAACACCGTTGGTAGGAGCAACTTTGTACATATCGACCCCGGCACTTGGCGGAGGTCCAGAAAATCCCGCTGCCGTGGGGGTTTGAGAAGCCATGCTCATGATACTTTCTGCATATCCAGGTGTATGAGGCGGAAAACCGGGTGAGCTAAGAGGAGTCTTGCCAAATGCACTAAGTCCTGGTGATGCCAAAGGATTTCCATAGGTGGAAGTTGTAGGTGAAAGAGGAGCAATATCATGGTTGAGTGGGGTGGGGCCTTTGGGAAATTCCCATTGAGTTGCTTGGGTTGGAAGGTGAATATAGTAATATTGGCCTGAATTTTGGTCTAGATGAGCAATCCAACCTTCTGGAAGCGGTGGGGGAGAGCTCGGACCTGCGCCCTGAAAGGGCGAAGAATTCGCTACTTGCTGAACTGGGGCTGGCTGGGCATTTTGTTGCTGGGTTTGTGGTTGTGGTTGAGGAGCCTGTACAGGGTCATTTGCGAAAGCTGGGTGGCCTGGATGCTGTAACTGAGGTGACTGCAAAGGAGATGTAATATTTAGCTTTGGAGCAGTGTTGATTGCAGCAGGGACTACAGCTGGAGTCGCAGCAGGACGTTTTTCATTAGGATAAGTTCGCGCAGCCCCATTAGATCCTGGAGTGACACTAGAGTAGGCTGGTGGAGGAGAAGGTGAGAGTTGCATGCGTTGGAAATCCTGTTGGAAGTCCTGCTCAAGTGCATTTTGCTGCGCTCCAGAGCCTTGTCTTCCATCCTGCTGTGGTGGTGGAGATGCGGAATTTGTCACTTCATTTGGTCCTTGGTAAACGCGAATGGGCCCATGTGGCTGGTTGTCAGGAGATTCCGTTGGCGTCCACGGTCTGGGGATACTTTGAGGAGCTGGAGACAGCCCTGGGGATTGCGGCAGTTGGGGAATAGGAGGAGTCGAGTACTGATTCTGCCGCTGGGCAGCTGCCGCATTCTGTGCTTGAAGGCTGCTTAAAGTAGCCGTTCCGGAAATACCAGCAGCCGCTAGTCAAAGAATTAGTATGATGAGAAGCTCATTTGAAGTAGGTAGCTACAGAGCCAGGGAGCTGTCTGAGGAGCCAGAACCCCACATACTGCGGAGCATTTTTCCTGGCTCCCGACACAGCTCTCAGCTCTGGAGCTCACATAAACATTGTAAGTTTAATGTTTGGGAGTTTGACTTACCATATCGAGCCTCAATTCCACCACCGGCTTGTTCTCCCGGGCCTATGATAGGGGTCTCTGGTGGAGGGGGTGAGCCGCGCGTTGCACGAGTTGTAGATGTAGATGCTGTAGAGGCAAACCGATTCATATCGTTCTTTGGAGTGGGCGCAACCAAGTTCGTATTTATTGCTGGCTGGCCATCGAGTTCTGATGGATCCGGAACTGGAGGCGGAGCATAATAATGTTGGTTATTTCCAGAGTACATGCTTGCGCTCGGTTGCGAGGGACGCCTTGCGCCAACTTTGGGGTTTATAGCAAACAACCCCTCCTTGTCAGGAAGATCAGGGCCGGGGCTCTCTGGCAGTTGTTTCCCTCTTCTTTCAGCCAAGCTAGGACCGGCCCTCTTCTCAATAGGACTCAGCCGAGGCGCCGTATCATTCGTGCCCCTCCTGCCACTGGATCCTGACGCTGCTGATCCGGATCTGCTTTCTGGATTTGGTCTTCGATCTTCGGGGTATGGGGCTCGATGAGCTCGAGAGGGGGCTTGGTAATTATCGTTGTCGTCGTCTGGGTAAGGAAGAGAATTCGCGGAACTCGATGCCCCAGGTGGTAGAGGAAATGATAGCTTAGAGGGTTGCTGAGGATGGTTCACTCGGCCTGAACTTGATGGTTGGGGGCTGTTCGGCTTGTAAATACGTAACGGCTCAACCGTGGGACTGTCACCACCACCCGATGAAGGTCTTTGAAGGAAAAGCTCCTCATCAGGCTTTCCGTGACGAGCGGCCATGGTTGAGGCCAGGTACGAAGTTGGGAGGATCCAATGAACAGTTCGCTAAGTGACGCACGAAGTGTTATTTATAGGAAGCTTCAACGGGTAAGCTACTGTATGTATGTATCTCTTGAGAGGCACAGAAGATCGATGCGGGCAGCAGCAGGGCGGGGGAGAATGTATCAGATCCAAGGTGAGATGAGATCGGCGACCGCGATGGAGGCCTCCTGCGTTCAGTACAGGAGATGTCTGGATGGGCAAACTGAGGGAAGGTATGAGGCTGCGCGCAAAAAGGTCAAGAGGACAGGAAAACGAATCAAGGGAATATTTTATCCAGCAGCAGGATAGTTCTCTTGGAGGCACGATAGATGAATATGCGACACGCCGGAGCTGGAGGGGGTAAGCCAGTTTTCTGGGTTGCGATGAGATTATTGGCGGGGCTGACCAGCGCTTGCTGCACGAACAGAAGTCCCGGCGGCTACAGCAGAGCACAGTGGAGATAGGTTCTAGAAGGAGATGCAAACAGAGGTACGTAACTACAAGCGCTGAGAATCGGTGTGTGATATCTTACCGCCGACAGTATGATGATATTATAGAATAGCTGCAACTAACTGACTTGTCACAGTATTGATATCGAGGGGAAGTCGGCCACCGGCAAGCGATGCGATTTGCTGACTGTACAGTGACGACTGAATGCCTGACTGACATCTCACTCATTGTGCTCTGCCAGACTAAGCAATAGCATGAAGATTGGAAGTTTGGAATAGGTGGAGAAATTGGGTACGATACTCGTAGATGATTCTATTAAAATACACTTTGTAGTGTTCATATTTTACTCTGACTCGTGATTGGCCTGTTACTTGTGACAGCAAAATTGTAAGGGCCTCCTTGTGGGACGGCCCGTGCTCCCTGGCCTGGCATCGCAGCAGCCACAGCCACTTCCTTTAAATCGCGTCGCGACCGAGACCGCGTCAAAATCTTCGACGCGTAAAGTGCAACTTCCCCAAAACTCAACATTTGCATTCGCATCCCAATCCCACCTTCCCTCTCAACCACCATCACCATCACTTCTTAGTTCTACAATACACAGAAAGAGCCTCCGACCATGGCATCTGTTGTACTCGGGAAAAGGACTCGAAGTTCTACAAACTCAGGTGCGCCTTCCTTCTAACTCTCCACTAGCACTCAACTCACTTTTTGCCAGCGCCAAACACACCAGCCAAAAGGCAAGCTCGCGTCGAAATCTTCAATGATGAGAACGAGAATCCCTTCATCGTCCAGTCTGCGCGCCACAACACCCAAGATGGCGAGTCAATGGGCTTGGACGAGCGCCCAGCATCAATATTCACGAATTCTTTACCAACCAAGAACGGCAAGCCCGCCATCTCGTCTATTTCCAAGACGAAAACACAATTTCACGTCACAAAACTTAATAATGGTCAGTTCGCATCCTTGGATATTCTGGGTTGAGCTGACATGAAGCAGATGAGAGAAAACCTGTGCAAACTCCTACCCCCCAGACCCCACGTCACCGGGACGCGTTCAAGGCGCCAGTCACCCCTCGACATCGTGTTGCAATCACTTTCAAACCCCTCACTCCACGAACCCCACGTACACCAGGAACACCGGGCGGCTCAATTACCACCGTATACAGTCAGGCGAGACAACTGTTTACGCGGAGTTCAGAGCCTGGTCGGCTTGTTGGGCGAGAGGCTGAGAGACAAGAATTGTCAAGTTTCGTTCAGGAGCGCGTTGCCAAAACGTTCGGTGGATGTATATATGTTTCGGGTCCACCAGGAACAGGAAAAAGCGCCATGGTCAACGAAGTCACTGGCGATCTCGAGCAGTCACCAGTTATGAAGAAGGCATACGTCAATTGTATGAGTCTGAAAACGTCTAAAGACCTATATGGTAGTTTGCTGGAGAGCTTGTGCGACGAGGAGGTTCTGGAAGGAGATGAGGTCAAGACCCTCCAAGAAATGTTTGCGCCGAGGAAGAAGGCCAAGAACATCTACGTTGTTACGTTGGATGAAATCGATCATGTCCTTTCCCTGGATCTGGAAATACTGTACAAGTTGTTCGAGTGGTCTCTACAGAAAACCTCACATCTCATCCTGGTCGGAATCGCCAATGCTTTGGATTTAACGGACCGCTTCCTACCACGATTAAAGGCCCGAAATCTCAAGCCACAACTCCTGCCATTCCTTCCTTACAGTGCAGCTCAGATCAAGACTGTAATCACTACTCGATTAAAGTCACTCGTGACTGCAGATAGTCTCACGCCAGATTACCTTCCATTCCTTCATCCAGCAGCCATTGATCTATGCTCTCGAAAAGTCTCAAGTCAAACTGGAGATCTTCGAAAAGCATTCGACATCTGCAGACGGGCAATTGAAGTGATTGAGTCAGAAGTGAAGCAGAAGCATGAACAGGCGTTGCAAGAAGCAATGCTACAGAATAGTCCTTCCAAGAAACCACTCGAGGAAAATGTGAACTTGTCATCACCAGTTGGTCTCCAAACAGGGGCTTTCACGAAGTCACTAGCACAGTCACTGGCCACCCTGACAGTCGAGACTGCTCCACGAGCGTCAATTGCACATGTCAACAAGATCACTTCATCAACCTTTGGAAACGGAGCAAACCAAAGACTCAAGACTCTCAATCTTCAGCAGAAGGCCGCTTTATGCGCTTTGGTGGCCCTGGAGAAGCGGAAAAGGATGGCGGCGGCCAACGTCATGGCAACGCCTTCGAAATCGAACAACGTTGCTCCCACCATCAAAGCATTATATGACGTCTATTGTACACTCTGTACTCGCGACTCTATTCTCCACCCCCTTACAAGCACCGAGTTCAGAGATGTGGTTGGGAGCTTGGAAACACTGTCTTTGATCAGCGCTGTTGACGGGAGAAATGGCTCATTCGTGGGCTCAAGCACTCCAAGCAGGAAAGCGAGGAAGTTTGGCTCTGGTATGGGTACTGGTGATGAAAAGAGAGTCGGTAGCTGCGTTGGAGAAAAAGAGGTTGCACAGGCTGTAGAGGGCCTGGGTGCTGGTATTTTGAAGAGTATTCTCAATGGCGAGGGACTTTGAATGTTTGAATAGTTGTAGTTTTGCATAGCGTCGCATTGGGCATTGTTTAGATAGCGACTTGCATGCCCATCATTGTATAAGACGTCTACAAATGGATATGGATAGGCATTATGATAATAGGAAGGAGTAATGAAAATTCTATAACTTCAAAGCTGGCTTTCCAAGCAATATTGAGTGAAAATGACGCATGGATCATGGAGGTGGACAAATTTTTGGGTCGCCTCCTGGCAAATAGAACTACCTACGCTCGTGATGCTTTTCGGAAAAGACGAGATTTAGTTTTCCTTTCTTCGCTGTTCTCTTCTAGCTTAGAAAGACATAAGATATATTGGGGACGTCCAAAAGGAAAGTAGAGCAGCAATAAGAATCATATGAGGGCCAACTTGTCAGGCCACTTTGAAATCGCTCGCACGACATGACATTACATATCGTGGAATTAGAAATGTCGGCGGTGAAGTAATACGCGGTAAAAGGATTCAGGAAGTTATTCTGAACTAATCATCGATGCCTCTTTTCAGATCCCATGTTCCATACCCACGTCAGCATCAAGATTTGCCATTGCCACCTTTGTCCTTGTCGTCACCACCACCACCTGTACTTGTAGTGGCGGTGGCAGTCGCCCCCCCATCTCCGTCTGCGTCTCGGGCCTGTTCGCTATGCTGGGACTCTACGCTTGCAAGTAGGGTGTCGATTTTCTTCTCTAGGTTCGTGAGATTTGACTCGAGTGCCTGCGCTGTCTTTTCGCCCCTGATTCAGATCAGCACGGGGTCTTGGTTAGTCTAGATTTCAGAACCAGGACCAGAGGAATTATCGGGAATAAGGTACATGTACGGGCAGGTAGAGGATTGCATGATTGGGAAGGATACGAGTTCCGCGAATATGGGCCGTGGAAGTGCTAACTAAGTCTGTCTGTCTTCTTTTGGATTGGACTTTTGCATGCTGCAGGTCCGGGGTGGACATGCGGATTTGGGATAGGATTTCGAGAATTGGATGTTAAGGATCCGGACGAATCAACTTACCTTGATAGTTCGGCCCAGACCTACATATACAAGAGCGGTTAGTCGGGGCAAGGAATATGTTGATGTAGGTATATTTGTTGTTATACATGACATGTCATCGGCACCGCATTGCTTCGGAGGCAACTCCTGTTCCAGTGGCTGGGTCTTTAACACGTACCTTTGCTAGATCTAGATCTGTATCGTCTGCATGACTATCTGTCGGGAGGAGGTTCGATGAGGATGAGGAGGAGGAAGAAGCCATTATTCCTAGGTGTAAGGTGCGGTCTAGATTTCTTCTCACACTCAGCTGAACGACTGTGCGTGGTGGTATTTGTATGATGATGCGGCTGGACTGGACTGGACTGTTGATAAGTGATGTGGTATCGGCTCGGATTAAGGATCCGGAGTGCAACGGTACGGTACGTAAATGACAATTCTCTCTCCTGCCGCCACTATAGGATCCAAGTTAAAGATTTGGACGTCGGAAAAGATGGAATTTGTGGTTCTTAATCTGGATGCTGGAAGAAATAGGAATTACGCTCCGTGGACATACATGGATAGATTACCTGACTTGTTTAAGACCAAAATGTTTGGGATCTAGAATCCCCGCTACGCTGCCCTTGGTGATTGAGGATCTTGACCCTCGAATGCGCATTGTCATTCAGTTCACTAATACGATGATTGTATTCCAAGTCGTGCCGCCTCTATGTGAAGAATTGATTAAACACTTGGATTCTTTTCATAGAGTTCTTGTCCAACAAATAATAAGTGGGTATATTTCGGCTATTCCTGCACGCACTGGCGTCGGCGTCTGACTCCGTACTATCCCCCCCCCCCCCTTAATAAAGAGCATTTGTGGGTCAAATCCCCACAATACGTAGAAATCTGTAGAACTGAATGGCTACAGCCCTTGTAAATGGCCCGTGAAGGGTATCCGTAAGGTCCTTGTAAGGTCCCACTAAGCCCTGGGTGTATTGACATCATTGGCTTAGGCCCCTTGTAGAAATACCCACAAATGCTCTTTATTAAGGGGGGGGGATAGTATATTGATATCATTGGCTTAGGCCCCTTGTATAGAAACCCACAAATGCTCTTTATCAAGGGGGGGGGATAGTAGGTACTGTCAGCATCGCATTTTGAAAATGGGAAAGGGGAAAGATCAGAAGACACCACGGAGGTAGATCTCCATTCTCAAAGTCGGATAACGACCGAGAACCTGGGAAGGAACAGTAGGGGAATGGAGGCTCGCATCTCCGTAGCACGAGTGTACATGAGTGATAGAGAGAGTAGTCTGACTCTGATTACCTCAATGATTACCTTACCTACCTAGGTAGGTACTCTTATACTTTCGCAGACTCAGTTTTTCCGCGACTAGATCTACGCTCTTAAGGACCTAGGTATGTATTGTATAGCCCGATCCTCTCTCGAGGTCTACTTGTACTGTACAGACTACAGTGCCCCCTTTGCACTCTTTACCCTGCCCCTCTACAGTACCCCTCTGCCCGTCCGTCCTGCGCCTGTTGGAAGGAAGCAGCTTAGGAAGGACACTCCAGGTTGCTGGTCTGTCATGGCCATCGAGAATGCCATGCAAGATCGTGCTCCGCCGCCTATCCCCTAACCCCCTTGGTCCTAGGGCGGATGCTTATTTGCTTCTACGGAGTACGGAGGTCCTCCGTACAAAGGCATGGGCATGAGAGTGAGGAAAAAGAGTAAGGTAACACCATACTATATTTATTTCAATACACACACATACAGTACACTACTCAAGGTACTCCACTTCCACTCCCACTCCCGCCCACTCCCACTCCACTCCTTACGGTACTCGACTCGACTCGGCTCACTCGAGTCAAACACCTCCACGCTCCATACACACTCACTCACTCTCCCTCCCTCTCTCTCTGCCTGCTACAGTAGAACTACATCATATCACTGCACCGCACCGCACCGCACCACATCGCACCTCCCTTCCACCTTCCCTCCCTCTATTTTATCTTCTTTTTATACGTACACATACCAGACGAAGCACACGGACGTCTTTCGATTCTTTCTACCCTTTTTACCCTTTCTCTGCGATAAAGCATCGCATCGCATCGCATCGCATCGCATTGTTTGTCTTTTGCTCCTTTGGTCTTCGGCACGATCCGGCGAATTGCTACTCTTTTCTACCAAATAACACCAACCAAGTCCCATCCGCCTCCCCTCGTTCCCATCCCTACGCGTACACTTGCCGGAAAGCTACTTTAGGCCTACTGCAATATACAATTCTCTAGCCCCGAGATCTACATCTACCTACATCTACATCAACTAGGTCCCCCGCTGTCACGCATTGCCATCAACCGTGATCCTGCCAGTTGCCCATCTCAATCTTCCACGACCATATCCCCATCTCCTAACCTACTGCAGCTCCTCTAAATGCCGTAGACTTCCTACTTCATATGCCACATTACAAGCTGGAACTTGCCACAATTGTCACATATCCGTCTCACGATCTATTCAATTTTGGAACGCAAACACATTCACCATCCATCCATCCCTCCCACCCAAGCCTTCGACTACGGGAACGAGTCTTCTTCTCCAGCTGCAGCTTGTAGATACGGTACTAGGCATCATTCCATATCCAACACAAATCCTCGATCATCGCCACATTCTTGAAGACCATCTTTTTCTGGTCCAATATACGTATAGCTATCCGCGAATTAGCAGAAATAGCAGGCATAATAAATGCTCTTCGACACCGGCATACCACATCCGCATTCGACAGCATTTCAGAACGAGAAACGAATTGCCTGCAGGCCGGGGATTTCCTCTTCACACTGATTGGCAACATTCACAAGAGAGCGCGTGGCTCTCTAAAAGCGACCTCGACACATTTGGACTCGACATTTTCAAGTCCTGGACGATCTCCAGACGCAACATACTGTATGACTGAATTGGTAGACATATTTGCCGAGCTGGGGATTTCGCATTACCTCGAGGACTTCATCGATCAAGGCTTTGATACCTGGGATACGATCCTCGACATCACAGAGTCTGATTTTGATGCTCTCGGTGTCAAGCTCGGACACCGCAGAAAGCTCCAAAGGAAGATTGCCAATTCAAGAGGATTGTCCTCGGACAGAGCACTCGCCTCTCCGCGACATACACCAAGTGAAGATCGACAACCGGAAGAACAAAAGGCGGGAGCAACTAAGGCTGATGCGAGGGAAGGTGTTGCAGCTCATGGGGCGAAGCGGAAGTACAGGAGGCACCCCAAGCCAGACGACAACGCACCTGAGAGGCCACCGTCTGCGTATGTCATATTTTCAAACAAAATGCGCGAGGATCTTAAAGGAAGAAATTTATCCTTCACAGAGATAGCGAAGCTTGTGGGCGAAAATTGGCAGAATATTTCACCCGACGAAAAAGAGCCATATGAGCAACAAGCGTCCTCGGCGAAAGAAAGATACAACAACGAACTGGCAGAATACAAAAAAACGAGCAGCTATAAGGACTATTCGCAGTACTTGGTGGAATTTAAGGCCAGACAGTTAAATCAGCAACAGGGTATGTTCCACCTGTTAACGTTTGCCAATAGAGACTTCTGCTAATGGTTTCAGTAACTGACTTGGAAATTGCAAAACGCCCAAAACTTGAGCCACATGTAAGCAATGGATCTAGTGGGACGGCAAGCAGTTGTGCAAGTCAGCATGGCGCAGATATTCCAATTGTTCGAGCCCGTGTTGGATCCGCTACTCCAAGTAATGGCCCATGGCTTGCTGAGGGCTACAGTCCTGCTGGTGTATCGAAGCTGAATGTTGCTGGTGGTCCCTCGAACAGCCAGAGCTCGCCAAATACTTCCTCACCAAGCTTCCTACCTGGCTATCGCGAATCCATATACGGAGGAACACAGCAGTCGCTGCCCTGGAGAGATGTGCAGCGTGAGGACAATCCTGCCCCTCAGAAACTCTCTCATCTCGCAAGTATCTCGGACCGGCGTTCCAGTCCCCCAAGCCTTCATAATTCCGACTCTCCCATTCTTACTGGCTCGGTCCAACACCATCCACACCGTACAGCTCCCACACAAAGTCATCCTCCGCCATTGTTATCCTCCGAGTCAACAAACAGATCAGCTTCTTCTGCCAGTACAAGTTCATACTTTACTCCCCATACACCGATGGAGCCGCCCCCCGAGAGAGCTTTACCTATCCCGTCACTATACCCCCAGAAGTCATATGAAACCCAGCTTCCACCCTTAAGGCCACCTTCTTTATCGCCGCAGTCAGCCAGCCTTAGTTCCCAGCAATCCCCCATTGGTGCGTATGCTGAGTTATAGCCTTGTATTCAAGGTTTCATTTCCTTGGAAAGATATGCTAACAAGAACGCAGCTATTTCATCATTTTTTGAGCACCCATCATCAATGGCGCCTATGCGAGGGTTCACTGCAACATCACCTCAAAACATTGGGCATGCAGAGCGGCCTGATACAAACTCGCGTGACTTCATATCGCAAAGTACAAATGACGACAATAATCTGGACCCCGTTAGTGCACTTTTAAAAGCAGGGGAAATCGTCAATCGGAACAGCAGGTATCAGCAGAACATAACTTGATATACGTTTCCGCTACATGTAGTCTTAGGGATGGGTGACTAGAAAAAGCGCAAGTCCAATGTCTAGACAGACTTACTTTCTCACTGCCACGTACACAGAGCAGAACTTCTAGATTACGGCGCCAATGGAAAGGATCTGGCTCCTGGAGTTCGCTTGGTTGGCGTTTGCTGGCTACATTATGATTAGATTCCCCCAGATATTATTTCCGCCTCGAATTGGCATGTATTGTACTGAGCACATGCGGCTAAGTTGTACATAGAGATTACTGATTTACTCCCATAATCTGTCACAATCGGTCACATCATTTCGTACCGAAACTTCCTCTGGGAATATCAAGATGATGAAGATGATCTGAGGGCTGTATCTGCGGCATCGGACTCTCCTCCGGCGTTGGATACTGTTTTTGGCATCGAAGCCCCGGATATATTGGCGGGGTAATCGGCATTAAACTCATACCAATGCATGTGTACATACTCAGTACTAGGTAGCTATTGCAGCTATTTTGAAATCATCGAATTGTTTAGAGTGACTTTGTATTGTAAATAGCCCTAAATCACGTAGACATTTTCTTAGGCGTGAGCCATTAAGACTTCAACTGGTATTTGATATTTTTTAGAGGATGGTTGATTGGGTGTCAGATACCTATTTCCTATGTAGGTACCTAGGTAGGTAGACGGACGCTTCTCCCACTGACACAACTCGTATTTCCCCCCACGTGTGCAACACTCATCTCGTACCCCCGCTCAAAAAGGAATAATCCCCTCCCCCTCCTTCACTATTTTCCCCTTTTCCTACCAAAGCATATCCAACACAACCTTTCCAGGAAAGAGGTTATAACTCAAAGGTCTACACTTGGAATTCAAACATCATAAACTCGAATCACGCCTCCGAAAGCAAATAGAATTTGTAGGAGAAAGAGGTTCGCAATGACATAGAAGAGGGAGAAGGCCGAAAAAGGAAGGTGGGGGGTTATTCTGCCAGCGCGGTGAGGGAAAGTTTGGCGAGCTGAGCTTTGATTTTCTCCCGTGGCGACAATATCACGATCAAGGTTTGCATTGCTTTTGAACAAGGGACTCCGTGCAACTTCAAGAAAAGCATCCCATTGTTGAAGATTTTGGATTTCATTTTACCCACCGAACCTTCAAAGACTTTAGATCTTGGACTCTGTTTCTACTGCATAAATACCCCGGCTAAAACATGGAGGGCCTGCAAGCCATCAAGTATGTGAGGGGCAAACTCGAAGTCCTGGATCAATTGAAGCTGCCGCACGAGTTTGTCTACGAGAATGTAACGACATGCGAGGAGGCTTTTGATTGTATCAAAGCAATGCGTGTGAGAGGTACATCTCAATGTCTGCCGTGAGGACAAGTGAAGCAGCTAAGATGATGGACCAGGTGCCCCCGCCATTGCCATCGTCGCTGCCCTTGCACTGGCTGTGGAGTTGGAGTTTAAAAAAGATGGTTAGTGAATTCATGGCTCGCAACTTACTATTGCCTGTGCTGATCTGTCTAGATGCCCACCGTAAAGAAGAAACTGCTACATATATCAGCAAGCGCCTCGATTATCTCATGGGAAGTCGACCAACGGCTGTAGATCTCTCGAATGCCATCAAACTCCTCAAATCGAAGACCGAAGAAGTTGTCTCGGTTTGCAGTACATCGGATCAGGCAGTTGCGTGTGCTGATGTACGTTTGTGCTACATCGAGACGGCCGAGAAGATATTGGCAGATGATTTTGATACAAACTTATCAATTGGGAGATATGGTGCTGAATATCTGCGCCGGCAAGAGATGCCTATTCTTAAACCTGTGGATGAGGCCGAGGAGTTTAGGTACTACACAACAAGCCCACCTGGTACTCAAGGGGCGCCAGACATGAAATATAGAAAGTTGAGCGTCTTGACACACTGCAACACTGGGTATGTACACACGGAAATTCATCTTTCTCGGACTATTTTCGAACATGGGAGTTTGAACTATGCGTGATTCTCTCATGAATTCCACTGCTAACCATAAATAGATCTCTCGCAACGTCAGGCCACGGCACAGCATTAGGTATCATCCGCAGCCTACACAAAATGAACTACCTCGAGCACGCCTATTGCACCGAGACCCGTCCCTACAACCAAGGATCGCGCCTCACAGCCTTCGAACTGGCCTTTGAGAAAATCCCCGCAACACTAATCACTGACTCCATGGCCGGCGCCCTCTTCTCACGCATGAAGAACGAGAAAAACATCTCAGCCGTCATCGTAGGCGCAGACAGAGTGGCCCGTAATGGAGACACAGCCAACAAGATCGGCACTTACACACTCGCCGTCCTAGCAAAATACCACGGCATTAAATTTGTCGTCGCGGCTCCCACGACCAGCATAGACTTGTCTACGGAATCCGGCGCCAAGATCAAGATCGAGGACCGGGCCAAGAGCGAACTTACCCAGATCACTGGTGCAATCGTGAATAAAGACGGCACGGTGGATACGAGCAAGAGTGCGCGAGTAGCGATTGCAGACCAAACGATCGATGTCTGGAATCCATCGTTCGACGTCACGCCTCATGAATTGATCGATGCTATAATCACCGAGAAGGGTGAGGTGCTGCGGAATTCGAAGGGCGAGTTTCACTTCAAGGATATTATTCCTGAGCGGTGGAGAAGAGATGTGCCGAATGGGAGTGATGCTGAGACAAATGGATCATCTGCTGTTCCTGGGACGCCTAGTGAGGAGGGTACTCAGTTTGCTATGGAAGTTTAGAGGTACGAAATGGACGACATGAAAAAAAAATGAAAAACCAGGATATCTTGATGAAAATGGGGGATGGAGTTCTTGTTTATATTAGGCTCGATGGTTGTTTGACTACAAAAGGGATATATTTGGATAAAAAAGAAGTCTTCATTCTTCACTAACAAGCATCTACTCGCGCGCGGCCAGATTACTAGATTTCAACCCTGTCCCGTATATCTCAGAAGATTTTTTTTCGAGCTCAAACAAGGACATGGAAAAAGTGTCTCCATAACCTGCAGTCGAGAGGACAAACACGTCAAATACAATACATCCATCGATATATATGCAGCTTCATACCTTAATTACATGCCCTCAATTCCTGAAATCCGTTTGACATCGAATATTCTTAGTACCTAAGGTAATTAACAAGAAACTTATCCTTACTCACTCACATACTTACCCCTTTAGCTCGCTCGCTCGCTCATTCATTCATTCATTCATTCATTCACCGCCCAGTCCCCTTAGCCTCGAAAGGATGAACAAAGCTAGCACCGCAGCACACGAAAGGACATGATTCAGATACTGTAAACCAGGTGCTTGTATAGAAAAAGACACCGGGGTGACAAAATGGTTTGAACCTGCAGGTGGGCTTGTGAGGCTAGGCTAGACTTGAAGCGCACTGCGACACTTCCGTGGGGGGGAGCAATTAGTAGCCGTTGGACTTGTGCAAATGTGCAAAGGAAATCATGAGCTTGTTCTTTCTGCAGATATCTGCTACGTGTAGGTAGGTACTTATATAGATTTTATTCGGAAGTGGCATGAATGACTGTAATTGCACTCGTCTTATTTCGCCTTCTTGAAATTCTAGTTGATTTCCTATTCCGGGAGCTTCGGATACCTTTAGTGAGACTGGGAGGGGAGAAGACGAATCTGAAGGATTATCATGTATATGAGTTAGACGCGGAGAGGTTATGGTTGTCGTTATAGTTATTTATGATTTAGTAAGTGAGGATTGAGTCATTAATAATCAAATGGGTGTGGTTTATCATTTATCGTTGTTTATTGTGCTCGAAGCGCGCTAATAATATAAATGAACAATTCTATCTCAAAACATGCTTCCCCTTAAGAGGTAATCACAGGTCGAAGAGTTTCTTCACCTGTTCATATGTGTCCTCGGGATTCTTGACTGAATGACCAATAGTCCTTGGGTCCGAGTAGATCTCATAGTCGTTACCCCCCTTATATGTCTTGTCGCCAAAGAAGTGAACAGTCGTATATTCTATTCCATCCGGTTTCTTGGCCTCAGCCTCGAGATGTGTCAGGCAGTACCTTTTATCCCAGCCATCCGGGAAGACATCAAATGATATTTGGCCTCCAATGGAATATCTGTTTCCATTCCCGATTAGCAACTATATGCCAACACCAGGGTTAGGGAGGGACGGTAACTTACGTCAACCCCAAATCCGCAAACTTCTCCCTCAAAATCCCCACAAACGTCTCGCGGACCTTATGCACATCATCATACGCATTAAACTCGTTCCTCTCTGACACACTCGCATTCCTGCCAATGGGACTAACATTAATCATGCCATTCCGGAACTCCACAAATGTGCCCCTCTTGATGGGGATATCCAGATCCGCGACGTAATGCAAGATGAACTTAACCAGCTTCTTGTAGTTTTCCTCGCCCACCATCTTGATGAACGAGTGTGATGCGAGCGGCAGGCCCAGCTTGTAGGCCGTGAGCCCGTTCTCCGAGAAGCAGAAGTCGAACATGGTAGTGACGGGGATCGCGGCGCTGCCCAGCTGTTCCTGCTGCTTGGCTAGGTCGGAGCCGCCGACGAATCCGATGGCGACTTTGTGGCGGAGCGCCGAGAGCAGCGCGAGCATCTCCGGCGTGGCTGTCTGGTCTTTCTGTTAGGGTTCTGTGCTTGGATATGCTCTGTTTCTTCTTTTGCTTACACGCCGGGGGATTGTTAGGGTGTCGTCTACATCGAAGAGCACGATTGTGTTTTTGATGGGACGCTGGTCGAGCGGTGGGTATACGGATGCTGCTTCGGTCATGTTGGCGGTTGTGGAGGATATACCGTGTGCGGTGGGCGTTGATGAGAGGGAGGAATTGAAAGTTGAGAAAGATCTGTGGTGGGGGTGGGTGAGGGGTCGTACCTGCGCTTGTAGGGTTCTAAAGGCGTGGTGGTGCTTACTTAAAGTGCTTAGCGCGATAGCTCAACCACCTCCTGTCAACCTACAAGGTTAAACATAAGTAACTATAGTCACTCGTAACTACGTATCTATCTTTTGTCTTCTTGGCACTTTTTCTTCTGGCTAAATTTAGAATCTTAAAAATATTAAAAGCATTAGACCATTCCACGTTTACTCACGTCCAAATCAACGACTATTTAGTACCTATATTTGGATCTCAATTCCAGACATCCTTGCGACATAAACGGCCCATAAAACATTCCCGAGACTTGAAACATGGATCTGATGCTCATCTACCGTTATGCCTGCATCTCCAAATAGGTCATAGGCAACTTTTAATGTGGTTGCAGAGTCTTTTGATTGGGATATCGAAATGCACGCCAGATACGGGGCAATCAGATCTATTCTTCGATACTCGCTCGAGTATTTCCTAGATTTTGATTCGCGACTTATAAGATTTTTGTCGCAGCTAAACTTCCAGTCGCTGTAAAGAAGAGCCAGCCTTCCGGGGAACATGTTCTGATAACAACTTCCAAATTTCCGCTCCCAAAGCAAGTAGAGCTATTGATGTAAGCAGTTGCTGTACCAGCAATTATACAACCCCGAGTAAACCCCTCATCTCAACTTGCACATCTTCAGGATATCATGTCGATGGAAGAAGCTCCGGCTACGTTTCCCGAGCAAATCTATAACATCATGTTAGGATTTGTAAGCATTTAAGACTTTCAGCGAAACTTACACATGGGGATGCTAAGCAAACAGATGAGGACCTGAACGCTGGCGACCCACATGAATACCTTGAATGTGCCCGCTTTAACAAGCCAGTCGTAGCCTGACGAGGTGATTCCGAAGGCGAAAAAGTTCTATCTTTGGGTTAGTAGAATGGGGTAAGGGAATAGGGAGTAGGGAGTAGGGAGTAGGGAGACGAACTTTAAACATGATAGTGCATGTGAAGGCTTCAATTGTGATGTCGCCTGGACAGAATTAGCTTTTGACCTTGGGATGAGGTTGATTTACTCACGGTGGGCATCGACAATGTATAATGAGGCACCCACAGTACCCATGATCATTCCAGCCTGTACAAATAAATGTTAGCACTGCTTCTTCAAACCTGATCTCATATTGCATAACTCACAACCTGCAACCCGAATGCAAAGATCGGTAAAATCCAGGGATAGTCCATGAGATTTGCCGCAGTGACTGCAAAGAGGTACAATCCAGTGCATCCAAAGATAAGCTGTGGGATTACCAATATGATTCTAAATTCGGGTTCGTAAACACCGTTATTCTTCCGAGTTAGGTACTTGGCACTCCAGTCCGCAAACACTCCAGCGAAGAGGAAGCCCAGGATGGCACCAATGAACGCTCCCGCGTAGGCATATCCTGTTTTGACCTCGTCCCAGAGGAGAGGTGGCCCGAGGAAAATAGCAGCGATTATTATGCCAATGAAGACCGTCCAGCCTATCATGGTACTTTGAGTCAGGCAGGCCCAGAATACGGCTGGGTGGGCGAACAGAGGGAAGGGTTTGAAGACAAGTTTCCAGAAGCTCTCGTCTGAAACTCTGCCATTGAAAGGCATTAGCTTTTCTCTGAAACTTTTGACTTTTGTATCGGCACCAGTGAAATGAAGTTCTGGACCATTGATCTCGCAACGAACGCTGTTCTTCTCTACAGAAGTTTCCTCACTTGAATGCAAGCGGGTAGGATCCGCAGACGCTAAATCTGTATTGAGGTACTCGGCACGACGGAAGGCGGTTTCGGGAACGTAGAAGAAGATGAGAGGTAGGCAGAAACCAGTGAAGATAGAAACGAAATAGAATGACCTGTGAGGGATGGAAATTAGCTATGATTCTTGGCAAGGTGTGGATAATCCGCGAGTCGTGAGGCATCCCAAGGAATTATGTATTGAAAGTTGCATAAAAACCTCTCACGCCTCTCGAAGCATGACAGGATAGGAAATCAATTGACTTACCATTCCCATCCTAAGGTGTGGGTGATCTTCCCAACAACGATAGGGGTGAAGAATGCACCTCCAAAGACAGCGAGGTTGGCCAGTGCCATACGCTTGCCACGCTCCTAAACAAAATGTCAGTACGTAGCAGAAGCAAGAAGTGCAAGTGAATCTTGACTTACATGAACGAAGTATAGATCTCCAACCGCAGCGTTGACGAGTATCTCAAACGGAGCACATCCTATTCCCTGGAAAAACCTGGCCCCAACCAGCGATCCATAATTATGCCCTTGTGCTGTAGCACCTGCCCATGCAGTAGAAAAGACTATAATCACAGTTCCTAACAAGAACAGATGGCGCTTTCCCCATATTCTAGCAGAAGGGACACAAAATGCAACTACAACGCCCGTTCCGAGAAGTAAGTACCCCGTAAGAGCCGCAATCTTTGTAAAAGGGAGCCCGAAGTCTAACGATAGGGTTATAGTATTAGTGGAGAGAATCGAGCTACAGCTGGTCGCGAATATCGAGACGAGAGCAAGGATGAAGAGGATGGTATCGCGCTTCCACAAGGGCCAATTCTGTAGCACAAGCTAGTCAATAGGTATCTATACCAACTAAGAGTCGGCCCTACAAGTGGATCATTGGGATCATCCGAAGGCTGAGGAACCAAGATGATACTAACTGGGCCGGAAGTGTCACACTTCAAGCCCGCGGCAGCTGAGCCATCCGCAATTTGGGGTCTGTCAGGGTTGTCGAAGTACTTCGAAGTTCCTAGACGTTGTCAATGAAAACGTCTCCAGCTTCCATCTTATTCGACTTACCAGGGACATGCTCTAGCGTCTTGGTCTCTAAGATCCATAGACCCATCTTGTCAGTTTGTTAAAGGCAGGAACCGTTCCACCGATCTATAGGAATATTAGGAAAGGACGTAAAAGAGGTATTTTTGAGTAGAAGCACTCTGAATAAGAAGCTTAGAACAACATGAGCGAGAACGAGATCGTATGGAAGCGACCAAAGGTTGTTTCGAGGTTGAAAGACGAAGTTGCTCTGATATGGCTTTCTTTGGGACGGTTTTGACAAGTGAGTTCGAAAATATCCCACTTAACCCCTCCAAATCTGCATTTACCACAAGAAAATATGGTATCAATGGTGTATGAAGCTAGTACGTTTACCATACGACAGTTCTTCCATTCATTCCGCAAACATGCACCCGTAACCGTGAGGTTTATACCTTTGTATTAACGGTAACGGGCTGGAATTGCAAGGGGATAACACACTAGTGTTAGTCTAGGGTTTATATGAAACGCTATCCAAAGTCTTCACTTGAACAATTTCTCAATCGCCACGTAAGGGATACAGAGTTACAGAAAGTCAGACATCAACCTGCAAGGATCCACATAACTTTAACATTGAATGGGGTAACTCAAATAAAGTGATATTTGAAAACCCGAAGGATACTTGCCTTCCGAAGGTTTGGATTGGAAGCTGAGCTATGAGCCTTTTGCGCAGAAAGCAACTGCACATCGCCAGCGGGTTGATGGGTATTAGCTTTGCGCCTTCCTTCGTCCTACCATAGTTGCACAACCTTTGTACTACTTTCCGCATTGGTGGACCAAGGCATACACGGAAGGTTTCCCGCCTAGGTACAAGATACTCTTGATCACTTCCGTGACCTGCTGCACAGCGAAACATTGTTTGATTCTGTGTTATACTTGGGACGGGATGATGCTTACTTCACCATTGCATGTGCTTTTGACATTATCACAGGGAATAGTTTCCCAGTCGCCTTTCTTCTAAAGTTTCAGGTATCTAAAAGGGCGGAGTTGTTTTCCCCAGTTGCATCATACAACTTGTTTTGATACTAGGCTAAACTAGTAAATGCATACTTGCATAAGAAGGCACATTGCCTTCGCAAATTCTACAAAATGGCCAATAAAGGTAGTTTAGCTGTAGGCATGGAAAGAACGTCAAGCTCTTCGCGTGCTAGCATTTCCGAGACTCGTGGTTGCAGAGTATATTATGCGGAGTGATACGAAGCCGTATACTATAGAGTTCAGAGACTTCTGGTTTGATACGCATGTGTATCCATAGTACGGAACACTGGATCGTCTGATCCAATGTTAGCTGAATGTCTCAGAGATCGAGAATTGGTACAGATGTGGCTTGAAATACCGTAAATCGAATGAATCACCCACCCTCTTTCAAAATTAGGTTTCCTCGTTCTCTCGTCCTATTTCGCCAGTAGACAGTTAACTGAATTGCTTTTCCCACCACTTCAACACATCACCACTTCAACACACCAACACTTCAACACATCAACACACCAACACAATGAGATTCACAACCCTCGCAATTGGCCCCAGTCTAGTAAGCCTTGCTTATAGCCAAGCTTCACTTCAAGGTCTCCCTGATTGTGCTGTAAGTCGTTACTGCATTGCCACCTACGCATTCTATCTGCGCCATCGCCTGCTGATACTGATTGGGCAATGCTTCAGAAATCTTGCACCACACAGTTCACAACAGGAACCACTATTGGCGGATGCGCTGCTCTCGATATAGCCTGTATCTGCGCAAGCTCTGGCTTTCTGAATAGCGTGAGTCTTACACTTCTTCACCTGCCCATATTCTTGTAAGATGGCAAGATGCTGACCCTTTTGTTTTATCAGATCGCATGCTGCCTTACCGCCTCATGCAATTCTCAGGATCAAGCAACTGCTGTAGCCTTTGCCCAAAACCTCTGCAAGACATCCGGAGCTGTCGATGTACCGTCTGCCGTTGTTTGTTCAACTTCCAAGCCTACGAGCGCCGGTAGTCTCACCACCTCCTCAGCTAGTCCGGCAGTTGCATCGACAACAGGTGCCACGGCAACTGCGAAGGAAAATACCGGCGCTCATAACCTGGCTGGCATTGGTGCTGGAATGGTAGGAGCTTTAGCAGCGGTGGTTTTGGTTTGAATCCTGGGGAGGTGGACATCCTAGCATGTACCTGAATTTTTGTTCGGTCAGAAAGCAGAAGAGATGATGCAGAATACCATCAACCTACCTCGCTCTAACGTGTCGAGTTTCCCAAGCTTCGTTTTCGTGATTTCAGGTTCAGGGGATCCCTACCTGGCCTAGGATGTCTTTCTGACGTTCCAGGGAACTGGGATAACCTGGTGGAGAAACCCAGGTACCCAGAATCTTAAATACTGAACCCTTGATTAGGCTTGCAGTAGTGGTACGTACGGATCGTTCGGGTTTCGCTCATTTCATGATTTCGGACGATCGTCTAGAGGTTAGCTACGGCAGTCAAAGAGAGTTTAGGCTGCGGTCATACTCAGTAGCTGAGGGCGCAGTTTCTGTACTAGCTTTCGCAACTCTGAGAGAGTTTCAAGGCAATACTCCGTAAATACCCATAATATCCTTCCTACAGGACTCGGGATGGATGGGATTCAAAGGACCAGAAATACCTTAAGACATCATCTGCCGGCAATCTCGTCTGCAGGATTACCCTTGCAGGGTTGCCACAAAGCACAGGACAATCGGTGGCCAAGTTGCGCTTTCTCTACTTAAAGAATAGAATCCCTGTGTACAGTACAGCTCTAGCTAAAGATTTGTTTTTAAACTTCGACTACTGAATCCACACTTCCATTAGACGACAACGACGAGAACATGCGACGATGCGAGCTTAACCCAACCCACTACTACTACTATTACTCGTACTCGCAGCGCCTTAATTGAACAACCCCAACCGCACTTGCGCTTGCTCCCGTGGCGTCTGAAACTTGCCGCTTTGGCCTTTGTGGAGGTAGTGGAGTGGATTAATTCCCCCCCTCTTGCATCTTGACATAGCACGTTTTATGAAGTAAAGTTCCACGCAGACTGAGGCAGTTCGTGAGCCGCACGTTCCGTCAGGTATGTCAAAGCTAGACAGCCTCAGTTGAAGTGGCGGCTCTGGCAAATCGAAAGGGCTCAAAGAGATTTGCATTGCGTCCACCTCGAAACGACGTCCTACCTTTAATCTATTGAAGAATGATTGCTTTTGTTTGGCGTATTGGGCAACTTGTGTATTGATACTGATCTTGAGAATGTACCGAGTATTCAGTTCAACATGGAGTGTCTATACAGTTTGCAATAGGCCCTTTTTCAGAGGTTTATAAACTCTCTCGAAATTATCGAACTCTGTTATTCGAAAGTTGAACAGGCTTAATTGTATCCCTAACAGAAATAGCACAGACCATACTTATTCGCTGTCACGTTTCTTGAGCGGGCGGGGTACGTGGTACTCCCCGCTTTTCCTTGAGAATCGGGAGAACCGGTACGGAAAGAGTGGGCAGTGAGGTGAGAGAATCAGGAGATATCACATATCACATATCACATATCGTATTTCGATCTTCCGATCACCAATTACTGCATGCAGACTGCAGACTGCAGACTGCAGCCCGATCCTCCACGCGGTTTCTGCTAGGTAAAGCGCTTGCTTCTGCTGGCCAACGTGGTTATGGTTCTTGCACAGACAGTTACCTTAGTCAGAGAGTAGTTACCGTACTTGTAGCATGTAGCAGGTAGCAGGTTAGAGTTGTTACCAAGATGCTATAGGCAGGTCGTAAATCTTTTCTTATAATCATGCTCTCTGCCGCCATGGGTACTACCGGCACATAAGTCGTGTTGAACAGTGCGAAAAAAGGTTACTATACAATGCAACTTGATAGAGAGGACAGAAGGTTGGCCAAGAGAGGACGTACACGGTACTCAAGGATACACCCAGCGCCGACCATATATTGGCCAAGCAGTCGGGCTCTTCCATCACTTGGAAGCAGCCAGCACGTGTACAACCATACTTTACCGGGTACACGGGATATCATCCATGAGGAACCACCAGAACTTCTTATGGGCTTCTAGCTTGTAAATCTGACAACAACGAATTCGCTGTTGTGTGCATTTCGCCGTCGCTCGGACCTCCAACTGGTTTGGTGGAGTTGGACGTCACCCTTCACTTTCGCCTTCACTTTGATTTTCATTTTCCCTTTTATTCATGCTTTCACCAATCCTCATCGCTCTACCAGTAGTGTCACCGCATACACCGCCGAGGCTACAGCTATGCCACCGGTTTTCTTCTTCCTCCTATACGGGCCAATATCTAGCACCGGTGTTCTATCCTATCCTATTATCCACGTCCACATCACACGCCTTATCGGTAGGTTACTTGTACACGCAAGGATCTGCTCAAGATGTCTGGGAACTTGCAAAGTGTCCAGGGCCCAGGACATGGGGCATGGGTTCCCCGAAAGGCTATGGGGGTCTGAAGGTTTCTAAATCTCTCAGATTTCGGACGCCCCATCGATCGTGCCATCGCGCCGCGGGGATCCGCAAACGTCCAATTGCATCCCTGGCACCCGACAGTGCACCCATCCAGCTCTTCTGTTACAGACTGCTGGGCGCCCATAGCTCAGAAATTACGTCTTGCTCTCTCACATAAGTATTTTGGGATTTCCCATTATGTTCTTTCAAGGTATTGATTGTGCTACATATTAAGCAGAGTTTCTTTTCCGGTACTATCTAGCTTCACATAGGAACTTGGCCATCTTGTTTGTACAACTCCCACCTCGTATCTCTCAGAACTTATATAAAGCATTCTCTCGGGCTCAACTTTCAGACAAAACTTCTCAACAACTCTGTGATCGATCCAAGCTTCGCACAATACCAAAGTTTGTTCATCCCACCTTTCTGTCTATAAGTGGCATGCTAAAATGGAACCGGACAGACCCGAGAGCTCCTATCACTTACATCGACAACATGTGCGAGTATACGAAGAACTATTATATCTATACTTCCTGCCAAGATCCTGGGGCTCACTTCTTTTCTACTTCGCTTGACGGCAAACGAGATCATCGATGTTCAAGGGGACCGCATGAACGGTACATCGTAGTACCTGAGCTTTGTCCCCTCTGCAGTTCATGACCCCTCATTCAAATCGACACATATTTGTTTCTATTCTCGGATATCTCCACACAATTTATATATTTTAGCCATTGATGGCGCAGGCAAGCTCAAGTTTTGGGAAGGGCATTGCTTAGTTCATTAAGCCATTCTCCGCGGGCGTCAATGGACAGGAAGGGGGGCATGGACTGGGCATGGACTGGGCATGGATATAGGCATGGACATGGGCATACTTGATTTTGTTTCTCGTTTTCACATGTATAATTACTGTCCACCCTCATTTGACGAACTATCGCTGGGACTAGAGGCGGAATATCGGATGGTTGGTGTGGATTATCTTAATTCGTCTCAACGGGGGTATACATACTTTTTGATATCGAACATCTACCGACCATGAACCCACAGACTTAAGCATGAAACATTGAGCACATTATTAGATACCACCTATAAGAATAAAAAGCCAAAGAGCAATGCAGCTCAACTATATTTACGTCTTGTCCCTCCCTCCCAACTTTCGAAACTTTCCCCGCGGATCAAACGCCGGTAATAAAAAAAAAAAAGGCCTCAGCACTCAAAGTCTAGCCGATCACACGTTTCGTTTGCCACAACGAGAGAGGCAACCTAAAAATTCCATAACAGTCAGTCTTCTCTTCTTAGTATTCCAATAGTGTATTGGAGTGTACCACAGTGTGGCCCACATGTATACGTATTAGGTGAGAACAGCCAGCCAGCCGCAAAAACGCCAAAGGACCTGCGGGTATGCATGCATGCATACATGCATGTCATACCTAACGTACTGTATCTGCAGCATCTTGCTACTGTGCTGCGAGATCACATCACCGGTACTGCAACCCCAACTGCGTAGGTGCCGATGCATATATCTCGTCGCTCGGGCTCGCGTTCAAAGTCCTAACAAATAAATGGCTGAACTTAATCCATATCCTCCATCCCCCCTCCGCTCGCATGAACCTCGGCCTCTTCAACTAATTAATGGATCAGTGTATATTACTAGCTCTAGCCTATGTATCACTGTAGGTGAAGAAAGAAAGGCAGAAAGAGTGGAACAAGAAGTGGAAGTGGAAGTGGAGTAGCATTCGGCAATCGGTGGACTACTGTGTGTTTGACAGCGGGTAGATCTCCTGGGAAAGTTGTGATTTGTGATTTGCGATGGCCATGCGATTCAGCATTCATCCGGAGTAGGGTCGCACAGGTGATAGGCCCGGGTCATGGCTCCGCAAGGGGAGAGGCCGAGTTATAGACATGGGGTCTGGCTTTATGCATTCACTGTACTGGAGGTTATGTTTCATGATAGGGACCTTGTACTATACTATACGTTTTACAGTATAAGTTAAGGAAGTTGTGGCTTGTTCATACGCACCTTTTTACTATATATTCTCGAGGTAGAGGTGGCGGTGCGTGATATCATAAAGTGGTTTGAATTATAGGTTCATATAGTAGACTATCATTGTGTGGACTACGTATGGGGTTACTACTGTAATTGGTTTTACAATTTCTACTCCGTGTTCCGTGGTTGAATTGAGTATTGGAGGAGAATGACTTAACTTAGTTGGGTAAACCGAATAAACGATCCGAGCACAACCAACGAAACATGCGCAACTTCGCAAGGCTTATCTTCAGCCCCTGAAAAGATATCAGACATAGGATCACGTCATGCTTAGCTGATGCAGGAAAAACAGATTCAAACATTAGAAGTGCTTACTCGTTCTCCATATTGGACTGTGGATGGGAGCTAGAAGGTGGGGTCAGGGGGCAAAGATTTCTTGCGAGTCCAAGAAAGGATTCGATAATGTAAGCAGAGAGGCTTACGGTTGTTTGCTAGTGACCAACAGGCTGTTGTATTCGATGACTAGTTTTTTCCCCAAAAACTGTTACTGATGTTTATCAAAGGCTTGATTGTGGCACCCCATCAGCGTTTCCACTTTCTCTTCTTTTCTTCTCCCTCGCCTCCTCATTGCCTCTCTTCCACATGGCGATTCTCTTCAAGTGAGCGTTGTCAAAATTGTCTCTCCACCATTTCTCAAACTTTGGTAAAGGCCGCCCCTTACCATCGCGTGGTTCCCCAGCCATTTTCCTAACTACCTCGAAATACTCCTCGAAATCAGGGTATAATGCAGTAAACGGCACGCCGTCGCCCTTGTATGCAATTCTATCCTCTTCCCACTTAATCTGCTCACTCACAGGAGGGAGAGTAATTCGACCTGCCAGAAACCTTGCTGCTAGGACAGCTTGCCATTCAAAGACCTTGAAAGTGAAACCGGCAGCTACAGCTCCAACGAACACGATGCTTGGATCTTCTCGCCAGAAGACATGCTGGTAGAGGTTTGGAAGACGGTTATTCCGGATGGTGGCATCAAGTTTGGGTAGGAATGGGAGCGTCCATGTATAGCCAGTTCCAAATATTATATAATCAACATCTTCAAGCTTGGTGCCGTCTTCAAAAAAGATGGTCCTTTCATTCGTCCCGGGGTTGGATTCAACGCGGGATATTGATGGCCGACGCACTATATCTGGGTGTTGAAAAGCGCTGTCGAAGAACTGTGAGTTAGCTTTACTTTGGAGGTCTTTTGAGGAATGATGGGTAACGAATTAGGAACTACAAAGCATGTCGTAAGAGTGGAGGCAAGTAGCATGTTCCCGAAACATTGGAAAATAAGAAGTGACCCACAAATCAAAGAAGTAAGGATGATATCTGCCTCGAACTACTGAATACAGAGGCGACTCCGTATAGTCAGCGAGGGTCCAGGAGATATCAGCTCCACTAATGCTTGCGCCGACCACAACTACTCTTTTCCCACGGTATGTTTCGGGGTTTCGCCATGCTTTGGTATGCAGTACACTGCCCGGAAAATCCGTAGCAAATTTGGCTAGCCCTGGAGTGTGGGGTATCATCGGGACGTGATAATGTCCATTTGCAACGAGTACAGCATCGAAAGATTCCTGCCACCATCTATCTTCTTTCCTATTTTCAAGTGGCTGTCTGAGAGTAAGGGTCCATTGGCCAGTTTCAGAATTCTTGGAAACAAGTTCCACCGTAGTGTTATAGGTCACTAGGTCTTGGTATCCACGGCGATTTACTAGACTTTGGAGGTAACCTTCCACAGCTTTCCAGTGTCGAAAAGGCGAATCTGGCCCGTGTCTTTTTATATTGAGAGCACTTCGTTCTTCTGGAAAAGGCTCTTGAGAAAATGACATTGCATGGGCCTCGATATTCGTTTCTAGAGTAGGATATATTGATGTCTCGGAGAAGCGAACCTGAGTATTCTTGGGAGTCGTTACAGCCTTCCCGTTAAGAACCTCTTGCGGGATGGGCAAGGCATCATCCGGCCGCCTCTCGGCAATTTTCTTCAGATCTGGTAGCTGTTGAACATGATCCTCGGGGTCTTCGATCCTAGTATATATTAGAGGTTGTTTAAAGAGGATTTTCTCGCACATGATACTAACCAACAGCCTCCAGCCGCTTCTCTCCTCTCGAAAACACGAATGTGATCGAATGCCTGTTCTTGAGCCAATGCATCAATTGAGATTATGCCTGCGGGACCGGCTCCAATGATGGCGACCGACTTGATGGGGGCCATTGTTGCGACAATTGATAAGATTATTAAATCAGGGAGGAGCACTTGTCTTGTGGGGGAGTCATTTTATTTATATCCTGCCGGGTTTTGAAGTCCTCTGCTACTCGGGGTAGTAATCATTCCATTTGCACAATAGACTACCTACTTAGGTACTCTAGATGATATGGCGCCATCGGTGCTCATCTGCATCTATGTGAACCAAGCCTAGTCGCTAGATTCGGCAGAGCGGGTGGGGGTAGTGGGCTATCATTTTCGAGGAGTGGATGTATAAGATCCACTCCTACTTCATTGTAGAATAGAAGCCGATATGAGGGAATCTCAAATATTCAGAATAACTTAAGTCTCACTTTGCTATTGAAATGAAGATTCTGAAGATACATATCCCATTTAGGCAGCTAAGAGACACAATTAAGATCAAGATCTGAATGGTACGAGTAAACAAAATCCGGATGTCATATAAGACTTGACTACATTACATACGAATGCCTAGAATCTTTTCTAGATGTGGAAATAGTATCCTTATCCTTCCTACCTACCTAGTCTAAGACATCAAATCTGTCAAAGCTTGTCCAGTCTTGTGTACCTACTATAGCAGTTAATTGTAGTCACCAAGGGGTCCAAGGAGTCCCTAGCGTTGCAAGCTCTTACTTTCTAAGCTTTGTTGGGTAATCACAACTCGATATATCTTCTAAAATATGAAAATTCAAGCATTCAAAGAAATGTTATTTAAATTGCAAAAGTTCCCGTCTCAAACATTGCGTTGCTGCTTTGATTTACGCGTTCTGTACGTGTTGATGTTTATCCACTTCCGGCATGGTTCGCCTCGCTTGTGCTGCAACTCGGAATCACGTCTCCTCATGCAGACGCGACTTACAGCACATCTCGCAGAATTCCAATTCTTTACATCACCACTCAAGTTTCACCTACAATAGTTGTTATTTGCGTAGGATATTCCAAGCTATTCTTCTGTACAGAACTACACCATTAAACGTATTGGTATATTATGAATATCCGCCACTATGACTGACGCGACTTTACCCCCACCCCGCTCTTCCTCTGTGCGCTCTACTTCTGAAGGAAGAGAACGTTCGGATTCCAGTCAAAGCCGCGAGGAGTTCGACATGTCTATGGAACAGAGTTCCGATCCTGCAAGTGGAGAAGGAACATCGGGCGAGTCAGAGAGTAGGGCAGAGAACAAACAGAGGCGGAAGAGGACGAGGTATGTTTTACATATTGCTTCTTCGGTGCAGGTCTTGTGCTGCCATATATCGCCAGATTATTTCCGTCTAAGCTGGATAATTATATAAACTAGAGATGGCTAACGCTCTATCATAGCCCCTCAGATCAAGCAATCCTCGAAGCGGAGTACAAGTTAAACCCGAAACCCAGCAAGGCAGCGCGCGCGGAAATCGTGGAGAAGGTTACTTTAAATGAGAAAGAAGTTCAGGTGAGATATTCATTATTGGGGCGGTCTCGGTTGCGACGCGTCTCTGCCATCGGTACCGCGACTGATTTCTTGTACAGATATGGTTCCAGAATAGGCGGCAAATAAACAGACGGAAATCACGCCCACTTCTGCCACACGAGATCGCAGCCTTTGGACTCAGAGGTATGGCTGCACTGTCGTCTGATCCTGCGCCAATTGAGGAATTCCCCAGTAGCCAGACGATGGTTGGGGCAGGAACAAGCTCGCAGCAAGAAGCTGTATTCAGCAGCCAAGAAGATATTGGGAGTTCCCAGGAGGTCGAAGCGAAGGAGACGCACAAGGAGAAACGCGACGATCTAGTGAATGTTTTGGAAGAAGTCGTGGAGGCGCAATTATTACCCACCTTGGACACGGCATCAGAGGTCAATGCCACAATAGTCGATCCCAGTCCAGAATTCAGCTCGTGCTCGGCCTCGGAGAGTGTCACCAAGTCATTCTCTTCAACTCCTGGATACTTGGCCAATCGTTGGAATAACATGAACAGCTCTTTTTCAACCCCTACCTCGTCACAAACCCCCATATTTCTAACTCCTCCGATGTAAGCAAATCTATAATCGGTAATTGGTATATTCCAATGACTAACGAGTGCCGGCAGTGTTGATACAATGCAGCCAGCATCATGTCCTGAACGAATTTGTGCTTCTCGGAGTTCAGCACGATCCCCTCAGATGAGGATTTCAATGTCACTTGACGGCAAGGCAGAATTAATCTCAGATGATCTATCACCACCTCGGGCAATCCCGCCACGACCAACTTCTTCCGCAGGCGCCTATTTACCACAGAAGCGAATGAGAACTCTCCAACGAAGCCAAAGTGCTCTTCCATTTGGTCCCCTACCTAGGCAATCTATCCCGGGTGCTCCTTTCCCTCGTCTACCTACTGGCCGCTCACGAGATGCACGGTCCTGGGAATTCTGCTGCGATACTGAAAGTCGTGACGAATTGACGACTTTCGCTGAGAACGAGTCCAATGGATCAGCCGTGGCCGCGATCAGTCTTCTGCGCTCCACCAGCAATGCAGCACTCAAGCCGAATAATAACAAGCGCAACGCACCTACTACGAAGCTTGAGTCTAACTATCAGCATGGCAAGAAGCCAAAATTAGGATTAGGAAGAGCACAGTCAAGCTTGGCAAGGCTGCAGAATCCTCTGCCGTCTTCGAAAGACGTCGAGAAGGATCATGGCAGTACTGGCAAAGATGGTTTGACGCTTTCACCATCTGGAGACTCGGATAAGGAGAACTGGATGCCCAATGACGCCCACGGAAATCCTCGTCGTCGACCACTGCCCTCCGCTCCTCGCACAGACAAGCAGCTTGGCTCAAGAGCGATTCTTGGAGATAATCATAATGTTGTCAGTCATGCCGTGGACTTCGGCGGTCGCAACCGCAGGCGAAAGGCTAAAGATGTTGGATCCAGCATCTTCGAAGATAAGGAGAATGGTGGCAAGGGCGATGAGGCTGTTGAGAAGTTCATGCGGGGTGATATTAGTCCGAGCAAAAAGGGTGATCTGGATTGTGTTCAGGGACTGCTGTCATTGAGTCAGGGCAATTGGCGATGATTGATTGATTAAGTTGGTATACGAATTGAAGCGGCATGGGCATGGTGTTTGGTGTTTGGTTCACTTTCTGGGGTTGTTTACTGGCGCACTTCCCTGTCGATATTTTGCATACTTAGGTAGCTAGGATAGCACCAGTATGATGAATACGATGTATGAATCAAAAACCTGAATGGTTGTGCCTTGTCTACAGGACCGATTACCTGGGACTGTAAAAGTAATGCTCCCTAAGTGGGGAAGGAGTGAGGCCAAAGCAGAGAGGGCTCAGGGGCACCAGCATTCTTTGAGTATATGCAATTGTTGACTTGAACAGGAGCCTAGCAATCAGACTCTTGGTATTGTCAGTTCTCTAGATTACTGTGCTGAAGTGCAGCATCTTGCCGTAGAAGGCTTGGTGAGGGTAATAGAATTCCGTATTATAATTGACTTAGAATGAACATTCTGACTTCAACTTGGGTCGGATGCTGAAAGTGTTTGCATCGCTCCTGCCCCCCCTCGTGAGTCAACAAAACAGACCAGCGCTAGAGACTCGCCCCAACCTAGTGACCTCGAGGTAGAAAAATCAATTGTAAGTTTTGAAACCAAACTTATATATTTCTCCAACTATCTATCGCATCCTTAAAATGCCGCCAACTCGTAGAGAGAAGCAGAAGGACACACCTAAGAAGCTTTACTGGAGGAAGATGAATGGCTTTGATGCCTTCAATGTAAGTTCTCTACACCGTAGACTGGCGATGAACACTTCAGGGTGCCAGGTCAAATGCGTGACTTTAAATGTATCTCGCTTTCGAAGGTTACAAATCTGATTCTTGTGAATAGGACAAGCCGATCCGTCGGAATGACCCGGAGAAGAATGGCAATTACATATCTGTCATTTGCAATGCGATTGCCCCAGAGACAGGTATTCACGTAAGCGTCGCCTTCTCTTTGTGCTTACTATTTGGATTCTGTGGGAAGCCACATAACTTCGCTTTCATTGTGCTAACTACTCTGGATAGTCTTTGGAATGGGCTCAAGCAATCGCCCCTCAAACCAGCAGCCTCTTCAACAGACTGCCATACGAGATTCGAGTTAAAATATGGGAGGTTGTAATCAAAGACTTCAACGATCCTTCCTTCCTTGAACATTCGGCCCCAAAAGTCTGAAAATAAATTCAAGGGATTCCTTGCTCGAGGTGCGTATTGCGTTTAATGTTTGATTTCCAGCTATCGTGGAACTGATTCTGCCATAGACACGGGAAGCCTGTATCGCATTTGCCGACAGGCATATATAGATACTTGTGGATCTGGGCTATTGTACAAGTTGGCGTTGTTTCATTTCCCAAGCCCAAGTGCCATGATGAACGTGAGTCAAACCTATCTCATACTCATATTCATTTTATCGTCCTTGGACCCAATATTAAGAGAATCTTGACATGATTGTTTGACCTCGTTAGTTTTTAAAAACACCATGCATAGGTCTAACTCGAAGCAGTATGTCTCAGTTATTAATCCGATTCACAAAGACGCCATCCATACTATCAGCTTGGAGTTCGAATTGAACCACCACCGGACCAGGCTTGCGCCCATGATTGCCTTCGAAACCCTATCCTCAATGAAGGGCCTTAGAAGTCTCGCCATAAAGATCCAAATAGCCGGGTCATTACTCGGTCCGGATCAGGATCAGTACAGAAGAGACTTTGGGCGATCCACACAGCGTACCTTTGACTATATCAGGAAGGACCAAGGATGGGCTATGATTAAGGACCTACAGGAGTTTACCTTAACCATGGACGAATTTATTAAAACAAGAGGGCACCCTGATGCTGCTAGGTGCGATGCTCTTGAGAAGGAAATTCGAGATGCTGTGTTGAGAAACAAATCGAAATCCATTACAAGTAAAAGCATGTAAAAAGGGGGGGGTGGGGGGGCTGGACATCTTTCGGTCGAGAAAACCACGCACCCATACACGCAACACCTAGTTGCAGATGAATAGAATCAGCGAATAGCATACCATATGAAAAGACTCCCCGATCTCTTCTTAATTTGTGAAGACTGCCGACGAGGAGTGAGGAGTGGAAGCTTTCCTACCCCTCAAAACTCGCCTATACATAACCAAACCCCACGCACCCAGGCCTCCAAGGTCCAGAAGCATATTTATTTGACACTACAAGATATCAGCCACAAGCCTGGGAATCTGAAAGCCCTTATAGTCTCGAAAAGTTCCAAAACGATACACATAAACGTACGGCGGGCGCATGACCCATCCTTCGCGAAACTCCGATATCTCTCTACCTCCGGATGTAACACTACACACAACGCAAATAGCAAGCAACAATGCCCCTTCTCCTTGATCATAGGGAGAAGGGCTACGCGCAGGCAGTTCGCAGCAAAGCATTGACATACACAGTCGTCAAGCAAGGAAGGTAAAGGCCCCAGCTTGAGGCACGAGGTTATATCGTGTGGGCGCGAAGTATGAGTACAGGAAACGACGTCAAGAAAATAAAACACGCAAGTTAACATGTAGATGAATGAAAGTAAACTTGAGCCAGCAAAGATGCCAGGAAATTATATCTACATTCATAATCATCATCTTCTAAACCAGTCTTACGCTATAGTCTAGAAAATATTCCATCTCTTCACATACGCCGAACCCGGAAATCAAAAGTGTGTATATGACCAGCATTAGAAGATAAGAAAACTGCTCCCTACATCCCGAGCATGCTCATCTGCCTCCGCAAAGGAGACGCACTACTACTACTCTCCTCACTCCCATAGCAAGCAGAATCAGTGTCGATATCCCACTCAACCTCTTCTTCCTTATTCTCCTCCGCTCCATCCCAGCCCTTCTGCATCGCGCCCCGAGTATTCCATCGCAGCTGCCGGGACACGCTGTCGAACCACTCGGTGCCGGAGCGCACGACGGTCGGGAACGGATACTGGGATGCTGCGATGGTGACGTGGTCGCCTTGCTTGAGCTCGACGCGGCCTTTGCCGTCAAAGGAGCAGTAGGCCGTCGCGCGGGAGTTGCGCGGGATGGAGACGCGCAGCAGCATGGTGTCAGAGAGGACCATGGGGCGGAAGGAGAGCGTGTGTGGGCAGATGGGGGTGAGCAGAATGGCGGGGATGTCGGGGTGGACGAGTGAGCCCCTGCCGAGAGGGAATATGCTGTTGAGCCGGTAGGAGTGGAGAATATGCATCCGTCTGCTTGAACGATGGTGAGGAGCTCGTTGTCACCATATAGCTCCAGGTTTGAGACGTAGGGAGATGGTCCGCGGTCGATGACGAGTTCGTTGAGAACCTCGAATTGTTCGCCTTCTTCCATGTCTTGTCCTGCTCCGTCTCTATAGACGGTGCACGTGAAACGCATGCGCAAGTTAACACGCATACCTTCCTCTCCCATGATCTTGTTCAGGTGCTCTTTGAATCGGTCATATTCAAAATTGGTCAAGAACCCCAAACTGCCTAGGCTGAATGATAAAATCGGGGGAACAATACGTTGGAACAGCCATGATGTAAAGAGTACGGTTCCATCCCCGCCAAGTGTCAGAACCAAATCAAACTTTTCCGGCTGACTCCAGCAAAGATCTGGAGACCAATATTTTAAAAGGTGTTGGAAACGTGGTTGTTTCTCTAGTAATTTGGAAGCACCAAAGCGTTTCGAGTTGCGAAGTTTGGCATCAACATAAACATTTACACCAAGATCAGAACCATATCTCGGGGTACTCATCAGCCAAGTAGCAAGATCTCTGGTGAGGTTGACCAGTTGATTGTCTCTAGCTTTTGTGACAATCATGACATTGCGAACAGCTCGTTTGATTGGACGGCGTTGGAGCTGCTTGGAGACTTCCCGAACACCAGTTGCCGTCTGCATGAGACGCGAATGGGACATCCATTCATCTTCTTTTATTTCCTCCAGTACTTTATCGATGTTGACAGCATCGTCGAATCGTTGATGGTAGAAACAAGGTGATTGTAACGCAGTGAAGCGAGGGGTTGAAGGGGTCCCGTTCCTTCCCGCGAGATCCGACAATGCTGCTGAGAGCTTTTGGGATGTCGCTGTTCCAGGACGGTTGTCCTGGCCCTGTGAAGAAACCATGCCGGACAAGGAAGAAGCTAAGGACAGGTTGTTTTGATTGTGGTTTCTGCCTGCCGAAGCCAACGCTTTCATAATAGTCTGCCGTGGAATCGATTCGACAGATAATGCGTTTTTGCGGTGGCTGTGGAACTTTTGTGCCGCCCGAGTTGCGAACGCCGGAGATGAAGGTAAGGAAGCGGAATCGTTGGGAGAGTTCTGGCCTACTGTTGTAGCAGCAGAGAAGCAAGACTCGGCAGGACCATTGTCGATTTCGCTGTAGGTATCTGTGTTTAAGGGACCAAGTTGCTGGGCGTATTCGCGGAGAAGGGCATCTCCAATGTTCGGGGAGCGATTCAGGCCATGTTCTTGTTTAGCTGAAGATTGAGGCTTGAAGCCAGAATCTTGACAGGGGAAAGACTCGTCGATCTTGGTCAAGGCAGAGGGCGGCGACTTATTAATAGACAGGGCAGGGTGGATTGAAGTTGCAGTCGGAATTTGTAAGTCTGACATTTCGGCGGTGGAGTTTAGGGCGCGGGGACGGTGATAAGAGTTGTCCGTCCAGAGGAACCAGTTTGATCAGGTGATCAGGCCGAGGCAGTTATTCAAGAACTGACTGCTGGAAATGGAATTGAAGTTGGAACCCGGAAAACTGAGGTGAATGATTGAAGCTGGATGCGTGATTTATGATGATGGGTTGTAGTTTCCGTGAGTAGGCTAGTCGTTCGGAGTTCCTCTTGTACTTGTTGCCGTAGGATGGAACCTACTTTTGGGGAGGGGGGGAAGGAATCCGGATTTGATCAACCGTGGAAATAGGTAGGTAAGGAACAGCTAAAATCTAACAGCCAGAAAAATGTCAGCTTTAAACTATTGATTTCCTTAATTTAAAGTAGAGTTCTCGTTTATATATTACATACTCTTGCCCGAAATTGGGTACGCCCATACCTCGTGAGCCGTGATGTCAAGAGAGCACAAGATGCACCGAAGCCATAAAAGAAGACAGACAACTTACTTGATAGGTAGAATGATCCCCGGTAAGCGAATGAGGCTGCAGTGTGATGCAGGTAATCCTTTACTTTACTTGTCGACGGGAGCGTGAATTGGGGGGATGAATCGGCGCGTATAATTGGTATTAATGTTCGTGGGAGTGATGCGTTGTGCAGTAAAGTCGACAAGGAGGCTATTATATGTGACGGTGATGAAGCGGTCCGCGAATGGGGTATCTTGAGATGCTGTATATGGTGGAAAGAGAGACGCCCGGTCTAAGTCTATGAAAAGGAAACGACGCCTTGTAATGAAAATGTCTAGATGCCGAAGAGCATATCTCAGTGAAAGTGGGGGGAAACAAAAGATACGACGAAAATGTAGAAAATTGCACAAGCTTCCAGAGCTCTGTGTCGGAACTTGAAGGCGGGTGCTTTGGGCCTGGGAAGAAAGACTGGAGGAAAAGGAAAATCTACAAAATGTCGAGGACTAGTCTTGTCTTATACCGAGAGTAGCTTGGTAGGAGAGACAGGAGTAGTCTCGGCTGTATCGATGTTCTTGAATCATCAAATCCGCAGGCGAGTGATGGTTTCGAGGTGCGGTGTCAAGTCTCAAAGTCACGGGCCCGGCAAGCTAGCGTTTTCAGTGCGTATATTGACAGGCCTACGGGGGCATAATGTTTGGAGTCAACATGGCCAACGAGTGGAAAGAAAAGATATGGCCCTGATGCGGGCGGTATCATGCCCGGTGGCTCACACACTAGGTAGGGAAGCCAAGCCCTTTTCCATCTGATCAAGATGCGGCTGGGAAAGCTTCAGCAACTTCTACCAGGTCCTCCACGTGCCAAAGATAGCGGACCTCACTTCCCGAATCGTCTCAACCTGTGTCAAAGTATCGATAAACAAGGAGGTTGAGGCTAATCCTGAGTGTTCATTGGGGACCGAGAGCTTATGAAACTTCGCTTCTGTAAGGGGTTCTGCAACTCAAAACCGTCTACGGAGGTATCGGTACGGTACAGTACGAAGTGACTTGTAACATGCATATCAATCGCTACCTGGTATACGCGGATTCTCCCCAGTTTCTATTCGTATGCCAATCCTTGGATACTGCTCAGTACTTTACTGTACGAAGTACTAGATCACGGTCCGACCCTAGCTCCCAATCAGTCACTCCGCTCTTCTGCAGCGGCTGTTGATATTCTCCCTAGCTCTTGGCATCAATGCCTTTCAATTTTGCCCTCAATCCTTCTACCTTGAAAGCGTAAGCTCTCGTAATAGGCGCAGGAGGTCGTCGTGAAACGTCTGATCGATATGGAGATTGTACTCTGAACACTTATTCGCCGGTCAATCCTTCCAATGAAGATCTTTCGCCACCTTTTCTTCCAGTGTTGATTTGACAAAGCCCATTAGACTCCCTTTGTTCTCTTCCTCATCTTGCATAATAGCCTCTCCAGCAGATTCGTCACAGCAGAGCGCTTTTGCGGTCTCATAGACTTCATCCCAGTCCTCCAGTGTGAAAATCCCTTCGCTCTCGGCGACTAACAGCTCTCCTTGGGAAGTAAAAGCCAGTACGTGGACCGAATCGGCGGCTTGAAACTGAACGATAGTTGGGGCTTTCAAAGTAGTTCGAGATTTTCCATTGGAGTTGAGAGCCAGCAGAACCGAGGTCATCGTCACGGCAAGCGGTATCGAGGCGGACAGTAGTGTAAGGATTGCAGTTTGAAGAAGTGCGGGGAGTATAGCGAGATTCTAGAGTTCAACAATCAGTCTATGTTTCATTATACCTGGCTACATAGGCCATACCGAGCTAGCCTGCACAAGTTTTGACCCCGCAGTATCATTCTCCGGTGTGCTTGTGATCTGGAGTGTAACTTGGATCAAGGTTCGAGGGAAATTGGTGATGAGAATTATTTGGCGGAGAGTCGATTGGAGGATGGATTCAAGATGGCGCTCCCGTGTACCTAAAACAGAGAGGATCAGATCAAGCACAAGCATTCAGATCAAGACTTCGAGATACTGACCTCCAACTCCAGCTGCTGGCCGTATATTGACATCGATTGCTGCTTCTTCTGGGAGCTCGTCGCGTCGCTGAACCTCAATAGGGCCATTGACTGCGCCGATTACCGTGTACCCGTTTTGCGAGAAAGTCGCAGAGCCATCTGTACGGTGCAGGTGTGATAGAAGAGCTGTAGGCTCTGCCGAGTTCGCCATTCTGCTTGTTGAAAATGAAGTGCTATTGTACTTGTGTGCTGAATGTAAATAAACTTTCACGCTTTCTTGAGGACTGGGGACTTTTTCAGATACTGCCGTATGACACCGCTAAGGCGCCCCTCTATTACAGCTCTAGGCCCCGCATGATTCCACCTTCTTTAACAACAACTCTACATAAAACTCCGATATGCCTTCCACCATAGAAACCCCTGAAATACCGAAGGAAAACAACTCTGCAGGTATTCCAGACCTACGGAATCGTCTGCCAAAACTCCAGCCTCGTCGCCGACAAGCTCCTCCTTCAAACCCGCTCCCAGTGCCCGAGACTCCAAATCTACCTTCCCCCCCACAACTCTCGTCATTGAGCTTCCAGAAGCCCACGAGACGCATTTTATCGCGGGCCGATCATGATCTCTTCCTTGCATCTCCAACATACAAGCTACTCTTGGCATTTGTCTTCGGCCTCGCAGACTCCGTCGTTGACACACCTGTTTCCGCCCTCAAAGATAATGACCTAAGCCCGGCAGTTAAAACAATCCTCAAAATCCTTGACAACGTCCAAGATGTAATCAACAGAAGTCCACCAGAAGAACAGGGAGACTCCCGCTTTGGCAATAAAGGTTTCCGGGACTTTGTTGACCTGGCGGCCGAAGAGCACTTCGGATGGCACAAAGAACTTGGTATCGAGTCGGAGGAGGCAATATCGGAGGTTTCAACATACTTTTTGCAAGCATTTGGAAACCGCACCAGAATAGACTATGGTTCTGGCCATGAATTAAATTTCATACTCTGGCTGCTATGCCTATACCAACTTGGCATAATCACACCCGCCGATTTTCGACCCCTCGTCCTCAAAGTCTTTACTCGATACCTTACGCTTATGAGAGTCATACAGTCAACATATTACTTGGAGCCAGCTGGCTCGCATGGTGTTTGGGGGCTAGATGACTACCAGTTCCTCCCCTTCTTGTTCGGCGCATCGCAACTATTGCACCACCCTTACATTCGCCCTCTCTCAATCCACCAAAATCTCATACTCGAACAATATGGAAAGGACTACCTGTACCTAGGACAGGTCAATTTTGTGAACAGCGTCAAGAATGTCGAGGGTCTGCGATGGCACAGCCCGATGCTAGACGACATATCATCCGCGAAGTCCTGGGAGAAAGTCGAGGCAGGAATGAGACGGATGTTCGTTGCTGAAGTGCTCAAGAAGTTGCCAGTTATGCAGCATTTCTTATTTGGCTCCCTTGTTCCTGCTGTAGATAGCATGAATAAGGAAGAGGAGCTTGGCGTCCCAAGTGAAGATCTGGATCCTGAGGGAGGCGAGGTGGTTATTATGCAGGATGGGATGAGGCACGTTCACCAGATGAATAGCTGGGGTGACTGCTGTGGTATCAAAGTACCGAGCAGCGTTGCTGCTGCGCAGGAGATGAAAAAGAGGATGGGTGGTGGAGGTAATGGTTTGAGGAGAATACCATTCGATTAGCTTGAAAAAAACCTAGGCGCGATCAAATAATCATGAAGTTATGTTTTACCAATTCCTTCTTAATTGAAGATAATGCGTGCAATATGTTTAAGTCGAACATATGTAGAGGAATTTGATCTCGCTATTCTCATATCACGTTCGTCAACTTCATGTATATAATCTTCTGCAAGTTATCCGTACCCCGAGCAATTATTTCCTGCTCGCAGTTTCCATCCCAACTAGGCGCAGGAAAACTTCGACCGATATAACAAGGTGTCACCGGTCTGATACAAAACTGATGTCGTCAGGAAAATGTCGTATTGCCTCGGACAATCCTTCAACTTGAAATGCGCATTGCATGTTTCGAAACGTGATCGCCCCCTCGTATCTGTAGTTTCAAAGACCTCGCAGCTTTCAAGACTTTCTGCAACATCACTCAGGATTTTTTTAAACATACTGAAAGTCGGTTTTGTTGTTTTCATGCCAATTACATAGAATATTGCCTCATAATACTAATTCGCAAGTATGAGGACGAGAGAGACGAGGACCTTGGAAAAGGGGCATATTTAAGCGAGATTTCCCTCCTTACCCCCTTCCGCTAGCGTCAAGTGATCATACTTTCGCTGTTATTGCTTTACTGAGCTGATCTGCTCTGATGCTTACACGAACTGGGCTTCAAGACATGCTGGGGTGCAGGTCTGTGCCGCTAGCGACAGAGATGGGCGTTACGGTGAGGATATTAGAGAATGAAGGTATCCATGTAGGGGAGGACGTTGGAGAGACTTTTTGGGAGGATGTAGAAGTCAGTGAGGGGAGCGAGGTAGAATCGTCTTCCCAGTTTGAGGAACCGTGTGAGAACAAGGATATAGATGATGCTGTAGGCTTAAGAGGGTCTGTGGGGTAATCGTGGTTATGAGTGCGGGAGGTAGTCTATTTATCAAGGACCATGCATGCTTGCTGGTGAACTCTGTGGAGGTGATTGCTGAGAAAGTTGAAGATTTAATGACGGGAGGTTTTGAGTGGTGATGATGCTGGGATCGAGTGTGGGAGGGAGTGGAAGCCAGTACATTTGATGAGCAGTTGCTGCCGGTCTCAATAGACGAGGATGATGTAGCGAAGGAAGAATGTATGGGACTCATTTCGTTGGTTGAGAAGACACTAGAAGTTCCACCTGAGATAGTGGAAAATGTGCTGGACAACGCACTAGTACTCGAAGAGGTTATACTGGAAGCTGAGGTACTAAATACCATCGAACTTGATGAATTTTACCACCTTACTAATCTTGATGAGCGAGTTGGAATGTAGGTGATGCTGGTGAGGCATGTAGTCTAGGTGACGGTGCTGGTAACAATGTTGGTTGGGCAGCCTTCATCGACGTTTGTACTAATTGGTCGTAATGAATTAACCTCTACAGTTGTAGAGTTGTAGAGGGAGAAGAGCCACCTGAAGCAGCGCTTATGCGGACGATGATTCCAATTCCACCAAATAGGATCCTTTCATGATAATTAGCAGGACACTGGTATAGTTGTAGACATATATGTACGTATAGCTCTTTCTTCTCTAAATCGGTTGGCATTACAACACCATTACTGGAAAGAAGCGCAGGAGCGCCAATGACTGTTACAATATATATCTTGAAGGATAATCGACCGAACAAAACTGAAAGGGGCTTAGACACCTGGGCAATGAAACTAATATGAGTGTGGAGAGTATGAAGATGCAGTTGCTACTAGGACTATCATTAAGAGGTGCTTGGCCTATTTTATAATGAACATCGCGATTATGAAGAGACGGTCTCAGGAGTTTTCGATCTTGTGGATCTAATTCATAGATGAGAAGATATTGCTGGAAAGGGTGACTTGCAAAGGATTGACAAACACCAAGAGCCGAAGCAAGGCAAGTCACACCACACAACATTAAAAATTGTCTGTCAACCTTTACTTGGATTGTAATCAATCTATGTGGAGGACTACTTGCCCCCTTATCATGTACAGTGTGAAAATCAGAGACCCCCATCGCAATGCAACACAATCCGCCTCCATTTACTCCTGTCCTGTAACAAATGCCAACTGAAAACCGAAAACGCTGGTGGGTATCTTACACTTGACTGCAAGGTATTGAAAAGTTCCGCAGTCCCTTCCGACTCATTTACTTGGCTGGAACCTGACTGCCTAGGTAGGTACTGAAGCCTCAGAACTCTACCACAGTATTGTCGGTAAACTTCTCGAATAATCCTTCTCGGAAGACCACTCTCTTCAAGTCATTCATCTTCCATAAGACTCTCCTATGAGCCAGACTAGCGATTAGTCCTCCCAGATGGTGTCCAAATTCAAATCTCCGCGTCTCTCTGCTCCACATACACTCCATCGTTTACGCTTATCTCGTGCACCAAATCCTACTCCTAATGTCCTTCCTCGCCCACCTACGCTCTCGAGTTGCCCATCCGTCTTTCCTGCTTCACTAGCGTCTGCTGCATCAGCCGCGGCTTTAAGCTGTGCAATCCGCTCTGCTTCCAAAGCTGCCTCTTCTGCATCAGGGGAATCTGGTATGGTCTCCAGACTGGATATGCTGGGGCTTCGAGATCTAAGAGATGTTGGCGTAGAGGGTACAGAGGACGAGGAAAAGGAAGCAGGGTAGCTGAAAGATCCAGAATAGGTGCTTGTGCCAAGGAAATTATCATTGGATCTCGAGGACGGGTATGAAGGAGAGGAGGTAATGGATAAAGGGGTTGTGGGAGTCGTAACATTCGTTGTAGTATTCTGCTGAGTAAGGTATCGAAGGGGAGACGAAGGGCGACGAGTTCTGGGGAAGCTGGCTGCCGGTGGTAACCCTAGAATCGGGGAACTGCTTCGATCTGTGGCTCTTGGGGTGTTTTCTGCTGATGAGTCCCCTCCCATCTCGCTGATGTCCCTTAGACTACGGTTTGGTAAACCTGGAAATACATCCTCGACTGGTTTTCTCGGTGTACGCACACGGCTTGGAGATCCGAGAGGGCTCGAAGGACGCTGTGGCGAAATGAGTAAATGGCCTGCTCCATTAAACGCCGGCATAGACTGAGCTCGAGACATTGGCGGAGCAAGAGCACTCGTCGTAGACTTTGACCTGAAATGCCCTCGAGAATATGGAGACGTATTTCGAGGTCGGTATGGGATCAATGGGGATGAAAATACTGGAGATCCGGGGGAAGGAGGTGTCGGATCCGTAGTTCTGCGAATGATAGGTGGTTTGAAGGGGGGCTCTCGGTCGCTGATTCCATTTTCGTAGATAGAAGATTCTTGTAATCTTAGAGAAGGAACGGGAGAGGCTCTGAATGCCTCCATCCTCTCGGTTTCTGGGACAGGTTCCATGGTGGCGACTGGACAACTGGTTGAGGATATGGAAAGACTGCAATCATCGAGGTTCTCCCTGGAACAATGAGAATATGAGGCGAAGTGAATCTTTGAATATGCCGCCAGATCAACAGGTGATCAGAGCAAGCTGCGTTAATCACCTCTGCTGGAGTAGAATATTATGAAAGCCGTTAACGCGTAGACTCGGCATTCAGCGAGGCCAGCGCGAATGCAGGAAGGGGGGGAATGCTGAATGTTATGAGTAGCAGCACCGGGAGCTTGCTGCAATGCAAGAAGCCATCTGCTGGAGCGGACGCCTTCTGCTGGCTGGAGAGGGCGAGGGCAGAAAGGAGCTAGGTATTTGTGATGAATACCAGACCAGATGGCAACACAGCACAAAAGAGTTGTGAGTAAGGACCTTGCCTTGGTAGGTACCTGGGTAGATAAAGTAGAGTTCTATAGGTACGGAGGTTCGCCCGCTTGTTGTTAACGTACGGTACGCTACGGCACATCTCAGCCTGATAGGTTCGGGGCTTTAAGGCTGGCTTGGGGGGTCAGTGTGATCTAGAAGCCCCGCCAATGACAGCGTTCTAAAGGCATTGACTTGGGCGCTTTGGGTAAAGAGTCACCGCAATACAGCGTTTGTTCAGGGATCCTCCGCAATTTACGGCGGTCGTCCGTCCAGTGATCCTTTGTTTCGGTGTTTGCTTGGGAATGGGGAACCAACAGCTCGTGCACCCTCACATCAAGATCTTGTATCCCACCTTACTATTGTACCACAATAAGTGTTGAAGATTACATTACATTACAGCAAGAACTATTGCTTGGCTTCAGCCCACTGGCTAAGTTTGTGACCATCTACCTACGAAGGGGTGTCACTTCTCCGTTTCATGCACGTTCAAGCGTTTGTACTGTACAGGTCAGGTGTCAGTCGAAAAATCTAATGCGCCAATCTCATCTCATCAGACCAATGTTTCAACGATGATACTATGTGAGTGGCGTCTTGCTTATTCCTCGGACACTCCGTTTGACAACGGCTTCTCAAGTGTAATACATAAGCCATGTCAATGCAGCGGATTTTGTGTAGATAGATGCATATGAATATCAAGGATTCAAGGAGAACCACTCACTTGTTGGACGTCCCGCATATACGGAACGATTATCTACTTATCTACACTGTACCAAATATTGTGTCATGCCCTGACAAGTTGCAGATTGATAGCATACACTACCTACCTACCTGGGTAAGGACTGAACAAAACCTGTAGCCCATCACTCATATAGTTTTACAAAAATGGGATTGTGATGGATCTGATCTGCATTGAGACCTGAGATGAACTGAGCTAGCTCAAGACATACTGTAACAAACTTCCTTGCTCTAGCTCTTAAATACCGACCGTGAAATAGGACCAGCGGAGAGCTATTCCTAGCTGAAGATGCATCATATAAAGTCACGACTCTGCTTTGGACGTTTAATGGATATCAGAGTTCAATAGCTGTAACCCTGGAAGTGCTAATCCGTCATCTAACCTCATTTTAATGGCAGAAAATCTCAAAAATACAGGAATATTATCAAAGAGTGTTGCATTTGATTTGTGGACATCTTGCTCTTAGATCTATCTCACAATTTAACAAACTCATGATGAAAATGGGATTCGTATTCATGGTGAGAAAGGAGTCAGCATGCATGTGTCAACTCGTTCGTTAAATTTGGCGTCGACAGTGGACCCGACCCGACTCGACCCCCTTTCAAATCCGCTAGACCTATCTCAGAAAGCCATTTGACAACTTCCACGCGATTAATTCAACCCGCTCCAACAAATTATTGTTCACCACTGGACTGACCTCTGCTATCCACGTCGCAGAATTCGCATTTTTCTGTGGACGACTACGATTCTCTGCTCCCCCACGAAAAAGCATCCCTGCGCGACAATCGAATGCGAATGCAGCCCTAAAGTTGCGAAACTTCATCGATTGAGGACGCCAACTGAATACCGGCGCCATGGGGCCAGCTCGATCATTACGGCGCACGAATCCGATCACAATTATCGTGGGAATAGCGTTATGTATAGTCATACTTGTATTCCTGCTATCCCCTTCGGGTGCGGATGCAGCAGCTTCAGAGTTACGGAAAGCCAACGCGGCATCGAATCCTTTATCCCCCCCTACTTCGCCATTCCGAAAGGAGAACGAGAAGTCCAGTAATGGCAAACGGATACCTCCTCCAGTGGTACACTACTACATGAACAATGTCACTACCACGAACAGTCCAGAGGCAAATCGAGAGACCGTCCTAATCTTGACGCCCCTCGCACGATTCTACCAAGAATACTGGGACAATTTACTTTCGCTGACATATCCTCACGAATTGATCACACTTGCATTCATAATACCCAAGAATCGAGATGGAAATGCTGCGACAGCAGCGCTTCAGGAGCAAATCTCCAAGACGCAGAAGACGGGACCAGAGAAGAAGCGATTCGCAAGCATCATCATCGAGAGACAGGACTTTGAGCCCCCGTTGGCTTCTCAGAGCGAAGCAGAAAGGCACAAGATGGAGAACCAAAAAGCACGAAGGGCTGCTATGTCGAAAGCCAGGAACTCTCTTCTCTTCACAACTCTCGGGCCTTCTACATCGTGGGTTCTTTGGCTAGATTCTGACATCATTGAAACACCACATTCGCTAATTCAAGACTTGGCTTCACACGACAAACCGATCATTGTCCCCAATTGCTTCCAGAGATACCAAGACCCGAAAACAAAGCAAGATAAGGAAAGGCCGTACGATTTCAACAGTTGGCAAGATAGCGAAACCGCTCGTAAGCTTGGGGAAGGCATGGGCAATGATGATATTCTGCTTGAAGGATATGCAGACATGGCTACATACAGGACATTGATGGCATATTTGGTCGAAGACAATGGAGATACGACACAGGAAATCCCGCTTGATGGTGTTGGAGGGACGGCGCTATTGGTAAAGGCAGAGGTTCATCGGGATGGTGCTATGTTCCCTCCATTTCCTTTCTACCACCTAATTGAGACGGAGGGCTTTGCAAAGATGGCCAAGAGACTGGGATGGAGTGCAACTGGATTACCAAATTATAAGGTATGCTCTTCTAAAATACCATTTCCAGCAGAATATCTCGACTAACCTTTCTCTTCTAGGTGTATCATTACAACGAGTGATGTGTCGGGCACAATCACTCATACCTTCAAATTCGATCTTGACAGGACGTCAAGTTTTTGTTCCGGCTTGGGGAAATCTGAAGACAGCGGCAGGAGTTGTACAGATGGATGGCAGGATGGATGGATGGACGAAGAAGCAACTCTTCTGTTTTTGCGTAGGGCGTTTTGTGGCATAGGCATCTAAGAACAAATTTGAGCTTCATGAGCTCGTGTATAACGTATATCATAGAGGCAACTGTCCTAAAGTCCTATTTTATTTTCAGTACCTGAGTCTACAGTAAATAGTAGCTACCTATGAACCTAGACCTCTTGCTGGAGCATAACTAAAGCCCCCTGTATTTTTTACTTGGCGTACTGTACTGTACTGTACTCGTACGGTGTTTCGGAGCCGGCATGCCAGCCTCGGCAGAAGTCCGAAGAAGAGCTTCAACAACAAGCTCCCAAGCCTCCAACTCAACACAAGTTACACAACACCCACCCACGAATTCCGAGCAATTCGGCGACGCGACACCACTCTTTTTCTAATCCGTTTCACCCTCCGCCAAACCCACTATATAACATCACCCACACACCCTACCCTACACCAAGCAGACAAACAAGCAGACAGCCACCCTAAAATGTCATCCAGCCTATCCAAGAAATCCAAAACCTCCTCCTCCTCCTCTTCCTCATCCCGCACACCCACAAAACGCATCCTCACCGAGCTCTCCGCCTTCTCCGCCTCCCCACACCCAACAATCACCTCCCTCGCCCCATCCCCCACCTCCCTCCTGCACCTGCACGCAATCCTCACCTCCCCCATCCCCGCCTACAGCACCGGGCGCTGGCTGCTCTCCATCACGCTCCCCCCAAACTACCCGCTCTCCCCTCCCGTCATAAAATTCATAACACGCATCTGCCACCCCAATATCAAGTTCGAGACCGGGGAGATCTGTCTCGACCTGCTGGG